AGCCGTTTTACTCGATCCGGCTGTATCACCCTTCCCCCCTTTGTCCAAGTGTGCTTTTTAATTCCTTTTTCTTTTTTGTATTTCTTTTATCGATCTATACTGTACCGTACCCGGGCTCGGGGGTTTACCGTTGCCACCCCTCCACACCCTCTCTATTCATGTAGTAGTCGACTTAATTTAATAAATATATTTGGAGCCCGGTAAGCCTCATCGATTCCCACCGATCGACAGGCTGCATGACCGATGTTGTAATATATCAAATGAGAGATGCAGGAGAGCGCCGCTTGAGTTCATAAAGTCTCCATCCCCCTCGTCTGAGAAACCTGCAAGTGCTTTCACCTCTTCTCGCGTGTTTGATGAGTTGTCACTGCATATTCTCCATCCCTTGCCTTATGATTCGCAAGTCTTGGACTTTACCTTGCTCAAGCTTAGCTTTGATGTTACTGCACTCACATACGGTATGTCTTCTGTTCCTGCATCTTACGGCCTCCACGTGTGATGGGGCTCTGCTGTGACGTGTTCATAGACCCATAGTTGTGTTGACATTTCTCTCCAAGGATGTTTGCTAATGTTGACTTAGTATCGATCTATACCTATCTATATTTATAGGTAACGACAACAACATATCTTACATTGTACGTGACAACTTCATATTGCTTTTTTTTTGGTTTTCTTCTGGAGATCCAAGCGGCCTCGTATAAAGCCTGAAGCGACTTAAGCCAAGGGGGGTCAAGGCAACAGCTGAAGCGACGTGGAGTTCTTCTCGAACAAATCTCCAGATCGCCACTCCTCACCGCCCGGCGCCCACCGCTTCTTCCCCCACTCTCTTATGCATCTTGACATTTCCATCTCTCCTTTTGCTTTGGGCTTTGCTTTCAGCCTCTCTTCTCTGCTTTGATTTTTCAATCTTGTTGTGTCGGGTCGCAGGACCCTCTTACTGGGGTTGATCGCTTACATCATTAATCTTCAGTCCCTTTGCGATTGTGGCCTTCCCCCCCCCCGATCTGCACGGACGATTGTTCTCCGCAGTCGACTCATCTCGGCACTTGAAGGAATTTTCTCTTCTGCCTCCATTCCGCTGATTCTCACGGGTAATTATTTCGCATTCCATCTTCTGTGTTGCCTACTTGGTTGCCTGCCTACCCTCGCGCACGGCTCCTTCACGGGCGGGGTTGGATTTACTAACGTTTCATACGCAGGTCACCATTACTCTAAGGCGTCTCGTCTCACCCGTCTGATTTCCACTTTGACCACGGAGAGTCAGTAGTACCGGCACTACGACTCGTCCCTTGACTCCTCGCCGATTCACATCGCCACACCAACACAACATTCTCACACCAGACTATGGCAGAAGCGAGTCTTTTCATTAAACACGAATCTGACGACCACAACCCTTTCATGATGTCGCACTCCGGTTACTCGATGGGTAACCAATTCGGCAACCCCAACGATGGGGTCGACCCTTCCGACTTGACCATGCAACAACAGAATGGCTTCATGCCTTACTCTTACGGCTCGCAACAGAACATGTCATCCAGCTTCAACTTCGGAAACTCCGGCATTGACACAGATGAGCTGCTGGATTTAGAGATCAGCGGACAGAATGGCGTTCAGCGCGACAGCAGCATGAATTATCTCCAGGACCAGTCTGGCGGTATCGCCATGAGTCACCAGAGCCAGATGTCACACATGTACTCAAACACTCCCGACAACGCGCCGATGGCTAGCCCTTTCGTCCACAACAGCTTCAACTATGATCAATACCGGATGAACCAGCAGAACCCCCACATCCAGAATGCCAGTTCTTTCGACCAGAACTACCTCAGCACCAAGTCTCGCCCGAGCATCCAAAAAATGGATCGCACCTCATCGGACGGTCGCAGCCCCATGACTCCCAAGACTCCAGCACTTGGTTCCTTGACTCTCGGCACACCTGAATCTGGTAGCTTCCCATCTCAGCCAATCCGTACTGGATTGCAGGCTCGTCACCATAAGACGCTCTCCAACCAGTGGGATGGAACCTCTGGTAGCGCGCAGTCCTATGTTGAGTCCTCCCCAATCTCATCCCCTTCTCAACAACACCACACCGGCATCTCGGAGATCCTTAAATCTGGCAAGCATGCCTCACTGCCTGCCAAGGTTGACAGCCACCTTCCCGGTGGTGGAGATCTTGAGTCTCAGGAAGCCAAGCGCCGACGCCGCCGTGCCTCACACAATCTGGTTGAGCGCCGCCGCCGCGATAACATCAACGAACGAATCCAGGATTTGTCACACCTCGTTCCTCAGCACCGCTTGGAAGACGACAAGGTTCGTAAGCAGCTTGTCAACAGCAGCGCTCTCTCCATGGCCGGTGCAGGCGGAAGCGCTGCTACCTCTCTCCTCGCAGGCGGCAACGGCCGTCGCGCCACCCCAGGCAACATCACCATGGGTCTCCCTATCGAAGAGAAGGAGAAGGGACCCAACAAGGGTGACATCCTCAACGGTGCTGTCAGCTGGACCCGCGATCTGATGTGGGCCTTGCACGTCAAGTACCAACAGGAAGCCGAGATCGCTGAACTGATCGCCAGCTTGGGTGGAACCTGGCCGTTTGAGCAAACCGAAGAAGAGAAGCGCATGCGCAGCGAGATCCTTGACGCATTGGAGAAGAACGATCCCACCTCTTTCAGCTACACTCGCGGACCTGGCAGTGGTCTTCGCGTCCCCAAGCACACCAACATTGCCGGCGATGCCGTGCAGGGTGGTGACTCCTCTGGTCTTACTCCTCCCAGCCTTAGCCCCTCGTTCCACAGCGGCGCCAGCAGCGCCAACGGCGGTGGTCAGACACAGTACTGGAACAGTGCTGGCCATGCCGCGATGAGCTTCAAGGAAGAGGACGAGTACGGCATGGAGATGAATTAATTGTCTTGTCTTTTGCCTTTCATATCTGGTCATTGTGACTTTGCATACACGGCGTCTAATAGGGAACCGATCAGTCGGAGTACCAGGAGTGAAAGACGGCTTATGATTTCTTTTCTTCCTCTACTGTTGGATTTATGTTTGGTTCAATTTGCATCATCTATCATTGATTGTGTTCACTTCGGTTTATGTCTGGTTTTGGTATTGGTTTTTGTTTTGTCTGGGTTTCTCTGTTTCTACTTTCGGTTACTGACTTATTTTTATTCATTATCGATACCCTGTCTTTTTTTCTCTTTGCCATATCTTCCCTTCATTATTCTGACCCACATCATCGATCTACATGTACACATGTCTTGAGATGCGGATGGGGGATATGGATCTGACGTGGATCCAACCTCCTCCGCATGTTGGTGATCTTGATGGTTGGTCTGTGCATGTCTGTCAAACTTTTTTGTGAACACGAACTGGACCTGAACTTTGATCGCTGATTCTGACTTTGATCGTTTTCAATTCTCTCTTCTTGGTGACTTGATTACTTCATCGATTGGTCGATTCTTGCTTTTGTGTCTTGCCCTTTTCTTTGCACAATAAACGATGTATGCATTTTTCCCTAATACCCCTTTTGCTTTTTGTTATCTTCAATCAAGTCTCTACTATTTTATCTTCTATCCCTATAGTGGACTCAGTAATACTTCTAGTCTATGATTGTTGTAGTGTTGACATGTTGACGACGACCTCCAATCAAATAACCCCAAGACAAAAGATCAGCCCCTCGTTACAGCGCCAGCTCGATACAAAGCGCCAATTCTTATCCTCTTCCAATTCCAGATCCAGCAACCCGAAACTAGTATCCAATCTTCGTCCTGCAGGTCATCTTAGCCACCAACCGCTGAAGGATATTCGTAGCTTCCATCCCGCTTCTCTCAGTCGCTATCGGCAGATTTCCAATCCCGTTAATAGTGACGTGGTATGAGGTCTCAATCCCTTTGGTCTTACTTGAGGTGCGCCCCTTATGGCAGAGCGAGGATGAGATGAGCGTGACTCTGAAGCCCAGTGACGAGGGTTTGGATGCGCCATTTCAGTATCCAAATACCCAGAAACGACAGAATCTTCAAGCCCAAGCGTCTCATTTGGCACCAGCAAATTCCCGACCTTTGCGTTGAAGTGTGATAAGTAGATGTGTGTGAGACGGCTCCAGCGTGGTGATGTTCGCGCTGTTTGTCTTGATAGGCCAATTTTCGTGGATCAATGATTGATAGATCTCCTTGTACGGTGTGTCCAATGTCACGAGGCATGTGATTTGAATTCATACTGAAGAGATAGATGAGTGTCAGTTGATCTGAGTTGGGATGTCTTTTGGGTTCATCTTCATTTTTTTCGTCGCGGTCGATTAAGAGATAGATACGCATGAGTTTGTGAGAGTTGCGATATCCGTCGAGTCATTCCACCTGCTGGGGTACTGTTCGACTGCTGGCTGCACTTGTATAAACCCGAGATATACCATGATTTGTATGAAATGACGTTTGGATGAAGTATGGTGGATATGTAGAATGAAGAAAACATTTTGCGAAAAGAAAGATAAGACCAAGTTCGTGCGGCGAGCTTTGAGGACTGGCTTTCTCTTGTTGGATGTCTTCGTGGCTATGAATCCTTATCACAAGACAATGTTCTCGCAATTTAGTTCAAGCATAAGTAGGAAGGACGTTAGAGATAGAGAAGGAGGATGCATTTTCTACTAGGGAGATGGGCTGTATCTATAGTTCGCAACTACTATTGCCCCAGCAAAGAAAGAATTGAATTACATAGCACCCAGGTTCTTCCAGTAGGAATGTATAACTTGTAGTCATGGCTGTTCTTCCACGCTTTGTTGAGTGGATTTAGTTTGAACAGACGTCAGAGAGCTTGGAATGGTTTATTTCATGAAGCCCCTACACATGCAATTTATGGCTAGAACGTATTACAAGACAAAACATTGAATCAATAATATTCTATTACATTCATTGATCATGCATCAAAAGAGCTAGATAGATATCAAAGAGGCCGTCCTCAAACTATCTCAGCACAGAGCCAGCAAAGAGACTCTGCACCGTACAACCCAAGCCCATTTACTCATTATCACGAGCATCAATAATAGTACTCTTAAACTTGCGCGCGGGAATCTTGCGGTTAAACAAGATATCACTCTCGCGGTACGAGCGATCCTTGAGCTCAGGCAAGAAGAAGTAAGCCATCATCCAGCAGACACAAGCAGTACCACCCCACACATAACCACACTTTCCAGCCAAGTTCCAGCCGGTAGTATTAAGCATCTGGGAAGCGAGGTAGATCATAGGGATCTCAGCAACGTAGTAAGCCGCACGACCGACACCAGTGCTGAGCGCGCGCAGACGCACGGATGATGTCTCGGAAATGATGGTGTATGAGATTGGTCCGAGGGTACCAGCGAAGACGAATGAAATTATGATTCCCAGCACGGCTTGGGCATAGCTAGTTGCGCTGTTTTGGGTGATCGAAGCGCAGATACCCAGGATGATGAGGAGGGTGACGTTTGTTGCTGTGCCCCAGAGGTAGATTGTTCGACGGCCGAACCAGGCTGTGAAGAACCAGGAGATGGCGTTTGCAACGAATTGGAGGCAGGAGTTGATGAGGTTCAGTTGGAAAGCGCGGTCGTGGGAGATTCCGGCTTCTATAAGGGAGTTAGTTGTGTTTAACTTTTTTGAATGGTGTTTATGGATGCTTACGCTCGAAGAAGAAGGTGGCTTGATTGGCGATCAAGTTACCGGCGAAGTTCTGCGATGCGTACATCAAGCAGGTGATGATGGTTCGGCGCAGATCGGTTCCCTTGAGGAGGTCGAGTAGGGTTGGGGTACCGCCCATCTGGGCTTCGATCTCGACTGTTCGTTCCATCATGGCCAGGGATTGTTGGGCGTGCTCAGAAGAGTCGGCGCCGAGACGCTCGATAGAACGGAGGGCTTCCTTCTTGCGTCCGCGGCGGATGAGCCACCAGGGAGATTCGGGGGCGAGGAAGATGAGGATCAGAAGGGGGGTCTATAGGGGTTAGACACTGTTAAACAAACAGATTCAACTAGTACTTACGGGGAAGATCCACTGCAGAGCAAGAGGCACACGCCATGCCCATTGGTCATCACGCTTGTTGTATCCATAGGTGGCAGCGGCGACAATGATTGAACCGATAGACCAACTCATTTGCAGAGTAGCTGTGCAGGCACCACGGAGGGACAATGGGACAATCTCACTAGCATAGGCTGGCGAGTTTGCAATAAAGAATCCCCATGGCACACCTTCCAAAGCTTGTCCAACAACTAGAAGAGTAAGAGAGTTGGCCTAAGGTTATTGGTCAGCTGAGCTTCAAGATATCACAATTCAGGAAACTCACAAAAAAGGAAATGAAAATGGTGGCATTCATCAGAATCAGCGCAAAAATGGTAGTCCAGCGGTAACCCCATTTGTTGGTGACAGGACCGGCCATGAACACACCCACGAAAGCACCGCATTGACCCGATTGAAAAAGAGCACTCTGCCATTTTGTGGGGATGGTCCAGTCGTCCTCCCCAATCTGGATACCGTATTCCCGTTGGAAAGCTTTGAGAGCAACGAAGTTACCGTTAAGGAACATGTCGAAAGATTCCATAACCTATGGCTGTCAGCTGTGGCCAATTTAGAGTCCGGTTGATAAGCTTACGATAGTGAAACACATAGTGAAAGCCCAGAAACAAGCCCAGGGGTGCTTCTTGACGGCAGCCCACACGCCCATCTCATGTTCGCGGTTCTCACCGTCGAGGGCATCATTCATGAGGTCCTGGTCAACCAGAACCTCGGAGTGCTTGACGTCGACGTGAGCGAAGTGCTCGTCCTTTTCTTTGATGGACGACATGTTGAACGGGTATGTCGATCAATGGGGAAAGAAAAAAAAAGGTCAGGTGAAAAGGCAGGGAGTCGAGGTCTTATATTCTCGACTAGTCATGCGGAATAACAGAGCTAATGCTCACTTCCAGGGTGCGCGTGATACGTGGATAATTTTTTAAGGTAATCAAAGTGCATGGGTGTTACAGTGTAGTCAGCGATCGATGAGCAGGGGTACTACCTTGTGCCACCGGGCTTTTTCCTTTTCCCCTGAGAATGGAGAGCACGACGGCTACATGGCGTTTTTTTCCAAGTACCCTATTGGACTGGGTATTCAGCTGTAGCCAGACAAGGCTAGCCAACGATGCCGACGGATTGTGGCGTGCGAGCAAGCCGTTCTTGGAGGGCGTGAGATGCTTATATTACAGGGGCTTAGGCTCCCGGGGGCCACGCGATTCCAAGGTTTTGCGTTACCTCCGGACTTTCTCCAGTCTTAGGGGTAAATTTGGGGATGCGGGGCCCCGGGACAAGACTCGTAAGGTTTTGTCTGAGTTGCTTATCTGGCTCGGCTTTGCTTCTTTTGAGTTTAACATTGGCTGATAATGCTTGCAATAAGCAGCAGATCTGGAGTGGCAATTTTCAAGTCAATTGAGATCCCTCTAGACTAGAATGAATATGCAAGTGTGTGCTGAGGCGAGGCAGAGGACCAGATTTTAGCTCAACCAAGGTTAGACTAGCCGTGCTTGACCCACGGCTGATTGGCCCGACGGCCCACGTGAGGTCACATGACTCGGTCAATGGTCTGGGGTCGTGTCCACCATGGCCGATTTTCGACATGCATTTGACATGCACATGATCTTGAATTCTTCCCAACTCGAATTGACCAGAGTTGTACGATTCCATATGGTAGAATTAAAAAGGTAAACGGCCCTCATCTGGAGCTGTCATGCAGTTGGTGGAAACGAGGAGAGAGTTATCCCCTTCTGGGACTAGTGCGAACGCCTTTAGTGAAACCGGATTAACACCTCAAAGCGGCCTAATGGCTTACGCCTCTCCGTCCAGGGTTGCATATCCTTTGTCTCATTGTACGCATGAGCCCCAGAACATCTGATCTTGATGCACATCCTTTGAGAGATTAAGGGTCGAAATCTGGGGGACATGCGGTCAGAAAGTAGTTCGTAGATAAACCACGTGGGGCGGATTGGATTTGGTTATGATCGGAGCGTGGACTGTTTGACAGTTCTCGAATCTCGGTTAAGAGCGAGCCAATAAGCTTTCATTAATTCTATCCCCAGACGGAACTCAATTTAACCGCTTTGCGCCTTATATGAGCGGCAGTGGACGGAATACAACATAGGCCATAGGACCCTTCATATCAGTCTATATCATGGTAGCTCTAGCTTCACTCTGCAACTGCACTTCAAGGAGCTACTCATATATTCTGACATGGTCTATATAAAACATCAAATGACACTTGGAGATGATGATATGCTAGCTCGTCTTTGGGATTATTTGGGTGATTGTCGACTTTTTGTATAAATCGCCATATATCATTCAACTTCATGATAAATTCATTGTCTTTCCTTTCTCTTCTTCTTCTTCTTCTTCTTCTTCTTCATCATCATTCAGCCATCAACTCCTCCCCATTATCAACTCTTTTCAACCATACATTCACAAAGCTTCATACAAATAGAAGCCTTATGACCTGTAATCTCTCGGGCCATGTGTGATGTGTAATATTTGGAGCTGAAGACTGAAGCATGACTGTTTTATTCTTTTGGGTATATATCACCAAGATTCTAGGAACAGTACAGGCAGGTGATGTTAGCCTTGTTTTAGAGTATTGATATTTGCTATCACTTTGCCTGTTAGCCTTGAGAGAATGATCAGGCTTCTCAAGGAGGCGTCCTTCCTTCCCATTCTATTATCTGCGTCTTCGATACATTTGATCTATCTATCAATCACCAAAGGACTCACTTGCCCAATTGCTTTATCTTCATTACCCTGTAGTAAGTGATGCATCCACTGCATTAGAACAATCTCATCCTCATCTCCAGAAGCACCTCATCAGAGGCATCACACACATCAGAACCATTTCAAACGCGTCCTTGCCACAGGCATCAACAACCACCATAGCACACCCGATGTCGAGCCAAAGCCCGCAGCAACATTGGTACAGCTACAACTACATCTACGCAGTCATGCCATCGCAACTACCCGTGATACCCGTGATACCAATGGATACCTGGACTATACCAACCCTCCAACCCCAGCTCCAACCGCAATTTCAACCCCAAGACCAAAGCACCCACCTCCCACCAATATCAACCCTCCTAAACCTCCTCCAAACACAACCCCCACCCCTCGAAGAAGGCACAGCCTTCGAAAGCTGGTACGACAAAATAATCCAAATCCTCCAAAGCCACAACCTCTCAAACCTAGTCTCACCAACAATACCAAAACCTCCAATTCCAGACATAAACAACTGGACAACGCACTCATCGAACGTTCGAAACTGGCTCTGGGCAGCCCTAACAAACCCCCAAATCCGCTCCATCTCCACCTTCTCACCAAACATCTACACCCTCTACGCCGACGACCTAATGGCAGCAATAAGAATACACGCAATCGGCAGTGGTCATTTCCCCTTATCCCGTGCCATGACGGAATTCATGGAAATCAAACGGGTCCAATTCCCCTCTACGGAGATATTTGTTCATGAGCTTCGGCGCCGTTTCAGACGGTATTCTGATCTGGGTGGTATGCCGACGCCGTACTCCGCGTTAGCTATTTTCTTACGGGAGTTGGGGAATGGGAATGTCCCGCCACTTGCGGATTTTATTCTTGCGAAGGAAGAGGAGATTTCCAGACTTGTTGATCCCGGGGTTATTGTTACTGTTTGGGACTTTTACGCGGCTTGTGAGGAGGTTATTGCTTTTGTGGGGGGGGGGGGGGGGGGGTTGAGACGCCTGTTTCTGGTTTTGATCTTGTTCCTGTTCCTATCCCTGGGGGAGGGAGAATGATTCCAACCATTCCGATGCAGATGAATCTGGGTATTCAAGCTGGAGGGTGGGATCGGGAGCGTGTTATGCAGAAGTGGCCGCCTGTCGGGATGTCCAACGAGGAATATGCGCAGCGGTGGAGGGAGTCTCAGCCGCAGTTTATTCAGGGTTCTTGTGTTTTCTGTGAGCGGTGGGGACATGGGACTGGCAAGTGCTGGTATCTAGTACCCGAATTGCAGCCTGAACGGTGGAAGCCGGAGGCTGGGATTTGGGTGTTTGGACCGGGGATGTCATATCCAGGTTGATCTCGGCGATCGTTGGACAACTGGACGTTGGAATTGACAGGCTGGTGGCATTCATGTCTGCCTAAAGAGGTTGGAAGTGGCGAGGTGATGTGACAAGGCTGGCATGCGGTGAAGATTGGCCCACGCACGACAATCCAGTGGGGTCGGGGGTTGGGGATCGACGGAAATACCGGCATCAGTTTGACTAGCAGCGAATGAGAAACTGTTTCTGTGACCGAATACGGGCTATTTATAATTGACGTTTGACGCGTACCTCTAGCTGCGGGGAGGTGGATTTGATTGATCAAAATTATATCAGATTAAATCAGATTAAATCACGGATGTAGAGACACGGGATATATCCAATTGGAGCTCAAACAAAAATCCAATCTATAAGCATGCAGCCCTTACATGCCGCCCAAAATGAAACAAAATCGTAATCCATACCTAGGTATGTAAATGGAAGTACTTTATAGTAGACAGGTGATATATGAGTAAATGTCCAAAAGAAATAGGAAGCTCTACGTGACAGATGTCAACGACATCGGAGAAGTGTAGTCCAGTGAGAAAGGAAATGTGTACGGGTGTCCTGATTACTTCGAGACCGCGTGAGGCTCAGTCGAGTAGGCGTGGGGTTCAGAAGTGAAAGTGTTTCCGTTGGTGTGCTGGTTCGAAAATGCGTGGTCGGGGCTTGGCTCAATGGGACTGACGTCCTGCTCGTTCGCGTAGTATGGCGGTGCCGGTGCCGGTGCTTGGTGGCCGTTGGAGGGGGCATCAGTGCCTGAAGAGACGGCGCGGTGCTCTGCGGCTGTGGCGTCGGATCCACTATTCATGGATCCCTTCTCGTGCCAGTTCACACCCTGCGACTTAAGCTGCTTGCGGGCCTTGCGGCCACGGCAGCAGGCAGCGCAGCAAGATCCGATCTGGAGGATGAATGCTAGCAGACTGAAGCCGGACGCGATCCACATGAAGACTAGCATCTGGGTTCCGACGTGCGCTTTGATGTTGATACTTGGGTCAGCGTTGGAGAAGACGTTCGCGAAAATGACGAACATGACTGTCGCAACAGCTGAGCCGACAATCGTGATCAGCGCAGTGAAGAAGGTCAGGATCAGCAGGGGCAGGGCGCGCAGCCATATGAAGGTGCGGCGGCGGTGTGGGGGCTTTCCGCCGGGCGCGTGTTCACCGTTGCCGTTGACTGGGTTGTAGGCATCGGCCCAGTACTTGACGGTCTGGGGGTGGCGCGAGGAGACTGCCAATGGGCCGACGAAGATCATCACGAAGTTGAGAACCGCGGCGGCAAGGAGGAGGCCGAACATCCAGTGGGATGCGGTACGCGCGAGGGCCAGCGGCTCTTGAATGTCGGATGGCAGGGCGACTGGGTAAATTGTTAGTAACTCAAAGGTATCAAGGGGGAGGGGGTTGCAGAGGATTGGAATTGCACATACTACTTGCGCCAGACAGCAGCTCATTGAGGATGATGTCAACGGGGTTGAAGGCATAGAGAGTCTCGGGCTTGGAGCAGTGGGTGATTCCCTGCCCGTAATATCCTTCACAGAAATTCCATAGTCCCACGGTATAGAAATCGTGCAGTCCAATGGACTGGGCGATGGAGTTGATCAGGACGGCATTGGGCACCGAGACAGGAATGATGTTGGAGAGGTCGAGGTAGAGGAAGTAGGTGCTGCGGATAACGGGCTTATTGGAAATATTGCCAATCACCACCAAGACCAAGAAAATCCATGCGACCAGGTATAAAAAGGCCCGAATAATACGATGTGTGTGGACGGTGGACTTGCGCCGGCGGGCAATTGGGCGAGTGGAGGTGGAGCGGAAAAAGGGGAGCTTTCGCTTGCCAGTTCCCTCAGTCATGGTGAGGGAGGTGAAGGTGAAGTCCCAGTATCCTCAAGAGACGAGGAAGAGAGTGAAGAAGAGAAAATCGACTTCACGGTGACGTCCCAACACCTGATTCCGGATCTTTTGTTTTACACAAATTTCCGATCGTCAGCTCTCCCGTGGGATCGTCAGTGGCTGAACACTAGTGTTGGGCCCCCTGGTCTCTGACGATCAGGCTTATCTTAAGAAGTAAGGGAGAATAGATCTGGAATGCAGATATAATTAGTGTTGAACACAAAGTTGAGACATTCTGGCAGTGTCAGGCTATGCTGCAGTAGTCTATCCAGTGAAGCCCCTAAATTAGCAAGTTCTAGGCAACAGTCGAGACTTCATCGACCTCCAACGGCAGTCGAATCCACAAATGAAGCTATTATTGGCCCATCGACCCCCTGTCCAAGTGGGCTGCGTCATCTCCAGAATCCGGCTTAGCTAATCGCTGGTTTTTGACCCTCGACACTGGGCGGATCTTCTCTGCATCTCCTCAAGGCTCTGTACAGTTGAAGATGCGGTGGTCCCTACTCATCGCGTGCCTTGCGGGCTTGGCCGCGGCCCAGGATAGTTCCTCGACAGAAACCACCAATACCATCACCGATGCATCCACGGTTGAGACTGTCACCACCCCTGTTTCTATGCCCTCTGGTACCTATGAGGATGTGAGCACAACGATTACTCTGAGCGACTCGACTGTTGTCACCACCACCCACTCCAATGCCACCATGACGAGTGGAAACCAGACCATCGTATCGACGACTACCGACTCTATTACCCTGTTGACTGGTGGTGGACATACAACCACTCTTGGCAACAACAGTATGAATGCTACTGCCACCACTGCCACCAACACGGCTACCAATACCCCCGTGGTCAACACCCGGCCTTGCAACGGCTACGCAGAGTTCTGCACCAAGAAGTACTCGAACATCACCATGGTGACGGCGCACAACAGTCCCTTCGTGCGCAAGAACAACGTCGCTGCCAACCAGGCGTTGGATGTGACGTCGCAATTGAATGATGGCATTCGCATGTGTAAGTGATCCGTGGTATTCCAAGTCAAAAGTCAAAAGAGTATACTAATATTCCACAGTGCAATTCCAAACTCACTACGAGAACGACACCATGTACCTCTGCCACACTACCTGTGAATTACTCAATGTCGGCACCCTCGAGGCCTACCTCACCGAGGTCAACACCTGGATGCGCAAAAATCCGTATGATGTGGTGACCTTTATGATTGGAAACTACGACTACGTCAACCCCGAGAACTTCACCACTCCGATCTACAATGCCGGTCTGAAGGATCTCATCTATACACCCACCAAGGTGCCCATGGCTCTAGACGACTGGCCCACTCTTTCGGATATGATCCTTAGGGGCAAGCGCGCGGTCTTTTTTATGGACTACCAGGCCAACCAGACCGCGCTCCCCTGGTTGATGGATGAGTTCTCCCAGATGTGGGAGACGCCTTTCTCCCCTACAAACAAGAACTTCCCCTGTACAGTGCAGCGCCCGCCCGGTCTGTCCGAGGCGAACGCCAAGAAACGTTTGTACATGGCCAACCACAACCTCAACTTGCAGTTGAATCTCGGTTCGCTCAGTTTGTTGATTCCCAACACTGCCGAGCTAAATGTCACCAACGGCGTCTCTGGCGAAGGTAGTCTTGGTTGGATGGCAGAGAACTGTACCAGTAAGTCACATTGCCAACAGTTTGAATCTAGACAATGGCTAACCCAAAACAGAGAAATGGGACCGCCCTCCTAACTTCCTCTTGGTCGACTACTACAACTATGGTACGCCCAACGGCACTGTCTTCGAAGTTGCTGCCGACATGAACAACGTCACTTGGGACGGTAAATGCTGCGGTAAGGCATCTGCTGCGCCGCGCGGAGTCTCCGTCGCCAGTCTGTCCTCGTTGCTTTTGGTGGCAGTCGGAGTGCAGATGATCATGTCTGTGTTCTAATTTCCACGATGTCTATGACTTTTGATCTTTTGGCATGACCGCATTGGTCTTCGGCGCTAGGCTTTCTTTTCTGGACCATACATATATTATATTGTACTGGATATGACTTTGACAAAGATATACATATTTAAATTTGGAGATCACTTGGTATTAGTGTAGACATGTTCAACAAAGAGCAATTGACTAGAGAAGACCATTTCCATACAAAGAAATAACTATAGAATCCAATCAAGCAATCATATCAAAACCTCAACCTCAACCTCAACCTCGGAGACATCAACATCACATGACCTCCCCACCGCAAACGCAACCCTCACATCAAACCAACACTCACAACGAACCCCAATAACCTCCAGCAAGACCAGGGCGCCCCAACACAAAAAAAAACCAGGAGTCCTACCAAAACACCAAACTCCAATCCTCCAAACATCCGCATACAACCGCCGAAATGGTTGACATTGTCCCCCTCTCAAGCTACCCCTCCTACATCGACCTCCTCCCCTCAATCCAAACCTGCAACATAACAAACCTCCCCGAAAACTACTTCCTAAAGTACTACCTCTACCACGCCCTGACATGGCCCCAGCTAAGCTTCGTCGCCGTCGTCCGCCCTCGCTCAGGCTACAAGGCATCCACGGGACCCGGGGGTGCAGGTGCTGCCGGTGATGTCTCGGGCGAGTATCCCAAGGTTGTGGGCTATGTGCTTGCAAAGATGGAAGAGGAGCCTACGGATGGGAAGCAGCATGGGCATATTACTTCGTTGAGTGTGATGCGCACGCATCGCCGGTTGGGAATTGCCGAGAGGTTGATGAGGATGAGCCGTGAGTTTTTCTCTCTTCTCTTCCTTTCTTGATTGCTTGAATGCTTTGTGGTATTCAATTGATTTTATGAGCACGGCTAACAATTCCTTTCAATACAACAGAAAGAGCAATGGCCGAATCCCACCGCGCCCACTTCGTCTCCCTACACGTGCGAGTCTCCAACGTCGCTGCACTCCGTCTTTACCGTGACACGCTCGGCTTTGAAGTCGAGAAGGTTGAGAGTGGGTACTACGCTGACGGCGAAGATGCGTATGCCATGCACCTCAACCTGCAGAACATGTGGCTTGACTGGAAGGCCATTGAGAAGCGGGATCGCGAGAATAATAAGGAGAATGGAGAGGGTGATGATGAGAATGTTGATGAGGGGGATGAAGTTGGTGAGCTTGGCAAGAAGGATGCCGAGAAGATGATTCGTGTTAAGGTTGGGAGGGGGCTTGGTGTTGGAGATTTGGTTGAGAAGAATGAGAGTCAGTGATTTGCGGATGGGATTGCTGATGAGATGGATTGGGTGGGGTGATATCTTGGATCGTGTGATAGATTTGGTGACTGGTGTGGGGGTTGTATGTATAGAGTTTGCATAAAAGTTTCATGATTGTCTTGTTTTTTTTTTGTTTTTGTTTTTTTTTTGTCTGAGGGTGTAGACATTCACACTTTGGTTGTGAGGGGACAACTTGGGATTATTATGTCGTAAGGATGGGGTCACTAGTGGGAATAGTAGCACTCATATGAGCATGAGGTATTAAGACCGGGCTACTATGGATTGCGCAGTGTTGCGAGGATTCAAACATGGTATCATAACGTCGTCGGCCTTGTATGGCCACTATTTCAAATGATAGATATACACTTGAATGTTGAAAATCACAATTCTATCCACTATCCAAGTAAACAATAAACTCCCAGCGAACACCACCACCAAGAAGACAAATCAGAGAAGCATTAAGGTTGGAGCATCACTTACTCTCCCCCTCAGTATCCTCAATCTGTTGCCTCTTTTTCGCCTTGCGTGACTTGAGCATATCCTTAATTCGAGTAGAGGTATCAGTGGGCTTCGGCTTCTTAGTACCAGCGGACGCAAAGTCCTGCGTACTTGCCCTTGAGATAGACGGCGGATTGGATCCAGAATCAAAGCTAGCAATTGATGCATTTGAAGCTGCAACTCGGGTTGGCTGAGCTGGGGTGGTTGCTGGACGGGAAACCACAGGTATACCATCCAACTGCAAAGTACCGAGCTGCTGTTCTAGCGGCTGGTCATATTTTGCCTTGTCGCCCTCGCTAGCTCTTGCTTGTCGAACTTGTCGGCGACGGAGTCGGCGTCGTTCGCGTTGTTCTTCTCTTGCCCGACGAAGCACGTCTTTGAAGACCTTTTTCGTGGCTCGCATTTCATCTTTCATGGCATGTCTATCCTCAGAATTCCGTTCTTGTTGTTCAGGAGAATCCCAACGGCCCCAGTCGTTATTTGACTGTTGGTTTTGTTTTCTCCAATCCTTCCGGCCTGATATTTTATCTTCTCGGCGGGATGCTTGCAGTGCTGTGAGCTGTCGACGAAGCTCGACGGCTGCATCGTATAACGTTCGGTCGTGTCGGTCATCCAGGAGCTCTAGTTGAGTTCGAACTGTGGCCAGGTCCGAAACACTCAAATTTGACGATGTGGAAATGGAGTCAATCGAGCTGAAGGATGATTCGGACGAGACAGAACTAACAGACACTCGTCTGGAGTGCTCAGTCGGGGGCTTGGGTTTGTCAATAGCCTGTTCGGTTGGACTGGGGCGACTGGTTGTATTGAGGCTCATCACAGGGGTCGGGGTTGAATTCTGCATAGGGGTCATTGGAACATTGACTGCATGCTGGGGTGAATTATCCCAGGCAGGTCGGCCGTAGTATCCACCAGGAGCGGTCATTGGTGCTTTTCTTCCATGAAGTCTTGCTTGTTCTTCCAGCCACCGGCCATGTGCAAGTGCTTGCTCTTCAACCTGACGCCCATAATGCTGTGCCTGCGCGCTGATCTGATCGCCGTATTGTTGAGCTTGTTCGCTGAATCGCTCTCCATACTTTTGAGCTTGTGATGCGAGTTGTGATATCCAGCCAAAAGAGCCGCCCTTGGAGGCGCCATTGTTGGGATATTGCTGCTGTTGCTGCGCGTAGCCCCAATTGTTCCATTGCCATGGGGCGACGCCTTGTGGTGGTGGGTGATGCGGGACGGGATAATATTGAGGTGGCTGGTGATTAGGAGACATGGGGGAAAGGTATGTAGGAGTACCATACGGTACTCCATATGGAGAATGGGAAGTATGTACAGGAGGAGTGTGATAAGGAGCAGGCGGCATCTGCCAATGTGTTGGGGAGGGGGTTTGTTGGTCAGAGACAGGCGACGGAGCGTTCGGATTCCGCGATTGTTGACCTTCTATAGAGCCTGTTGCAGCTGGGTAACATCTGGGACATAGACCAGATGTAGGCGCGTTATCCGGTTCGCCTACATAGACGGGAACAATCTGGGTAGAGCGATACCCGAAGAAGCACTCATTCCATTCAGCTACCACGGCAGCAATTCGAGCTTTCCGTTGTTCATCGGTCTCCTGTGGGCGATCCTTGCGATCTCGACGAATTTCTGCTCGCAACTGGCGTGGAAGATGCTGCGAAGAAGCGGCAAGTCCTAATTGGGGTGGGAACAGATACCGGAGGAAGGTATCCCAATCCGCTTGAGTGACATCATCAAACCGCGATGCCCAGCAGCGTGGCCTCCGCGGGAAATCCTTCGCTTGACTTCGTGGGTATATGGTGATGTGATGCTGCAAAGTATCCCGGGTGTCATCCAAGCTCGACGGAGGCCGTTCCTCGAAGTATGTAGCGGCGGATGTGAAATGCGTCGGGACTACCGAGGGCCGTGCGGGAATTCGCGAGCTGCTGGCATCCTGCGACTCCGATACCTCTCCCCGAGGAGGGACCGGTGCTGGGTTGCCACTCCGGCTTGGTGTGTTCAATGGATCAACGGCAGAGTACGGGGGTGGGGGAGCCTCCTCCTGGTCCATTGTGGAGGGACCAAAAGCAATCAATGAGAGAATGCAGCGGCCTGAAAGGTATGCAAATACTGTCAAACCTGAATGCGCATGCTGTGATAAGATAACGATGGTTCGAGGGTGGAAGGCAGCAGGATTACTGTGGGGAGAGATGTCAGCGCGTAGGCTTGGCGTATCATTGTTGGGAAATATGTCTAACCTGTACGATATTGAACTATTGACAAACACAACTCAGGCCCTGGGGGGGTTGTCAGCTGGTGATGAGGGAGGAAGTGGAGGAGGAGAGAAATGGGAGGTTGAGCGGAGATGATAAGCGATAAGCCCTATGGACCCTGACCGACGACATATACTTCACGCCACTCTATGAGGCAAAGAGGTGAAACCAGGCATTTCATCACAGGGCGAGGATAACATATGAAACTCTATACTTGTGTCTAGGCTTCTGTGTGGCGCCTATACAATACTTTATCGAGGGTATCTTGTACGCACCATGGTCTCTGCTATACGCCTTTGTATCTATTTGTTTACCCCATTGATGCCGTTCAGATTAATACACTCTAGTTATTTATTAGAAGCTTGCAAGAATCGTCTGTAATTTTCTCTGATAATCAAAACTTGTGGGATGAAAAGTCTACTTCAACTTACGCAGCTTCCGCAACGCCATTGAATTGAGTCCGGTCATTTTATTCTAATGTTTGCTCATAGGCACTCTCATTTTTTGCCCAAGTTTTTTTGTTTCCACTAATTATATACTGCTAACTACGGATATTGTCACTCATCAGTTCAAGGAAGAGCCATCAACTATTGAGCAGGATGCATCGAGGCATACCTCTTTACCTTAATGCCATTTCACTTGATAGCAATTCTTATTCTCCTTGCTTTCTCTGTTGAGTTTTTGTGTGATTCTCTAGTCTAGGTAGCAGAGTCCTTAGGCCCTACCCTGCCCCTCACTACTCCGTACCATTGTTCTGCCATTTAAGAAAGTTCACAAACAATCTTGTGTATAATGGCTAGCAAACGAAGGAAACCCGAAGCCTGAGCCAACCTTGGAAGCGTGCTGTGTCGGCATGTCAGCAAGACTCGGCATACCGAGAATCTGCATCGGCATGCCGATGTATTGTTCGAGGGTTGGGAGGCCAAACTGGTATAAGTTGGTACGTATAACACGAGGATAGCGGACCTGTTGACATGGGTTGGCAGTCTAGTGCAACCTTACGCCAAACCCTACCAACTCATATATATATATCTCACCAACACGCTCGCTGATGTAATCACATGGGCTTGTGGTTTAGTGGTATAATACTCCCTTAGCATGGGAGTGGTCCGGGGTTCGATTCCCCGCGAGTCCATCCTTTTTTTTCGTCCCTATGCCCCCTTTCAACGTCCAGTGACGACGCGAAACAATAGCACCGCTAGTTTATTATTTCTATTTTGACTGACGTACGTTTTGAATTCACCTCGATTTGTTGATATTGAAGCTATATGTGGAAGTAGAAGAAGTGGGGAAAAGAAAGAAGAAATAGAAGAAATAGGGAAGGCGTAGAAGCTGACAGTAGAACTGAAAGTGGACTAAAGACGAAAGTGGCAGGTAATTAAGTAGTAATGTTAGCATTTTATAGCTATTATTATGGTGTTTTCAATATCTTGGTGAATCAGTAGGAAAACGGGCATTCATGATGGCTTATACCCTATTGAACTTTCAGACTAGGATAATTATATGATTGACGTTAATCTTGGTTGATAGGTATAGTCATATTTCCCATAGAAGATTAGCAGAATTTGTCTTGAGCTTCAGGCCGCATCGGTTCTTTAAGCTCCAAGGTCAAACATTTTCCCCGCCGGGCATTACGATCACCGTCAGCCTGTTTCACCACGAATTCATCACAACATTGCCCTACCACTCACTCACTCAATTCGAGGAAAAGTGCTGGAGCGATCAAAATGTTCGCAATGAAAGGATGTTCCAGTAAATATGCATTATGAAATTCTATGTATTGCTCGTAGCTCAATGTATTTATTCCAATCTCTGAACAGAATTCTTCCCAGCGAGTCTGAAGAAATTCGCTGTTGGAGATCAAGACTTCCTCCCGTCAAGATTGACCGGCCATCTCTCTCGAATACTTTTGCCGTATTTGGTAAAGATAATCGGCACAGGAACAAACGCCAACGCAACGAACCCAAGTAGCGAGTTTCCCCATCCAAGTCCAAGAGCATCAAACATCTTAGGACCAGCAAGCGGCAGCAAGGCACCAACAAGCGATCTCGTCGCAGTGAGAGTAGCATTAGCTGACGCCGCATATGCCGGATAACAGTCAATCACGTAGGTCTGAATCGGCATATAAACACCCATCATACCAAGTCCAAATGGCAACATGCCAATGATAGGCACGATCCAGAAGACATGCTTCTCAGCGGTCCATCCGTACCAGAAGAAGCTGATCGGCAGGACGCAGGCGAAGAAGGTCATCATTGGCAGTCTCATCTCGGGTTCAAATTTGCCGCCGTTTTGTGCAGTGAGTCTCATCACAACTTTATCGCTTGTGAGGGCGATTATCAGCAAGCCACTCATGAAGCCAATTCCGATACCGAGGTATGCTAGCCCAGAGAGTCCGACTGACCAGCCGTATTGGCTGGTAAAAACATCCGAAATGGTTGTAAAGAATAAGTATAAAAGACCATACACGAGAGCCTGGATGAAACGTCAGCGAATCATTACCGATACCACCGATATTTTCAAACTCACCATATATGTCGACAAGAGGAACACAATGGGCGACTTGCAAAACAGCAGAATAGGTCTCTTGAAGCTCCGTGCCAGGACCTCCATCACCGGGGCAGGCTCCTCATCGAGATCATAGGCGCTGCGCAGATCCGTACGTCCAAGTTCTTTTGCAAGTTTGTCCTTTTTCCATCTGATAAGTACAGACGCATAAGTCTCCTTATTCAAGACCTCCACACCGAAGGATAGGACACCTCCAGCAATGAGCAACAGCCAGAAAATCCATCGCCAGCCAGCCTCCTGACCAAGGAATCCACCTGCAATTGGACCAACAACGGGGCCGATCAGGGGTCCCATAGCCCAGATGGAGGTTGCCATTCCACGCTTCTCACGGGGGAACATATCTGCAATCACTCCAGCTCCGAGGGTGAGGCAGCCTGAACCGCCCATTCCAGCGAAGAGGCGGCACACGATGAGAGTTTCGATATTTTGGGCCAGGGCGCAGCCAATTTGCCAGACGACGAAGAACCAGTTAGCACCACTGAGGACGATGCGGCGGCCGTAGACTTCACTGAGAGGGGCCAAGAGGAGAGGGCCGAACTGTTGAAAGGTAAATATGTTAGATGTGTTTCTGGTTTCTGGTGCCCAGGATTGGTAGGTATGGACTCACAGTATACCCGAGAAGGTAGATGCTGACACTGAACGAAAGGATTGTCTCATTGGTCTCTTTGAACTCTGCTGCCATGAATGTGATGGCCGGAGAGAACATACTTGAGGCGAGGGGCGAGACCAGCGTCATTGCACTGATAAGTGCGAGCAAGGCCCATTTCTTGCCATCGGAAAAGTTCTGCGGGTTGTTGGGATCATCTTGTCCGTCCCATCCTACTATCCCGTGGCTCAAATCTGTCTCGGGGTATTTCTCTGTGGTAGGGGCTGTCGTTTCAGCATTTGTTGGTTGCTTTTCGATATCGGTAGTCTGGTGTGTGACACTGTCTGCATCTTCCACACTCGAGTAGTCGGAGTCGGTCTCTTTTTGAGGCGTCTCCATAATTAGATAGAAATATATTAGAAAGTTTAGGTGTGCAGAGAACTCTTGGCGTATTAGAAACAATATTAGGAAGGCAATGGATGAACACGCCAAGGAAGAAGGTTGAATAGTTTCAAAAGAAAAAAGATGGAAAGGGAAAAGCGATCAGCTATAAAAGTTACGAGAGTGGATTAAGCCTGATCAGCCCGGAGGCAACATCCGATTATTATTAAATTATGCCCGAACAGCGCTGCAGGGCTCACCTTACGATGATCTACCCATAAGCGACCGCGTGGTGTATGGATCCTTGTGCTCATAAGATTACTTCATAATATGCAATCTCTGTATGTGGGTCTCTAAATTACAAGTCTCTTGCGATTTACATTCATCTACAAATGACAGGGGTAGTCGCATTCATAGAGTCGCAATCAAGTATGGCCGGATTATTGTGTTCGTCTGATCGACAACGTGGTTTCTGTCATATAAAAATCATTTCTTCCTCCCAGAAGAAGTCCAGAATCTTGTGCAAGCAACAAGGCTGACCACCTTGGCGAATGATCTGGACTTGGATCCTGCATCCACGGGAGTTATTTATTGACACCAGGCAATGAATCAGTGCTCCACTTATATCCTATACTCACCAATCAACAATGTCTGACACCATATATTTCCAGACACTGAATCATCGGCGGCCCGAGTTTCATGGGTGGGCCGCTCATATCGCAACCTTATGTTTATTTTAATGCCCTGCATAACTCGGGCATCTTCATGGAATACCGACCGTTAGCGTCATTTTGCGGGCAACACATACCGAAAAGCCTCTCATGGGACTTGTCCTTCAAGATAATGTGAATCTCATCATCAATGTTTGCTATTATCCAGAACACTTGAGTCTAGCCGTATACTGCCAATCAGGAGCATAAGATATTGAAGTCTATTCCCGTCCATACTATCGCAGTGCATCTTTAAAAGCATGGCATCAGCATCTTATCGCTGACTGATAGGTCGTTACTTAAGAAGCTTTCACTTAAAGGTAGTCTCAATGTCAATTCATATTCTTACACGAGCTCAACGACGATGGAATTAATGTCAATTCCGACAAAAAGGTCCGGATACCTCGCAATGAACTCCGGGGTAACGCCCCATCCAGCTTCACTCATGAAAGTCTCATAGAACTGGGGCTTGATGACCAATTCGTTCTCTTCATTCCGCTCAAGGATATCCTCTCCCCACGGCCAACGGATTTTTATACAACAGGCAAACATGCCAAAGAAATCATCGCGCTCCTTGTTGTACAAATGCCACCGGTTCATGAGGTTCAATCGAAGCTTTGGCCACGGCATAAAATCCAACACGGCAGGATGTGGAACTTGCAGCTGCTCCTGCATCGGTCTTAGGAATGCAGGCAGTCGTTCGAAGGTCGCTGGAGTGGGTGATATGATCCACCTCGTCGCATGATAGGCAAGCCAGCCGATTGCTAATCTCTCTGGGTCTCGAACTGGGCGTCTTTGAAGAGCCGTGTGGATCATGTCGGCTAATTGGTTGGTTTTTGTGCCATAGAGAATGTCCAGCGCGGATGACGGGGTATCCGGACAAGGCGTTATCTTTTCTGGGTAGGCCAGCCAGGGACAAGAGACAATTGTCTGTACGCTGGAGAAGTCATCGCTATGGAGTGGGATCTGATTCCATGGAAGGGGATTATTGGCTGGCAGGGACTCTGTGGGTGACTCTGTGTGCGGAGATGCTGTTGGTGTAGCCAACAAAGGATTTGTTTGTCGATTTGCTCCTATTAATGGAGAAAGGTCATTTCTATCATGTTGAATTTGCGGAAGTTGAGGCTCTTGGCTGCCCATCTCCCTGTAGAGGTACGCGCCATTTCGGCTAGAGCGATCTGCATTTGGCAAAGCCTCCCAATCTTTATCCCATGAGGAGACAAGCGATTTTAAGCCCTTTTGGCGGTTAAGCAGAGTCTCGTTCTGCTCGCGAAGTCCGCTGATCACTTGAAGAAGTCGCTGCACGCTTTGATCGTTGTGGTACTGCGCACAATGGTCCACCCGTTCTTTGAGTTCCGCAGTGTGCCGCAGCTTTTTGTCGCGGAGAGTCTGTTGTGATCGGCGATCTCGAAGCCGCTTCTTTTCCACTGATGATACAGATGACATTGGGAGTTGGGAGTTGAGAATGCAGGCGGATGTCATGAGGTGCGGACTTGATGTCGCGTTGTGATTGGCACAAATTTTCGGCACAAATTGATGATCTGCATAAACTATATGTATGGATTATCCACCGCCCGTTGAAGACATCAGGTAAGATGCACCTTTCGCTTCCATTTTCAGGCTGATATCAAGTCAATCTCATCAAGGGGCTCAAAATATGAGTATATGGTACCCAAGTGCAGAGTCATAATTCATCACCCTACCTACTTGATCTTCACGTAGGATAAATGGGCGGCTGCCGCCATGTTCTTTCATTAGCAAAGGCTGTCTTGTCTTTCTAGATCCAGTGCGATTCAGGTTTTATCAAGCGTCCCTTCTCATACTTCAATCCATCAAAGGTGCTAAAACCGGTTAGGATACGATTGGAGCTCGTAAACGTTCCGACGTGGCCCACCAGGCCGATCCCCCGCATATTTAGTGCAGGCTCAGAGATCAATGCACCATTGACCCAACTCTGAATTGCCGAACAGACTGCCGAAAACTCTAAGCTGTTGAGCTAGCTAATCTTTCCGACCGCTTTTGTTCAAAAGCCTATCAGAACCTATTGGCTGCACCCCTGGTGGAACCTTTCTTCCCTATGAACGGGGCAAGCTTTCAGCTACACGGCTTTGAACCACGATTTAACTATACCCAAATGAGGAAAGCAGACGGCAGACTCGAAGTGGGCCTCTCAGCGGAACAACTCTCGCATAGATTCAAACTGCAAAGACTGAGTCCCTCACGCAGCCGTCGGATATCGCCGATACTCCAACTAGCATCGGCAGTTGCTGGGAAATCCGGGGACGTCGCACCTCAAACTTCTCCCCCACAGTGACTCCGATGAAGTAGTCAAGATTTCTCGGCTTGACGTCTACTACCGGAGAGTTTAAGTTCGTATTGTCGTCTAAGAGAAGCGGAATTAGGCGACATAGGAAAACGCAAAAGGGATAATTCCGTTCTATGAGGTGATTCCTTCCCTTTTGAAGTACTTCCCTTGATGATACCAAGATTGAGTGTTATTGTGCCTAATGGAATAACAACTTCTTTGTCTGCATATTCGGCATATCACTAACACCGGGACGAAATCCAGATTCCTTGCGCATCCAAAGGATGCCAATTCGGATATGCCATTGAACCGCAGTATAGAAAACAACTACCGAGGTATTCCACCTTTTTTAGCTCTGCCGATGATCAAGATGCGGGGAGAAAGGGCTCCACAGCAGGCCTTGGGGTGCAAAGCTCGTGAAGATGCCCCTATAAAAGGGCAGATCACCACTCTCAAATGACCTAAGCCACTCAGCAACACAGACAGGAATCATCAAAGGGAAAGTGCTTGACTCCTGTATCAAGATGGCATCTTTATTCATACGTCGCCTTCCCCGGGCACTTGCTCTCATCGCAAGTTTAATCAATGTGACCACTGCACAGTCTTCCGAAACCTTATGGCCACTGCAGACATACAAGAGCTCATCGATTAAAACCCCATCTATGAATATCACAAAGATGGGCCAAACGGAGCCAGGATATCTGTTTCTCACACCGCACGACATAATGCGAGAAACCGGTCATCCAACCATCTACTCAGACGACGGCCAACTAGTATGGCAAGGCGCTGGTGGAAACTATTCTGCACTCCAGCCCCAAATGCTACATGGCGAACCAGTGATCGCCTATTGGAGCGGATTTGCCGGTCATGGATTCGGGTTCGGCCACATCAGCATCTTAAACAGTTCGTACGACGAGATCCACCGCGTTACACTGTCCTGCGAGGAGCAAAATTTCGTCACGGTATTCGATCCAATGAAGTTTAACTCCTGTATTGACATTCACGAAAGCCAGATTACCGAGAATGGCACAATTCTCGTCACCGCGGTGAATGTCACTCAGGCTAACTTGAGCTCCATTGGCGGAAAAAAGGATGGCTGGATTCAGGATGGCCTTATCTATGAGATTGATATTGCGACCAACGAGATTCTTTTCCGGTGGAGTGCTCACAACCATATCGATCAGGTCCCGCTGGTTGATGTTCGTGCTCCACTTGAGGGCTCAGACGGTTCAGGTGTGAATTCGACTTATCCTTATGGATACCCCCATTTGAATTCTATCTACAGATATGGCGATGATTATTTGGTGTCATCGCGGTATATGTGCAGTGTGTTTTTGATCGCACAGAATGGAACGGTTATATGGCACCTGCATGTGAGTTGAACTGCTCATCGTATAGGATTCACAAATACTAATCCCAGCATAGGGCCGAACTGGTGGGGACTTCACACTAGGTCTGGGAACAGGTTTCTGCTACCAGCATGATGTGCGCTTTGTATCCCAAAGTCCTGAGCGTGTGACATTGACCATGCACAACAACGAGAATACCGAATTTACAGGCCACACATCACTGACCACGGGCCTGATACTGAATGTCGAACTACAAGGGTCCAAGGAGGTGACACTCGTTGGTCGAACATGGGATGCCGCTGAGCCTGTATACGCCCAGTCTCAGGGTAGCTACCAGAGTCTCGGAAACGGACATGTCTTGCAAGATCATGGTGCGACGCCTAAAATCGAGGAGTATGATGAAAATGGGGCGATTGTCATGCGGGCTAGATTTGGGTATGACAATACCATGCAGACCTATCGCACTTACCGTTACCCCTGGCTCGGGCGCCCGTCTACAAAGCCTGGCGTCGTTGCTTGTCCAACTAAAGGGGGGAAGACTGCTGTTTATGTGAGCTGGAATGGAGCTACAGATGTTGGTTCCTGGAAGGTCACTTCTGGAACCAATGTCAGTCAAACAGCTTTGCGCAATGGATTTGAGACTACTATCTTAGTAGCTGGACTTTCAGATGGGGCTTCGGTTAAGGTAGAGGCTTTGGGTGGTGTGGGGGATGGGACGAAGTCTGAGTCAGTCACTGTTGGCCAGGGTTGCTAACCGGTTTTGGCGGATGAATCAACTCAAGTAATGCGAATTGAAAAGGCACCACAGCCTAATATACCAGGCGACATAAGTTTGTTCACGGTCTCATGAAGTATTGGACAGGGTTCTTCAAATAATTTCCGAAGTAAATATTTCATTTCAGGCATTAGTTGTGCTCTGAATTAGCCTCTCTTCTTTCGCCTCGTTTTTTTTTTACCTCTTGTTTGTTAATGTTCAAGTGCCTCAGGTGAGCCATTTAAATAATGTAAAGGTGGGGGTGGAAAAGCACTTATGGCCACTGTTGTAATAATATAGAATCACAATGCATGCTCAATTTGATAATGGCTCTGCTTCACAGTATTGACCTGGCGGATTTCATTCTGCCCGCTCCGCTCCATTTGCTATTTGATAGAAGCACATTCCTCTTCATTCAGGTATTGGTAGACACCACTTAGAATATGCTCAAGCCATCCCCGCACAAACCAATAGGCGTCCAGTTCCTTCAACAAAACCACAAAAGGAGAACCAGAGCAAGTGGTTCCTGTTATTGAATATCTGATGCAAAGATCTCAGAAAGCGTATATAGCCAGCGGAAAACGTGTGACCACCCGCAAAGTCAACTGTCACGACCGCCAGTCCTCTCTATCAGTTTGCGCAAGAAGGCCAGAGGCGCATACTTGAGATCCTTGAAAAGCCACACCGCTTAGAACATTCCAAAGCTCAACTTTCCAACGACTTGATATCTGGAGCGGAAGACCTCGCCGATCCTCACCGGGGAAAAGCGATTGGGCGCGTACAACAGATGCCTTTCTTCCTCAAACTTGTTGGTTGGACGGAGAAGTGGGAAGTTCGTTTGAGCATATTGTCGCACGATAGTAAGTGATTGTCCAGTAAAAGACTTTTGTGATGCCGCCATGGTAGAAGGGACATTATTACTGTAAAGGCTGAAGGCAGTACGCACCTTTCCATAAACCAGGGGCGCTAAGTGAAGGGTGAGCGGGCCCACCCGGCAACTCCCAGTGGGTTCAACCGTCTCGATTTCTGACGGGAGATATGCCCTTCCCCTCAGCCCTAAATTTTGTTTGCCATCGCTCCAAGATCTAACAGTTTTCCTATGTCTAAATCCAGATACGCTTATATTGCGTGACTACTCTGTCATGGTCATCTAGAATTATAGTTGTCCGTTGCTTGCTGTAGGTTAGATCTCAGGGTGATCTATTTTCCCCTGCTTCCGGCCAATATATATTGGCTTGAAGTGTGATGGCATAGAAAACTGACAAGCTAGACATAGTAGTCTAGAGCTTTATAGTAGAGCTTTGGATAAGAGGTGAGCATTTGGAGAGGCATATAGGCCTGAGGGGTAACTGGGTTGCACGGCATTTAGGGCTCCTTACAAATGGAGTGCCGTGGAGCGTACCTACTACATACTACCCACAGGAGCAGGCCAACTCGGTGTGCATGCAGCATGCAAGTCTGCCGATTTGGAGCATCGCACTTTGTTGAGCTGTAAGAGCTCAATAAGAAATCATAGGGCTACAACTAGCCTAGCGCAATGCAAGAGTTGTCAACCCCCGATCGAGTTGTTGTGGATCCCTCGCTACGCAAGATGAATCCCACATTTTTGGCTACGCCACAGTGCTGCATGTTCTTCAATGCAATCATGGGTCGGTTGTGGCCAATACAGTGCACGTAAGGCAAAGAGTTGACTCAAAATTCTCCCAACCTGATGTCAAATATGGACCTCCTTCGACCCTTGCCAGTGGAGTCGATCTGGATAAGCAATATAAATCGCCAATAAAACTCCTCCTAGTACTCCAGGGTTTCACAAGTCCCGCTCATCTTTCTACGTGGTTAGTATTGACTGGTGAATTCATACCCTTGATCCACCACATTTCCCTCGGCTACTGATTCTGGCATGTAGCACATGATGATATGGAATATGTGCGCATACAACGCCTTAAATGAGGAGTGATGCTTTCATGACGTATCTCCTTTGAACTAATCAAACTCCCAACAAGCATTAAAATTAGATCATATAAGTTGAGACTGAATATAAATGCCTACTTGACTTCGAATTGATCTGAACCCATCTTCATTTATCTTTCGAAGAAATCATCCTAATTCTTCTCCCACTACATCGCGCTAGTAAACATGATCGATCCTCACAATAGTACTGTTGAATACCTCTTGAAAGAGACAGCAACCCGAGTTGAGAAATATGCATCCTCGGGAAACGAATCAGCTCGGGCTGATGCCCTAAACCAGTGCCTCAAGCTGACTCGCGCTCTTGAGAAGCCAAAAGATGCAGTCTTGAAGCTCTCCCTTTCAGTATGTTGTATGGTTGACTTTTGATGTTCTATGCTGATGACTTAGCCTGTGCTATTCGTGGCCGTCAAAATAGGCCATAATTTAGGAATCTTCCAGATACTCGTGAAGTCTGGCCCAGCTACCGCAAAAGAGATGGCAGCTGCACAAAATGCAGATCTTGCTCTGGTTGGTATGTATAGCTCTTTGGTTTAATTTTGGTTTTGCCGTCACTGAGATATCGCAGATCGCATTCTACGCACTTTGGCGTCCATCGGATACGTGCAGGAGCGTGGTGCCGAGCTATATGCACCAAGTCCGCTATCATACGAATTGACACAAAGAGCTACTATTGGGATGATGGACTCACTGTAAGTCTACTTTTAACTTGTTCCGTATATAACGGGTTACTGATATTCAAAGGTTTCGCGAATGGCAACCAGCCATCACTCGAGGTCCAGAATTTCTCCAAATTACAGGCTATCAAAATCCGGAAGATCCCTGGGCTGGTCCTTTCCAGCAAGCTTATGAGACAAAAGATGCCGTCTGGGAATGGCTCGAAAAACGTCCAGAGGAGTTAGCCCGCTTCAACCCATTTATGGAGGGCGTCAGGGAGAATCGCCAGCATTGGGTAGATTGGTTCCCTATGCAAGAACAGGTGCTGAATGGCTCATCTGGATCATACGACCAGCCTCTATTGATTGATCTGGGCGGCGGTCGCGGCCATGATATAGCCTACTTCGCCGCACGATTCCCAGACGTGCCGGGGCGACTTATCCTGGAAGATATTTCTCCTGTTATCGATGACACACAGAAGCTAGACCCAAAGATAGAACGCTTCAAGCATGACCTCCTTACCCCTCAGCCTATAAAAGGTAAGAAATCTTGGTCGCTGGCTTGCTGATGCATGTAGCTAATTTGCCAGGTGCTCGTGTCTACTACATGAAATGGGTCTTACATGACTGGTCAGATGAGAAGTGCAGAGTCATTCTGGGTCATATTGCGGCTGCGATGAAAAAAGGATACTCTAAGCTTTTGATTGAGGAGTTCGTGCTCCCTAACACTGATGCACAGCTTCTCCCGATAATGTTTGATATGATGGTGATGGTGGCTGGTCCCGGTATGGAACGAACTCGTTCGCAGTGGACAAAATTGCTGAAATCCTCTGGTTTGGAAGTGAAGAATTTCTGGGTTCCTAATGGAGATTCATCGGGTTTCATCGAGGTGGAATTGGCTTAGTGAGGACTGTGACGGTCGGAATTTTGTTAATATGTTTAGATGTAAGCTTTTTGCTGTCAAGGGTAAAGAAATTTAGGTTCTGTGGTCAAGATGCAATTAAGAAATCTTACTAACATAAAAGAAATGATATTTCATGTTGGTCACCTCCCATCCTGACAGTGAGCAAAAAAATATATATCAAGAGGTGTCTGCACTTTCCACCACTCAGTTTGACAGCGAACAAACTTTGCTATGCAAAACATGAGCCCCTCTTGAGCCCCTCCAACCCCCCCCCCCCCCAAAAAGTCACTTCATACACTATCGAAAAAGCTGGACTCAATGGAAAGAAAAAAGAGAAGGAAAAAAAAGAAACGCTCACTCGAGGACGGTGTTTAGGAATAGCCGAACGCGGGGGTCGAACCCGCAGCCTTAAGATTAAGAGTCTTACGCTCTACCGATTGAGCTAGCCCGGCCGGGCTGTTGAAAGCGCATGAAATTATGGCCACATAAGCCAAAGAGCATAATCATTCATGTCCATGCCTCTCGGTTAGCTCTAAGGTTCTTTAGAATTTACATTGCTCGTGGCCACAAGGCATCATCACCACCAAATTATTATACAACTTTGCTATACCAATTCGCTAAGCCATCATGTAACAATAATCGGGTTTCATATTGCTAGTACCACGAAAAAGGTTCTAATACATTTGCTGAGTATGTAAGGGCCTATGGGCTACGAGGCCGTTATCCGAAGTAGGAGGAAAAAGAAGAAGATCTATTATCTGTCTAACGGGCGCGGGAATAAGGCCCGACCGTGACTAAAGGAACAGATGACCTTTGACCTTAGTGTCACATTTGCCTACCTTCGAAAGCACGACCGTCTCGGGCGTGCCCGATAACAAGGAAACCTAGGAATAAAAACAATCTTGAAGTTAGTAGTGACATGAGTAATGACGTTAGCATTAAGCATTATTGCCAAACCAGTATATCTCAATATGTGAGGAGTTGATTAAAGATCGAACGGACTACCTCAAATTGCTCAGAAACTAGGATATAGTCCTATAACCTGGATCTATTGGCATAGCAATAACTTAAGCCTGAAGCTAAAGGCTCTATCAGGGTTTCGTAGTTATATCTGCTCAAAGCCTCACGGCCAAGCTAAGTGTCGTGTCTCCTCTTAAAAGAACAACTCAAACTTTACAGTTCCATGAACGCCATAAACTTCTTTCAACACCCCGGGGTCGGATTGCCCCTAGTTGCCTAACTAAGCACCCCGAGGTTTAGAATAGCCTCTCTAGTCATCTAGTCCTTCCCTTGCTCACTCTCTGCCTTCAGCTTATATCATCTGATAAAAAGAGAGGGATGAATGGTCGCTTGCAAGATCTCTACGAATGATGAATTAGTCCTAGGTCCTAGTAAAAGGAACAAATAAAGCAAGCCTGAGACCTGAAGGCCACACGTCCCATTATATTAAGAAAAGATTGCATTTTTATTTTGATATAAGAAGACCCCTCAAGATCATTTGGTAAGGTAATATAGCCATTTTATAACGTGTCTAGCCGTGGCAGTAATCGCTACCAAGGGCTTATGTACTCTCATCACAATTTCTATCTTGATTGCTACAGGAAAGGCCCAATGTAGACTAAATTGAATACCACACTGAGGCCCGTGATCGCCTTGGCACCCACAAAGATACGCATTTGATACTCGGCTTTCGGCAAAGCAATGCTCTAATTCAACGAACTTTGCCAGTTCTATTAGAGACTCAGAGCCCGAAAAGCAAACAAGTCGACGCTCGATGGATAAAAAACATACTAGAGGCTAATCGATTGAGGGCAGAATAGCCAAGCTTAAAGCTCAACGAGATGAGTCTAGCATCTCATACCTTGAAAAAGAACCCCGACACAACCACTAATCCGCAATGCAACAAAGCAATATGACATGCTTGGTATGGAAAGATTCGGTCTCATAATTCGCTGCAATGGGCTGATGCCAAGAATTCAATGTTTCTAGGCCCCGCACTCGAACAGATATATCAACCGTCTCTCTTTGTTGGGTAGTAATGAACCGAACAACATAATAGGTATGATTTATTCTGCTTCCTTGAAGTCATTGAAGTCCTCGGATAGGGAAAGACATTTCTTATCTCATCTGCTCAACGTTGCATGCATTTACCGCACTGTCCAGAATAAAATATGTATGATCTTGTGTTGCAGCGTGCTGCTGCCGAGATCTTGAAGGATCTCTAGCCTGCTACTATAAGATGTGACATGAGAAGAGAATCTGGAGTTAGAATATGATGCCACTCTGCTAGGAAACCAATGCAACTTGATCATATTCATGAGCTTCGAATTTAGGAAAAACATGTCCAGCTTGGAGTAAAATAATCCAGTCATTCTCATTTCCCAACCGCTTGTTTAAAGACCAGTCATAATAATTTTTGCCTCGAGTAATTTCACTTCGGGTCTGAACTAAAAGTAGTTTACCAAGGAATTGTCTGATTATACAAAATATTGCTATTGTGCTCTTTACCATTCAGTGTGAAAATTACTAGATTATTCATCAATCTATTATGGGCTACTCAATGTATACATCGTAATAATCACAGATACACACAAAAAAAAATAGACACCAAGACTCCCAAAGTGTGCAAATATGGGCAAGCCAGACATGCATGGATTAGACGTGGTATAGACATAGAGCACAAAAAGAAAAGCAACTCAGCTCAATCTATCAATCCCACGCATCACCCCAGTCATCGTCAATCTCTTCGTCTTTGGGCTTAGTGTCAATCTTCTTAGGCGCAACCAAAGTGCGTGGCTTGACTGTGCTTGCAGCCGAAGATCGTGTAGTAACATTGTTGGTAGATGCAGCCTTGGTCAGACCCTTCGGTAGGGGGTTCTTAGCCTTTGTTTGGTTCTTTGCTGCTAGCCAGCCGGCAAAGTCTGGCTCGCCTCCATCGTCATATGGGACCTTCGAGGCTGTTGTTGATGTCGGAGCAGGTGATGTGGGTTTGGGAGAGGTGACAGCCGCAGTGAATGGATCTTCTTCGGCCTCATCGTCGTCCATTGCTCCCCAAGCATCGAAAACGTCGTCGCCATCGTCTTCTGGTTCAGGTGAGTGGACTGCTGGGGCGGGGCGGTCCGACATTGATCTGTTCAAGGGCTGAGCTGTAGGGCGGAGAACTTGTCTTGGCAGATCAAGCTGAGTTGATGGGGAGGATTTAGCAGGGCGGGGGACGGATGCCGAGCGAGCTGTTTCTGGGTCGGCGGGTTTGCTACCATTAGCTGTTGATTCCATCTCGCCGTTGGCAGCTGCGACTTTGTTTGTGAAGGATGAGATGGCCCAGCCCGCCCAGGAGCTTTCGTTGGGAGTTGCGACGCGGACGTCTGGTTTCGCTTCTGTTGGTGCGGTGGGTGGGATGACGGTGTCGACCATAGTGTTGGCATGTTTTCGGACTCGCTGGATGTATATGTCAAGGGTCTTGTTTGCTTGGTCTCGAATCAATCTGCTAAATTGTTAGGACAGGAAACCAGTGGGGGACTTGAGGTGTATTGCTCACTTTTCCTTATCCAGAAGTGAAGGACAAACGGCAGGGAGAATCTTTGCAGCACAGTCATCCTCTGTGAACACATCGATTGTCGCGGATAAAGCAAGCAGTCCTGCAACCCGAGCGTGCGCAAAGGGATCCCTGAGAGATCTCGTGAATGCTGCGATAAGTACCTTGGAGCGAGTCTCGAGAGATATTAGTCATAACTCTTAACGCAGCGAGCAGTATACATACACTTTGTCCCAGGTTTTTAGCAATCCGCCCAAGACAAATCGTTGTATTCGTGCGGATGCCAGGTTGCTCATCATTGGCTGTGCGTGCGAGGAACTTCAGCAGTTCTCCGTTCACAATACGATCATTGAGCTTGTTAATAATGGTAAGAACAGCCTTGACGGTCTGTTCACGAACCACAGGAGCGACGTCGGTGAAACCGGAAGTCTGGGAGATGTTAGTTCTACTCAAGCTGAACGAATGAATGCGCCTACCATCTGAGGAAAGATTTTGTCATTGACGACCTTCTGAGGGAGGTTGTCAATCATGGAAGGTAAGTTGTCCAGAAGACAGACTCGCAAAGCTCGGTCAGGGTTTCCGAAGAGGCGCACAACAACAGGAGTCAATTTAGCATTGAACTCATCTGCCGACAACTTGGATCCAATCTTCAAAGTAGCACTGAGGACCTTGGGCCCACCACCTCCAAACTCGACGGATTTGAGAAGTTCTGGAAGCAACTTCATCTTAAAGAAGTCTTCAGGGAAGTCTTCGGACAGGCCATCAAGCTCACTAATTCATGTTAGTCGTCGCAAAGTGGTGCATAAAATCTTCGGGGAACGCATACTTGATAAACTCTTCACGTTCAGCATCGGTCTTCAGTCCTAAACTGTCGATATCCTCAGTCATGCGGATAAGCGGCGTCTGGAAGAAACCACCGTGCTTCTTTCCCTGTTCAACAAAATGACCAGGGCTCAAGCGTAGCTTCGGGTTAGCAGTGCAAAGTCGCTTATAGCTTTGTTGCATGCTTGGAGGTATGTTTGTCGTCTTGCCAACTTGATCGCCGCCAGAAAAGTTACCATTAAAGACCTCGAATATTAAGATTCCCAGCCCGTAGGCGTCAACTGCTGTGAGAGGGTGGCTCTTAATAGTATCCCAGCCACCTCTCACAACCTCCGGGGGAGTGAAGCGTGCAGCATCGGGCATAATGCTTCCGTATGTCTACAAAAACAGTTAGTATAGGGTTCTAACCAGGCTGCTGAATAGCAAGCTATACTGACATATATAATAGCATCATCCTCCTTCATGGAGCTCAGAATTTCAAATCCTCCGAGCTTCCATTCGCCGCTCTCGCTTGTGAAAACCGATGATGCGCGTACGGCGCCGTGAACGGAGGAGGCGTCCTCATTGATAAACTTGAGAGTAGACTATCCAAATCAACTGTTGTCAGCGAGATAACAGCAACGCGTCCGAGATAATCTTACCGCGACAGTATACAACCCCCATTTTGCGGTCTCTTCGTTCAAACTCCTCCGTTTCACGGGCCAGGAAAGTGGCACGACTCGTTCGGTAACAATATACAGGTTCGTTTCCGTCTGTCACATTGTAAGCACCTATCACCACCTGCCATAGCCTCAGGCCCCATATATGGTTCCTTTGTAGCTCATACCTCAATGGTATCCAAGACCTTGATCACACCGGGGTGCCGTAGCGTCCTGAACTTGCGGGCAGCATTTTTTGCTAGCGGTAGGCGCGACTTGTTCGCGTTGATATCGAAAGAGAACACACTGCAGGAGGAACCGTCATCCTATAGTACACGCAGGTCGAACTGGTTAGCCATTGAACCATCCCGCATGAGCCAAGCAAGTCGCCGTACCCGTTTCGTGCCGTTGTGCAGTGCCCAAACTGAGTCGCCGATGTCCACTCTATCGCCAAGAGAGAAAGGTTGCCCTGTGCCTTTTGCGATGGCGGACGCTACGGCTGATTTGAGGAAATCCATCGTTATGGGGTATGTGTTGGCAGTTCGGGGATTGTTTGGGGTCGCCCGGGGTGCGCAAGAGGGGCGGCCAATTGCCAGGTATATCTGTGACCGGTATAAAGGTCGAAAATCGAAGCGGAACAGATAATTAGAGACAGACCAGTTGTGTCAGACTCAGTACTCTTCACTCCGACTTTGTCGTGAAGAACAAACTGGCTCCTTCAGCCCCGCCTTATCGCGATAATAGTTTCTGCCTCAGGCCGCATCACGAAATAAATACACTTTTGGCTGACAGCGTCACTTTGCTCCCCAATTCACTTTTCCACGCGTCGAATGTTGTCTGCAGTCCATTCAAATCCGATACTCATTATCTCATGCTTACTACACCTAGCACTAATATAGTTACCAACCCTCAACCTATCCACTGACAAGCTACAGCAGGCAAGTCTCCTTTCCTTCTTCCACGCGTTTCTACAACGCAAAGTCCACTCCGCGACATCTGTCGCTCCTCCTATGATGAAAATTTTCTGGTAAAAGGTCGGACCTCGCTACAACAACCGCAAGGACTCATTTCAGCTCCCGATGGTACTCTCCGCAAGCTCCATCCCAAATCGCCGCGAGCAGGTCCTAGCTCGAATACTAAGGCCGCCAACCAGGCACGCTTAGCCCACCGTTTCTTGCCAGCAGGAGGTATCCCCGTCTGATGGAGCAGCTAGTCTCACGGCAAAGCTGTGCTCGTGCTGCAATCTGCGCTTTCTCGATAACAGCGTCGGTTCACACCAAACCTGAAGTTTTCTTTCACTCTTCAACGCAGAACACATACATCTCTATGAGGGCGGTCCTGGCTACAGCTCAATGGCTGAACCCCGCGTTGAGACAAAGCGGCGTGCGGGCGTGGACTCTTGTGAGACTTGGTGTACATATACGCTGAAGTCCGTCTTGGTGTTTGCACAACCCGAGAAACGGTTCGGCGTCCGCCGCAATATGGGGTTCCTGTGTCCACTTCACTTCCATGAGGACGATAGGAGCCAATGGCTGTGGCGGATAGGATCGAGGGAATACTGTCATGCAAAGTATATCACGAGGGTGAACCTCGTTTTCGTGCTTTGTTTGGTTCCAATCTGCTGCGAAGAGTGTTGGGGGATTGAAGGGGCGGTTTGATCGATGCTGGAAATGGGGGCGCGCTTGTGGTGAGGGCTGGGGGTGTGTGGGTTCTTGATCCCTGGTACCTTGGAATTTGATCTGGGCTTGTTCATGGTCGGAGGGTTGATCATGGCTTGTGGCAGGTAAAGCACCGCGGTGAATGAGACGTGGTCTGGTTGCTGTTGCTCGGATGATGATCATTTTCAAATTATACTGAGGAGATTCCTGTCCTTTGATGTTTCATTCTGGAATTTTCGAGGAACTGGCAGCTAACTTCTTTTACAGTTTTAGGTTATATTGATGGGGCTAGGAGTGCTTTTCATGTTGAGACTTGATAGTGGCCCTCGGAAACAATAGCCATCACATTTCCGTTCGACTAAAGATAATGATATCACGTTATGGACCTCATTGTTCTATCTTAACTGCTACTTACGAAAGAGGTTTGCCCCCAATTGCACCTTCCTCGTCGTCTCCGACTGAGACCTCACTCTCTCTGGTGGCCCCGTTGGACCATAAATCTGCCCTGAGGCGGCCTCGGAAGATAGCTTGTATTTTGTCCCCAGCCCTCTGCTTGGGGTGGACCCTGAGGGTAGTGTCTATATGACATGGCAAAGTTGTAAAAATCGTTCGGATCGTCGGGGCACTCAAGTGAATTGAAGGTATATGTAGGCTATCAGCCCTACCACTTGATCTCTCGATGTTCTCGAAACGATCCGCTAGTTTTCTCGTATGACGGGAGACAGAGTTTCTATACCGGATTTGCTTTGAGGCAGGTTCCGCATTTTGAAAATGTGTGCTGTTTTGCGCAACGACTGCTGTGGGAACCGTTGAGTTCCACTGGGTTAGCACTGGCTTCCCTCAATCCAGCATAAACCGAACCCCTGGAACTATACCAACGCTAACAAAAGACAACGGCAAAAATGCAAAAGCAAACATTTCAACCGAGCTCCGAATCCCTCAAGGTCTTCCGCGTACGCTCAACAAGAATACCAGTATACTCGCCGTCCTCGTACCCAGAAGAAGAATAAGAAGAAGAAAAAGCCCACCACTCAACTTGTCCACTAGTAAAATACCCAAGAAACTTCTCCATAGAAGAAATATGCAACCTCAAATTTTACCTCAGGATGGTAACATTAGATATAGCCCTATGCAACCTCCTAGTTTAATGCAATGTCGACGGACACAAACTAGCCTGTTAAGCATCTGCATCGCGTCCCACCAGATCCTACAATACAACACCCCATACCTCCGACCAATCGCCGCAGGATTGGAAGAGGTCGATGTAGATCCAAAGCAGGGAGCGAAGAAGGCGAGCGAGGAGCCATGTATTCTCCGGACCGGCGAGGTGGGTTTCTAACCGTGGGAGCATGGATAGATTTGGCATGTAGAGGATTATCATTAGTTCTGCTGGGGGTCAGGCTTTATCTAGTCTGGACGAAGGGCAGATTAGGCTTGCTGTGCCTTGGAAGCATAATTTTCGGTCTTCGAAGTCTAGGGCTGGTGTTGGGGTGTCTTTTTTATCGGAAGTTGTTGTTGGGTAGTTCAGAAGGGAAGTGAAGTCTATCGATTGGTTAGTAGATGACAAGTATCGAAATTCGGTATTGTATGTATATTTTATCTTGTTGGACTTTATCATGAGACGGCAACGCCGCAACGCTCTGTCCCTGACCTCCACGCGGATTAAAGTAATTGAATAGATCTACCGAGGATATCAAGAAATAAGCCATCAGAAGGATCAGCGAGACTGGCACAGACGACACTAATAGATTGTTATCCATCGCCATTGCCATAGATCAATCATCTAAATCCCGTCTAATAAGGTCACTCACATAATGAAACCCGATCTTTAAAAATACACAGCTCAAGTTTCTTCCTCAAATACGAACCAACTTTCTCAAATGTAGGATCTTTAAAAAGATCAGCCTCGAAAGGCGAAGTATTAGATTTCGCCGTTAGATCTGGATCTTGGGGGCGAAACGTGGTTGGTTTCGATGGCTGTGGTGTTCGGTTAACACAAATGGAGTTTTGGTGTATTTTGGAGGCTAAGTGATTACTTGGCTACTTAGTGTTTAGTTTGCCTGAATTAATTGTTATATTGGTGTCTCGCGAGATCATGGTTTAATTTGACATGCACTAAATCTGGCAGGATATAAAATCAATGCCCCAATTTGCCCAGCCCTATTTGGCCCCTGCCCATCGTTAGCAGTTTCTGATCCACCAAGACAGCCATACCTGCATAGGTTGATAGATGTAGATGTACAATGCAAGTATTGAGATAGGGTTTCCCAGAACCACTCACCCGAACCCTATTTCGACACCATCCCTATTTAAGTTAGGTCTACATCTTGACATTTGGATGGTGTATCCTGATTACATCTAGTCTTTACCGAAATCCATATAATATAGCCATTTCATTTCATCTCATGAACCTAGAGGCGTCGTGAAGACCACTCACCCCATCTCTGACCATCCCCTTCAACTACTCTGCTCCGTTCCCGTCTCCTTGTCTCCAGATAACCACCACCCATCTCCCTCCACTGTCAATACGAAAGACATCCCCAACAAGCCTCACTCCCGTTCCTATGGATTGAGGGTTTGCAGGTTCATATGATGAACCCACAACAGACCCCAATCTCCATTGAGAACAAAGCAAGACAAGGCTAATAAAAAGAAAAAGAAAAGGAAAGCGTGCTAAAGAAAAACCGGAAGACGGGATATCCCGATACTGACTGAATATCCTCAAGACTTGAGACTACCCACACTGGGGGAAAAGTTGCAGACCATGGGAAAAGGGTATGAGGCGATGTACTGAATTGGGTGTCATATATCACCAGGGAATTGGCCTTCATGTACATCGCCAAATTGCTATCTATAGATTAGATAGGCGCAACGAGTAGCTTGATATCTTCGAGTCTGTTAATCATGAGCAAAGGTGCCACAAGCCGCGGAACTACTGAACGTACCTGGACAGTCTTGAGACAATGTGAAGTTCGGCGCAGACTTCATCCGGTGAGGGACACGCCATGACGGCAGATGACAGACGAAGATGCGCTCTGGGATAGGAACCGCGTATTTGAGATGGCCACCAGCAATGCACAGCGCTGGTAGGTCACAGCGGAGAGGGATGATAAGATGGAGCATCATTCAAAGGGGCACGGCCCAGGGGGTTCATGATTCGTGTATTTCATTTGCCTTCGTCTGTGGCCTCGGCGGAATGAGAAGCTCCGGAGTTCGGTGTGTTGCTAGACATCTGAGAGGGCATTTGGGGCATTTGGTTGAACCCGTTACTGGGTGTACGGTGTTGGTTGGGATGGAAGTGATGTGACTGATGCGGGCTGGAGGAGAAATGAGGTTGCTGCGGGTAATTGCCACGGTTGGGAGGCACTGGTTTTGTGTTAAAGGCGGGAGCTGTGGGACTGGGAACGGCGGGCTGACTCACTGTGTCCAGGCATATACATCATCGGTTGCGGGGGTTGTCCTGACTGCGAGTTCTGGTGCATCATCATGGGCGCACCGCGGCTCGGACTGGGGTATCCGCTATGAGGCTGAGGTGCAGGTGCATGCGGGTATGCATGGGCGGGAGAGGGGGAGTACATAGGCATCTGTTGGTTGTATGGACCCATACCCTGTGGAACTCCCATGAAGGGTCCATTGGACGGCTGCTGCACCATCATTGGAGCTTGCGGGTTCACAAACTGGGGACCGCCCTGGTAGGGTCTCATTTGACCACCTTGAGGGTTGCCATAGAAGGGGGGCATCGGCTGCCCAAAGGCCACTTGGGCTGGGGGCGCCATAGGAGAAGGGTATCCAGGTTGCATTCGGGGAGACGGGAAGACTCCAGAGTTCGAGCCAGACATGTGCATGCGATGGTCGTCGACGTGGGGGGGCCCGTGATGACCCTGAGGATGGAGGTGTCCGCCATTGGGGCCACCAGAAGCAGGGAGACCGGGGTTTCCTTGCTGGAAATGGAAAGACATCCCGTGCTGCTGGGGAATGTTTGGGTTGTTGGATACGGAGCGTCCCTGAGCCGAGGACGGAACAATAGGTTGTTTGAACATTTGATCATATGTCTTTTCCTCGTTACCCTCAATAGTGTCCCAGGTCGGCAAAGTCTTGTACGGGGGTGGAATTCCATCGTTGAAAATGTATGGCTTCTCGGTATGTCCTGCGCCCTCCTTCTTCATGCGCTTGATTGGATTGAACTGGTCCTGGAGAGAAGGTCGCTCCGAGATGGGCTGAGGCTTCCTTGGGCCAAAAAAGGCAGTGGGAGTGGCTGTGCGAGACACGGAACGGCTACGAGAGAAAGGCCGTGGGCTAGCAGTTGTGGCTGAGGGAGCACCGCCAGGGGTGAAAGTACTCGCTGCGGGGTTTGGCTTGAACTCCATAGCCCGAACGTTGAACTTGCTGGATGCAGAAGATCCAGGTCCCTGCGACTTGACAGGGCTAGTGATTCTGTGCTGGTCGCTAGCAGGACCAGTGGGAGGCCCGCGAGCATCCTGGATGGGAAGCGGAGCAGGAACAGGAGCCACACCAGCGCCCTTTCGCTGCTGTAGATTGTCTGCTAGGCGGTGACCAAGCATACCAACACCGGGACGTCCGGGTTGAATAGGTTGCTGGGGGAAACGTCCGTTAGGTCCAGCAAGAGGGCCTGTAGGAGGATAGCCCTGTCGAGAACGTTGGTAGTTTTGGCGATCAGCCGGAGCGACAGGAGGGACAGCACCAGTAGGTCCAGTACCACGAACAGGAGGCTTCGGTTCGGTAGGAGGCGATGTGATTTTAGGCATATCCTTTTCATCCACCCCCTGTTGCTGGGCTTGCTGAGCTCGCTGGATGATTTCCTCTTGCTTCATGCGGTCCTTGGCCAGAATTGGGACAAGGTCCTTGGGCACAGGAGTAGAAAGCTTGAAACTCTTTGAGAATTTCATTAGCTCGTTGAGTTTGACAGTGCGATCATAGGAGGCTTGATTGCGACGACGCTCTTGCATCTTGAGCTTCTCGCTGTTGGCAAATTGGCGGAAATGATCCAGTACCTCTGTCTCCACATTCGCCGTAGCATTTTCGGCAGAAGGACGCTTGACCGCGGGAGGACCAGGCGAGAAAGCCTTGGCTGAGGCGCTCCCACTCTCAATTTCGGCTGAGGGTTGCAATGTGGTTGGCTCAGGCTGCTGGGCTGTGGGTGTCTCCTTCTTTGTAATGGAAGGAACAGATGCAGGGGGGGCGGCCTGCTTGGGAGGTGCGTTGGTAGGCTGGGGAGCAGCTTGCCGGCGCCCAGGAGGGGTATATTTATTTGGCTGGCCAGAGAGCAAAGGAGGGAAAGCCTTCTCCTCGCGGCGAACACCACTGTACTTGTCCTCTTCATCTTGATCGCCAGTGGCAGGTTCCACCAGACCGCGCTCTTCACGCAGGTGAGAATTGTCCGAAGCGGAGCCCTCAATTTCAGCCGCGATACGAGATGCCTTTTCGAGCGCAGCCGAGTAACTAGGATCAGTGCGGTCGAGATGGGTGGTATAGATGCTTTCGTTGTAGTCGCTCTTAAAGCCGGTAAGCCGCTCGTTTGTCTCGAACTGATCCCATCCGGCGGCACTGTTACTGGTCTCAATTGACATATCGACATCGTTCTCAGAAGGTTCCCAGCGCTGTAGTGTACGCTCGCGCATGGCGAGGTTTCCGGAAATGTCGCTGTCGGTCCTGAATCCCTGAGAAGCACCTGTAGGTGAGGTTAGTGCATGTAATATGTGAACGAATCACAATAGTCAACGCTTACCATTGGACACCTTAGCCGAGACTTCAGCAGTAGTGACATTGGGTACAGAGATGTCCGCAATCTCCCGGATATCAAATTGCATGTTATATTCAGGTCCACTGCCCAGATACGGGACCGCGACGTCGCTCACGCCGTTTGTTGTGAGTTGGTCCTCCTGGTCAGCGCGCTGGACCATCTTGAGCGTGAAGGACGAGTCATTTGACTCCAGGGTCGAGTTAGAAAATATACCGCTAAGCTTCTCTCCGGCCTTTGTAGTAATGGTGGTTTGTAGTCCCTGAACTGGTTAGAATAGGCATTGTGCACGGCATTGCGACAGATGCTTACAATGAAGCTGGCGAACAAAAAGACCAGGCGATCATGGGCATGGCTGTCAGGAGTGTTCGATTCCTTTTGGTTTGGCCGTGGAGAGCCAGACTGGCCCCGGTGGGCCATGTTTCCGTTGGATGTGGAGTGGGAGGATCGCTGGGTGATAGGGTTGGTGCCTTGGGTCCAGGCCTTATGAGAGTTGGAGCGCCTGTGTCGCAGAGTATGCATGTGTTAGCAGATTATCATCCAATCCAACTAATGATGATGGCAGTGCTGTGGACGGATCCAACACTTTCAATTGGCGCCCTGAGGCACATGATGTGAGTAACCCCAGCTAGAGGGGCTCCAACAGCATGGCAGGAGCAAGGCCACCGTGGAACATGATCCATTACAAGTAGTATCTCAACTCTAAAAGAGAAAGTCGCAGGCATATCCTCAAAGCGACTGGTGGGGGGAAGGGTTGAACGTACCGTGCACCACCGTCGACTGGGCTACCAGACTGGCGGCGGTTGTCAGACCCCTTGGTACTGTTGGAAGGTCTCAGAGTAGAACGACCAGAGTGAGAGCCAGAGTTGGCATTGCCAGAGGCATTCGCCGTTGGCGCAGAGTTCAGAGCAGACGCCATGTTCACTTAGGTGAAGCTGTGGAACGGGAAGCCACGAAGATGAGGCACGAAGCCACACCGCCTGCACAAACAGGGAAAGAGGGGGGAAATAAGCAGCACCAGCGCGTGGGTGTATCAAGAATGAGAAAGTGAGCGGAGGAATGGAATGGGAAGAAAAGAAGGAGTCGCAAGTTGATGGATTGTTTGGGGGGAAGTCACGCGTATGGTATGGTACCGTGTTACCGCTTCAATTGCGTCGGGAACGTTATGCGTAGATATCTTCATTTTGTATGTGCCACTTGCTTTTAAAGTGAACATGGGCATTTTCGTAGACAATTTGAGATCTTATATACACCATTTACTACAAAGTAAAGACTATGCACTATATTAGAGCTTCACATTTTGCATGTGCTATCCCTTATGAAGTGACGACTCGATATATTATTCGTAGACAGTATCACTTTTTATATAGATCACCTGCTACGGAGTAAACTTTTCATCATCAAAGTACTTTTCTGGTTTTGAATATCACCCGCTACCTATGTGAAGACCATGAACTTTAATGTATAGAAAGCTTCACATTTTGTATAGGCCACCTGGTAAATGATAAAGAACACACACGTTGCTCGTGGACAGCCTCATATTTAGTATGACTTATATACCACTTGGTATTAAGTGAGGACTAAAGGCGTTACTCACAGACAGCTTTATAGTTGATATGTGTCGCCCACTATTAGGTGAAATCTACTCGTATCCGTAGATAGTCTCAGATTCTACATATACCACCCGTGATCGAGTGAAGACCATATCTGTTATTGACTCACTTTCATATTTGAAATAAGCCACCCGCTATCCGAAGACATGTACTTCCACGTCCTACGCTCTTAGAATATTAATATCTCTACCAATTTGTGTGAATGTGCGTTCCTCCAACCCTGTACTTTTCCAAATACCAATAGAAACGAACCAACCCGCATGTCCGCAGTACATGACGTGACCATTTGTCCTGCAATCTACATGTGTGAGCCGCACTTGGTTTCTATGTATATTTGTATGCGATTACGTTATTCTTCCCCTGTTTTGCTCAGGTTTTAAGATGTATAACACGTTAACCCATACTGGGGTCTGTACTACTACTATAGTAGGTGTAGACCCATGCCTAACCTATACAATAGGGTAAATGCTCAGTACCCTGACTATGTGGATAAACGCGGGTCTTGCCGAATGCCAGACTAGTCCGACTTGAGACTTTCTAAGCCTTTGTATGGCTGTAATTCGCTACAATGGATGCATACCGGGAATATAGGGGAACTAGACGCACATGTGATGCTCTGCGATTACTTAACTTAACCTAAGTATATTCTACTTCGTGCCCAATATTAAACTAACGCGCTGGCCTGGTCCCTGATACATTACATTGTATGGTAATAGAGAATACAGTGATAACGCCGATCAGCTGTGCAGACGCGGTAAGGTGGAGGCTGGGCATCATCTTCTTCCCTCCCTCTTTCCACCTTTCCGATGCAATCCTCAAGTCTCCCCTATCCTGGAGAGCCGGATCAACAGACTTCTCCCCAGCGACCCTCGGTGTCTGGATCCGCATCCATGTCTTCACAACAATCTGGTCGCAGTTCCTCCGCCTCGTCTCGGTCACAGTCAAGCAAGAACCCGGTATGTACTTTTGACACTCAATTACTTGCACTGGCTAACGAGTCATTCATTGCCACATAGCCCGATAAACAAATATCTCAAATCGAAAAGAGCGTAACACATCTATTAGTCGCGACAAAACAACTCCTTGAAACTCTCACACAATGGTCCCGCAAGCAGGCCTCGGAAAACGATGTTTCGGACGTGTACGTGCGACTGGGTTATGAGTTCAACCTGGCCTGTAGGGCCTTTAGTGCTATCGGCGTCGATACCTCCGACCTGGGCCCTGTTCCTGACCTCCTCCGGACCATCCTTGAAGACACCCTCAGCCAAGATGCCTCCGCGCAAAGCCTCGATCGATATCTCCCCCGAATCCGCGATATCATAATAAATCTTCTCCATGGACTCAAGAAGAAGCAGGCTCGTTTACGCTCACGGCAGCAACGCGATGATGGCAGGCCTTCGACAGGGCGGCAGGCCAGTGCGGGAAGCATCGCTAGCGGACAGGCCATCGGCCAGCTGTATGATGAAGCCGCAGCCTCTACGATGCCATCGACAGCCCAGTCCCCGAAACGATCTAACCGACGATTTGGTAGCGGTGGCTCTCTGGAGGACCAACCGGCCATCAATCGAACTTCTTCGGCGCCTTCGGCGAGTGACACACGGGGCAGCAGCTACACCGAAAGAGAGACCTCTCGGCGAGAGGCGCAACAAATGCTCTCTCAGCCCTCCCCCATGGAGGGTGACACAACCCCTCGGCCAGCTAATACCCAACCCCCTACCTATACAACCCCGACTGGATTCCCTGCACCTCCACCCCCCCCACCACCACCACCAAAAGAGGATGATGCACTGGGCGCCTTACAGCGAAGCGGCGAGCTTGAACGACGTGCATCTCGTCGATTCTCCGCATACCAGATCCAGAAGCACTTGGGCACCTCCACCAACGGTGTTCCCGTCCTCCCTACCCAAAATTCTCCCATCCCCAACCGTGGCCGCGATGTCCGTGAATCGCTAAATGCAGTTCGCCTTCGAGGTTCTTACACTCACACAAGACAACGATCCAACAACCGTCTCCAAGAAGCCGCCAAGGGCGCACAGGCGCAGACACCTGCAAAAATTCCGGATGTGGTGAAGGAGGAACCAACACCGCCATCTACGGCGCAGGCTCCAGAACCAGCTGCTGAGACTGCACCCGAAGCGCCCGAGAAGGATGATTCCGGGAGCAAGCACAACTCCGGAGAATCCGCTATTGTTCCGCCTCCAATCGTCCCCCAACCCCAGGAGAAGTCGCTCGAGGAAGCCTTTGAGCCCGCGAAGCCAGCACCGCAGACTCCCAAGGGTGACATCTTCGGACCATCCCAGATCGCGACACCTCCTTCGGCTGCGCAATTTTCTACTGAACAGCCTTCGCCCGGTAAGGAGCTTACATTGTTCCTGCAATACAAGAGCAAAATCAAGAAGTATGTCCTCCCGGATGGCATTGCAGAACTTACAATTGGACGTCTACAACTTGCATTCATTGAAAAATTCGCCTGGAACACCCACGACAACGGCGTGGACCTGCCTGAAATCTACATCCAAGACCCAATTTCAGGTATCCGTCATGAATTGGAGGATCTCAATGATGTAAAGGACCGGTCCGTCCTGGTTCTGAACGTGGACAACCTGGATGAGGTGAAGAAGCACTTTGACGACGGCCTTGGAAGCGTGCGTCTTCTCGTGGAAGGTGTCAAGGAGGCTCTCTCTGGCCAGGGAAACGCCATCCAACGAGTTTCAGAACGCCAGGTCGAGGCTGCCAAAGAAATAGCACGCCTGGCTGCCGCCCCTCCCAAATCGGCTGCCACTGGCTCGAATGCAGTGGTTGCTGGAAGTGGTAGCCAGCTCGCAGAACTACAAAGCTTGCGTCGTGACCTGGCTGTTTTGCGACAGACCTACTCTAACTTTACGGCAGATGTCAATACCTCAATGAGTGCTGTTCGTGCCAAGGCAAGTAAGGTCAAGACTGCTGCCGAAGACGTCACCATCCCATCATACGAAGGCGACGCCGGCCGGGCTCGCGTCAACACCGGCAAGAAGGAGCTTGCAGGTGAATCCGAGCGATTGGTCGCTCGTGTCGATGATCTCCAAGACTTGGTTGAGGATCTCCGTAAGGACGTGGTCACCCGTGGTGTCCGTCCTCTTCCCAGACAATTGGAGGGTGTCAGCCGCGACATCAGCACAGTCATGAAGGAGATCAAGAAAATGCAAGACTTCTTGGGCCGCGAGAAGCCCATTTGGACCAAGATTTGGGAGAAGGAGTTGCAGTTGGTTTGCGAGGAGCGAGACCAGCTTACCATGCAGGAAGACTTGGCTGCCGATCTACAAGACGATCTCGAGAAGGCTACCCAGACATTTGCATTGGTCGAGCAAGCTACCAAGGAGCAAGTCATGTCCAACGGAACCCCCGGCAGTGCGGCACGTGCTCCATCTCGGACTCTTGGAATTGATCCCACTGTCGACCCAATGAAGGCCAAGGATGGTGTTCTTGGTGAAGTCCGCGCCTTGCAGCCCAACCATGAAAGCCGACTTGAGGCGATTGAACGAGCAGAGAAAGCTCGGGCGAAGGAGCTCGAGACGCGACGAATTGGCCTGTTCCAGAAGGAACTTGGGGCCTTTGTTGAAGAAGGAAAACTGAAGAAGAGTGGTGGTTTCGAAGAGACTGAGCGCCTTCGCACTGCCAAGGATGATCGCATCCGAAGGGAAGTTTGGGAGAGGCAGCAAGCACGTAATATTGAGATGGCGAGATTGGAGGCGGAAGCTATCGCTGCTCAGGCTGGACAGACTACCGAGGCCAAGGAAGAGGGTGAGGGCGATGGTGGTGATGGTGATGCCCAGGAATCGGGTGACACCGAGAAGGCAGCCGACGATGAAGACGCCAAAGAGCCAGCGAAGGAGGACTCGGCGAGCGATGAAAAGCCACTACCGGCCGAACCTGAGGAAAAGAAAGAAGGCTCCGACGGTCTCCCCTCTTCGCCTGCCTTGCTCTAGGCATACTCATTCATCCCCAATTCCCGACAGCTCTGCCCGTCACCAGCCATTCCTTACCAGCGATTTCATACTTTGTTCAGGTGAACCACACCACACCGCATCGGTTTCCTAGATGTTTTTGTTTCTTTCTGCATCGGACATGGCATCGGGGCTCTCATTTCGCATGTCCTTTTAGCGAATCCTTCGGCGTGTTTCCTGTGCCGGTCCTTGCAGTTTGGATTTCTCATGTCATTTACTGACGATACCCTACCACACTCTGTGGCTTCCTGCATTTAGTCCTTGATTTTGAAATGATATGAGACATGCTTGTTGTTGTATGTATCATGTAATGTGTAAGTTAACATAGTACGTGCGCTGGACTTGACTCGATTCACTTGTACACATGAATCTACCTGTAGTCAACAAATAACAAATAACCCATGTAATAAAGAACAAACCAACACCCGATTGGCCAAACAAACAAAAGCTGCACGAGGCTCAAGCCCAAACTAGCGCCTGCACCTCGCCTGCACAGATCCGAAACCCCAGCCATCGGAATTGACCAAGCAGGTTTCTTTATAGATCAGCCCAACCCTCCCAAAGATTTTCAGATCTGTAGATCTATCAACGTCCCTCAACATCAAATCCATACCCACACAGTACAAACCCAGGATCCACTTTAAGGCTTTGTTTTGTCAACAATCAACATCGGGTACCAAGACCAAAACCAACACCAAAACATATCCAAACAAAACCGGCTCAGCACAAGATTTCTGTTTCGACTGGGTCATTTACGGTTTCTCAGATTTATCCCGTACTAGACACGGACCGTTCGTTCGACACGGTCACCAGTCACAGCTCCGCAATTTCAGCTCTAGCTTGTATTTCAACACAAGAGACGGATTGGAATACGATCTACAACAACTAGCGGTCTACCCCAGGTAGCCATGCATCTCATCCCACTCCTGAGCGTATGGCTGTCAATATTAGACACAGCACAAAGCGCAGAGTCGTCAGCAGGCCCAGTGTTGAGATCTAATGGAAATGGCACATCAACAACAATAAAAACAACACCATCCTCACCGGCAGAGTTCATCCTGCACCATGCTATCGCATCAAAGTTAGCTTCCGGCCCTGCGAGCGGCGTTCGAAAGATGAGCGCAGACGAAGGCGAGAAATTCTTCTTTGAGGATTGGTATTTCGAGAATCAGAATGGGAATTCAGACTCAGCGAGTGGATTGCGATTACGGGGTCGGGATTTGTATCATCGGGATTGGAATGGGAGTAGTAGTCTCTCTACAGAACCCGATACCGAAGATGGTGAGGAAGATGAAGATGAATACGACTACACATCCGCCCAATTCATCGCTCAATCATTCCCATTCGAGCCTTCTTTCTCTCAACTCTCAGGCGGGAGCTCGAACTCGGACTCGGACTCGGACACAGACTCGGCTTCTGATGCGCTGTTCCGTCTCGAAGCGCGAAACTTCGAATGTCCTAGTGGTACATCGGCATGTACATCCATCGGCCGATCCGATCGCTGTTGCGGCTCTGGAGAGACGTGTCAGATTGTCACTGATACCGGACATGGAACTGTCGGGTGTTGTCCTAGTTGGAAGAAATGTTCGGGGATGATTGGGTCGTGTGCGAGTGGGTATTCGGCTTGTGCTTCGGCTCTTGGGGGTGGGTGTTGTATTCCTGGGTATGATTGTGTGGCTGGGGGGTGTAAGTACTTTTTTTTCATATATCTCTACTCTATCGCGAAGGGTGATATACGGCGGATATGTGGATGGAAGATGCTAATTTGGGTCTGGTAGGTGCATACATCACTGTTGTTACTGTGACTGTTCATTCAACGGTTATGGTATCGACTGTGACATACTCGACTAGTCCGGTGCCGAGTACTGTCACCTCTTCAACTTCGTCTTCAACATCGACATCAAAGTCAAGTCAAACAACAGCAACCGAAACAACAGACAGTCTAGCTCCACCCGCTCGACCAACGAACCGATCGACAGCAACAAGCGTAACTACCGGCGACGACGTCTGTCCTACAGGATTCTACGCCTGTTCCGCCGTCTATCACGGAGGTTGTTGCCGCACAGGCCGCAACTGTGATACGACCTCATGCCCAACCACATCTTCTACAACTATGACATCGAACGGTGTGACGATCGTTGCGCCTGTTGCTTCTACAACAGAGAACGCTGGCGGCAGTGGGAGCAGAAACCGCTGTGCCAATGGCTGGTTTAGCTGTGCAGATACTGTAGGCGGGGGATGTTGTCCTACAGGCTTTGCCTGTGGTGCTAGCTGTACAGCGACTGATACTGCCTCTGCGACGACCGTTGCGAAGGGGCAGGCTACTAATGGAGCGGGGATTGGACGGGAGATATCGAGGGTTATACTTGGAGTTGGTATTCTAGGCGGGTTGTTAATGTAATTAGCCATAGAGTAATGAAGTGATGTCCGTAAACAGCAATTCAATCCGTGGAATGTTCCCCCATGGGGTCATTAGTAATCGGGCTAAACGCAGCACCGGTTGCTGTTCTCGGATCACCGAATCTCGCCGACGTCGGTAACCTTCTCTTCTCCTCACTTCACTTCTTCACATCAGTTTTTAGGTCTTTGTGGTAAGTTGCTGGTTTTGTTTTACTTCTAGTTCCCTGACTTCCCCTCAATGCGCTTTCAATTCTTCAATCGTCCCATACTAACTGCCATACCGGCTGACAGGTCTCCGAGCCTCCGCCCATCATGTCCGACGCTCCCCAGAAGCCCCTTCCCTTCGTCTACCAGTTCGCCGCCGGCGCGGTGGCTGGTGTGTCCGAGGTATGTTGATCCATGCTTTCAAGCAGTTCCGACGCTCGATTGTTGTGTTGGAATCCCGCGATATGAATTCTGGTGGCTAATGCGTCCCCGCACGAGCAGATCTTGATCATGTATGCAGCTTCCTTGCTCTCTTTCTTGGCCTTTTAGGTCATATTCTTGCAGATATAGTTGGTATGATATTGGCAAAGGACTCAATTGACAATGCGCGGCTTGCAGGTACCCATTGGACGTGATCAAGACTCGAATGTAAGCAACTACCGGTCGCATAAGCAGGTCGCATGACATTGGCTAACCTTGTTCTTTTACAGTCAACTCCAGACCAAGACCGCTATTGCCGGTGCTGAGCACTACAATGGCATGTTCGATTGCTTCCGCAAGATTGTCAAGCACGAAGGGTATGTTATGGCCCAATGATCCGCGTTGGATATCGCTAATCAGCGATTACAGTGCTTCCCGTCTATATCGTGGTATCTCCGCCCCCATTCTGATGGAAGCTCCCAAGCGTGCGACCAAGTTCGCCGCCAACGACAGCTGGGGCACCTTCTACCGTGGCCTATTCGGCGTTGAGAAGCAGACCCAAGGCCTGGCTACCCTGACCGGTGCCACAGCCGGTGCCACCGAGGCATTCGTCGTCGTTCCCTTCGAGCTCGTCAAGATTCGTCTGCAGGACAAGGCCCAGGCTCACAAGTACAACGGCATGTTCGATGTTGTGAAGAAGATCGTCGCCCAGGAAGGTCCCATGGCCCTGTACAACGGTCTCGAATCGACAATGTGGCGCCACATCCTCTGGAACGCTGGTTACTTCGGCTGTATCTTCCAGGTCCGCGCTCAGCTTCCCGCCGTCGAGCCCGGTAACAAGAGTCAGCAGACCCGCAACGACCTGATCGCCGGTACCATCGGTGGTATTACCGGTACCGTCCTCAACACCCCCATGGATGTCGTCAAGTCTCGTATCCAGAACACCTCCAAGGTCGCCGGCCAGACCCCCAAGTACAACTGGGCCTGGCCCGCCATTGGCACCGTTATGAAGGAGGAGGGCTTTTCCGCTCTGTACAAGGGCTTCACTCCTAAGGTTCTGCGTCTCGGACCCGGTGGTGGTATCCTGCTCGTCGTCTTCACCGGTGTCATGGACTTCTTCCGTGGCATGCGTGGCGAGTAAATACATCCATTCTAGATGAATGTGAATGTGTTTGCGGTTGAATGTTGAAGGTGTTTCTCAAAAGCAGAATGCAATTTGTTACCCTACCATGGACCTTCCCCTGTCCCCTCACCCTGACCCTGACCCCTTTGCCCCGATACCCTCTTCGAATAGCCTTTTCATCTTGGGTTCAGTATTGATAGAGCATGTGCATGTGAAGAACGTTTTGATTCGATTTCTTGTCTCTCTATGCTCCTTGTCTTGATATATAACATGGTTGCGAGATACACATAGAAAACAAAGATTTCGTATTTCTTTCCTCCGATGCTTAGATTAGTAAATTGAGTAGCAGTCTACATGGCTGTGATGTATCAAAATTAAATTCGCTCCTGGCAGGAGAGCCAATTTTTAGATAATAGGAAAAAGGTCTAGTTATAATGCGACAGAAAATCAACAAGAGATTGCAGATATAATTATAAACTGCTTAAACAACAAACTAGAATGCAGTACACATAAAGCATACACCATCAAACCAACCCAACCCAACCCCTATCTAGACAATTACGCCCTCCTTATTCTCCGCAGTAGGACCATCTCCCTTACCAGAATCATCAACCTCAACCTTTTCCTCAGGCTCCCACATAGCCTCGCGCATAAACGTACTGCGCGCCCGAATCTGCGGACCCTTCATAACTAGCACAACAGGAACAACCGACAACGCAACCCCAATAAAGCCCAGCAAAGTACCAGCCCAGCCAAAACCAAGGTTACTAAAAAGCTGCGGCGAAGCCAACGGCAAGAAAGCACCAAACGAATTCCGGCCCAGCGAAGCTGCAGACAATGCACTCGCCGCGTAGCGCTCGTACGCATCAGTCAGGTAGTTCACGACCGCCATGTAGATCGAGTAAATGCCAATACCGGCAGCGGCGATACCGATCGTCGGGACAATCCAGTGGATATCGGGCTGACTGGCCCATCCATACCAGAATAATCCCGCAGCGAAGAGTAGACTACCTGGTATGGAAGTGTACAATCTCGCCTCAGGAATAGGACGACCGGGTTTCTCGGTATTGCGTCGCGAAGAGCGGAAATAGAACCAATCCTGCAGGGGATTGATGATCGTTCCGATGATTGCTCCGACTGAGATGGCTAGCTGCACCAATCCTGTTGCCAGTGTGCTCCAATTGTAGTTCGTGCTGTAGGTTTGCACTACACTGCTGAAGAATAGGTACAGGATTCCCCAGGCGAAACTGATCCATAGCGTGAAGAAGATTACCACCGGTTCGGTGGTTAGCATGCGTGTTGGGCGTTGGAAGGAGATTTGAAGGAGGCGGAATTTGCTTGGTGCGTCGATTTCGGCGGCAGCGTAGACTGGTTTTCCGGTTTCCTTGCGGATCTTACGTGCGCGCTTTTTGAGGATTACGTCTGGACGGGTTTCGCGGAGGATTACCCAGAATACTGGGATTAGGGCTGCGTTGTAGATGATTTGGATGTAGAAGATCCTGTGGTAGAATGTTAAATGGATGTTTCTTCTTTCTGAATTATATATCTTTTGGTTTGATATAGAAAGGCAGAGGAGGTGGGGAGGGGGGTACTCACCAACGCCATGGCTCAGGCTTGGGAATCTGCACAATAGCAGATCCAATGAAAGGACCCAATGCAATACCGACAACACTAGTAAAACCGAAGATGGACATCGGCAGACTGCGTGCATGCTCACCTAGCCAGACATCACTGATACTTCCACCAACGATGTTAATCGAGACGGAGGAAGCACCGCCACCGAAAAACCGGGTCACGACTAGGGTCGCGAAGTTCTTAGCGAATGCAGACGGGAACAGCGAGATGACTAGGATGATATACGCCACGAAGTATCCGGGCATACGACCAGAAGACTCGGTGAGAGGCACAAAGATCAAGGGCCAGAAGGCCGCGCCCATGTTCCAGGACGTGGTGGCCCAGTACAGGTTTGGGAAGGGAGAGTTCTGGACATTGAACTCTTTTTCCATCCAGTCGTTTCCGGAGCCATAGGTTCCGGCTGGGAGACCGGTTAAGATGGAGCTGTGAGTGTGTTAGTTATTGGTACTTTGTTTGAGTAAAGTCGGGTTGGAATGGGGGTTGTCATACATGAAGCAGACAGTGATGGTCAGCAGCCATTTGTACTTGATACCCCAGTTGAAAGGGTTCTCAGGATCATCAGGACCATCCCAGGTGTGAATGATGATATCCTTATAAGCAGGCATCTCAGCACGAACATCTTGGTTTATCAGTCCCTTGAGTCTGGGGTATCGTTAGTTCATGATTTCCCACGGGGAAAGGTAAGTCTCAAAATTGGGGTTACTGACTTGCCCATGAAGCCCGTAGGCTTGGGAACCTGCTTAGAAATTGGCGTTTCATCAGCAGGCTTAGATTCAACAGTCTGCTCAGTCTCATAGACTGAGTTGCCACGGATCTCATCTTGACCAGCCATGACGGAAATGTTGAAAGACTGCAAATGTCAGACCTGTCACATTAAAAAGCAAAGAAGAAAAAGAAAAACAGAAATTAAATAATATGCAGTAACAGGTCCGACCGGGATTGGCCGGGGCATCATTCTCAAATTTTACCAAATGCAATTTTCTCCAAAAATTGTTGGAACCTCATTCAATCCCGATGTCTCCGCTCGGCATGCCGAGAGCCAACAAGCGGTTGGGTCTCCCCTTTCGGGAACCCGGTCGGGAGTGGCGGACTGTTCTGATATTCCACCGACACTCCACTCTTCCTTGCTGGTGGAGCTTATTTCAAGAAGATTTCATCATTGCCTGCACAATATTGGGCGTTCTGGCTGACCGGTTCCTTCCACTTTGCCCAGACCGCGAACTACATTCAGTGCTCCCTGCCTTGATTTCACTGCCGAGGTTCCACCGCGCCAGGGATGCGCATGTTCCACTCTGAGCATTTTACATGTAATTATGGCTAGATTGATGGCGTCATATGCAGATTCGGAGGTCGGCTTACATTGAATGAAATGTTTGGTTAGCTGCTCACTAAATGAGGCGGAGTGTGTTTCGGTACTGGTAATCTCTATAGCTATAGACGGACAATTTGACACAGGAAATAGATGGGGTTGACAGTTTCGCAAACTTTTGAGCAGAATTTGATTTTTCTCAAAGTTTATATTGCATTAGTTGACTGTACATGTCCTCTGCTGTATGTAGCAGTCGGCCCGGCTATTAGGCACGAAACAAGGGATCATCATTCTACGCTATGTAAAATAGCCGGCAAGGGCATTCAAGACACGAAATGTTTCTAATTCCTTGATATCTCATAGCTAAGCGGCATTTATTGTCATCCGAACTGTTTAGCTGCCTGACTGAGACTCGGTGGAGAAATATGACGTAGATGCCGGTGAACTAAATTAGCACAAATTAGCGCCCTATTCCGGATAGTCTAACTTTTACTTTGATCCTCTATCGTTTTGAGTTTGGACTTCAGTATGTGATGACTGCTTAACTCCATATGTTCGTTTTGTTTGAAAAGGTTACTCGATATTTTTACAACAGCAACCGACTCTTCAATAGCTAGATAGTCTTGTATAGGGTTCTACATATCTCATCTTCTTGATCGAGCCTCTTTTGATTCTGCAACTGGTGGTTTCTTCCTTGATCGATATTTCACGTTTTTTCTTCTTTCATCTTTCCAAGGATTGATCAAGCACCATGTAAGGCAGTAAGAACGGTAGGGACAATTCCCCTCAAGTAGCATCATTGGTCTTCCCCTAGACTTAACCTTTTCCCCACATAATCAGATTTTTGTCCGTATGCTTGTGTCCTATTCCAATCATTTGTTTCTCCACTTTTTATCAAGCTGCTCTAGATCCATACTACATGCATCTCCATCAATATTCCTACTGACTCAATTGCTTCCCGAGACAGACAAGCTACGAAGTGAAATTGGCCATGTCTAGCGAGGATTAGAAAAAGCAGTCGAACTATCCAATAGAATCTGTATGGATAGACGACAAACTATGACAAGCTCACACGACGAAAGCATGAAGATTACAGCAAAAGGGAGCCGTACAATCTGGAGCATTGATGATGCGTCTCGATCCACAATATGGGATAGGACAATCGGCAATGGAATACTTCGTTTTGATTTTCAAAAGAAGATAATGTTCTTACCTTCCAATGTGAATCTGTCCCAAGGACACTCCACCACTGCACGGATCGGATTGTGGAGTGAGACGGGGAATCCCACCAGCCTATGAGTGTCTGACTTGCAGAAAGGACTAGAAATGGACCACGATCTCACCAGGGTCTCCTAGAGCCATCAGAGCCGATCCATCTCCCAGAGGAACTTATTGCTTTCCTTGACTGACACCTGTGTCATTGGAGCTTGCCCACGTCATGAGCTTTGATTTGGATAGCTTTCTACAGCAATCCGAGCCATCAGGGACGTGACCCGGTCGGTCATCATTTAAGCCTGTGTCGTACGCTTTTTGGACCCGCCTACAATTCGTTTTGTATCCATTCTAAAGACAGGAAGTCTCGCAATCCAAAATGTACTCTCTATCGACAATAATTGCCCCGGGCCATTTCGGATTTACTTTAATAGGCCTTTAACACTTTCGTGGAACCCTAGAACCACCTTGCCCTTTTTATATCAAACACTATGGCTTCGGGATCATCCTCCACATTGTAGTTGAAACTAAGAAAATTGAAGTGGCAAGTATAAATTGTGCTACGATCTCGAGGTTTTATGTATAACAGCCTGCTCCTCTTCCTCCGACTCCAAGTCATGTTCCTCACCAGGAGGATTCTGATCCGCAGTCAAGATAACAATCCAGTAGAGCTTGTTAATCTTCTTTGTTTCCTTTTCGTTCCTCCTAGTCTCCTTTTTATGACCCTTGCTACTCTTGCGAGAAAGATCATATTCTCTATCCTCCTCCAGCTCCGCGAGCTTTCTTTCCAGCCTCCTCAAATCTCTCCGTAACTCGCGCCCAGTCTTTATATCTTTCCGCTGACTCAAATCCAAGGTCTGCATCTGATATTGAAGATCATCGATCTCGTCCGTGATATCGGCAATCTCATTATCAGTCTTCCGCCCTTTCCGTCCAGCCTTTCTTGAAACCTTCTCGGATTTGCGACTCTGCTTTGTCTCTTTCTCTTTGAGCTGTTTGAGTTGCTTTTGCTCTGCTTTCTGCACAGAGTAAGCACCCCATTTCTTCATCCAGTTGTCCCCTTCAGCCGGCGAAGCCACGTTATCGAATGAGAGTCTCATGACGCGATCACCCAGTAACGCCATTCGTTTCTCGAGAGGACTTTGCATCTGTGTCAACATCTGATCAGGATTATCAGTCCTTGGATCAGACATTGCGCTCACATCAGCCCCATCGGAAGATTGCCTCCCAACAAGAGCACTATACTGATCCGAGGAGAATGCTCCTCCGACCCCGATAAGCGAAAGCATCTTCTCCGTCTTCACAACTCTAGCACAAAGCCCCCTTGGGCCGAAAGTAATATGATTAACCTTCTTCAGATACTGCTTCGTCCGAACAATAGAGACTCCGGCACTCCCCAACCCAGCAGCAGCTTCCAGGCAGCTACCTATAATCTGCGTTGTAGCTAGCGGTACAAATCCAACGACCATACCGACTTGGCTCGTTGCTTGGAGCGCGGGGTTTGCCATGAATGCTTCGTTTAAACCGTCGATAAAGTTCAATAACTCTCTTTCGCTGAGTCCGGTTTCGGTTTCCAGTTCTTGAACGCGGGGTCGGGCGAAGGGGCTCATGTGCGGGCCACCGAAGACTTTCGTTATTTCTATTACTATCTGTTAGAGAATCTGATTTCTTTGAAGATGGGTTGTTCTTACGGGGGATGACGCATGGTCTTTGGGAGCGTATCGGACTGTATGATTGGTATTGGTGCTGTGATTGACTAGGGGGAGAGTATGATAGACGAGCTGATGGTCCAGTTTGATATGAAGGCTCCCATGGCTGTTGGTATGTGCTATTGGTATTTTGGCACTGAGAAGGATGCCGCTGCTGAGTTTGTGACTGGGGTCGATGGTCGTAACAAGGCATGGTCAGGTTTGGATCACAGCCCATGAAACCGAAGTTCTGCTGATACGAAGAAGATGCATGTCGAGGATTCGTCTGCGACGGGGTATAGGGTGGAGGATTCTGATCCATAGTAAAAGTTTGCCTTTCCATATCTGAAGAAGATATCACGATTGACAAAGTGAATACAGGCGACCAGTATAGAACTGACAGAGTTTGAAAAGGTAGCTGCCTCCTTTTATCTCAGCTCTCAAACTTCTCCCAAAGCTCGAATTCAAACCAATTTCCCGTTAGGGTTAGCAGTGCGACACAAGCACAGCCTGACCCACATTTCCATGGGTTACCTCGCGGATTCAACCCGATCGGGCTTAGCGCGGAGATCTACAACCTTCGGCATAGCCACTGGTTGTTGGCGAATCTGCTTTGATTTGGTGGTTCGCATTGGTCTACAAATGCAGAATCTCAGAAAAGAGTTTCCATGTGGATATACTTATTCAGAATAATCGTTATGCTCATATCGCCTGTGGCGCAGGAAAATCCAGCTTGAATCGGCGTCCTCGGACTCCGAGTAGAATGCCATAGTGGCGATGATTATTTTTCATGCCTCAGTCCCCGCATAATACGAGTCCCATGAAAACCAATCAAACATGTTACTTGACATCTGCCCTCGGTCAGCAGGACGAGAATGAACTGGGTCGTGTTTTTCAGCTTCGGGCAACGGCCATGTCGTATCCATATCCACGGGAAGCCATTCGATATGGTTGGACATGTCGCTCACGTCAAGATCCATCAGATCTGCAAGAGCCTGATTATAGTTTTGGTGGCTTGCTGATTGCTTGTGGGGTGCTGCTGGCGCAGTGGTCTTGGCCGAAGCTCGATGGGAAACATGATTTTGTGCCAGTTTGAGAAAGATGGCTGCAGTGTGCTCGAGTCTTGAACATACTGTGGCTAGAAGTCGCATCTGAGATTGCATAGCCTTGAAATAGTTGACGGTTACGGACAGAAGCTCTAGATCTTGGTCTATCGTCGCAGTGTGATAGTCTTGTGGATGGATGATGTTGTCGAATACCACAAAAAATGGGGTGAATGGGCAATATAGTAGTTGCCTTTGGACCTTGAGTTAGAGTCATCAAGGGTCACGGATACTGGCTTACTACTTACCAGACCACACCGTTATACACAGAACTCCAATTTGATACCATGGAGCTCAATATCGAGATGGCTTCACGGGCAGAGAATAGGCGAAGGGCCGAAGAGGACTCGTCGCCTTTCAGCAAAAGGATGAGAGAATGCAGATACTGGAATTTGATGCTGCTGATACCGAGCGACATCTCCCTGATCTGGCTGACATCTGCCGACGTGCTTTCAGCTCTGAGAATCTCTGTCAATGCCTAGTCATATTGTTAGCAAGGAATAAAAATATACTCTAATGCCGTATAACATGAGGCCAGGATTATAATTACTAACTCGATCTGTTTCCAGATACCACCTCTCCAACTTTGATCGTATCTCAACCCTTGCATTGGATGAGTCGCCAGTTGACAGAAGATCCGACAGCACTCCTGCCAATTTAGCCCACTGGATAGATCGCATCAAGACTTCGGCACCAAATTGAGATCCCTTTGAGACCCCTTGCTGGCCTCCAAATGCTACTCGCTCATGCGGATTAAATTTCAATATAAAGGTCGGGTCAGGCAAAGGGACATTCTGATACAAGGCCGTGGGAAGAAATGCCGGACGGCCGAATGCAAGAGAACATGACTTATCGATCAGGAAAAGCATCCAAAATAGACAGAGTCGTTGCTGCCGATGCTCAGGAGGTTGATGGTATGGCAAATGTATGCCGAGTGCCTCCGCTTGTCGGCATGCATGTCCGAGTAACATCCAAGAGAGATTGGGTGCAGCGTAGTCTTCGCCATGCATTGCTAGGAAAACCAGAGCTTGCACGTTTACATGACGCGGTTCGAGAAATACACTGCTGTCGTTGAGTGCTAGCTGCATATTGCGCCGGAATCGGGATGTCTCGTCACTTTCACCAGTCTCGTTTGACATGACTGATAATATCATATAGTTAAAGTAGACGACCCATGCTTTCATTCGGACATTTTGTGGTTCAAACACAACCTGCCTCAAGACGTCTTCGGATGGAAGAGTAAAAAATGGCTCACCCAGCTCAGCATAGCCAAAAATTTCTGGAGGACGTTAGTGGTAACTCTAGACTCGAAGCGGCGTAAGACCTTACGGCTAATCAAGCGATATCCAATGGCCCTGGAGGGTATGAAAAAGGAATTTGAGTCTTCCTTCTTTTGTTGCTCAACTCGCGCCGTAGTGAGACTATTGGAAAGATATTGAAGCTCTGAGTGGGCGCTCTGGCGTGTATCATCACCGGCAGGTTGGGCGATTGCATCGATGTTAGCCGACGCTTCCTTCAGGAAGGAAAAAGAATGCGAGGGACCAATATATAGCTTCGAGTCTGATATATTATTCTGAGATATGGGGTCTTGCGTAGATGAGGGTCGCTTTCGGCTGCCTTTGTCAGAAGAAATAGGCCGAATAGCCTGCAAGGCTTGATCGACTGAGTTCGCTAATTGTTGTACTGTATTTTCCAGGCGTTGAAGTCGTAAACCAAAGGTACTTTCTGGCTCCGATGCTTGCTGACTTGGTCTGTTAGTATTTCATGAAGGTTCATGGGTTGAAACCGCGTGCATTCTCACATGGGATTAGAGGCCGGCGGGGTGGATGAGGACTTGTCACGGAGGTAGTTGCAGCTACTGGGCCAAGGTTTGCAGTTGCTGCACTTGGGTAATTCTCGAGAGCATCTTCAGAGTAGTCAGGCACATTTTCATTCTCAATAATGGCAGGATGAAATTACTTCAGTTTCTTGTGTCGGCAAAAGTCACACTATACTAGTCAGCCAAGATCAAGCCCCCGACCAGTGTAGTTACTTACTGCGAATCTAGCGAATCGGGATTCCATTTTGTGAGGTTCGGTTTGCTTTCTGGGAAATCTTCCAGTTGCGAAAATGTTCAAGACAAAGAAGAGACAAGAGGGCGATCCGGGTGATGTCCGAAATACTGACCGCTGATTGGGTGGCACCGGAGCCCCCGACTCCAACCAATGAAAAGTATTCCTTCTGAATAATCCCATAGTCACGGCTCTACCAGTCTCAAATCCGGCGTGAAATTACCGAAGATGTCCGATGTAATCCAATGATAGTCGAATTGACCGGAAACCTCTCCCCGAAGCATCTTCCTAGGCCATGGGCGGACTGGATGCTGCAATTTCTTAGAAGTATAAAAAGGACCAAGTATCTGCGTTGTTCGGTGTTTTGTATTCATGATCATTCCTGTTAGACTCTCAATAACTTACCTGTTTTCTCATACCGAGATAACCCTTCTATCATTTACACTCCAACGTCAAGAATGGACCCTTCTCCCTCAATTGCAATTATTGGCGCCGGACCAAGCGGTCTAGTCTTCGCACGACTCCTCGAAATAAACGGCATAACTGACTATGTCGTCTTCGAACGTGACGAGTCCTCGACACCAGTTCCAGGTCAACAAGGTGGCACACTCGATCTACATTCCACCTCAGGCCAACTAGCCCTCAAACGGGCAGGCTTGTTCGACAAGTTCAGCAAAGATCTTGCACGTTGGGATGCAGCCTGCTTCCGTATACTCAACTCAACTGGAGATACAGTTGTCAACTTCACTGAGATTGGGGACCGTCCTGAGATCGATCGTTTGCAGCTGCGTCAGTTGTTGCTTGACTCCATTCCCGCCGAGAAAATTCGATGGGGGCATGGTGTGAGCTCCATCGAGAGAAAGGCAAACGGGGACACCGCCGGTAATGCCGAAATTTGTATCATTCACTTTAGGAATGGGACTTCGTCCACTGGGTTCCGGCTTATTGTTGGCGCTGATGGTACTTGGAGCAAAGTTCGTCCTTTAGTGAGTATACCCGTCAGTGATAGTCTTTTTCTACGCTTTACTGACCATTCGTTCATAGCTCACTTCCGCAAAGCCAGTATACTCCGGAAAGATGTATATTGATTCTGCACTCTCCCACGACAACCCTAGCTACCCTCTGGCAACCGAACTCGTTGGCAAAGGAAACACGCTGGCACTAGGCGAGGAAAAGATGATCGCGGTACAGCAGCTTGGCGATGCTAGCTATCGAGTTTATTTCGGACTTGTTGTGCCAGAAGACTTCTATCCAAGGTCTTACTGCGCCGACTCCGACGCTAATGCGAGGACTGAGTCTATGCGGTCTCGCCTGCTTTCTTCCAACGAGCTGTTCGCAAACTACGCACCTCACCTCAAAGGCTTCATTGAAAATTCGGAAGGGCCCTTCCGTCCTTGGCCCCTCTACTACATGGAGCCGGAGCAAGTCGGTTGGGAGCGAAATGCTGGTGGCGGTGTAACATTGCTTGGTGATGCTGCGCATGTATCCACGCCTTTTGCCGGTGAAGGTGTCAATTGTAGTATGCTTGATGCTGTCATGTTATTGGATAGTATCGTCGAGTATTGTGGAAAGAGTGTAAGCCTCGCTCATGTTGAGAGGTCATCGTTGGAAACGGCCTTGGCTGCTTATGAGAAGGACATGTTTGTTCGTGGACAGAACCTTATTCGAGAGAGTTCCGAGAATGGCGAGAAGCTCTTTTCCAAGGATGCCACGACGCGGTTATTTGAAATCTTTGGAGGAGACGACGGAAAGAATGCTACTGGGGCTGCAGATTATCAGCAGAAGTGAGAGACTGCCAGTTCGCCCTTGTGAGATAGGCTAGATTTGTTAAGATGGTGTTATGTAGAGAGTGTGAGCTATTAGTCAGTGTATTATGGCTATATAGACGTTCCACTGATTCGCTATGCTATGTTATTATCGTTGCATGTTAAATTGAAGAGGGGCCAATACCTAGACTGATGAAATCGGACTGTTGACTGTTGTTTATACATCCACACCGCCCGGCAGATCGAGGCCACGCTAAACCGCTTTGAGGCAGGCGCCGATATGATGATGCCACCAAAACATCCAAACATTGAAGATTTAAGCAATTCTACATCTCTCTATCATACTCCTCTCACCTGTTTGAGAATATTCAAGGTATGATGCCACTGTTTGTTCCTTCGTCTACAGACCCGTTCGCCCCGCCATGCCCCATCAATGGCATCCTGTCTCCCCGCATTGCTCGCGCATCACCCGTGGCATCTCAGACATGATGTCAGCTCCAATGGAGGCTGGACGCGTTAAACTTCCAATTATGCAAGGCCAGGCACTAATTCGATCTGATACACAGTATTTTTCGATTCCTCCACTTAGCGCATCCCTTTATTCACAATGACTGTCGAGGCCGCTGCTGTACGTCAACCGCGCGATATGGCGCATGCGCCAAACACTGGTACGGAGATGATTTCAGCATTAATATCATCTTCGTCCTATTGTCTTGACCTTGGCTAATGCGCCTACAGCCTATCCCTATCCCCGATCTGACCAAGATTACCACCGAGGTACGAGTGTCCCAAAAGAACAGCAAGCTACCGGACCTAACAATTCAACCAGGCTTGCGCCGAGGCCCTCAAGAACAGCAAGGGCTATGAGCACGATGCTGTCGGCACCTGGAACTCCGAGATCATTGTAAGCAAGCACCTATCAACACGCCCTGCGCGATTTGCGACGCAGGCTCTAACAACGTTCATTTAGAACACTGTTCTCAAGGCTTTGATCTCTGCCACCGCCCCCGAGGCCTCCAAGCCCCCTCCATACCGCTTCACTGTGAACAGCACTATTGTCCAGCAGGGTGTGATCGACGAGACCGCTGCCGCCGAGGGCGCACTCAGCAACGCCGGCAAGCGCGGTATGCATTCTGCCTCCGGTGCTTTCTGGGATGTCAACAAGGATGGCATGTGGACCTTCAAGTACGAGGGCGCTGAGGACCGCGGCTTAGATGTCGTCGTCTGCGTTACCTGGTTCTCGGTGGTATAAGGGCATTGACGTTGTTGTCTAGATGGCACCGTGCTGCTCTTGGTTACTTACCTTCTTGTTGTATCTTTGAATACCATAATCAACTATCACCAGCAAATCTGGCATTGATATTTCCTGTTCAACGTTTTTTCCTATTTGTATTCTGATAGTTCACATCTAGCTGTTCAAAGGAGCCTTTGATATGTTCTTATACAAGCTAGGTAGTAGCGTAGATATCAGACGGCATGGGGGGCATCCTGTGGACTAGGTTTTCTAATACAACGGTGGTCAAAGGTCCTTTCCCCCCTCCCACGTTTATATGATCTGTATGGCTCACCTGAGGCACTTTGAAAAACAAGCATAAAACCAGGCGAAAGAAGAAAACTAACTAATGACACCAATCATATAAGAAATGGCGTAATCACTTTGAGAACTTTGCATAGAACTTGTCTAATAATTAATAGTATTGAAAAGAGACTCATGACTCCAGTTGTGATTATCGTTCCCTCGCTATGTCACCGCTTATGTCGCCGGCGAACTTTTGATCTATTTATTCCGATTTTCTTTCGCCTTCTCTCTTCCTTTCTGCGCATGTTTACGTTTACTTCGCATGCGCGCTGACTCCATGCGCTCGTCCACTCCATAATATCTTGCTTCTCATACTTCGTCATTGCAGCACCTCAATTTTCTGTTCTGACACCCGGTACATTTCCTTTGGCCTGTATTTATCTATGGCGTGTGCTAACAGTACCTCTTTTTGGGATACAGATTACCCCATCCACCTTCAATATGTCTACCGAGTGTTCCTCCATGCATGATGAAGGTGGCATCGATCCCAGCGGTCCTTCCATCCAACAAATTGCCGATGACGATTCCGATGCTGTCTCCATGAACATAGAATTAGCTCGCAGGGCCGCTGCAATTAGCGCTGCTCGAAACGGCACAGATGGAATGTACGCAGCCGTTAGCATGACCTCACGTTTTGCCCGTGAATATCACCTTGAGCTCATCGACGCAGTCACCAAAGCTAAAGCTAGTGCGATTGAAGCATCTGCTATTGAGGCATCTGCCATTGATGCATCTGCAATTGAAGACGCGAGCACCCCTGGAGAGACCGTGAAGACTGGCTTTGTTCCGCGGCCCGGTTACATACAGCCCGCTGACCTCATGCAAGACGACAAGACCGCCGCCATCAACTTCATGTGCGACTACTTCATGAATGAGAATGAGCTTGAGGAATCCCATGACGAGCCATTCACTGGTGCCATCGAATACGTCCGTGGAGTGACCAGCATGGAGTGGGCTCATGCCCTCTATCTGGATCAGTTGTATCGACACTGGCAGTATCTTGAACGCAAAAAGGCCGAAGAACGCGAGAATAACAAGCAGCCCGCGCGCACAATCAAGGAATGGGAAGAGGAGCTGGATGAGTACAGGCGCCAACTCACTGATTCCGATTCTCCCCAGAGCGCCAAATTCCGCAAGATCATTATGGCTCTAATCACTCTCCGTTAGTGGATAGATCGATTTAGGATGCCTGGCTCTCATGGTGTTCAATGTGAAGGGAAAAAAGGTTGCCCTATGTCCTTGAGGGGGAAAGAATAACGTCGGGGCCTATGCGCAACAATGTATTCTCAGTTCCTACCTCATGCATCACGAGGGAATGCATCATCCATCCCCAATCTTCATTTCATCATTGTAGAGTCCAATTTCATCCCTGTTTAAGTCATTGTTTCCTTGAACCTGAGGCGTCGTAGTGGCTTTGGAGGTGGGCGATTGATTAGCCAGGTGGCTTGCGCCGAGGACCTCGAGTCGACGAACTCTCCCGACAGTCCTGTTGTAAATACTTGCTACTCTTGATGTTGAGAATGCGTGGGAACCAGACTACCCCATGTACTCTGACCGGTGTCGACTTGTGGCTGATATCTGGTACTGAGGATTACATAGTACGAGAGCTGGCATTTAGAGACCCATTTCCACTTTGTCTATTTCTTTTCTCGTCCATTCTCCCCAATGTTATTGGAATTGTTTTGCTACAACAGTGGACATAAGTTTGCTCACAGAGTGAAGTATGGAAAAAGCAAAGACGCACCCATCTCATCAGAATATCCTCATATGTGCTGAGTTAGACGTGGCCGGGATTACCGATAGCGACCGAAGCAGAAACCTTGTCGTCCACGGGAATATTGAACTCGATATTACAGTCATCGGGGATCAGGGCATGATATCAATGCCCATGCAGAAATTGTTTCTCAAAGTGGATGTTCCATTTCATCCAATTATTTGTGCTCTGAACTAGCCTCTTTTTTCACCTCTTTTGTGCTAATTTCCAAGTGGCCCAGGTGAGCCATTCAGATTATATGAACGTGGGGTGAGAAAGGACCTATCGCCTCTGTTGCATTTCTCCCTCTCGCTGCTTATTGAGACTCCCTGCTAAAAATGGCATCTGTTCAATGGAAACTTTGGTAGCTTGTCCTGGTAAAGACATTAGGCTACGAATAGTCCGTGTGGCTATCAGGGCTGACGAAATACTAGATCTTACTACAATTGTGGGGACAAAACTAACATGATCACGGTGTTATTGACAACATTATTTGAGCATGTTTTTTTTTCACATCGTGAAACGGTCATTGGTATCAGAAAACATCAGAAGAATTCAGATCGAAAAAAAAGTGATATCCATGGGCCTCAGCGGCACTATGTAGATATCCAGAAAACACCTATCCTTGCTTGCGCCATGCCATGTGTAGATGAAACCGAAACAGAGAACGCCACCCGAAACCATCAGGTCAAAAGCAACCGACGCCGTTAAACAGAAGATCATAACTTAATCACGCTCCACCCTTAGCGAGGCTCAGAGTAATCATTCAGGGCAACACACACGGCACCACGGTGGTGGCCACTGTACTGGCGGATAATGTTTCCGGTGCTCAGCTCCCACAGACGAGCGTAGTGGTCACTGGAGACGGTCACTAGGTAAGCCGAGTCGGCAGAGAAAGCACAGTCCCAGACCCAACGCTGGTGGTTGGCGAGGGTGGTCTCCAGAAACAGGGTGTGGTTGACTGGGTCCATGGGAGGGCCATCGGGGGACGAGGTGAAAGTTTGCTGAGGGGTCTCCTGGCGGGGAGGGTTATCGGTGATGCGGAGAAGGTCACGGTCCTGAGCGGGAGTGTCGAAGATGCGCAACAAATCGCGGGACTGGGTAGGAGTCTCAGTGGCGGGAGTTGGGGCTTCGGCCTGGGGTTCCGCAGGGGGGTTCTGGGCCTCCTTTTCCTTCCACTGCTTGAGGACGGCCTTGGCAGGAAGGTAATCTGCATCAAGGTTCCAGACCTTGGCAGTGTGGTCGGCAGAGCAGGTGGCCAGATGCTTCACGTCAGGAGAGAGCAGAACGCGGGTGAGGTAATCCTTGTGGGCCTGGAAGGTGCAAACAGGGATGATACGAGTGGTCTCGTCAGTCTGGACCATGCGCCAGAGGTAGACATTTCCCTGCAATATGTCAGTAGAGATCATTGACCGTTGCCCTAAGGCAGCTTACCTTCTTGTTTCCAGCGCACAGCAGAGATCCATCGCTAGCAACGCTAACACTCAGGACAGCAGTGTCATCCTCGGGGATCAGCTGATGGGTGCAAACACTCTCGCCCAAGTCCCAGACACGGACCATTCCGGCATGGTCACCGCTGATAAGCTCGCCCTGGTTGGGGTGGATGACGACGTCGTTGACGGCGGCGCGGTGGACATAGTTGCGCTGGAGACTACCGGTACGGGTGTCCCAAACCTTGACAGTTCCATCCTCGGAGCTAGTGACCATCCATTTTCCCTCACAGTGGAAGGCGACACCGGTGATGTTGTTGGTGTGACCCTCGAAGGTAATCACAGGGTTGGGATTGGTCGACTTGATGTCAAACAGCTTGACATTATTGTGGCCTGCGGCCGCGAGGAATCGCTTGTCCGGAGTGATGCACAGGCGATTGACCTGGGAGTCCGGGTGTTGGATGGTGCGCGAGCAGATACCGGACAGCGCTTCCCAGAAGCTATGAAAGACAATGTTAGCGGAAGGAAGTCCTGCCGCAGATTGCAAGTTTCAGGTCAAGCACGCATTTGGGCTGCCGCTTAGCTGTGACTTACCGGATGGTATGATCATACCCCGCTGTAACATGCCAATCCTCGTTAGCACAACGAACAAAGAATGCGGGGAGGGTCACGATTTCGCGTTCACTTACCAGTGCAAAGGATGACACTCATTTCAAAGAGTGGATGCTCTCCGTCAGACTCAAGAGGAGCAGTTCCAATGCTATTGATAGAATCAACCTCGACAATGCTAATAGCGTCCGAGAATGTGGGAGAGGTAGGAGCAAAGTCAAAGAAAGAGGTCTCATCAAGAGACTCCATCCCGCGGAAAGCCATCTCCGCACGTGATTCAGGATTCACGTGATGGGAATGGCGATGAGGCGGTAACGGGAGATTTGACGAATGAGCGTAGGGGGACGAAAAGCGGTGAAAATGCGACGGAGAAGCGTCGCTGTTGTGGGTTTGAAGTGGGTCTGCTAGGCCTCATTGGGACGGATAAATCGCGGGCGCCCTGAGAGGCTGACCAATCAAAGACACCCGTCTAGGCGGTCAGTCTTTGCTACTTACTGTATACATAGGTTGACACGATTGAATAACCTCAACTATCGCCCGGGGAAATGTCTTCTTTAAAGGATAAAACACTTCTTGTCTTAAGCATAGATCACTATCTTGTCAAAGCGTTTTTCTTTCATCCTTTGACCCTTATATGCAGAAGTGATGTTATAGTGCACAAAAAACGGTATAATGGTGGGGACCAGGGCGGTCACAAGGACGGTCAAGTGGGTGGTGTCACCGCGGTAGCCAGCATGACGTATTGTTCTGCAGGCAGAATAATCTATTAGGCGGCAGAATAAATAAATACTAGAGTCACAAGGCAGTACACAGTGATAGACAACAAGCGCCTGCTGCTGATTGGCCGGCCTGCTCTATTCATCCCCAATTCAGACTTAAGCAATTGCAATGTGTTGTTTATGCTTACCATTGTTCTCTCCAGCACAACAGGCGCTTCCAGTTAAGTCATGCCCGTTTCTTCTCTTTCTCTTCTCTCGACAAACCTCTGCTGTTCCGGTCTTCGGGAGTCTCAATTATTGTAATCGTTATGGCTGAGTCCCCTCTCTTCCCTCCCTCGGAATGTACTGGATGTCCCTATGATGGGTACTATGCCGCCTCCAATGGCACCCATCAGGATCCTACTCATAGCCCCAATGATGCCGCTCTGCCCGAGGACGTGAACGACTCCGAGTACATTGACTTCAATGGAGAACTTGGGCTGGTTCAGCAGCACACCCCCCGTGCTGAGGAGAATGCTTTGGATCTCGACCCTCATCACGACCCAGTCACTGCTGACTCTAACCTCGGACCCTGGGTGACCCCCAACTCTTCCCGCAGCGGATCTGTCGATGACCGAGTCCACGAAGATGGAAACCTAATTGATTCCATCACCACAGGGCAGCCTTGGGTTGGCCCATGGACAGGATTATCTATGAACGAAATCAACGAGAATGTGCCTGATGTTGTGACTGCTCCTTCGGGTTCTACCTCTGATAATGACGACGGTGCCCCTCGTCAGGAATTGAACTCCGCTATTGTACTCACTGTGCCTCTACCCCCCTCAAAGAAGAAGCTCGCTGCGTTGAACCAGGCTGGTCCCACCCCAAAGACGTCCAACTCTGCCAAGGCACAATTTCAAAGACCCTTGATCAATGCTGCTTTTCAATGCTAATTATCTTTAGGGCTCTGCTTCCCAGTTCCAGGTTTCTTCTCGTGCTCATCCTCCGGCAGGTCACCGATCTCAGATTTTCCATCACTCTGTCGCTCCGACCGACTTGCAGGTCGTCCCGCAGGCCATTCAGCATGCTCCTTTCCAAGGTGTCCGCCAGTCTACTACTCAGCCCATCCAGAACTCTGCCCACTCTGCCCAGTTCGTCCGCCGGGGTATCCCCAAGCCCGAGATTCAGGTCTACCCTCAAGTTATCGAGCAGGTTCCTTTCCAAGGTTTTCAGCACTCTTTTGTCCAGGGCGTGCACGAGATTATTCCTCCGTCTACTATGCAGACTGAATCTCAGCTCATCCACCAGCCTATCCCCGTCAGTGTTCCGCAAGGCCTGTCTGAGGGCCTCATGCAAGTCAAGCGCCAGTACATGTCGCCCGTCACCTCGGTCACCTCGCATAAGACTGTCCACAGACCCGACTCGACGAACAACCCTCGTCCTGCCAAGCGCCAGGCCCGTGAGCCTCACACCAACTACAGCCCTCCTGTTACCCAGCTGGAGAATGCTCGAGGCCTGATTGCTCAGTTGGTTGCTGACAAAAAAGCGATTCAACAGAAGCTGGACAAGTTCACTGTCATCAACCCCAACACTGGCAAGGCCTACGTTGAGAACCTGAAGTCCGAGAACGCAGTCCTCCAGTTTGGAAAGCTGGCACTGGCTCAGGGCGATGCAAACCACCAGACTCCTGTGGACAACAATCAAGAGAAGTACCACGACCTCCTTTTGCAGTACAACGCCCTTATTACTCACTGCCGGGCTTCTGAGGACCAGGCGCTTCTCTGGCGGCACCGTTACCTCGAGCTTTCTGCTATTCTGTACCAGCCAATTGAGATTGACACCGAGATGAGCATGGACTTCCTGTGAAGGATGACATGCCCATGGATGAAACTGAGATTTCAAATACCGCGAATTTGTTCCCTGAGTTATGATGTTTCTTACGATGAATCGCAACCATACCAAGTGGGTTACGTCGCCCAATGAATTCTTTCTATTGAACATCTCTCTCTAGTAGATTGTAAGTTGTAGCATTTTCTATAAATCAAGAGCTCAATTCCATCCCACATTCCCATTCAATCATTACTCACCCTCCTCGGCATATTCTCCGACCTCCCAAGCTCAAACCCATGCGAATCAGCAATCACAGCCATAACCCCCTCCAACCACCTCCTCGCCTCAACAGAGCCCACATCTAGATGATTATGTGCGACATTAAGCGGGAAGATAAGCATGAAAGCACCGGAACTTCGCCGCAAGTAGTGAAGATGATAATCGACCATACGGCAGATCTCGACTGCGACGTCATTCCTGGTTCCCTGTCTTGGGAGGAGTGGGTCGCTTATTGTGTCGGAGATCGTTGTTTCAAGTGTTGACAGGACTCGTGGTATCAATCGGGTATCGAATTCGTCTTTTCCCGGAAAGGCTGGATCCCAGGTTTTGCTCTGGCTTGTGTCTTCAAGGATTCCGGGTATATCAACCAGGATATCGTGGAGTCGATCGGTCGGTGTTTTTGCGTCTTCGCCTTTCAACGCCCATGGAACTTTTTTCCACGTTGGATCCTCCAGAAAACATCTCTTTCGCTCGACGATGTAACCGATCGCCTGATAGAATAATTAGTTCTGTCTCAAGTATATCCTGCGGAAGATATCTCACAATACATGACCTAAGAGTAGGGAGTAAAGCAAATCCAACACCATCTCGATGTCTATACGGACCTCTCAAAGCCGTCTATCCCCGCATGAGCATTTATTTCTCAAAAAAAAAAAAAAACAAGAAGAGATCATTATAGCTCACCAATCTAGCCAGTCCCTTATAATGTGCTAACCAAGCCCCGGGCTGCGTAAACGTAACAGACTCATAGATCCCCAAATAAATCACAGCAATAACGACATCATCACTAACCGCCAGATCACTGTTTTGGAGCTGCGAACGCAGCATACTCAAAGCCTGAGAATAAACCGACGCACCCCGACGCATAAGCTGCGATTGTTTATTTACTTTAGCGAAGTAGACCGTCGCCAATGCGCGCATTGAGGCATTTGATAAGTTCCTCTTTTTGTTTTGTTTGAATAGGGCTGAGATCCATGATGCTGCGTATGGCGAGGCGGGGTCTTCATGCCAGGTGAAAATTCGGTTTATTAGGTGTGTGTTTAGGAGGTCATCTTCGTTCCAGGGTAGGTTGGTCGTGAAATTCAACGGCTGGATATGTTCTGACGCCTTTTCCGAGAATGGAGAGTTGTGATTTGATATCGTGGTTGAGCTTGAAGGAGATGGCAACTTGATTGTGCCTCTTTTGACCAGGCGGTTTCTCTCGTCTATGAATTCCGAGAATTGGACGTATCCGTCGCATTGAATACCTGCTGTTTTGCATCGCTGACATAGGGGTTGTCCTTCGTCTTGTTTCATCGTTAGGGATCACTACGCAGGCTGATAGGTGGGATGGCGTACCGCATTTTACTTTGCGCCGTCGACAGGTTCGACAGCCTTTGCTTCGGCCTCCGACGCCAACCATTTTCTGCCAAGCATGTGGAATGAGATGAAGGGTCGAGTGATGTGTGGAGAGATCGAGTGGGGGCCAGAAAATAAGCATGAGCTTGGCGATGGGGATTGGGGATCAACGGCTTAGATCGACGGTGCATGCCACGACAGTAGCCAAAGTCCTTTCCCACTGTCACGTTTGTATCATCTCAATGGCTCACCCAAGGCACTTGAAAACTAGCAAAAAAAGAGGCGAAAGAAGAGAGGCTAATCCAGAGCACAATCAATGCATCCAATACTTTATGACACTGTGAACAAACTGATGTTCACTATTGTTGGTTCATTAATTAGAAACTATGCTATTATTCGTGTACATATAGTCCCAAGCCCCCAACACCGCGCAGTGCGAAACATACAAGCCGAACGAATGAAATGGTATCATGCAATATTCATAAGAAGTTTGAGCTCGCGGAGGGATGTAGGTTTGATGAGGTATTTGTTGATGCCGACTGTGCTTGCTTGTTGCTGGAAGCCGGTTGAAGCAACGCCGGTGATTGCCATGATGCATGATGGTGAAAGGTTGTTTTCTTTTTCGTATTCGCGGATTCTGCTGGTTGAGACGAGGCCGTCCATGACTGGCATTGAAATGTCTATTTGGGGGTTAGTTAAATGTATTGGAAGGCAGCAGAACGGCGTTTACCCATTAAGATAAAGTCGTAGTGGTAAAGTGAGCTTTTGTATTTTTCCAGTGCTATTAGTCCATTTGAGGCAGTATCGAAGCTGCAATTTATTTTTCGCATAAATGTGGCCAAAATCTGTGTAGTGTCAGCGTGTCAGAGGAAAATTTCATGCATATTTTACATGTGATGGGTGTAAGAGATCAGTCATACCTTGACGTTGATCTCATTGTCATCCACAATGAGCACGTGTACAAGATTCTTCTTGCTAGACGGCTTCGGTGTTGAAGAAGTTGATCCAGATGGGCTCGTCGCTGGTGCCGTTTGATGAACTATATTCTTTTCGTCCGAACTTGATCTAGTATTGAAGTAGCCCTCGCGTTCTTGTTCAGGGGAAAGGACCACGGGGGTAGCGCCAGGTGCAAGTATAGGAGAACTAGAGGGCTCTTGCTTTTCTCGCCACTTCATAACTTTTTCAACGGCACTGTGAATTTTCAGTGGGCCGAAACTGTGAAGCGAGTTAGCATGAACTTTTCGTACCGGCAAAGCCAACGCAAGAAAAAAGCTTACGGCTGGGAAATGCGAACGAGGTTCACCATTTTGTCATCGGTGATGAGAGGCGCATTGCCACTAAGTATGATGAAAAAGTGCAATCTGCTCTTTGTGGACAGTTCCAGGGCCAATTTTTCGTTCTCTTGCATCGCGCGGTGAAGTAAGCCTTCCTCAATAACGATTACTTCGCCGCGTGCTTTTTCAAAAGTATCAGCTAGGGAAATCTTCCAATGGAGATCGTTCATGAGGATGCTGGCGACGGTGCTTTGGATGGAAAGCTTGCGTTTGCCTTCAACGGTGAGAATTCCAGTTGGGGCTTCTTTCAAGTCAGGATATCCATTGAAACCAATTAAACAGGCATGAATTGGATCGATCGGGACTTGTTCTGTTCTTGTTGTTGTTGTTGATGATAATGGCCTGATATTGAAGTTCGGGCGAGATTCAAGATACTGCACCGGAATATAAACCTCGGCTTGTGTACCGATTCCAACCTCACTCCGCACATTGATGTGGCCCCCGAGAGATGTGACCAATTGGTGGACGATGCTAAGTCCTAGCCCAACACCTTCTGATAGTGGGTCCTCTTGGGAGAAGGGGACGAACAGTTTGTGTTTGATAAAGTCTGCCGCAATGCCACGGCCAGTATCGGTAATAGAGAGATGCATCAGTGGTGACCTTTCAGAACGACCCTTCACTTTCGATAGCGCCACCTCAATAAATCCAGCAGATGTCCATTTCATTGCATTCCCAAGGAGGTTCATCACAATTCTTCTCCATGCACCCGCCAGAGACCGAATTCTCCAGGTATCGGAATGGTCGATTCGAATAACAACTGACATCTGGTCTTGGTGGCCGAAATGAAGGTCGATTAAACTTCCTGAATCCACGCTCGAGGACCTCCGCTCTCTAACGGCTCCGACATGCTCGGAGGCCTTTTGTCCGGTGTACTGAATGTTTGCAACTTCTTCGACCAATTGACTGATATCGAAATCAGAAATAAGGTTCACTGTTTCACCTTCGGCAGCGGCCACATTCAGTAGATTTGTCTGTCTAAGATTGTTGATCTTGCAGAAATCCAGCCTATGAACCGATTAGTGGAAATGTAGAAATCATGGGCTAAATCTGTACTCACATATGATTCGTCGTGTCAAGTAAAGTCAAACCAGATCTTTCGATCATGCCCACCATCTCCTCCTGTGCGGAGCCGAGAGAAGTTCCATGAAGTAGTTCAGCACTTGCCAAAATGCCATGCAGCGGAGAACGAAGCTCGTGGCTGACCGAGGAGATAAAGTCGAATTTTGATTTTTCGGTGCTACCCCAATTGATTCGACAAATCTCCGAGATGATGGCATCTCCGAAGACTTTGAAATAGTGCAGTTCCTCTGGCCCGAGTGCCCGGTAGCTACTTGTGGTCCATACTAGGATTCCGGAAAGCCAACGGAACTTGTTCCAGTCCCACAAAGGAAGGAAAATAGCACATTTGGCACCAGGAAGACGTTTTGCGAGCTGATTTGTGATAGACTGTGTTTTAGACGATTCTGGTCCCGATTCCAAAATTTCAGTGAAGGAACACGACTGGTAGTCTTCTTCGGAATCCAGAGTCGCATCTTCCAGACTCAGGATTTGGCCTTGAGGGTAAGCTCTGAGGAGTCGATGCAGCAATCCCTTTGGTATGATAGGTTGATGATGCAATCCCGCGTCTCCTTTGAATGGTGTTTTAAGGGCGCAACTTAACATGTCGCTCGGCTGGTCAAATTCCTGAGAGACAACACACGGCAGTCCAAGGGGATTAGAAAGCGGCGCTATTGGGAAGCCTGTATCCGGTGTTGGTCTTGAGGGATCCCATTTTTCGGTTGTTTCTGGTGTGCTAGAAAAATAGGTTAGAAAAGTAAATAAATAGCAGGGGTATCGGCACTGACAATGCAAAGTTTGTCGGGCAAGCGTCTAGACACACGACTCCATCTAGATCCATGGACTCCCGAAGCAAAAGACTCGCACGAGAATAAATTGTTGCAAGGCGTTCCGACACAGGACTGATTTCGTTGAATGATAAATCTGAAAAGTCTTTTTCGATATTTTGAACGGGAGTTGCTTCCTCCTCTGTTTTCAAGGCATCCCCCAGCGTCTTTTCTTCTCCAGGACTCACAATTACCGGCCGATCGGAAAGACCTGAGTGCAGAGAAGATGGATCGGTCTCCGATGATTGGTCCGGCAAGAAAAACATAGATTCCTCTGCTGTAACTGTCGACGAAGAAGATTGTCCAGAGTTCTGTATGATAGTTGATGTTGATGATTGTTCGGGGCTGTGAACATCAACCTGGGGCGTGTCTATGTCGCCCGGCGGCGTAAAATGAAGTGGCTCCGCGCCGCTCTCTGATTCAGCTTTTGGTGAAACATTAGCTGCACTGACACTTGATTGAAGAAGGCCATTATTCGAGACTTCTGTTGGATCAAAATCTGCATGTTCTTTCACAAAGCTGGTTAGTCCCTTGACCAACTTCTCGGCGCGAGTATGGGCCTGGGCAATTCGAACATTCTCCAAGTGCTGACCAATAGCATCGGCGACTTCCTGGAGGTCTCCAATCTCCTCATCGCCAAACACTTTGCGTGGTTGATCATCCACTACACAGTAAGAGCCCAGCACATACCCCGTGGCACTGTACAGAGGGACCTCGGCATAGAAGCGCATGAACGGCCATTCTCGAACATATGGTCGGTCCTTAAAGCAATCCTCCGCCCTGAAATCCCTAATAATATAGCGAGTACGGTTTGCCGTCACATTTCCCGATTCGATATCGTTGGGTTCGCGCCCCGTGAACAATCGGATCGTATGGGGACACACGCCCCACACCAGATCGAGAGACCGTGCTCCGAGGTAGATGCCATCGTTTGGGAGATGTCGGTTCTTGTCGCGCAGAGAAACCGATGCCGTCGCTTCGGCGATGATATGCTGAAGTTCGCCGTCGATAATCGAAACAAAGGATCGATTGCAGTTGAAGCGATGGACGCCGAGTTGCGCCAGGGCGGTCAGGGTGATATCCTTGGCCAGCTCGCAGCTCGCCGGCTGCTCGTCTCCTTGCGGCGCAGCCAGGCCATCCTCCTCTCCTGCATCTGGTGTCGGCAGTGATCGAGTCACTGTGCAGTAATACCTGTGGCACTGATCATCAGTAAAGAGCGGGATACGGGCGGAACGCCACATGCCTTGATAAATCGCGGATCCGCTCACGCTCCTCCTCCTCTACTGGATCAAAATGAAAGGCTTGATTGCCTGCCATGATTTAGAAGATCATCCGGAGATCAAACACTTGAATAAAAAACAGCCGTTGACAACCCCCCATGGGCGGGGCACGTGAAGACACTAACCCAGGTTGTGCATATAGAGCTCTCCACTCCGGACTGTTCATTGGCTTAACAGAAACTTATCCGACGTTCATGAGACGGGAAGAACAGCCGATATCGATTCTAGATGCCTTTTTTGTTATATTAAACGGCCTATCAGCTACCAGTATTTGCTTTTGTTCTGACTAGTCAGCTGTCAGATTACATTTGGCTAGAATCTTCTTTTTTGGTTCTATTTAATGTACTATTTGGCTATCTCAAATTCTTGCGCAGGCACATGAGACTAAAGCTGCAGCTTGGTCGGTGCCCCATTCGATTTGGTCTAGCTTGCTGCTTGTATGGAGAAACGTTCAGGGTCAAAGCCCTGATCTAAGTGCTTCCATTTCCTTCCGCATAGTCTTGACATGCTGGATATACCGCCTTGGGGTATTAAATTGACACAATGTCTCATTTTTACTCCCGTGCATGAGAAGCAGCATGCATAGCTAGCGGTTACCCCATCAACTAATGCTTTTGCACAATGTTGAATCTGATATGTTCGCTTGTGGGTTCTATGCTCACTCCGACTAAAAGGAAATTACATCTTGTACATTGACCTTGTCTCATGTGATCCCTTGTTTTCAACCTTCTTCCATGATTTCATTTCTCATATGAAGACCAGTTTTAGATACAACTCCAACAGTGGCAGATAAATAACAAGGAAATCCCGGACGGAAAGAATCTCCAGGTCATCTAGACTCAATTTTGGGCTTACTCCTGGTGGGCTTTGGTGTCTTTTTGCCGATATCTTCCCGAACCGAGTAACAGGACTCTACCGTTAGATTGACATTCCTTGTTCCCAGTTATGTTTTTCACATCAGAGTGTCGGTGGTTTGATTTAGCCAAATGGTCATTGACTAAATCGAGTCAAAATGAGTTACCCATTCACTTTTTATACATTTAAGGGTTAATATTGTTTAAGTGCCAGATTATCTGAAAATCCGAACTGAGGGTACAAGGAATGATTCAATGTCCATCAAATATGTCCTATACATGAATACGAACACATCATTCTCTGTCTTGTGGGAATGTTATGAGGATCTATTGTTTTCGCTCCACGCACTGAATATCGCGTCGTCGTGGTAGATATTCGTAGAATGCAACCCTTTTGTTGGAGGTATTTGATAACACTTTTTCTAATTTGTAAGGGTAGAACATGATCTTAATGAATGGATTTTCTCATAGCCCCAGCAGAACACAATTAGATGGACATATTTCATGTTGATCTCCATTGTCACTTCTAGCAGGCCCTCAACCAAGCCTCAGGAAATATCTTTAGAAAAACAAACAAACTCGTCTTTTAAGCAAAATCAAACATCCCAATGCTCAAGGAAATTTGGAGAATCGTTTCCACCATGGTCCATGTTTTTCCTGTGGCGTTTCAATCGGATTGCTTCCAGCGACCGCTGCTTCTTTTGAGCGTACCACTTACTGTTTGTCCTTTTCACTTGGCAGGGAGAAGTAGGCATCTGCTTTCTTTAGGAGATAAGCAGGAGTTTTGCTCTGCAATGACTCATCAAGAAAATCATCCATCTGCTGTTCTGTAGTCTCTGTATCCTCAAATCCTCTCGCCATAGCACAGCAGTCGCAGGCAGTAGTGCAGTAGCCAGCACCAATTTGACTGTCAGCTGTGAGATGATGCTTCGTACAGCAATCATAGTTGCGACTGCACCAGCCATCCTGCTCGGCGCAGTCTTCAATCAACTCTTTTTGCATGTACCAAGCTGGATCATGTCGCAATAAATTATGTGTTTCCTTCACAGAACAGTCGGGGAAGTCAGACACACGAGCCCAGAGCCACCTGTGTTGAAATATTTCGCTCTTCATGAGCTTCTCTAGCCCTGCTGGAATAGTGTTGTTCTCGGTCCGATTTTGTAAAATAGCGTCGCCTCTGTCCTCGGCTCTGGCTCTCTTTGGAAGCAAAATATCTTTTTGGGTAATGAACCATACTTTGCGCTCAGTCATAATTATGTTGATAACACGTTGGCGGTGGATATTCTAAACTTGCCAATGCTGGGATCCCGATGCCACACGTACGTTCCACTGCATATGACTAACGACACTGACCGTGGTAGCTTCCTGTTTTGATAGACCCTTGTACACTGAAGATGCATTAGCTACTGGGATCAGTCCGTTGTTGAGATATAGATGGAGAAACTTGTCAATGATAGAGCTGCTGCTGGTCGTGCATCAGTCATGCGGAAGCTTGAGTTTCAAGAGTCGCGGCCAAAAGTGGCCCAGCGCCAACTAACTTCACACTAGTATGCATGATAGGTTTTTCACCGCACTAACTAACTAGGAGATGATTGGAAAGGTCTTTAATATTTTATGATCATGAAGACATCATGATACTGGTAGCAAAAAGTCCAAACTGCTTGAGCACTATTCTTTTCTGTTCTTCGCAGACTTATACATGCTATTCAGGACTTTACGTCTCTTGGGGTAGCCTAAGTTTTGCCTGAGCTAGACATTCCCTTTAAATGTTTTATAAAAATGTAAGCTCTCAATACTCTCAATATAGAACATAGGCTACCGTGGTGGCTGCTCTAGAGTAAAGTAGTTCTCCTTTTAGGCATATGAATTTCCGGCGTCGATGTACCCGACACACCTAGTCCCCTAGAGCATGGCTTGACCAGCCCCATAGTTTGAATCTTCAGGATAAGTGCTTGAACGCTGGTTCATCAGCATATCTCTGGCACTTACGCAATCCCAATCTTCATTGCAGAAGTTCTCCTTTGTCTCATCCAGCCATCTCGTTTCTTCAGAATACAGTCGCCTTTGGGCCTCTGCATTACATTGCGCCACGGTGAATGTCGATTCTCGCGTTCGGATTACAATATCACTAAGAGATATAAATGTTGGTGTCGTGGGTACGCCCATTCGCGTTCCATGGAATATTACCAGAGATTGTCAATACGAGGCAGCGCCGTGAAAATTGCTTTCAAGCAATGAATGCGGGGCCATCACCAAGCATAGTCGCCCGGGCTAATATTCCAGCAGTCGAGGCAGAGCTGCAGATTGGAATCACCTTTAGCGGTGCCCGAGGCCACACTGTCGCCAATAGTCCGTTATCCTCTTCAGAGGTATCAGGAATGGAGATCAAAACTCCGGAAGACTGAAAGGCCGCGACCGTTGTAAAGAATGAAGCATGCTGGTAAAATAGGGAAGGCTTTCTAGTTGCAGTCCTACGTGGGCGCCTCAGACATCCAGGACGCCTCAAACTCGAACAGGGCTTGAAGAAAATGCTGCTCGGCGGGAGGCTCGAATCATCGCATGGGGCGCTGGTAACAGCCTTGGAAGAAAGATCGCCCGTGAAGAGGTTAGTGGCTGAACGACCTCTTGAGACAATAGACTTTCCAATGATAGCGAGAAGACCAACGAGGTCGAACTTCTAGTCGCTGCGTGGTTCGGGGAATTTGAGACCCATGTTGAGCAACCTATGAGCATCAAAGATAGGCTATCTTTTGGAGAGTCTCAAAGATAACACAAAAATATTATGCCGCGCATATGTGAAGGATGCTTATAAACAACTGCTAACCACGGGTGGAAGTGGGGTCTTAACTGAAAGAGGCGGTGTGGGCTGAATACGAACTGGTATTTATATCAACCAAAACGCCAGTATGTCTATTTCGATATAGACTCCACCTATTACATGGAAGGTCATTCGCTAATTGTGCCAAGCTTTAAGTTTGCAGCGGAAGTGTAGAGTGGGAATGGGAGAAGGGTTGTCCCGCAGAGCCTCACGCTAACGGGGCTACAATGTGTGAATTCAAAGTTGATCAGCGAGTCTAGGTCCATCCATTGTCTTCTCGGCGCTGGTTTCAGTCTTTCTAGAGGGTATTTGTGATTCTGCACATAGCTCACTTGTCTGCTTCTGTTCTGACCATATGTTTTACATATTGCCAAAAGTAATATTGCACAATAGCTCAAAGTCTTCATTGGCTTTGGACACCTTGGAACAATCTCCCTTTCCAATCTATAATATATAGCGAGTCAGCTCCTAATTGTTTGAGTAATTACGAAATACGAGGATGGTTATTGAGGCTTGTTGCGTCTCGTATAGGCCCCCTGAATTAAGACCCAGATTCCGTAGAAATATATAATCAGAACAGCACCACAGTCAGGATACCCGGCATTGCTTCTATAAGGGTTGTGTCTGAGTTCTCAACTACACAGTATATATCTTCGAGAGCAAATCCCACCTCATACATCGTAAATGTTTAACAGCAATTTTTACTTGCTCATTCTGAGATATCGCGAGTTTCGTATTCTCAACCTGCTGATGCTCGCTCTATACTTCGTTTGATACAGTAAAGACCGTAAATCAGTTCACAGTGCTATGAGTTTATTTACAAAACCATCGAAAGAAGTGTACCATTCCATGCATTATTTGTTCCCTAACTTGGCCAGCCTCTCCTTTATGCCCTCTTCAGAGTACTTCGGGTGACTTAATCAGATCATATGAAAGTACGGGGCGTGAAAAAACTTATGTCCTCTATTGTGCACTCCTGAATATGGTCGTTCACTACTTCGTATGACCATGAGACAAGTATTTACCAAAAGAATTGATAAACTCAATTCATTTTGCAATAGATTACATATCCAAGGCAAATATGCGTGTACTCTGTCCTCAAGATTGCATGGTGCACGGTCCAAAGAAAAGAAACGCGCTGTCGGTTCAAGCCGCCAATATCATCAATAAATACTGTTAAGTCAACAATGGAATGCTCAATTGTATCAAAATTCAATACACATCTAAAAGTATTCCAAATCAATGGGGGAGGATGAAGCACAGAGTATGAGCTTGTTCCTGGCGAGTGGGTCGGTCTCGTTCCCACTCGCTCTCGGTCTCGGTCCCGTCTTCGGTATATCTCTTCACAGCCTCGTTCTTACTAGTTAATTTCGCTCTCGCTTTCGCTCTCCCACTGTCCCATATCTCAGACCCCGGATTTCAATACATCCGTGAGGAGTTCCTGCAGCTAAAAAGCCCGAGACATGACTAGTCTACTCCACCCCAAGCTATGGCCTGTCTATATTCTCCATTAGGCGAGATCGACCCTTGGACAGGTCTTTGGCTACCCCGGCTTGCTCCACCACAATATGGTCCCTGCAGATTATAGCTCGTGGAAATTTGTTCCTGTTCGTTCCTCGGAGTTGTCTTCAATTTCTATCCGAGCTTTCCGTCGTCTTTCTCTTTCCCGATCTGGAACCTGAGTCGTCGATCTCTATCTGTTGACATTAGAATTCGCCCATTATCCGGCATCACAACACCAAAACAAGGAACAAATAACTAGTTCGCCCTTGGCTAGACTCTATCGTATTGTGGACTATCGTATTCTAAGTTCAGAATGTGAGCTCATGCATAGGGGCCCTGCGCCTCTCTGTGCAGATATAAATGAGCTCTTCCTCTTCTGGTAGAGTATTTTATCTTTATCCAGAGCCAGTCTTCCATTCTACTTCATAATATCCAAACATTCTTTCATAATGAAGGTCACCAACATTGCCCTCGCCGGCGCTACTCTCGGCCTTGCCAGCGCTACTCCTGTTGTGAAGCGTGACATCAGTGATGGTAAGTCATTTCCAAAGACTCCATTGATCAAATACTGACTCTTCTCTTCTACTTAGCTGACATCCTCAACTATGCTCTGACCCTTGAGCACCTCGAGGCCACGTTCTACGCTGAGGGTCTCAAGAACTATACCCAGGAAGACTTTGTCAAGGCTGGCATGCACGATCCCTTCTACGCCAACATTCAGGAGGTTGCTTCCGATGAGAAGTCTCACGTGGATTTCCTCACTTCTGCCTTGAAGGGTATGTCTACAATATTCGAGGATGACCATTTTATACTAACAAGTATCTAGCTGCCGGTGCCTCTCCCGTCGCGGCCTGCACCTACAACTTCCCATCCACCGATGTGAACAGCTTCCTGGCTCTCGCCAGCGTCCTTGAGGGTAAGCATCTCAGTTTCTTCTCGATTACAACTCAAACTAACCCTCTCAGGCGTCGGTGTCAGCGCCTACCTCGGAGCCGCTGCCTCCATCATGAACGATTCCTACCTCACAGCCGCCGGCAGCATCCTGACCGTGGAAGCCCGCCACAGCGCCTACCTGCGCGCCTCCCTCGGCGAGAAGCCCTACGCCCAGGCCTTCGACAATCCCCTTGACTTCAACGAGGTCTACACCGTGGCTTCCCCCTTCATCGTTTCCTGCCCCAGCAGCAACGGCGCCCTCCCCGTGAAGGCTTTCCCCGCTCTGACCATGAGCGACATGAGCGCCGTGATGACCGGCTCCAAGGTCAGCCTCATGGCTGGCTCCGGCTTCGACATGAGCGCGAGCGACATCATGGCCGCCTTCATCACCGTCACCGGACCCGTCTGGGCACCCCTTGAGTCGATGGGTGATGGCAAGTTCACCGTCACCGTCCCTGAGGGCGTTGCTGGACAGAGCTACGTCGTCCTCACCAAGGGCAACAAGATGGCCACTGATGACAACATTGTTGCTGGTCCCGCTATCGTTGAGGTAAACTAGAGTCGAAGTCGGTAGGCTTCTCTGTCTTACCACATTCATGTGCAGAGCTGATTTTGTTTATTAGGTTGGAAAGAAGGGTGCTAAGGGTAACATGATGGGCATGGGTATGGGTAATGGCATGGGCAAGAAGAACATGACTATGTCTTCGCCTTCGGCTATGCCTACCCGTGCTTCTACTTCTTCCATGCCCTGGAGCAGCACTTCTGCGACCGCTGCGGCCTCTTCTTCTCCTGTCTTCAACGGTGCGAAGAAGATGTCGGGTAGCATTATTGGTGTTGTTGGAGCTGGTGTTTTTGCTGCTGCTCTTATGTGAGTGGCCGGGAAGTAATTTCCAGACTGTACATCATTGGGTGGCTCAGTTTTATGTTCTTAGTAGTGTATCTCGGGATTATCACTACTGTTCTAGTTTAATTCATATCCAAACATTATCATTGTCTCAAACATGACCTATAATTATCCCCATTTCAAATATCTCCTCTATCACATTCCTAAATAACATAAATACAGACAACCTTGGGAATAGATGGCGCCTAAGTATAGCACGTCACATGACCACATCGTAAAATCACCACTCAAACACAAACTCCCTTGCATCAAAACACCCATCAGTGTGCATGATTGGCCTCGGCATGTTTGACTTCCACCATGCCCCCTCTCCGCGCGCACACCAAATCTCGCAACGGGTGCGATCAGTGCAGGAGTCGGCGGGTCAAATGTGATGAGCGGGGTCCACCGTGTTCAAACTGCTCGACACGCGAGTTAGAGTGCACGTACTTGAAAGTCGCCGCTGCACGCGGCCGCGCGACCAACTCCACACGACGCCCGAGTTCCGACCCGGCGCGATCGCTGTCAGGTGGTTCGCCGGCGGTCTCCCCCGGCGCGCTGCCAGCTGTTGCAAACTCGGTTTCGGTTTCGGCTTCGGTTTCGGCTTCCGGGTCAACTGCTATCCAGCCGAACACGTTTGGCATTGATAATCTGGAATTGATGCATAAGTATTCTACGGAGACTTATCAGAGTCTTTGTGTTAGTGATTCTGAAATCACGGTTTGGCGGAATACCGTGCCGAGGCTTGCTCTTAAGCATGATTACTTGATGAACGGCATTCTGGCGTTGGCGTCTATGCACATTGCCACGTCAGCTGAGCCGGCCGATGCGTTACTTTATCATGATACTGGGCTGCAGTATTACAATCGGAGTCTGACGCCATTTCGAAATGCGATCGATACTATCTCGCCGAGGAACTGTGATGCTGTTTTTGCACATTCGATTGTGATGATTGCTATCAGTATCACTGCGCCCAGACTTACCGCTACAAAGGATGAGTGCTCGAGTATTACCGAGAATATCGTGATCTTGTTCGAGTTACTGCAGGGCGTGAAGAAGATCCTGCAGGTCAGCCAGTCATGGATTAAACTCGAGCTGTTCTCGCAGGGTGCTTTCTGGAAGAGTGAGCCTGCAGAACTTGATCCGGATACTGAGGCTGCGCTCACGCTACTATCTGCATTGAACGATGAAGTAATGATTGGGATTTACTCGGATCAACATCGCATCAACAAACAAGTCATCGCCCATCTCCGCCATTGCTACGGGAAATTCGCACGCTCCCCAGATCCAGCCCCAGTCCTCGCCTGGCTCGCAGCCGTCGAGAAAGACTTTGTCGACAGTCTCAGATGTAGACAACCATTCTCCCTCCTCATCCTCATGTACTGGGGTGTCCTCCTGAAAGAGCTCGACGGAAAGCGCTGGTGGGCAAAGAACTCAGGCAACGCCCTCGTCTCAGAATTATATCTTGCCTTGAGATCCGGAGATCCTAGATGGGACAATGCCCTAGCATGGGTACAGCGCAAAATGGCGCTCTGAGAAACTGGTCAGAAGTTTAGGGTCCTTCGCTGTCCCGGGTAAATGTATTAGGGAGTCAGCATTCGGCGTCTGGGCACACATGTACAATAGCATAAAAGCGAATCAGAATGATTTTCCATACAACACGGTCATCCCTCGAAGTGAGTGTACCCTTTGATACATTATTTGTGTCTTGGCATCTCTTTTCATCTATCTATTTTTTTAGTCTCTTTTGGCCCATTTTTAAGCGCAGTGGATTGATTATCTAGATCAAAGGTGTGAGGGTCTCTTGTATTCTTGGCGAGTTGTCGGGGGCCCCGGACTAACAAATATTTACGTCATACATCGGGCAGAGCTTAAGTAGTTGCTACACCCATATACATTATTTCAATCTATCCAAATCAAAGATCCAAGTCGGCATAGTACTAATTTTTCAACCAAGCATCCAACCTCTACCAATTTCAAAATGCCCTCCGACCCACCCAAACCACCAATATCAAACGCAACCCACGGCCTAGTCGGCACCCTAAAACCGTGCACAATCCCCTCAATCAACAGCACACATCCAAACCAAAAAGCATGGAACGCCGAATCCTACACCTTCCTCGAAGAGGACTGCCCCCAAACCGCAAACCCAACCCTCTGGCAGCAAAGCCACCTAACATCAATAAATGGCCTCTTCGAAGTCACAGCAGGCGTCTACCAAATCCGCGGCTTCGACGTAGCAAACATGACAATAATCGAAGGCGACACAGGAATATTAGTGGTCGACCCATTGACCTCAACGGAAACCGCTGCGGAGGCGTTATCCCTGTACCGCAGTGTCCGCGGCGAAAGACCCGTTTCAGCGCTTCTGTATACACATTCATCCATCGACCATTTCGGCGGTGTGCAGGGGGTTTTGCCTCCGGAGGAAGGAGTCAAATATAACATTCCGATTATTGCGCCTGAAGGGTTTATGGAGGCTGTGACGAATGAGAATAACTTTGTTGGGAATGCTATGGCCAGGCGGACTATGTTTGTTTATGGGAGTTCGCTTGCTCGGGATGCTGGGGGTACTGTTGGGTGTGGGATTGGGAGTTCTGTTTCTACGGGGTGTTCTTCGTTGATTCCGCCGAACATTTTAGTGAAGCATAACGAGGAAGAGAGGGTTGTTGATGGTGTTAGGATTGTGTTTCAGCTTGTGAAGGGGGATGGGGTGGCTTCTGAGATGAATTGTTATTTCTCGGTGCAGCGGGCGCTTTATTTTTCTGAGTGTTTGGTTCAGGGGTTGCATGCTGTTTCTTCGTTGAGGGGTGGGACGGCTGTTGATGTTAAGGGTTGGTCGAGAGTTTTGGATGAGGCTTTGGTGCTGTTTGGGGAGGAGGCTGAGGTTCTTTGTCTCGGGCATACTTGGCCTGTTTGGGGGACAGAGGAGATTGAGTTGGTTGTTGCGAGCCAGAGGGATTTATATGCTTATTTGCATGATCAGACTGTCAGGTTGATGAATCGCGGTATGAATGGGGTTGAGATTGCTGAAGTTTTGGATTTGCCGGTCGGTTTGCAGGATACCTGGCATGCGCAGGGCTTCTATGGCTCTGTCAGCCAAAATGTGAAGGGCATTTATCAGCGGTATATGGGGTGGTTTGATGGTGATGCTGCACGGCTGTGGGAACATCCGCCTGCTGAGAATGCGAAGAGATATGTGTTCGCTATGGGTGGTATTGACAAGGTGATTGACAAGGCTGAACACTTTGTTCACGAGGGTGATCTTCGCTTTGCTGCTACGTTACTCGGCCATGCCGTCTCTGCCGATCCCATGCATGCTGAAGCCAAAGAATTCCTAGCAGGGGTGTATACGAGTCTCGGATTTGGGGCTGAGAATGCCACCTGGCGAAACTATTATCTATCTGCGGCTCAGGATCTGGGAAGAATCCCCGGTTTGCAGACCAAGACTCTGGGTTCTGGAATGAAAATGGGCCAATCAGTGGATCAGTGGTTTGATCTATTGGCCATTCGATTGAATGGGCCCAAGGCTGGGACTGAGTGCTTCGCTATTGATGTCCATGTTATCGACGAGCAGAGATGGTGGCGGATCAATCTAAGCAACGGAGCGCTGACCTACAGGAGTGCGCTTGCACAAGATGGATTTAGTGGCGTTTCAGGCTTGACGCTTATTCTACAGAAGAAAGAGTTATTCGCCGTGCTGGGTGGCGTTTGGCTGCAGCATGCACAATCGGGCGATTTGGGATTATTGGAGAAATTGTTGTCATTGATCGAAGACTAGGGGTGCAATCATGTACATTCCCAAAATTGCGGCTACATTGATCTATAACCTCTCTCCGCAAATCAACTTTCAGTCCGAGGTCCGCGGGGTAAGTCTAAGCCCCAAACTGTTAGGCCCGCTGTCATCTCGGGGTGTATCGAGCTAGTTGCTAGAGTGCAAGCCAAGCGAGTAGAATTGAGAAACGGTTTGACCTCCCAAGATTCACCCCGCTCCAGAACTGGCGTGACAACGTAAGCGCTACAGTAAGTCAGCTAATGGTAGCATAAAAAGCCTCGTATCCCCAAAGGGCAACCCATTCCCCTCTTTCTCAAATATCAATTTCCCTCAACATGGCTACTCCCACCTGCTCCGTAGAAGAGTTCACCAGCACGACATTCGACTATGTCATCTGTGGCGGAGGAACTGCCGGGCTGGCAATCGCAGCACGTCTGAGCGAAAACCACAATGTGACAGTCGGCGTCATCGAAGCGGGAAAGTATCGCATCGGAGATCCGTTGATCGATACCCCGGCAGCTTTCTCTCAGATGTTTGAAAATCCCGAATACGACTGGTGCATGTATACATCGCCGCAGGTATCATCCCATCCCCTCTTTACTTTCTCTCATCCGATACAAGTCTTAATCTACTTTCCACCATTAGGAAGGAAACAATGGGAAAGTCCACCATATCCCCCGAGGCAAAGCTCTCGGCGGTTCCAGCGCCATCAACTACATGATGTACGTCCGAGGCTCATTGCAAGATTATGATGATTGGGCGGAACTCGCAGAAGATGAAGGATGGTCTGCAGAGATCATGCAACGATATATGCGAAAGCATCAGGTACTTCCAACCCTCCACCTAGCATACCCAGCCAAAATACAAAAAGCACAAGGCTAAGAAAAAAGACTCTCGAACCAATCGATCCCTCAATCACAGATACGTCGACAATGCCCCTAGTAGGCCAATTCCATGGCACAAGCGGCCCAGTCCGAACAAGCTTCAATGACGCTGTAATGCCAGTGGAAAACGACGTCATCAAAGCTTGCGAGGAGACTACTAATATCTCTAATAAACCGCTCGATCCCTGGAGTGGTGACCATATTGGTTTCTATCATACTCTGGGTTCGGTTGTGCGCACTGGACCTAATAAGGGTAAGCGTAGTTATGCTGCGCGCGGCTACTACGAGGCGAACCGTGAGACAAGGCCTAACCTGAAAGTGCTTTGTGAGGCACTTGTTAACAAGGTCATTCTTGATGGTAATAAGGCTTCTGGTGTGAGTCTTAGTCATGGGCGCGTTGAGTATCAAGTCTCTGCAAGGCGAGAGGTGGTTGTTTGTGGTGGAACGATCAAGTCGCCTCAGATTTTGGAATTGTCGGGAATTGGTGACCCCAATGTGCTCGCTGCTGCGGGTGTCGAGTGCAAGGTTGCCAATCCTGCCGTTGGTGCGAATGTGCAGGATCATTGTATTTCTTTGACGATGTTCAACGTTCAACCTGGCGTCATCACGCTTGATACCCTCGCACAAGTCCCGGAGGCTATGCAAGCTGCCGGGAAGCAGTATGCTGAGACTGGTGGCGGTCCGTTGAGTTGTGTTGCCAGTATGCAGGGGTTCTTCCCAGCAAAGAAGATCCTTTCGGAGGAAGAGTTTGAGGGTGTTTTGAAGAGTATTCGGGATGTTGAGCCGACGAGTGCTTTCCATGAGAAGCAGCTGAAGCAGGTTATTTCTCATCTTGAGAGTGATCATTCGGCTAATTTGCAACTCGTTCTTGTCCCTGCTTCTATGGATCCTGAGGGTATTGAACACCAGAGCAAGCTCCTTCCGCCTAGGTCTGCGGATCAACCTGCGGGCCTTACTTTTGCGATGTGTTTGCAGTATCCTGTTGCAAGAGGATCGATTCATATCAACTCCTCTGGTATGTTCTTGCCCTTTTCTCCTTCTCCTTTTCTCCTTTTTTCTTGTGCAAAATTGCATACTAATTGACACGTAGATCCGACTAAACAACCTGTCATCAACCCCAACTACGCCGGCCACGAGGCAGATATCTCTCTCCTCGCTGCTGCAATTCGCTGGAGTGACAAGGTTACTGAATCCTCGCACCTCAAGCCATCAATCCTTGGTCGGGCAGTCCCCGAGCCGGAAATCAACTTGCAAGACTTTGAGGCTGCTAGAAAGGTAGTTCAGGATCTTGTTGCGGGCGAGTACCATATCTGTGGCTCGGTTGCGTTGGGTGATGCGCTTGATTCTAGGTTGAGGGTCAAGGGTGTTGAGGGACTTCGGGTTGCTGATGCTTCAGTGTTCCCTAACAACGTTAGTGGAAATATCGTTTCTAGTGTTTATGCTGTTGCTGAGAAAGCGGCGGATTTGATTCGTGAGGATTGGGATTTTAAGCCCGTTCCGAAGGCTGTGGCTTGATTGAGTTTGTTTTGTCGAATGTTTATTGTTACGATGGTCAATTGAATATATTCACAATTCGAAATAGTATATGAGTTGATGTTTGACTTGTGTACGGACAACCCCGATGACTATTCAGGCTAGTTGGGTCTTATCTATGGGCTCCAAGTCCAGACCTCGACACCCCAAAATTAGAATGCATGCACATGCACACGGGGATACAGAATGGCGTGAATCAAGTGATCAGCATACAAACATGCAACCTGCATCCTGCATCCTTGGAACATGCAGAGAAGCATAGAAGAAAAACTCGTGGAAATGAGAGAATCACCTGACGCTCTCAGCAAATCGCAGGCGCACGTGCGGCAGAGCTGCACACGCTAAACCTAACACGGACTAACGACGTCTGCGCGGGGAGCTCAGTGTCTCGCCTCTTTTATTTTCAATCTTGACTTCAGCTTTTCCTCTCTCAACATTGAATTCTGCAATTGAACGAGTCACTCGATCATTTCAATCTCACATTCCACCATGTCCAGCCAACCCCTCCTCCAAACTGCCCCGGGTATGTCCTATCCAGCCCCCATTCCAGACCTCCGCCCTGGAACTCCCCGATCTTTCCAACCCAATCCAATGCAATTCAGTCAATGTACTAATACACACCAGGCAAGCGCATCGCGCTCCCAACCCGCGTCGAGCCCAAAGTCTTCTTCGCCAACGAGCGTACCTTCCTCTCCTGGCTCAACTTCACCGTCATCCTGGGCGGTCTCGCAGTCGGCCTACTGAACTTTGGTGATCGCATCGGTCGGATCTCCGCCGCGCTGTTCACTGTCATTGCAATGGGTGCGATGATCTATGCCCTTGTTACATTCCACTGGCGGGCGCAGAGTATCCGCCGTCGTGGGTCGACGGGTATCGACGACCGTTTCGGTCCGACTATTCTTGCTATTGCTTTGCTTGCCGCTGTGGTTGTCAACTTCATTCTGCGCATTCGCGATGGACAGATGAACTAGATTGACTCAACTACAATGTACTTGGATTGGATTACTGTATGGAGCTGTTTTGTTACTGTTGTCGCAGACCCTACTCTGCTTGATGCCCGGCATCTGATATTGTCTATTCTAGCCGTCTTATGATTTTCTGGCGTACATGGTCTTTTGCTGCTTCTCTTGAATGCAGCGTCTCATTGCAATTGGCGTTTGGCTATTGGTGCAAGGTCCCAAAAGAATGAAGTATATTTCACATATCAAGTCATATTTACATATTGACATCTCCTTCTATCCCTTCACTTCAGTTCCTATTTCAACAATAGTCCTTCTGCAGAACCTCTCCATCCAAATACCCAGCCGCAATCATCTCCTCGAAATTCCAATAATCTTGTTTAATCCCCTTCCCAGCACCGCCAGCCACCTCAACATCACTGTGGAACTTGGCCGTCCAGAACGTACTCCCCTGGGTAAATTGGGCCCAAGCCGACAAGCCAGCTCTAAGCGCCTCCCCCCTCAACTCCAATGAATTCGAACCCCCAGCCTCAATAGCCCACTCCCCAACAAAAACCGGAAATTTCCCATCAGACAACGAATCCCGCGCATCATCACAAACAAACCGCCCAATATTCGCACTCGTAGCATTCTCATACTGGAAATAATAATGATGCGCATCAAAAACAACATTAGCCCCACCCTCAAAGAAAGGACTCCAATACCGTTCCGGCTTGAAACTTCCCTGGACCATAACGGGAATCCTCCGATCAACAGCCTCAACTCTAGCAATAACAGCGCGAATATACTTGACCAACCACTTCGCACCAGCATCACTCAAAGCAGCAGGCGTCCCAAACGTCGAAAAATCCCGATTATCCACCGGCTCATTAATGGGTTCAAGCGTATATCCCCACGGGACATCAGAGTCCACAATAAACTCCACAACTGCATCGACAGCCCGCAACGACCACTCCAGTGCGGTGGCATTGTTATACCACCCCCAATGACCAACAGCCTCGCCGATATCAAGACCATTCGTCCCGCCGGGTAGAGAGTGGATATCAATAACGACATGCATGCCATGCTGTTTGATGGCGTACTCGGCTATCCGGCGTAGATGGGCTTGTTGATGGCCGTGGTAATGTGCTGAACCGGGGAGATGGATCCAAGCTGCGTATGTTGTGGGGATGCGGAGGATTGTTACGCCTGCCGAGGCGAGGGTGTCGATGTCTGTGGTTTTTATCCAGGTTTTGTAGCGCTGCTCGAGGATGGGGCCGCATTTTGATCCGAGGTTTTCGCACATTGTCCATTCGTCGCTGGCGTTGCCGGCGTTGGTCTTCCACCATGTTGTGTCGATTGTTGATTCTTGGATTAGCCAGCCGCCTAGGTTTACGCCGTAGCCGGTGTGGTTGCGCCAGTTTATGTATTTGGGGGTGTTTATGTTGGGTTTGGCAACGACATGGTGGGATTGTTGGCTGGATTGGTGGTTGGTGTGTTGGTTGGTTGGGATGGCTCTCGTCAGGCTCAGGAAGAGAGCTGCCGCTGTCAATGTGAGGTGGGCACGCATTGTGAGAAGGAAGCTCTCTGAGGGAGGGACAGAATACTTCAGAGTATCACGGTCTTGATCTGAATCAATTCAATTCTTCATGTGGGTATATACATCTCTTATATAGTTCACCGAGCACCCACTTCGACACTCATCTCCATCGCCATGACATGCACGAGCCGAGTCACCCACCTGAGCCACACGACACACCATCGAAAACAGGCACAACCTCGGTGCTATTCCCCCGTCAATGTGCTAGGATTCTCCGCAATGTGGAGAGAGCAGGAAAAGCCGAACGAGCTCACGGGAACCCTCGCGGCAAAACTGACCCTAGATCAGATATTAAGGCCGGGACCGTTACGTCGAACGGGTGAATGCCAAGAACGCTCTACCCCATGATAGTCAGGGATTAACGGATCTAGTGCGGAGAATGAGGTATACTCTATATCGGGCAATATGAGTGGGTGGTTATGCGGGTGAAGTACCCCAGATGTGGATGTTAGCAGTGGCTGTTTTGGGATTAGGGTTGGGATCAGCTGGGAGGGGGGTAGTGGCTGATTTGTTCGGAGATTCCATTTTACTTTGTTGTGGGTTTTGGTGATCCGAGGTGTCGCTATTCGGAGGGATTGTTTCCGGTCGGATTGTCCGAATCAGTTTATATAACTATATCAGTTGTCGAGTTTCGGTGTTCGTTGTATAAGTTATAGTGTTGGTGTATACCACGGAGTATACACGTGAACTGCCGAAGGGTCTGTGGACACTCGGGCAATGCCGCGACACTTTCTGTTTCGATTGAGTTCCATGATCTTCCATGCCTCAACCTTGTTTTTGTCATGATTCATTGATGTTATTCACTCCGTTATAATATACGGTGACGACTGAACTAGTGAAGTTGATTATAACAATTAAATGCTTATGGGGCGCTACGGCAGTATGCCCCAGATCTTGATTTCGATCGCATACTCCAACAGGTTGGGCCAGACTCTTGGCGTGATAGAGGCCGCACACATCCGGTGTGATACTCGACTGTGAATTGTGGATTGTTTATTGATGGGTTGTCTATGTTGTTTATTATTCCATTCTATTGATTTTGTTGATCTGGATTTTGTAAGATTGACTTTCCTACAGTGATATTCAAGTGATTGACTAGAGGGTATACATCCAAAATCGAGGCAGAAGTGAATGACGTGTCGCGGGTGCGTTTGAGACTCATCCAATGGTACCTAGCTGAACCATATTAATAGTATGAGCTGAACAAGTATCCCCGTCTCCACCCTCTCCCCTACCCTTCCCATTCCCTTCTGTTTGGAACCCCTTTCTCCCTTCTTCCCCTTTGCTTTACTTTACTTCACCTTTTGTTTACTCTTTCCTCTCGACTTTCCCTTCCCTTTCTACCTTCCCTTCCCTTGGGCCTTATTAATAGATTTTTCGTAATTCCTTTCGGTTCCATTCTCTACCTTACTACCTCTGCCTTACGCTACCGCTCCTTAGCGCATGGACCATCTGGATCGTCCTAATTCCCATACTATCGCATGGCATGTTTCGCTTGCTACCCTGGCCCTCGACAATAGGAGGGAATAAGGTGATGGAGGAAGTCAAGATGCTGGCTCCAACCAACTGCACACTCAACTCGCTGTCTCTACCTCAACTCAAGCGCAAACGTTCCGACGACGCGACCGATGCTCCCGCCCCGACGAAGCTCTGCACAGAGTCGCTCTCCACACGCCCTGCCGCTACGACTGTAGTGATCCCAGAGTCGCTCACCCCTAGCACTCCGACTACCCCATCTGTCTCCTCGTTAAATCCACCGGTCGCGGCGCCGCGTCCGCCGGCGCAGGTCGCCCAACCGGCCCCCAGCACCAACCACTTGAGAGATACTATCACCGCACAACTGAGCCTCGAGGTCCTCCTCAAGCACAACGAACTCCGTCTCATTGACCAGGAAATCGCCAAGTGCCAGGTCGCCCTCGAGCAGCTGCGTCGCTGCGCTGAAATCCCTTACCCGGGCTCACGTGTCGCCGGTGTATCCGCCGATGTGAGCTCCGGCACGGGCGCATCGCTAGCACCTGGAAATGGTCCGCCGCCGATGTCGCCTGCGCCATGGGGAGTCACCGAGGGTCCCTACTCGCGCCACTACGCCCGCTGGTTGCTGCCTGATCCGCGATTTGACGGTGGCGAAGATGGGCTAACGATTCCTCCGCTGGTCGAGGGTCGCTCTACGCGCGGGAACCCGGGTGACCTAGGCTCGCTGGCGGGCAAGTCTCGTCCTCAGCGTGGTTCGACTGGTACCAAGCATACCTCCCTATCCAGTGGATATCCCCTGGTCAAGGAGAAGCCTGGTCCCATGCTGATCCGGCGCAAGTCGGATGGTGTTCTGGTCAAGCTGGTCTGTCTAGACTGTCGCCGCGACAATTTCTCTTCTACGCAAGGATTTATCAACCACTGCCGTATCGCGCACAACCGCAACTTTGCGAGTCACGATGCTGCTGCCGTTGCCTCTGGTGAAGCGGTCGACGTGGACGATGCTGGGGCTGTTGTTGGTCGCAGCGAACCGACTAGCACTGGCAGTGTTCAGGCTCCTGGCTACGTGCACCCTCTCATCCGCTCTGCTCCCATTCCCACTCCTCCCAAGGCTACGCCCACCGAAAAAGAGTTTGCGACACCTGTCAAACCTGCTGCGGCTAACGCTTCCGCGGTCGCCACTCCTCCCGCCACTGTCCCATCCAACCGCCGCCAGTCTGAACCTGTGCGTTTGCCCCTGAACCCGCAGTTCCTGGCCTCGCCTGCCACACCTCACCTCTCTGCTCTGATGAAGTCCCGCGGCGCCGGCTTGGACATGCAGAAGCTTGTCAGCGAGGCCCGCACTCCAGTGGATCTGGGCAGTCTCTCCGACGATGAAACTGACGAAGACTCCCGCCCATCCAACTCCGACGACACATCCCAACTCAATGGCCGCGTCGGCCGCCAGCCAATGCGCATTCCGATTGCTCAAGCAACCCAGCCCGAGAGCCGAAAGGCCTTGGATCGTAACCATGGGCCGTTAATAGAAGAGTCGACCCCATCGCGCCCCAAACCCTTCTTGGATATCTCCGGGCCTACTCAGTCTTCTCTGGCATCCCATGACAACGACCATGCCAACCTCAGTCCCCACACCATCGAGTCAAACCAAGCCCCTAGCCTGGTTAGCGATGACGAAGATGACTACGAGGCTGCCTCGGATGAAGATGGTCTCTCATCGTCTGAAGCAGACGAACAGGAAGAGGAGTTCAGACACATTCACGTCGAAGACGACGAGCGTGCTGCTGCTGCTCCTGCCGCTGCGGAAGCCAAACCTGGCCCTTCACTCGCTAGCCCTGCGCCCCAGTCTGCCACACCTTTGTCGCAGCCACTGAAGCGCAGCCGCTCGAAGAAGATGGGTATGGTTCCTTTTGGCGAGAGCGATGACGCTCGTCAAAACCATACTCGTGTTGGCTTTGTCCACTCTACCGAGAATCCCACCCAGCCCAAGTGTGAGAGGAAGAATTGATTCATCACTTCAACTCCTACAGCCACAACCTACGATCTACCCAGTCCAGTACAGTCTCAGCAAGTCCCAACCTGCCTGATCTTCTTGGTTTGAACCGGCCCGATCTCGTTAACATCAAGTTAACAAAACAAAACAAAAAACACAATAACGCATCCCTTTTGTTACCACGCCCCAAATATTTCCCCGAAACCAAGCAACAAAAAAACAAAACAAAATCATCTGAAAATGCGGTCCATCTTGACGATGATCAACCCCGATGCATGGAGTTTGAAGTTGATCTGGGACGATATTGATGACTCTCCTATCTCTCCCCTTACCCTACCAAACCCTATTAAGTCCTTGAGGGCTTTCACCTTATCAAGCACTTTTTAAAACGCTATCAACTTACACTATCACGCTACTCTTCTCAACTCTACTCTTCTTGTGATGCATGCGTCCTCCCTGTTTTACTTCTTATCCTGATATTTGCCTTTTAATGAAGACTTTACGGCCGTTTTTGTACATAGCGTGAGATTGAAATGTTACTGGTTTGGCATAGAACCCGTTCTTTGGTAGAGTAAGAGTCATCTCCAGCATTAGCATGTGAAGCATATGTAACATGTGATACACTATCATAGAGTAAACCCGGGTAAAATACCCTGTCCTCGTAGGAGGTGGTGGTGGTGTGTGCAGCTTACCTGCCCAGGCCAGACCAGACCAGACCAGATGGAGCATGGAGCTCCAACTAACGGCTAACGCCCAACGCCACTAGCCAACACTAGCCAACGCCCAACGCCTCCCCGGCCTCAATTTCAATCCGTATCTTCCAATCGGGGATCAGGGTGTATCTATCCGGACCGAGCTAGTCGTGCCCAATCGGGCATTTAGACTTTCTTTGTTAGGCGTGCCAGATCAACGTACTGGACTCGATCGGGCCGCTTGGCAGCTTGGCAGCTTGGCAGCTTGGGGGCCTAGTATACGAATGTTTCCAAGATTGAGGTCTCTTGTTTGGGTTTCATCGATCTTCTCGTGAGTTCAGTTTATACTATGAGTTTTGCGTGGAAGATACTTGTCGTAGGAACACTTTTGGTTTTTTTGGTCATTGCCTTTTGATATCGACTCTCATGCTGTCTTTCCACCATGCCGCCATTCATACCATATCAGCCAAAGCTCTCGCCTCCAGCCCGCTAAATATCAATCCGAGCAAACTATTTACACATGAAAAAAGTGCCGGACAAGCGGGTCATAGGAAACATTCCCATACGCCGAGCCCCCGAACGTCAAATAACCCTCATCAACAGGATCCGACTGCACCGTGATATCCGACCGGTTTCCAAATGCAAAAACGGTCTGCATGCCCATGACCATATGCTGAAGAATATGACAATGCATCATCCACACCCCAGCATCCGTAACCCGAACCCGCCACGCCCTCCAACCCGACGGCGTTAGAGCGGTCGTTTGACTTCGATACGCGTACAGCACGGTCGTGTCCCGAACTAGTGGGTGTGTCCCTTTCAAGCGCTTCTCGTTTTCTGTCGCGTTGTATAGCCCGTCACCGCCGCCGATGTCGTAGAAATGTCGACCGTGGCCGTGGAAGGGGTGGTTCTCGACGCCGCCGGTGTTTACTGCTCCTTGGTTTTGCCAGATTATTTCGAGGACTTCGTTCATCTTTGCGGGGTAGAGGCGGGTTTGGTTGTCGAAGCCGTTGCCACTGGTCATTGCTCGCTGGTATGAGGCGTCTAGGTCTAGTTTGCCGGTGTATATATCGACTAGGTAGGGTGACTTGGGGAATGTTTCCATCCAGTCGTATCCGCTTTGGAGCCAGACGAGATGAGCACTGACATTTTGGTGAACGTCGATTATGATGCGTCGGGTTACTTCTGTGGATGTTGGGAAGTTGGGATCTGGCTTGTACGGTTCCAGGGCGTAGTCCATCCAGCCATACGTGATCTTCGCCACGGGGAGGGGAGGAGGGGCAGGGACGGTGGTCAAATCAGTCGTGTTTGGAGATGGGTATTCCAAAACTGCAAAGGCTGTCAGGACAGTTGGCCGGCCGAGGGTGGTGAGCTGGAAGTAGAATTGTCTGGACCTCGCCTTTTCCAACTCGGCTTCGGTCTTGGCCTTTAACAGCACACTGTACCGTTGGCCGCTGGCAATCTGCAAGTAACTCGTATTCACCGGCTTGGTGTAATGACCATCCGCTTCGATGATCTCGAATAGATCGTGGCCCTCAATGGCCAAAGAGATAAATGACAAAGCCGTTCCCCCAATAAACCGTAGACGATATGTCTTCCCAGGCTTGACGCTGATAGTAGCCAGTTTGCAGGACCCCGTGGCATTAGTGGACAGTCGGCCTTGGCCGTTCACCAAGACGGCATCCGTCTCTCCACTCCATGAAAAGTTAGCTGAGAGAAGGCCATCCTCGATCTCCTGGTCTGTTTTCGCGAAGAAATCTGACAGAGCAATAATGCGCTCTTCGTCGTACTTGTATGGCGGGGGTTGGGCCGATTCCACAATAAGTGCGCCTATGGCAGAGACGGCCTGGAACCCAACGTGTGAATGGTAGAAGTACGTGCCAGCATGGTCGACCTCAGGGCGGACCTCATAGTCAAAGAAGTGGCCAGGAGGAATAGGCCATTGGCTGGCCATTGGAGTACCATCTGAGAAGGGCGCGGTAACAGCAGAAAGACCGTGCCAATGCTTTTATCTTGTGAGCTTTATTGGATAGAATAGGGAGGGCAGCATGTAGAGTACCATTGTGACATTGGAATCCTCCATGTCGTTGTAAACACGGATCCAGCTCACTTTGTCTTCCTGGAGACGCAACTCCGGACCGGGAGAGGACTCGTTCACCAAGACTGAGTATCTTTCCATGCATGCTTGGCTGTAATTTTGAGCTGTCACTCGGAGAATATGGTCGGGTTGGAAGGAGTTGTCATGACGAACGAGTTGTCCTTGAGTTGCTGTCGCTAACCACAGGGCCAGGCAGAGTGTGGGTAATATGCCACCCATTTTTGGAAAGCAACCCATCATTAGAGCAGAATAGGGTAGCTCTGGATCTGAAGGATAACCAGAAATGCAAAATATCAACTTTCTTCTGGTATCTCCTATGCCATTGATTCAGCAGCTGTATCACATTACATGATAATTCGAGACTCGAAACGCAGGGTACACCGGGAACATACAAACCATTTGACATTAGTACAAATATCTATGGGCAAGGGCAAGTTAAGGGGCGATCAAGTAATTTGAGGGGCCCGGATTCCTTATCAAAGTGATATAAGTCACCAATGTTTCAATATTTCCAAATAAGAGCTTAAGGAAAACTTTCAGATATAAGTGCAAGTGCTCAAATCTGCCACCAATGGGAGATTAATTTGACTTTCAAATCTTGAGGCTAACAACTTACCGTTGTCCACATGTATTCCCTACATTCCTCTGAAATTTTCCCAACATACCAAGAATGGACTAATGGAATTTAACCGGTCAGCTGATTTTTGAGTATTACTATACAACGTCAAAACGCGCAAGGGTTCCAGCGACCAGCATGGGTAACTGAGCAATGGAAGCATTACCATTACTTTTGGGAAATCAGACCTTACCTCGTGCTATGCTGATCAGTCTATAGACCAGCCTCCTTCTATGCAAAGGTACTAAATGCATATACGATATCACATGCTATCACATCTGTAGATTACTAGCTGAATATACTGGTAAGCATCCAAATTCATCGCGACAAATATCCATTTTATCTAACCATGGGCTTGGCTGTACTCGAAGCACAAAAGCCGTCCGCTGTGGGGATGACCCACAGGCGCTATCGATAAGCCAGCTTTATTTTGTCACCTCCTCCATCTACTCTCTAGCATCCCGACCCTTAGCATAAAGAACACATTTTATTCTACCACAGTCCCAGAGAAATAGGTATGATTAGTCCCAAGCCAGACTACGAAGCCTCTGCATCGCCAGAAGGCGAAGATGGCTCCGAAGGCGCGCTGGCCTTCCACCCCAGCCACATTACCCTCTCAACCTTCAACCGTCTACTAGTCTGCTACCCGAAAACCGTGGAGCAAGTCCATCGGAAAAAATTGATTCGGAAGCTTCAATCAAAAGCAAAGCCTAAGCGCAAGTCGGCCAAGAATTCAGCAGACGCGCAGGACACAACACTACAGAAAACAGACCTCCCTCCCGCCGAGGAGGAGCAGATCCAAGATGACCTGGATAAATTCCTGACACTTGATCGCTGGAGATATGAAACTCTGCCTAAGGAACTCGCCAAGCGAAAGGGTGACCCGGCCCATCTGACCAAGGATGAATTGATTGAGATCATGGCGTGGAAAACGTGAGTTACCAAACCGCTGCACATAGTCGAATACCCAGTCGCCACTATCCATCCCATCGCACCATACTCTCAGCCCCTTTTCAACATTTCTAACAAAGTATAGCTCCCACGGCCGCCCCCGCCCAATGTTAATGGGAATGATAAAAGCCAATCAGCAAAGCACAATAACGAAAGCGACATCCGAGGCTTTCACTTCTTTGCCTGTCTTGGACCCAATTACGGAATCTGAAGAGGCATTCCCAAAAGCTAGTCTGGACGCATTGACGACTTCATTGCGTGGTGTTGGACCTGCGACTGCGTCGCTCATTTTGTCGATTGCCACTGTTGTTGGTGAGCCTGTGCGCCAGGTTCCGTTCTATAGTGATGATGCTTATTTGTGGCTTGTTTTGGGGGCTTATCCTGCTGCAAATCCTGGGGAGGGGGAGGGAGAGGCGAAAGTAAAGGGTGTGAAGGCCAATGGGGAGTTGGATGTTAAGTATAATTTGAAGGAGTTTCGAGGATTGTGGGATGAGGTGCAGGACTTGAGGGCGAGGCTGAAGGAGGATGGGGATGGGTTGGGGTCTGTTTCGACGGTTGATGTCGAGAAGGTTGCTTACGTGCTTCGGCATATTGTTGTCTCTGGTTATGACTTTGGTCACCATCAAGATGTCAGCGAGGCTGCTGTTACAGACTCTACAAAGGGATCTGATAGGCAGACCAAAAGGCGCAAGTTGAAGTGAAGGAACTGAGGATTGGGGCGAGAAAGCAGGATGGGAGCGAAGGACCAGGATGGGATGGGAACGGAGACAAGAAAGAGAATGAAGACATACAACAAAGACCAGCCAACCCTCAAGGCACCAGCACAAGAAAAACACCCTATATGATGGCAAAAAAGAAAGAGATACTAACTCTCGCCCCGTTTGGCCAAACGGTAAAAGACATGACCTCCCTACAAGACGTTGCAGGATGGGAACCGTCATGCGGCTGAAGAAGAGAACCTACTGCTGTTCGAGCCTGGGAGGAGACCAATAATTTATTTCGGTAATGAGGTCTATGTCTAGCATCCTGTGTCCGGTGCGACAACATCTCCCCAACAGCAGTAGGCTTAGCTTCTTCGGCAGGTAATTGGCACGATCTCGTCTATTGGTGACGAGCACCAATAACACCCTGAGGGCTAGGACCACCTTTTTTGTTTCTTTCATCTTCCTTTTTTGGTGTGTTGTGAGGGCATTCACGGCTTGTTTTGGTGTTTGCCTTGGGGGTCAGGCTTCACTCAACGTGTGCACCAATGCTCTTCGTCATGTCTCGTCTCCCTTCTTGATACACAGGACTCTCATTTACATCTTACATTTCAAGTCAGTATTCCCGTGTTTATCATTACATTATATTCGATTATCATCACAAAAATACCCCCAACCCCACTGCAACCAAACACCCCCAACCCAATCCCCATTCGCTATTCCTATACCCAACCACACTCCCTCCAGTCATTTGCATATGAGCTTCCAATCCACTATATGACGTGGTTGGATGCCCTTCCTTGATCCCTGAATCGGGATTCGAATCACCACCTGTATCGATCTCATTGGCATTCCCAGATGGACGAGTAGTTGAAGTCGAAATCGTAGCTGGCATTGCCGTCGATGTTGTCATAGAACTGAGACAATCCGCGCTTTTTCCACCAATCTGTTAGTTTTCTTCCTCCATATTCATGAATGTATGCAATCTCTGTCTCGACTTACCTCCTCTCAGCACAAGGTGTGCTTACAGCATTACCAGCTGGGATTGTTTCGGCGATTGTGAATGTGGTGCTTAATGCTAGAAGGAGGGGAAGGGTTGGTATTATAAAGCGCATATTGAATACGATTCAGTTGTATTTGGCGTGCGTGGCGAAATATCAACAAAGGGAGATCATACAGAACTGTGACGGCGCAGGTTGGATAAAATAGAGCTGAAAATCGCGGTTGATTATGCCAACAATGGGAGATTGGGTATAATGTACCAAATGATTCTACATATCAAGCAGAGACAAAACATTCTTTTACTATGATTCCCCATATCTAGTGTCTACATGTACATACTGTATATCAGACCAATTCTGTATCAGGATTCAGGTCTGACTGGAAACTACAATCCCCCATAATTCCTTGGCTTTCAATCGATTTGCATGTCAGATCCGGGGTCATCAGATCACCTTCAATATTTCCAGAATGAAGATCTGGGGGATAGCGATAGACGCCAAACAATTCCAGAGTATGCAGAGTATTGCATTTTTGCGTTGTTGCTTGGGGTTGGCATTCCTTTGGACATTCTTGGGACCGTGCTTTAGGTTTAGAATTTGGTCCGCCAATAGGGAGGGTTCCGATTGATGAGGTTTGTGTTGTAGGGACGGGTACCTGCAGGTTGGTGTATACAGTAAATCTACATTTATGGAGATGCAAGTGCAATGCGCAGATAACCGGGTTATCGGTGCTGCTGTTTGACCTGGAATGTTTGTAAGTGGATGGAATATGAACTAGGCCAGGAGGCATCCCTTGCTTCTTTATATCAACTAATCCAATCTCGTGGTCTATGGTCAATAATTCATTACAGTATCTATCCAGTGTATCAAATCTACACCAGGCATACTCTGGTAATCAACTAAGCATATGTACAACGAAACTCATCACTTAAAGCCCCTTAGCCTGCTTAGCCTCAGTAAGCGCCTCCTTCAGCGCCGCCAGGGCATTATCCACATCCTTGCGGTTGGGGTCAGTAACACTGACACCCATGTGGCCGAAACGAATGTACTTGGTAGCAATCTCCTTGTGCAGACCAGCTGCAAAGATGACACCACGCTTCAGCAGACCGGGTAGGACATCAGGGGGAGCCAGACCTTCGGGCAGGTACATGGCAGTCATACCGTGAGCCTGGCACTCGGGACGGGGAGCGAGCTGCTTAAGACCCAGCGCGGCAGCGGCGGCCTTGACCTTGTCCGAGACCTGGGTGTGAATGGCGAACCGACCGGGGACATCGGCTGTGATCTGGCTGAGGGTTGTGTGCAGGGCGTGGACGAGCTGGGTGGGGGGTGTGGCGAAGTAGGAGGGCTTGTTGTTCTCGTAGTTCTGCATGATGGGGAGCCAGTTGGAGATGGCGGCGTAGTACGAGCCTGGTGGGGTCTTGCGGGACTGGGCGCGCTGGATGGCGCGGCCGGAGGTCATGACGATGCTCAGACCGGGTGGGCAGCCGATAGCCTTTTGGGAGGCTGTGACGACGGCGTCGAGGTCCCACTCGTCAAAGGCGATCTCCTCGGAGCCGACACTGCAGACACCGTCGACGATGACGAGGGTCTCTGGGCTGACGCGGCGGACGAGCTGGGCGACGCCCTTGACATCGCTGAGGACACCGGTCGAGGTGTCGACGTGGGTGAGGGTGATCAGCTTGTAGGGCTTCTGCTTGAGGGTCTTCTCGATCTCCTCCAGGGAAGGGCGGTCACCGATGGGGGCCTTGAGGTGGGTGACCTGTGCGCCGTAGCACTCGAGACACTGGCCGAAGGAGTCGCCGAAGTAGCCGGTGTTGAGGACCAGGGCGTTCTCGCCGCGTTCGATCAGGTTGGCTGAGACCAGGTCCCAGCCCAGGGTGCCACTGCCGGCGATGATGAAGGGTTGTGCGGAGGGGTTGGTGGATTGGAAGAGCTTGCGGGTGAGGGTTAGGGTCTCGCCAAAGACCTTGACGAAGCCGGGAGCGACATGGCTCTCACTGTGTGGGGGTTGTTAGTGAGTGTTCATGTGATTGTGTTGGGGGTACTCACGCATAGTGGGACATGGACGAGAGGACGGCATCGTCGAACTCGATGGGACCCGGGATCAGGAGGGTGTTGTGAGGGGCTTGAGCAGACATCGTTGGAGTAGGTTTGGGGAGAGGGGCAGGAGGAATGGAGCGGTCGATAGGTTTATATTCGATGTCGTCGGGGACAAGGGAGTCTCTCTCGGTCGAGAAGGGCGTGTTGAGGTCGGGTAGGGGCAAGCGATCCAGGTGTCTGGAGATCAAGCTTAAACGTTGCGTCGATTTGGTCATGCCGATTACGGACCGCGGGGTAACGCAATGAGATTGGATGATGAATTCCCGAGGGAAACTTAGGATCGGGGATCGCCGCCGAGTTGAGGGATTGACCGGGTAAAGTGCCGATTTTGAGGTCACTGATTAGTTTGTTCGGATGAGAACACCGAGATGGGGGGGAGATATCTGGCTATTTATGAGAAGATGTTCGTCAAGTATCTCCGTCTCTTTTTTCCCCCTTGGCCGTTTTGACATCGGAGAAATGAAGGCCGGGCGGACCCTACCGATTGACCAGTCCACGACTTACGCAGTACACATTGGTCTATTTAAGTCTGTGAAGTGATAGAAGTATGGAATATACTATATTCGAGTCAATTGATGCATTTTGATATCCATTGTGGACTGCTGGTTCTTAATATCCCTATATTTGGCTCTCTATATGAAATATGTCCGAATAGATACAAAGTGACATAGTAGATATCGACGACGTCTGAACAGCGTAAATAGAGTACATGTATACACATCTCCAGGTCGACCTCTTCAGATCTACTGTACCTACTCAACTTCTACCCTCAGATCTCAATCTGTATCTTGCGCAGTATCTCCCGTCCTACTCCAACACGGCGACCTCCGCGAACAATTAGGAAACCTTCGAAAGAAAAATGGATTGGGCTACTCGACCCGAAGGATATTCGGACAAGATGCTCGGTCTGGCCAGCCAATGCAAGGCGCAACATCGAATTCCATGAAAGAAAGCATATAGCACTAACCCCATTAGGTCACAACATAGGGCTTAGGGCATTGCGTAGTTGGCTTCCCCGCGAAGCTCGCAGGCTTCAGCCAACAGCTAAGCAGCTAAGCAGCTGTTCTCTGACTATTCCCGGTCCATTGGCCTTTACCCCACATCATGACCGCCCGTTTGGTCCTGGTCATTGGTGACTTGTTCATCCCTGACCGAGCTCCTGTAGGTTGTCTCCGACACAGCTCCTGTCTGTCCTGCTAACATCATCTAGGACCTCCCAGCAAAGGTACTATTCCTAGAGCCTCACATTGACCTCCCTCTGACATCGCATAGTTCCGCAAGCTTCTCACCCCCGGCAAAATCGGCCAAACCCTTTGTCTCGGTAACCTGACCGACCGCGAGACCTATGACTTCCTCCGCGAGGTAGCCCCCGACCTGCAGATGGTCAAGGGCGATTTCGATGTTGACTCTCCCAACCTCCCCCTATCCAAGATCGTCAACCATGGCAGCCTACGTATCGGATTCACCCACGGTCACACCATCGTCCCGCCCGCCGACGCCGACGCACTCTTAATCGCAGCTCGCCAGATGGATGTTGACGTTCTACTCTGGGGTGGTACCCACCGATTTGAGGCATTTGAGATGGAAGGCCGCTTCTTTATCAACCCGGGTAGCGCGACAGGTGCTATGAGCTCCGGTTTCTGGCCAGAGGGCGAGGACCCTACACCTAGCTTCTGTCTAATGGATGTATGTTACGGCCGTTTGAGGTGTATTAGTATATGCTAACCCCAAAAAGATCCAGGGTGATGTCCTTGTGCTATATGTCTATCAGCTAAAGACCGATGCCAACGGTGTGGAAAATGTGGCTGTTGAGAAGGTCTCCTTCCGCAAGAACCACCCTCCTGCCGAGTAATCGCCCTTCCTTCTCTCCCTGTGTATATAGTCTCCTGGTTTCCGAGCGATCTTGTTCTTGCTTTGCTGCGTTTCATTTCAATTTGATACATGATACCTGAATCAACTCATTCCCAACTTTGCCTGTGATTCAGACATTCGATCTTCAACTGGGGAGATAAGACATAGAATTGATTTCACTAGATGATACACTGGTTTTGATGTATTTAATCTGCGATTTCAAGTTGCTTCTTGCTCTAGGCTGCTCCTGCGCTTGCCATTCTACAAAATGTCTCTTCCGAAATCCCTTAAATTTGAAAGATGCCCACATCCTCTCCATCACATCCCATCTCATCTCAGCTCTCTAGACTGGCAGTATACCCCCACCGCCCACCGATCGCCGGAAAAGGCGCTAAACCTAAACTGGAAACCAGGAAGCCTCGCATTGTCCAATCCCAAGGTCAACCTCTGTTCTGCTCCCTTTATAGATCCTCTGCAACAGGATCAACCCGCTATCTCTCAATCCCACACCCGACACAAGTGTTTCCTACCTATTGTGGTTGATATCTCTGTCCGTCAAGGACCCACGCGAACTTAGACCGGAAGTCGGAGAGCTCTGATTGCTCCCCTCATCGGATTCTCGGCGCTTTCGACCCTTCAACTATCCCCCAACACCACAACAATCGCCGACGAAATGGCTGCAGAAGGCCAGGAGATCCCGGAGGAAATCAAGGAGGAGCAGATTCCGGCCCAGGAGGAAGGCGGGGATGATGAGGTAGGTTTGACTGACAAATTCCGCCCTTTTTTAGGTCTGGGGTCGCGTCTTTCATACTAGTGTTTCTTTGTTTCTGCGGTGTTGGTAAAACGCCCGCTAACATGTTTGAAATCTACAGGAGGAGATCGCAGCCATGAAGCGTCGAGTCGCCGAGATGGAGTCCGAGGCTGCCAAGTTGCGCGAGATGCAAGCTACGCTCGACCAACAGTCAGAAAACCTCCAAGAAAACAAGGAAGATATTGATGCACGAAGCATTTTTGTCGGAAACGTGGACTACGGTGCTTCGCCGGAGGAAATCCAGGCACATTTCCAGAGCTGTGGCTCAATCAACCGGGTGACGATCTTGCTGGACAAGTTCTCTGGCCAGCCGAAAGGGTGAGCACGGAATTGAGGAGATGGATTGGCCACTGCTAACTTCTACTCAGCTACGCCTATGTTGAGTTTGCAGAGCCCAGTCTCGTTGCCCAGGCTTTGGTTCTGAATGAGAGCGTGTTCCGCGGTCGCAATCTGAAGGTCCGTTCAGATTCGTCACACTGTCTACATTGAAATACTAACCCTAGTAGGTTGTCCCCAAGCGCACTAACCTGCCTGGCATGCACCGTGGCCGTGGCCGGGGTGGATTCCGCGGTGGTCGTGGTCGTGGATTCCCCCGTGGTGGTGGCTACCGGGGTGGCTACCGGGGTCGGGGACGTGGATTCTCACCCTACTAAGCGTGTGACTGGTGAAGTAGAGATGTCCCATACGCAGGAAACGGTCAGGGTGCCTGTTGAAGACCTGGGTCCGAATTCAATCTGAACCTTTCATTTTCTCTGTGGCTTTGGAGTTGGGATATGGAATGTACAATAATTACCGGGCAATCAACAGAGATCTAGCAAAAATACAAATAGGACTGGCTACGTCTGGAGTACTGCTCTATGTATATAGTCGGTCGACCTCGGGGTCATTGAATCATCGGATACCGGCATAATCAGTGTAAGATTTTACAAAGTACGGAGTACAATAAGTAGATTCCAGGTTGAGATACCATATAACATTGAATCTCCCAAGAGTATATCAACATATCAAGATCAGATTATGTTGACATCCAGATATACAATTTGGCTGCCTAGTCGAGCGGCTCTATACTCGCCACTCTCTTCCACCCGCCCAAACCCGGAAGCTTGGAAAGAACTTACAAGTAACTTAGACAAAAAAGTGGCTTAGAATTGAATTATGAAATCCTGACCATCTATGAGATTTCTGGTGCTCAGCCCCCCCAGGAAGTACCGACCGGGTACCCCGTACATAGTGAATACGTAGTCAGAGTACTTGCGCCATACAACCCGGAATTACCTGAGCCTAACCCTTCCCTTCCCTCTTTCTCCTCTCTCAACCTTTCCCCATCACCACCATCATCTCTTCCACTCACGTCTTTTAGGCTTAGACCACTGACTCGGTTTGGCTTTTTTGTTCGTGGATGTGCGCGCCGCTCTTTGGGATTGATCGGCCTTAGCCACCTCCCAGGCTGTGAAGAGCACCATGGCGTCAAATCTGCCAGCGTGAGTTCTCCCCTCTCCCTATATGTCTATCTTGGAAATGTTTGCTGATCTCATTGCAGCCAGCCAAATCTTCGGGTCACGAGTAAGATCGCCTTCGTCACTTCATCCTGGACTTTGAGACACTGCGGGGTTTTGGTTCCGGCACGAGACTAACATTCTTGACTACAGTTATTGCGGCAGACGGTCTGTACAAGCGCGATGTCTTCAGTATGTCACCTCTATCTTGGGATCAGTTATTTTGGGTTTGGCGGGGTTGAGGCTGACCATTTCCTGCAGGATTCCCTGATCCGTTCGCCGTGGCCACCGTCGGAGGAGAGCAAACACATACCACCTCCGTGATCAAGAAAACTCTGAACCCCTACTGGAACGAACCATTCGACTTGTACGTGAATCCGACCCCCTTCTGTGAAATAGAGCGAATTTGTTAACCGTGGATTTTGGCGCTTGCAGGAGAGTCAATGAGGACAGCATTCTTGCGATCCAGATCTTTGACCAGAAGAAATTCAAGAAGAAGGACCAGGGTTTCCTCGGAGTCATCAATGTCCGAATCGGCGATGTTATCGACCTCTCGATGGGTGGTGATGGTACGTCCGACGAACGCCGATCGCGAGTCATACGTGGACTGACCTGACGGCCTTGTGCCAACCCCGCAACAGAAATGCTCACTCGCGATTTGAAAAAGTCCAATGATAACCTCGTTGTCCATGGAAAATTGATTATCAACTTGTCGTCAAACCTCAGCGCCCCGCATCCGAACCAGAATGGCCTCCAGCGTCAACAGGCCCAGACTTCAACCTCCAGCGGCCTTGTGCCCCAGATCGCTGCACCCTCCCCTCAAGCGCAGTCAGGCCCTAGTAACCCCGATGCGTCCCCTGCTGCCGCCTCAAGTTCATCTCTCAACCAGCGCACCCCGTCGACTGCTTTGCCGACCGGTCCCCCTCCCCCCTGAATGGCGCCCCCACCAACCCCCCAGGACCAGGTGCCCCGTCTCGTGCTAACCTCAGTTCTTTTGAGGACAGCCAGGGCCGATTACCCGCTGGCTGGGAACGGCGTGAGGACAATCTGGGACGGACGTACTATGTGGATCACAATACACGCACCACCACCTGGTCACGACCAGCGGCCAACTACAACGAGCATGCCCAGCGTTCGCAGCGCGAAGCCAACATGCAGCTCGAACGCCGCGCCCACCAAAGCCGAATGCTGCCGGAAGATAGAACTGGCGCAAGCTCGCCGAACCTGCCGGATGCGCAGCAGATACCTACACCACCACCCGGTCCTAACGCTGGCACTTCTGTCGCAAGTGGAGCGCCAGCCGGGTCTAACGCGAATGCGGTATCCATGATGGCAACGGGAGCCACCACTGCTGGCACAGGGGAGCTTCCACCAGGCTGGGAACGACGAGTGACACCCGAGGGCCGGCCCTACTTTGTAGACCACAACACGCGGACGACGACATGGGTTGATCCTCGCCGACAGCAGTACATCCGCATGTACGGACAAGGTCAGAATACCGGCGGTGCCAACAACACTACCATTCAACAGCAGCCTGTTTCCCAATTGGGTCCTTTGCCCAGCGGTTGGGAAATGCGTTTGACCAACACCGCGCGAGTATACTTTGTGGATCACAACACAAAGACAACCACCTGGGACGACCCTCGGTTGCCCTCGTCTTTGGATCAGGGTGTGCCGCAGTATAAGCGTGACTTCCGCCGCAAGCTGATCTACTTCCGATCTCAACCCGCCCTGCGGATCATGTCCGGTCAATGCCACGTCAAGGTCCGTCGTAATAACATCTTCGAGGATTCGTACGCCGAGATTATGCGGCAGAGCGCGTCCGATCTCAAGAAGCGTCTAATGATCAAGTTTGATGGCGAAGACGGCCTTGACTACGGTGGTCTCTCACGGTATGCCTCCAATGTTTTCCGAGTCTTTCAACAAATGCTGACTTTCACAGTGAATTCTTCTTCCTCCTCTCTCACGAAATGTTCAATCCTTTCTACTGCCTCTTCGAATACTCCGCCCACGATAATTATACCTTGCAGATTAATCCCCACTCGGGCGTGAACCCCGAACATCTCAACTACTTTAAGTTCATCGGCCGAGTGGTCGGTCTGGCTATCTTCCATCGTCGTTTCCTGGATTCCTTCTTCATTGGAGCCTTCTACAAGATGATGCTACGGAAGAAGGTCACTCTTCAGGATATGGAGGGTGTCGATGAGGATCTACATCGTAATCTGGCGTGGACCTTGTAAGTGATTCTTTCTGCGCGTCGTTAACATATACTAATTGCATTACAGGGACAACGATATTGAAGGAATTGTGGAGCTCACATTTTCGGTTGATGATGAGAAGTTTGGCGAGCGTCGCACTATTGATTTGATACCCGGTGGCCGGGACATGCCCGTCACCAACGAGAACAAGGCACAGTACATTGAGTAAGTGGCATGTCAACCGATCAGAAAGATGCGTACTAATATTGTGCAGGTTGGTTACCGAGTGGAAGATTGTCAAGCGAGTCGAGGAGCAGTTCAACGCCTTTATGTCCGGTTTCAACGAGCTTATTCCCCCCGATCTTGTCAATGTCTTCGACGAGCGCGAGCTGGAGTTGCTCATCGGTGGTATTGCCGATATCGACGTTGATGACTGGAAGAAGCACACCGATTACCGTGGCTATCAGGAGCAAGACGAAGTCATCCAGAACTTCTGGAAGATCGTCCGCACCTGGGACGCTGAACAGAAGTCCCGTCTTCTTCAATTCACCACCGGAACTTCCCGTATTCCCGTCAACGGTTTCAAGGATTTGCAGGGTTCCGACGGTCCCAGACGCTTTACCATTGAGAAGTCGGGTGATCCTGTTGCGCTCCCTAAGTCGCATACTTGGTATGTTCACCTGGTCTCATATTCACGTTGGAAGTGAATTGCTAACATGTTTACAGCTTCAACCGTCTTGATCTTCCTCCTTACAAGACTCATGAAGCCTTAGAACACAAAATGTCTATTGCCGTGGAAGAAACACTTGGGTTTGGACAGGAATAGAGAGAGAATGTTGCATCTCTTGCCCTCTTGCAGACTTGCAAACTTGCTATGGCAATAGCTTTTGCAATTGCGCTTTGCATCGTGCCTGGATATTCCCTTTCTCCCCGTCAGATTATTGTTCTTTGTTAAATGTAACCCACTACTCACGAAGCTCTCGTTGTTTCAAGGTTGTTTCAAGCCTACTTTCTATTGAAATTTCCAACTTTCAACCTTCAATTGTCTCTCTATTCTTCCGGTTAGGTCTAGGATAGGTCTGGCTAGAAGGTCTGGCTGGAATAGGCCGAGCTGCTATTGAACTTGGGATGTGGGATTGGAGGCTATGGGTTAGTGATGGTTGTACTTTGATTCTATCATACCATACCCTAGTTCCCTGGTCTTTCCTCTCCTATCCCACTCTGTCGTTTTTGTTTACGGTCTGTTTTCCCCTTATGTCCTATCTACCTTGTCCGTGTTCCCCTTCCCCTTGGTCACCGAGCTACATACCCATTCCTTTAGCTTGCACTTGCACACTCGTTGATCCTTATATGCCACCGTAGGAGAATTTCATCCCTCCCCTACCCTCCTATCCTACTTGTTTCTGTTCGTTCACTCGCTTAATCACCCTCCTGTCCTTTCACAGTCTCTGGGTACTGATATGCTACGCCGTTGCTATTCCAATTGTTCATTTTCCTTCCGCTGTGTCATGTATATAGGCTGTTTTCATCCGTCTGTGTGTTACTGTTACTGTATCATGGTGTGGCCAGTCTTGATCATTTGAATCGATTTCAGGGTATGATCTAAGAATTGCGTGTCATTAGAGAACTCGTATTGGTACCATTCCTACAGTCTATGTGGCAGCTCTTGTGGCAGAATATATATACTGAATTTTGGTTTCATATGTTGATTGTATGATCATCTCGACCATTTCCCTTGATTAATGTAATCTACCGGTAAGAAACTGTTTTCTCAAAACGCGCTAATGGAGTGTTGAGGTCTTTGAGTATAACGATGTTGTGATAAGTCGTGATGTCACCTAGTAAACCCTACTTCATTTGAATGTATTTATCATTAAGAGTCATATTGCTAAATGGTCTCTCCTTTCCGTCAATCAGCTCGCGTAGCTCAGTTGGTAGAGCGCGGCACTAGTAATGCCGAGGTCCATCGTTCAAGTCGGTGCGTGAGCAGTTCTTGTTTTTTTTTTGTTGTTTTTCACATCTCATCTCCCTTACGTGGAGATCGGCCAGTCTTGGATCTATTTTTTTTTGTTAAACTTGAAAATGAAACCGAGGAGATATTTCTGATCCATAGATCCGAGTAAAGTCAATTAGGGTCCATATGCTGGATCGTACCAAGACAAATAGAGTTCCTTCAGCCCGAACTACGAACATATCATATTGTACATCGACTAAATTCAACAATAGTTCGTAATTGTACAGAAAACTTACTCCTACCCTCTGTGTTCCGCATATCACGCGGTTTTAGGCAAAGAGACCTGTCAATCTGAACCCCGGCACCCAATCTACCGAAAATAGAAACCTGCAGCTCGATCGGAGTATATCCATCACAGGAAATGATCTGGATCAATTCTTACTCTACAATGCGTCATTTCCCCCTATCGCGGCCAGAGCTGGAAAATGGAACATGCCAAGCAAGATCCATCGTGGAGCATGTGTGGCACGCTAATGGAGATTCATTGCGAACCCTGATCCACGATCGTCGGATTTGCAAAGCCGCAATAAATGGGGTGGGGCCTGATCGAGCTGGAAAATCCCTTGATCAACACGATGCTTAGGGGGCGTTGGGATCTATAAGGAAACAAGGGAGACGGAGATTTACTGCTTTACATCCATTCTTTCGCGCTTCATTTCATTTCGTGCTATCATGGGTTTACCGTATGTTCATTGTGCCATCCCTGGGGAAGAGAAAGTCATTCCTTAACTCTTGATAGTGTAGAGGGACCGTCTATTGGCTGGGCCACGACTGAACAGGCTGGACCCAGTGTTCGGAAATGGGCGACCGAGGTATGTTTTGTTTCCCTGTTACCTTTGGATCTTGCTAATGTTTACAGCAATTGCTTTGTCTTTGGCACAAACAGCGCCATCGTAGAGACAATATTGCGACGTGGGGTGATGAGGTATGCAACAATTGATATGGCCTATACAGAAAAGAGACGTTAATAAAAAGCTAGATTGAATACAACCTGGTTGACTTGAATCATGACGCATCGCGCGCGACGATGCTGTTAGATCAGGAGAGGGTTATTCGAGAATGGGAACGAGATCCTACCAGCGAAGAATCGCCGTATGTATAGCACAAACGCGGCCTCAATGCGTCAGTCACCAATGTCAAGTTTCGAATAGTGTTACGCTGCAGTGGGAAGGAGCGAAATACGTCGTTGAAACAACCCCAGCCAAGCCATACACAGGAAGTACCGAGGATCTCCTGAGTGTTCAGGCAAATATGAGAAAGAGGTATGATATTTCCACCTTTTTGAGGAGCGATAACTAACAGGACTAAGACGAGAAACGATCAACCGCTCGCTCGCATCCAACCAGCACACCATCTCAATCGGCTCCTTCCCTCGCACTGGAATCGATGAACAATGGACAACTCCTCATGGACCGAGCCGAACGAACCATTCCCTTTGCATGCTTCCGCGGTACAAGAGTCTCTTCGAAAATATCCGTGGTCGGAGACAAAACCACTTGAAACAAACACACTATCCCATTTATCGAGATTTGCAAACGCCCAACTCGGCCCCACAAGACAAAGGTCCAGGATTCATTTGCTTAGATCAAGTTGAGGTCGGCATAGGTTGCAGCAGCCTTCAGACGACCTTCCAGACATCGAATGAAGTCGAATGCCGTTGGCTACATGACCAGCTTATACCTCTTGCACCTGTCTTTCTCGCCATGACAGCTGCAGTCCCAATATGGAAGGGATACCTAGTTGATACAGATGTTCGCTGGCAGCGATTTGCAGATTTAGTAGACGACCGCCGACCAGACGAGATGGAACACACAGTATGCCAACCAACCAACTTGACACAAGATGCAATGACCACAGCTAACTTATTCCTACAGCCCCCTCGCTGGACCTATAATCGCACATATCTGTCACCGGATACACCTCCAGAAATGGAAAGCAAAAATCACCTGAAACCAATGAACGAAACAATCAAACAGCGCCTCCTTGACGGAGATATGGACGACCAACTAGCAACACATTTCGCATCAATCCTCTCCCGCGATCCCCTCGTCCTAACCCAAGAAGACATGTCCAACTTCAACACATCAAACACAAAACTCTTCGAACTCCTCCACGGATGCACATGGCACGCAGTGCGCTTCAAACCACCCGTTTCAGACAGTGGACCAGGCTGGTGTATCGAATTCCGAACAATGGAAGCCCAACTCACAGACAAGGACAATGCAGCCTTTGCCATATTCACATACCTCCTTTCCAGGGCAATTGTGGCTCTCCATCTGGACTTCTATATCCCAATTGATAAAGTGGGCGAGTCAATAGAGTTCGCAAGTAAGCGAAATGCAGTCCTCGACGAGCGCATGTGGTTCCGTCGCTCTGGGTGGTTGACCGATACGGCTCATTTGGCGAGGCCTGCTCGTTCGATGTGTAAGGATACGCTTCAGACTCGTGTTGACGGCGTGGATTATGCTCTTTTGACTGCTGATGAGATTTTCAATGGCGAGGTTGATCATAGGGGTTTCCCGGGATTGATCCCGCTTGTGCGGTATTACCTTGATTATAGTAAGATGCCGCTATTGGAGCAGGAGAGGGTCGCGCCATATTTGGATGTTATTAGAAAGCGTGCTAGTGGTAAATTGCTCACGCCCGCGTCTTGGATGAGGGAGTTTGTGCATCGACATGAGGATTATCGGCAGGATAGTTATGTTGGTGAGAAGGTGTGCTATGATATGATGAAGGAGATTGTGCGGATGAATGAGGAGCCAGAGTGAAAGTGAGATTAGATGCATGGGTAGCATGCAGGTTGAAGTTTATTATAGACATTAATCTACTTAGACTGATCGGCGAAACTACTCGCGGCTCTCAGCTGCTCTCCATATCGCCACAAAATGAACGGAATAGGGCATCCGATCACCAATGCCAGGAGTGCTAGAAGGGTATTACCCCATCCATATCCAAGCGTTGCATACATCTCCGGACTGAACAGCGGGAATCCAAATCCAGTCAGTCCCCTCACGATGTAGACAGCGCCGTTGGCGCTCGCTGCATAGACAGGAAAAGTATCCAATAGGTACGCACTGACACACTGAAAAATGATTGTGGCGCCCATCAGAGGAAGCGCAATGCCAATGTCAGGCACGATCCAGTGAGTCTTGTACTCTGCGCTCCAGCCATACCAGAGCAAGCCAATAGGAACTAGCAGTGAAGCTGGAACCATAATCGGCAAACGGAATTCTGGTTTTCCAACGCCATTGTTCTTGGCTACCTGATACTTGTAGACACGATCGGTCCCGAAAGCACATATCTGAGCTCCGATGAAGTATCCACAGCAGGGTGCGATGTAGTTGAGGGATCCAGTGCTGATTGCCATGTTGTATTGTTTTGTCCATAGATCTGAGAAACTGGAGAGGAGGAGGTAGACAATCCCGTAGAGATAGCCGTAGTAACACGCCAGGGCTTGGATGATTGGCTGCGTGCCGAGGAAGTAGAGGGAGCGGGAAATGGTGCGTCGGTAGAGTTGACCGACGGTTTCGTCTTTTTCATATGGTGTCTTCCATATTAAATTGTGCTCTTTACCTTGTTGCTGTGCCTCTTGCATGATGATTTTCTTCTTTTGTCGAAGAAGAACAGGAGCGTATGTCTCTCGCGCGGTAATAAGACCGAGAAGAAGGAATATCCCCGCAGAAATGGATGTTGACCAGAATGCCCACCGCCAGGTGGTATAATCTGCAATGAAACCGCCCACGAGGGGACCAAGACATGATCCTAGGACAGGACCTAGGCTGACCAGAGCAACGGGCAGACCTCGTTCCTCTTTGCGAAATACATCCCCGACCATGCTCGCGCCAACCTGGGACAGCATTAGAATTGATCACGTAGCGAATGTAGAGATTAAAGTTCACTTACAGCTAGCGATGCACTGGCACCGACACCACTTAAAAGCCGGAATACCAATAGCTGGGTGATACTCGTGCAAAAGCCACATCCGATATTGAAAGCTAGGTAGACTAGACTGCCAGCCTGCAATACAGGCCATCGTCCACATAACTCACTCAATGGCCCAAGCAGGATTGGGCCCATGGAGTACATGAGCAGGAACAATGACAATGCCAATGGACCAGTAATAGAAGAAGAGACGTTGAATTCATCCTCAATAGAACCGACAGTGGGAGTGGTGATAGTGGACGACAATGGCATCAAAAAGAGAGGGATCGAAATGATAGCCATGATAATCCATTTTCGCTTTGCTGGCCAGTCTTGAGGGTGGTCACCGTCGAAATCGACTAGTATCACTTTGTGATCGGACACATCGGACATTTCAGACATTGTGTGTACATGTAGTTCACACTTGGTGACACTGGAATGTTTCCGATTCAATTGGTGTTTTACAGATTCTTGGATACTGTCCGAGGGTAAAGGGCAATGATAGCCCCTGTCATTGAATTTGGCGGAAATAGTTGCCCCTGCATTGACGGGGTTAAAGAGTCGGTTGGTATTGATCGGCGGTGATCAACACGATGATGATCAAAGGGGTCCATCTTGGTCAAATTTGAACAGGTTCGCCATCGCCATTAGTTTATGGAGCCCTAATTTTGGGTGTTCCACTCTTGAATTCAGCTGGGGCGGTGTTCAGCTTGGTGGGTTCTTCTCAAAATGTATAGTAGGGCCTAGGATCTCGGAAATTCGTCTCAATGAGTATTGTAGATCAGCCCTTGCCGCTATGCATGAATAGGCTCGCGCCTATCCAATGGCCAAATGGTCATAGAGGTCAAGAAAAAGAAGTTCGGTGTGTAGGGAACAAAAAAGGGACAAAAATAAATGTGCATCATCCGTGAATCGAACACGGGCCTCGTCGATGGCAACGACGAATTCTACCACTAGACCAATGATGCTGGAACACCAAATAGCTGGAATTGCTGATTGGCTGCTGATATTTGTTCCTTCCTAGTTGCGTTATTGTACCTGCAGGTACAGTTGCTAACCCACAAACAACAGATTTATCATCATTGCTGCCAGGGTCAACAGTGTTAAGTTCTGAGAAAGGAGCAATTATTTTCGAATTTAATTCCTAAAAATTCAAGTAAAACGATATGTTCAACCGCAATGGCAGACTGGCTGGCAGTGTTCCTGTATATATCAGGCTGGGATATGGTGGTACATTTCTTGATCAAATCAGAAATTCTCAAGTTTCAACTTACCGAGAACAATATAGTGCCAATCACATGAAATTTCATTACCTGCCCTGTCACATTGCTTAGGGAGCAGTGCTTGTACTATCCCACGTGTATCACAGGATGTCCTAAGTAGTACGGCAGTCGAAACCCTACAGAAATGTGACGCTGAGAACATTGTCTAAAAGCACAAAGGACGTGCTACTGCGATAAACCAAATCGCTTTTTATTTCCTAAATGCATAGCCAAATTATGATTGATAAACCGAAGAATGTACACCGTTGCCGGGACTTTCTGACTGATGGAATGCTTGCTTAACCTTAAACACGAAACAAGGGCCCAAGAATTGTTTTTGGTAAATTCCTAGTCCCCGGACTCTTAAATGGCGACTCTAGTTTCTAACGGCTGGAACTTATAGGCGAAGCTCAAATATGTGCAAGCCAAAGCCCGCGTAGTGAATGTCATATAGGCTTAAACCAAATGATTCTATTGGCGGCTCAAAAGTTAAAAATGAGCCACCACCAGGGGTTATTATTTGACCGTTTGTGTGTTCACCACGACCGAGTTGACTTATTTAAGAGTAGAACCATTTCCAGTCTGCCTTATTTATCATCAATCGATATTTTTTTTCCCCACAACTTATTGACTCAACATTTGACATATCTTTCTCTCTAACAATTCTTAGGTATACCCGAAGTCACAGCTATGCAGCCCATCCTTTTCTTGCTTATGCTGCTTTTTGGTTTGACCCTTGCAGGCCCGATTTTCAAGAGTAGCGCACTTGAAAAAGAGGTTTTTGAACGCCCGGTAAGATTTGCGTTAATACCATGACGACATGAGACCAAGGCTAACGAACTGAAAGCTTGTGAGTACATTCTCTTACCGAAATGCTCCCATCGTCGACACGATCCTAATAGAAGTGGTCAATCTAGGTTGTGAGTACACACCTGAATCCAGCTCTTCTCAACCATCAGACATGAGACTCATAAATTTGGGAAATAGCCTGTAAGTCTCCAGCAAAAGATATGAACTAAGAGGACGGACGCTTACATCGCTTCATGTGTCATAGTCTGTGAGTTACCATTCTAGCAAAGGAAATTGAGATTGAGGATTAACTGACATGTTTGACGCCTACAGTTAGTAAGTTCTCTCACTTCCTATTCGCTCGGCGCAAGGCGATTTGACTCGAAAATGGCACTAACATCACATTCAATGAAGAATGTGAGTGGACTCAAAGATCCAGAAAGAGAATGATGCTCGATCAGAAGCTTACGGCGCTATTTATCAAAAGAGTGTGAGTTACTCAAACCACTAAATTCTGCTTGGAGAATGACTGATAGCATTTTGAATCTAGTTTGTGAGTGGCCTTGTACTTTATCTAAAGAGCTCCTGATCGAACGAGAGTTTAACAAAGATGGTGTATACAGTTGGTGAGTAATGACCTTGAGTTCGTCGCTCAGTTTCTTGGGAGAGTCGGCTAAAAGTTCGGCTCCGTTATAGGATGTGAGTTAAATCGCCGAGCAAGCATAATGATATAATCGCGACTTAGTCTAACCGGCTACTGAAACAGAGAGTAAGTTTGCACAGTTCTTGGCTTTCTCTGTGCAAAATTGACTAACTTCGAATTCACCAGTTGGTGAGTGTCAACTGAAAATCTCAATTCAATTGGGCAACATTTTAACGCACATGAAATATCCAGAGTGTGAGTTTCATCTGGATAATGAGAAGATTGGATTATTACTTACGAAGTCTCCTCTTCTAGGAAGTGAGTTATCCCCTTGAATGTCAGGTGTACTGCTGGTAGGCAGAGCTGATGAACGATTTAAAATTATAGAACGTACGAAATCCGATGAATTCCTATACTCAGAGCTAACGTTCTTAGGCCGTGAGTTATCCGAAAAACAAAATCTTGCATACTACTTGATCGTGAGACTTACAACGACTTGATGCACAGGCGGTGAGAACATTCGATTTCAATAATATGCATAAGACGCACAACTGACGGGGTTTATCTTTAGAATGTGAGCAAGCGCCGCCTTCATATGCCCGCTTCAAAGTTTGAACCGTCAAGCTGATACGATGACCACCTGCAGTTGGTAGGTACTATCAACGACGCAGAAGAATCAGATACGAAAGCGGACCCCAAGGACGACAAGATCGAAAATAACGACAAGAACAACAAGGACGACAAGAACGATAGTAACGACAAGAACGACAAGAACGACAAGAACGACAAGAACGACAAGAACAAGAAGGACAAGACTGGGATTAGAAAATTGGTCAGCACCCCTCCTCGATACCAAAGATATTCAACCCCATGATACTGATTTAGTCAATAGCTATCGAATTTGCTTGATCTTTGAAGACTGGAACACGGTATGAGGGCAAACTCTCAACTGCCGTTACATTACTAACCTGTATTATCTGACCAAAGACATGTTCGAAGATTTAGAGAAAAAAGGTTGCGCTATTTGTCAAAAGCTCTGTGAGCAAGATAGGATTCCGGTTTTATTTTACACATGGGAGCCTTAATTTGGGTTTTCGCCCAGAACTCTAGGGTTTTCCCCATATTGTCATGCGAATGCAAAGGCCAACCACTTTATTTACACTATGCTCGTCCTAGTCCAAATCGTATGCCCAGTAGACTGAAAAATAGAGGAAGAAGAGGATAGCTTTTGTCTTTTTTTTTTCTTACCATTTCTCCTTCCTTCTGTCTTTCCTTTTTACCTCGCAACCAGGGATATTGGATTTGCAGTTGTTACGAATATCAGTAGGCCACTGCCCCGTGATATTACATTCGATACAGAAGAATAAGCCAGATTTAGGTGAAAGTCCCCTAGCACCAACGTAAAGTATGAGAGCCTGTAGGCATGACGTGGTATTGGTGATAGCAATTGGGAAGTTCCACAGGTTGAACAAAGGATTCTATTTAACATAATCGAATACAACACCGCCTATCAATCCACCAAGTTAAGTGCTTTTCTTATTTCATGAAATTAACATGCCACCAATTACTCTAGGGAATCATTAGCGTATATTCAAATTCCAAACAAGGATGCAAATCACTTACGTTCAGCCGGGGACAAGAAGAACAGCTCATTGTCAGTCGTGTCATATGCAGCCAACATCAATTGTCCCTTGTAATTGGCATTCAGGAAATACCCAGAGCCCTCTACAACAAGCTGATATTTACCATTGCCTGCGAACTCGGGGAGGAAAGCCTGAGGAGAATCGCTGGTAACACAAGCAGAGCCTTTCTCGGTACCACAGTTCAAGAACGTGCCAGCAGTACTTTGGATCAAGAAGTATTTGTCGTTGGATGATCCCTTTTCGGTTTCTTGGAAGTTCCAAGTTTGGTATTCATTGCGTTGATTCTGAGCAAATTCGAGGGGGACACCGGGTTGTCGATAGTCGGTCAGGGCCTCGGTGCCACCACTGATGACTGAGTCGATCGTGTAGGCTCCATCCTCCAGACCGTATACCGACTGGCAGAGGGCTGCAAGAGCACCAAGTCCAAGTCCGAAAGTGGCCTTCATTTTGCTGATATGGTAGTTGGATAGAAAATGAGGTAGATAGTGAGTTGTTTTAAGAGTGAGTGTTGTGAATGGAGAATGCCGGGCTCCGCGATCATTACTAGGTATTTATATCCTCCAGTCTATCCAGAGCACCTGGAAGTCACGATGAGCTCTTGATGGCGAGCTGAGACATGCATGGACTATTGATACCTGCATTGTGATATATGCACCCCAACTCTTATAACTTGATCACGAACTAGGCCGCATTATGCAGGGGTTAATCCCGTGCCACTTGCCAAAAGCGACTGAACTACTAATAAACTTCTCGCGAAGCCTTTGTCAGGTACCGATGTTTGTGAATACAAGTGTTAGCCTATTTGGCATATACTCAACCGAAGAAATTTGATCAGCTCAATTAAGCCTCGCGTTTGGTGAATTGCGCCAAGATCTATGAGATCGATGATCTGCATTGAAAAAATGTCGGTCAGAGATCGACTTTGAAGTGAGCCACATACGCCATGAGAAGTTCTTTGTCCCTCAGCTTGAATACTGTATGCAGTGGAGTCTTCCTGCATATGCACCGTGTTACATTAGTGACTGCAGCTACTTCTGTAGAAAATGAATAGCTCTGGTGAGGTCCGAGAAGAAGGGCTCAGCTCATGCATAAATCAGCCTCTTTTCTTGTTTTTTCTTTTCTCTATTGGGGACAGGAATGTCGGAGATCGTCATGTTCGTAAAGTTCAATTCAGGATGTAACAACCCAAAAAATGCTAACAGATTAGTACCTGGCACGACCAATCAAGGAGGGGAAGTTGAAGAGAGCGAATGGTTTTTTTTACCGAGGAGCTGAGCTTTATAGTTTATGGCCATAAGTTAGTTAACTTAGGGCTGGCAAATGAGGCCTGGAATATAAGGCAACAAGTTGTCTGCCAACATCAGATTTTATTCTCTTTTCTCCTTAGCACACGTGAAAGATGCTTCTGCACTACCAGTGTATCCTGGGAACGGGAAAAACATAACGCTTGACAAAAAGAGCAAATAGTGTGGCTGACGTTTAGTCAAAAGATTTTCACCTGCTTTCGGCACCTAGATGCCCGCAAAACGAGGCACATCCCCTTGAAAGACTTGCCCCTGCCAAGGCCTCGGGTTGACAAGAATACAAATGGCACAAGCTGCTTAAGTTGAAAATGATATGGCAAGTTCAGGCCGCATTCGATCATTGATGGCGCTGGATTGTTTGGTGGATTCAGCTGAAAACCCTAAACGGCTGCGATGCCCGTTCCGGCCTATGCTACAGTACCATTGAACGTGGTGATGGTACAACAACGCTTTTGTTCGCTATGTCAACAGGCTGTAGCAAATATTATCATGGGGACCTTTTGATTAACTTCTTTCTCCTCACGGGTGTAGGGTGTCGCGATCTTTGACCCGAGATGCCTCGATTCAGTCTTGGCTCCAAGCTCTCCATTCTGGTAATCGCATTGGTGACCGTGTTATACATCGCCTATCCTTCGTCGCCCTCAGGTTGGAAGCTCAGTCGCGTTGCTGCTGGATATCATGATCTAGCAACCCACTATTCCTCCCTGAGAGTTGTTCAACAAAAGGATCCAGCCGCCATTGAAAATGACTCAAGCGAAACCTCTGCAAACCACAAGGTCGTTGCGAAACTAGTTCAGGACTCGAATGCCTCTCCAGAGTCAGAAAGGCCAAAAGACGAATATGACGATATCCCCGAAGAGACCCCGGAAGAGCGACACTGCTTCACAAGCGGGCTACAGTCCTCCAACCCGATCCCCAAGATAGTGAACTTCATATGGCTCAATCGAACCGAGCTATCTTTCATGAGCTACCTAGCCATACGGTCCGCATTGGTGTCTCTCCAACCAGACCAGTTGAATCTACACTACACCGATCTCAACGAAAACAATGAGTGGCTAGTCAAGCTACGCGACTACATCACCCTCGTTCACCATGATATGAAGCAAGAGTACCCAAGACAGATAGAGGAAAATTGGCACCTAGCGCACGTCTCAGACGTCATGCGGCTAGACATACTCCAGCGCAACGGCGGCATCTACTTCGACACGGACATCATTGCTCTGCAGCCATTTGACAACTTGCTGCATAGCCCAAAGGACATGGTCCTCGGCCAAGAGGGTCGTAACCGCTTCGGGCTCTGCAACGGCATCATTCTGGGACGGAAGGAGTCCGCATTCATGGACCGTTGGAAAGACAGTTACAGCACCTTTGAGTTGGGCGAGTGGAATAAGCACTCGGTCATACTCCCAAATGAGTGGTCTCTGTTATTTCCCGAAGAAGTCTGCAAGTTGGCGCCATCCGTGTTCTTCTGGCCAAGTTGGGATGCTGTTGAATATATGCACGAGCTTCTGACCGATGCACAGACAAGCAACTTTGAACAGACTCTTGCCAGCAACCAAGGCAGCATGTACCCGAACCAGCTTGCTTATCATGCTTGGCACCAGGTTGCACCGCAGCTGAACAGCTTAACGCCCGAGATTATCATGACGCGGAATACTCGGTTTAACATTTTGGTTCGGCGATTTTTAGAGTGATTGAAATACCAGAAATAGAGATATTACACATTCATTTACGACTTGTATAAGACAGAGATCATAAATTCATTTACACATCTACTTATATAGGATCTAGATGATTAAGCTTAGGTACTAGAAAGAGATTTAGAAACAGGTTTAGATGGATAGCCCGAAATTAGGCCACCAAATATAATATGACAAGGTACCCCTTTCACGCCTCTTCCTATATCTGATCTAGGTAACTAATCCGACGCACTCAAAAGTTGACGTATAAGAAGCAAAGAAAGATAGGCCAAGATATAGCGAAAACAATGTATGAGATGATATAACTATGCCACAAGACCCAACCCTACAGATTCGAAATCATAAAATCATAAAAATAGCAGAGCTTTATCGGCGGTTTTTAAGAACAGCGGTCATATACCTGTTCAACGAGTTAGTTAGAACTGGGTATGTTCAAAATAGAAGTCCAGACTTACAGTCCCATGCCTAGCAGAGTGAGGGCAAGCCCGGCGATGCTTTGGTTTGCGATAGGCTGACCACTCAAATACCATCCCAGGCCGACAATCGTGCAGGTTTTCAGATGTCCAATGACTGTGCTGCTAACAGGACCCACAGCGTCGATGACGGCAAATTGGGATACATTTACCAGACAGGCGAAGAATCCACTCTAAAAAGGAGGATAACAAGTCAGTGACAGATTCGAATATTTGGAAAGTTGTCCATAAAAGGAACACCACTCACCGCAAAAATAGCGAGGTATAATGATGGTGAAAGCTCAGTAGTTGCAGCAGGTGCATCTAGAAAGGGGACCATACACAGGAGCAAGGTAGCGCTCACTGGTGCTTGGTTGAGTAGAAGCTGCATACTACTCACTTGGAGCTTTTTCTGATAGCCTCCAACGAGTGCCGTGTAAAGGGCACTAGCAAGCACACCGGAAAAAGCACAAATAACACCCTTCGACGACGTTGCGACGGCCGTATTATTCGTGGAGCGCGTATCAAACCAGAAGATGGTCCCCACACCCATTATCAAAATCAGCATTGGAAGAATGGATGCCCTCGGAATGACTGTGCGATAGAGCGCAAAGCCCACTAAGGCGGTTGCCGGCGTGAGTAGTAATCGGACGAGTTGGTGAAATATGACCGACGAATTTGCCAGAGAGAGGTTTTGAAGTATGACTTGCGCGGCCATAAGAACGATCAAATGCATATTCCGATAAAGAGGAATTGACTTGGCGACAAAGCCACCGCAGCAGGGTTGTGATATCACCCACAAGGTGAGACCGGTGATGAAAAAGTGATAAGATGCGAATGCCATTTGACAGTTCCGAAGTTTTTCGTTCGAGAAAATGTACTTGTTGGTGAAAACCTTGAACATGTTAGCGAACGAGCAACTTTGCGGCTCAAGTGAGACTTACTATAGAAACCGTCGAAACAACATTGATTGTGATGGACAGCACAAGGCGGAGCTTTCCAGGGGCTTTGCGCTGGCCATCTTCTGGCTGCTTGAGAGGTTGAAGCTCCGAGTCATCATTTTCTCCAAGAGATTTCGTCTCTTCTGCGTCTGGTGACGAGTAGCCGCTGAAGGATGGCAGGCGAGACCACCCTTCTGCCCCGTTAAGTTTCGACCTCAGCTCACGAAATGAGGTCAACATCTTTGAATATCGTCAGTAGAAAACAAATGAACACATCGTAGCAGTAGATAGACATATATCCTATATCAGGCAAAATTCTGCTATCAACTAACGTTTGCGGACAGACAGGGGAAATACCACCCCTTTCCGCAAACGTCGTAAGTAGGATTGGAAGTAACTCTCTTTTCGTATCTGTTTCTGTTTCCTTTTTCTATTGGTCATTTTTCATATTTACAGTGATATTTCTTAGCTAATCTCTGATAAATCTGTCTCCGAAATGTATGCTCCTTAACAAAATGATTGCTCTTGATACAGATATCGAACAATAAAAACACAAGAGAAAAAAAAAAAAAAAAAAACAAAATATTGAGGATGTGAGGGAAAGAAAAGAACACAAAAAGTAGCAACCAAACTAGTTAACAAGGTAGCCTCGTGGGTAGACAAACTCCTTGGGACGGATTTCTGCTGGTGACCAAGATTCTGTTCCCCATTGCGACAGCACTGTTTCCTGGTCAGATATCAGTTCATGAATGTTGCGCCGTGTGCTATACACCATGTTATGAGAAAGTTCCCCGTGCATTGTCTGGTCGCCGTTTTGAATATCGGAATCTTTGTATGCCGGACCCGCTGGTCTATATGTGCCGATGAGATTGGGGAAAGGTGCGAAACATTCAATTCGCTGGCGATCACCAAGACCACCGCACAGTTCAGACATAGAATTGTCGACCGGTCCTTCTATGTGATCAATAGCGAGAGCAGTGAGGATTTTCCTTGCCCCTCTGTTCGAGACAGCATATCCATAAGTGCAGCAGCCTTCTCTAGCGCGGTAAACAAAACGTGTTGAGTCTTCGGGGAATATTTCCTTCCAGCTATCAAGGGGGCCTGACCATGTGCCGCGATTTTTGACACTTGGGACTGTTGGGTCCTCGGGTATGGCGTAGTATCGAGTTTCGTTGGTATCAGGTCCTGATGAACACCCTCCAATCCAGAGAAGATCCCAGTCAGTTCCGTAAGGAGCTTGCTCGGTTGGTTTGCTTCCTTTCAGAGAGTGTAGGCCATGAGCGAATTCTTGGAGTTGACTCTTGATGTTCACGTCCCAGTCGGCATCATCTTCAAGTATCAAGGCGGTTGAATATGAATTGGTAAGAACACTAGTTTCCCACAACTGAAGATTAGATAAATCCTTTTATACAAAGAAGATGAGCGTCAACGTACTTGGTCAATGCATTCATGTGAGCTCGCCAACATCCAATCTCACTGGGAGTATTAACTGAAAGGTTGTATCCCTGCATTCAAAATCAGTTGAAAAATTGTGAAACTTTCATATAAGAACAGACCTTAGGTAGCGCCTTCTGTTGTAATTCTTGCGGGCGAACACCGTCAAGCCACTCAACTTGGAAGCCAGATACTGAGGCTGATACCGTAAGGAAATCGCGTTTGTCTGTACGCTCTTTCAAACCGATAGCATATACGTGCTCAAACTATTATCGTAAGAGTTAGTCAATATCGATGCTGTCAATAGCACCATCGATCGAAGCTGAGTACTAACCCCGAGCGTGCTGTTAGAAATGTGGTCGAGCGCTCCATCGCGAATAGCACTTTGCGAAAACCGAGACAGTTTCTGTGGCCACAGAGTCTCTGGAGTGTTTCCGAAAAAGATTGACAGAAGTACGTAGGAAATGAAAAGCGCGATGATGGTCGAAAATATCTTGTAAGTCTTATTGGGCAATTGGGAAGCCATGGTGAGATAGCGCAAAGATGTGTGCCCAAGTAAATGATGGGCTACCTGCATCAAAATTGTGAAATTTGATTCATTTGAATGTTAATAAACCATTGAATGCGATATGAAGTGGTCTCTAACATTCTTGCTATATGCGGCTCTTCTTCACATTTACAGTGCCGCGTGCGGTGTCAGGAATGCAACACAACAACCAAACACTATATCCGGAAAATCAGTCAACTGCCACTTTTGAAATACAATTCCTTACCAATTTTTGAGATTGAAAGTGATCATCTTCCGAGCAAAGAGTTTGGAAGTTTGGTTTTGCATCTGGCGCAGGTCAATGTAAGTTACGCATTACTCATTTTACGAATGATTTTGAATAGAAATGTTTGAATATAAGAAAAAGCCTTTATATGTACATTACTGGAAACCAATTCCCTCCCATAATCACAACAATGCATAACAAAACAAAGTATATACCGGATAAATCAGCCTCCAAGAAGCATAAAGCCCATAGCACCAACCCACCCAAAGACCAAGATAAGGGTCAAGATACTAGCACCGGCCTTGTCACCGGTACTAATAGGAGCAAAGTTATGACTAGACGAGTCACCACTGCCCTCACCCGCATTCGGGTTACTGGTGCTATTACCACCAGTATCAGCAGTCACGGGCCCTTTCTTGCCATTGTCGAAGCCGATCATGTTGGCAAGGAAGATGTTCGAGGCACTGATTTCCTCCTCCATTCCCTGCCAGCCATCCCATGCTGATTTATACCAGCGTACACCGCATGTGTTGTTGCCTTTTCCGGTACAGGACTTTGCGGCGGCTTGGGCGGAGCTTTGGAGTTTTGGTACGATTGTGTCGTAGGTTGATGGGACGAGGAGTGCCGTGAATGCTAGCCATGATGATACGAGTCCCTTGAAGAGAATTTCGTTGTTGTTACATTGCTCTGTTGGCTCGCAGGTTACATCCTCCAGGACGTTATTGTTGATGAAAAATGTCTTGGACATTTTGGTGAGGAGACCGTTTACTCGTGTCAACCAGATGTCGTCGCCATTGGTCTGTCAATAAATTATTAGCGATTGGTGGTAAATTCGCGCTTTGCTAGCAACTTACCAAGTTGTACATGTAGGCTGCGCCCATCATAAAAGTACCATAGTTATATGTCCACTGATAGTTGCCACTGGTCTTGCAATCATTGGACATATCAGTCGAATCAGCAACAAACCATGTCTGGTTGTTGAGCAAGACCGAATCCTCGGTCCAATCCCAGATCTTCTCCGCCCAATCGGTATATTGTTTATCATTGGTGTAGCGAGCAAGACGAGCAGACAATTGGAACAGACCACCGTTGGATACCGTGTTTTTCATCGCGTATCCAGACTGGTAAGGGAAAATCTGCCACCGAAGTCCACCACCACATGCCGTGGTGTCCCACCGCTTCACCTGCGAATTGAAGGTGCCCTGAGCCAAAGAAAGCCAGGAGAACCCATCGGAGACATCGGGGAACTGCAACTCGGCTGCCATCATCGCTGCAAGGCCCCAGAATGACTGGTCGTCATTGCCCTGTTTGAAGGTTAATATGAGTATATAAATGCGGTGGGAGGGCGCGAAAGGGGTGGTCCTCACCAGGTAGCTACTGTAGTTGCTGGGCATGTAGTTTCCGTCATCACCACCCTGGTGCTCCATTCCGATGCTCAGCTCCTCGTTATAGGTTGTGTCGCCGGTCCAATGCCAGTACTGGAGCAGCACCATGAACAATGCTGAGCCTTCCCACCATTTGTCGGGGAAAGCACCGGGAATTTGTCCAGTCTCATTTCCGTAATAGTATTTCATGGCCGCGTAGACCGTCGTACTGGCAGCATCTTGGAGAGAGTCTGTTCGAGCGCGAAGTTAGTCTCTGATCTTCGACAACATGGTGTCCACTGCACCATACCTTGATCATTGATGTCTAAATCAATGGCCCGCACTAAACATGAAAAGATCAAGAATGTGATAAAGCCGCTAAGCATGGGCCATGTGCCAGATAATTGCATCTCGTATCAGATCAATCATGAATAGGATCGGAATGAGGGGAGAAGGGGTGGTCGGGGGAAAGAATGGAATCTCGCATAACAGAAAGTCGGGGATGCGACAATGATGTATGAGCAAACAAATTAAAAATAGTTTCAGGGCCTCCACTTTTCCACAAGGGAATTGCAAGCTTTTGGCCTCTGATTAGCAAGTGTGTGCCGATCAGTCCAGTGTAGATCTATCATCTCGCCACCAGTATGGCCGAGGATGAGCTGTATATAAGGGTTGCTTGGTTTCCAGCCCCTAGTCTTGCGTTCAGTGGAAATTACCATGTCCTCCAGTCCAGGGTCAACTGTGTGCAGACGAATAGTATGAGGTTTTTTTGTTTGCGGATCTTTGGGTAGGGTTGGAGAATACCCACCGTTGGTCAGATTCAACGTATGCCAAGCCCACAACGCGTGTAAGCGCGAGACAAGCAATCTGTGGTTCTGGGGCACTCTTGTTTCATGTTTGACACTCTCCAAGTTTCCCCAGTCGTGTGTCCAATTTTTGTGGACTATATGTTGTGTCCCTTCTCCCAAATCCTTCTATTAGACATATACATGTTCTTTTTGCTTTCAATCCCTTGCTCCGTGTTCAGGCTGACTCGCTCTGGACCCCAGTGGGGCTAATCCAGGGGCCTCTGACGTCAGAAGCGGGAGAGCCTGTTCTGTCGATCACGCAGTGCTGACCCACAGGGGTTTGGCCTCAGGGTCCATGTATTGGATGTTCATTATTTGGTGTGCCTGTTAAGTTGACTTGTTAGAGGTTTATATTGATTGAAGACATGATATTCTGTGCGGCTGAAAAAGCGGCTGGACTAAAGCTAAAATGCTTGGTTGAAGCACAGACGGTTGCACGTGACCTGGATATTGGAGCCTCCTTGCAAGGCATCAACTTCATGTTGATTGCCATACAGAATCACTACATAATATCTCTTCATAATTGCTTACAATAGCGTGGCACTGCCTGATAACCCCATATATAAGTCAACAATTAGCATGTAGACTACTGTTTATCAAAAGCCAAAGTAAGGAATGAATCTCAGATTCTCAATATCTGAGCCAGAAATAACGAAAAGAAAAATACCCACACATATACAACAGAATAAAGTTGTGAAGAAAGAATATCACCTTGTCCGGTCATTCTCTTCTCCACCAACCGATATCGATCTTGCCCATAAGTGTTATTCAAATGAACATTTCCAGAAACAGACCCATCCTCCAATCGAACCCAACTCCGCACATCATCTCCAAGCTGTTGTTGATCTAGCAAGATCTGTCTGCCCCCACGAGCCCAATCTCCGTACCCTCCATACCCCGTATGTCGGCCATAGCACATGTTGATGCCATTCCCTGAAATGTCGAGGCCAGATAGTGTACCGTTCCATTTGAAGCACCTGAATCAACAAGAGATTAGTATATGTTCCTAATTTAGTATAGCAACAGGGGTGTGCTCAATATAAATTAATCGGAATGATTTGACTTACCAGTCGTTGTCATGATCATGACCACTAAATGTCGCCACGAGTCCGGTGGTGTTCAACAATGCTTGAATAAAAGAATGATCTTGGGAGTCATATTTGATGTTGTCGTTACCATAGCCTTGTTGCTGAACTCGCTCGCCATTGATTCCTGGTTCCTTACTTGGACTGACACCAGTCTGTTGAAACGCGCGCATTGGGAAAACAGGGATATGAACGAAAGCTATAGAGGGAATTGGGTCGCCGTATGTGTATTTAAGATTGGCTTTAGCGTTTTTGAACCATTGTAGAACCTGGACGCTGTTAGTCTGTATCATCTAAATTGGAGGGGATTGGATTGCCAAGCCAGATATGATCTTTGATCCTGGATAGTATGATATCTTACCGAATCATCGACCCAATTTTGCCTCGGAACGGATGTCCCGTTATAATTTTCGTCGATATGATAGTGACCACCCTGACTATCAAAGAACCACAAGATGAACACTGGCGTTGCATCAGTTGAAGCATCGTGTGCAAAGATAGGTAGATAATAGTTCGTAACTCCAGCAGTAGAGCCCGATACTTGCTGCTGCGTTAAGGAATTTTGGTATGTCTGTTCTCGGCGAAAGATATCTTCAGGGTCGAGATTGAGTTCACTATCGTGGTTCCCGTATGTCGTTGCCCATGGTAGGTCTTTGTCAACTACTGGAGCAAAAATCCGATCAACGTATTTGCTGGAAGAATTGGCATTTTTGAGCGCTTCCCCAGATATTAGGTCTCCGTTCAACACAACAAGTTGTGCTTCTTCCGACGAGAGAATTGTCTCAATCACTTTTCTTGTTTTGTTGTCCTTTCCTTCATCTGTAATGTTGTGAATACGGAATCTGGATAAGTGGTTGAGACCTTGCGTATACCTTCTGCAAAATGCAAATCACTGAAGACCGAGATTTGAAAAGTTCCACGCTCTGTAAAGCGCAGTATCCGATCGACATCTCGCCGTTGCGGTATTACTGCCTTGCGAGTTTGCATTATGCTATGTAAGCAGCTGATGCAAAACCAGCAGAACAAGACCCGGGGAACTCCTTATTCTATAATAGAGCAGTGCCAAGGGCCTCTCCACAGCCAAGCACTTCGAGCTATAGCATTATATATGCCTTGAAAAAGACTATTTAATGTAACCTTACAGAAACGGCGGTGCCAAGCCGGTAATAAGAGAGAAAGCTCGGCATCCCGCATGATCCATGGTTGGGATACCGAAGATGCAGCTCATACTAAGTTCTATGGTGTATGTAGTATTGCATGTATTCCTATAGAAGCCCGAAGTTTGGGTCATCCGGTTGCGGGAGTACATGTATTGAGATCCATGCCCAACTTTACGTTTTCTTCTCCTGCTAGAGACTCCAAGTCTATTAGGGATGTCTTGAGTGCCAAGAGCCTTGAATTTTGTTAGATCTGGTCAACTTTATGTGTAGAGTCATGCAATCTGCTTATGATACGTCATGGCCAAGATGGGCGTTGGGAGCAAAGTGGGTCTCATTTAGATTTTAGACATTGGTGATGGTAGTGCAGAAAACCAATCATGACCTCGGATATAGCCCCACCTGTCAGCAGGGCATATATCTTCGGCCCTGGACATGCTAAGTCCGACCTTGGTTCTCCTTTTCACAGCTGCTGTTGTTTATATTGCTAAATTACATCTCATATATAGTTCAAGACTAGCGTGGATATGAGAAATACATCGCCGACCAATCGGATTTTCGAGATTGGGTAAGCCTCCTTTTCGATTGACTTTATGCAGACAACGGATCACGCTCGTATCAAACAAAGTCAATGTATAAAACAAAATTTATGAATGGCTGATTAAATTATGATGGCTTCGACTTGCTTGGCTCATATATGGGCAAGTGCATTGGCAGCATCATCACTTTTCAACATGTTACGTCGCTACTAATATAAGGCAAAAGACCCGGTTATACTGTAACTTTCCCGTAGACCATATACTCTTTGAGGGGCGAGAGAGGCAAATTTACAGATTCTTAATACTCATGTGATCAAAACTATGCTATCTGTATTCATTGCGTATATACGAAGGTCTACACCCAAAAGACAATCTGGGTGCAATACTAGCCGTGCATACATCTGCGAAAGATCTCGGGTAAATTCATCGGACTTCGAACGCTATCACTGAAATACAACAAACAGCCAAAGCGCTAACGTGCCTATACATATAAATGATCAAGCCCCGTTTGGCTTCGAGCCTGTCCTGTTTTCCTGTCTAAGATCATAATCCAGACTCGCTCTTCTGGACACATCAAGGTTACCCATCGCCAAACCCCTTCGATACATAGGCAACATGTAGAGTTATACATAGGAGTCGACAGCAAGAGCCATCACCTTCCCCCCTCTAGTAACAGTGCTATTAACAGGAAGTTCCGTCTCCCCGCCAGTGGTAACATAAAGAACTCCACGATCACTCTTCCCTCTGCCAAAAGCTGCAGATGTAGCAGTCATTAACAGGGTTGAATTCTTCGACCCAGCAGCAATCTCATGATATCCATCAGGCCAAACTTTGGTAACGACATTATCCATAGCACCCGCCAAGAACCCAACATCACCAGGTCCAACAGCAAAATCATCAGACAAAACACCTCCACTGATAACCTCATACGGACCCTTCGCCTGGCCTGTACGAAGGTCAATACGAACACGACAGAAAAGCCGCTTGGCAGTGTTGCTGTAGTACAGATAATCGCGCGCAACCCTCAGACCATTAATCCCAAGCTGCAAGCCTAGATAATCGGCCGGAGCCATCGTCTTATCCTGGTGTATAACAGTATATTCACCGGTCTGCATATCAAGTCTGTAAATAAGACCGCGCTCCGAATCCGAGAGAACAACCGCTCTCCCTCCATCCAAAGTAGCCATCCCATTCAGGAGACCTGACGGGAATGTCGCGATATGCTCTGGGATAGAGGCACCTCCATTTTGGCCGAGGCTAATCGTCCAGACAGAATCAGAGGCTATAATGGCATATGTATCCTGCTCCAACTCGGCGATTCCGTTCATTTGTTTTGCCTCGTCGAAGTGGTGGACTAGGTGCGCAGAGGCATGGCCAGATCGAGTCCAGGGGTTAATCTGCCACAGCTCTGGCTTGTTAATTAGCGTGACAAGGAGGTTGCCGTTTGTTCGAGCTGCGATGTTTTCGATCCATGTTCCATTGGGGAATCGGTAGATCTCCCGGAGATCGGCACTTAGCGTGTGGCAGGCAAGGAGGAGTATGAGTGTTGGGATTTTGAACATCTTGGAGATGGCCTTGACTGTTGTGATAATAAGCACATCCAGGTCATGTTTTGACTTAAATACTTCCGCGCGTGAAGTATTTGAGTTCAAGGGGCGGAGAATGGCGAACTGCACAACTCAGCCTCGAGTCGGGCACTTGGCGTCTGCAGCCACTGCAGATCTTCTGCCTTGAGATTCATTATTGACAAATGTGATAGAATCCTGAAGTTGCCAGGCTCATTGATTGGCAAAGCTGCATGCGTTGTCCATGGGTGCATCAGGCGTAAGCTGCATGCCACTGTGGATGGACTACCGACTAAATATTAGGAGACTAGGGCAAGGCAGGAAAGCCTATATAAACCTGAAGTATCTAATGATCTCGATTGCTGCGTTGGTAAATGTCTGCTGGTCTCAAACTACCATTCACCGCAACAAGACTTACAAGTGTGCACGGTGCTACAGAGTATGACAAAGTTTCTACATGTTCGAAGCAAGTGTACTTCTTGTTTCCTCATTATCGGCTGCCTCGGCTGAATCATCGAGAACATACAAGGACACAGGTGTTAAAAGACTGATAGCCTCTGTTGGGTGTTAATACTGAATCAAATCAAATCGTATGTACGGGTTTCCATTCCATTCCTAGAAATATAACAAAGACACAATGCTATTATGAATAACTGCGCTAGCATGATCGCGTCGGTCGGTCCTCAATTCGCTCCATTGTCCGTTTCTTCTTCTTTTTTTTTGTTCTTTTATGATTGAAGTGAACCTCGCTCTAAAAAACACAAATCCCTTATACACCTACATGCGCATCCGTGGATGCAAATGCCAAAACCCGCGATTATGTCTCGGTCTCTCCACGGCGAAGTGCCAGTAGAGCCCGGATGTCTGTAACGTACTGCAAAGCTTCGAACATGGGGACCAGATGGAGTAGGCCGTTATCCGTGGGGTCGTTGATCCAGCCTTCGATGGGGATTGCATTATCTGGAAGTGGGTGTTAGTCGGTTATACAGCGCGTGGAAAACGTGAGCGTTACCTTCGTGGAAGATGTAGCTCATTGGGCTATTGTCCAGAATCATGACCTTGCTCAGATCCGGTTCTACGGAACTGAGATCCTTGATATACGCGCCGTTGCGGAATGTGCAATGCTGGCGGTAATAGCGGCCTTGGAAGTATTTACGTTCTTGCTCGAGCCAGTCGATCACGGGATCGGCATACTCTTGGACACTTGCCGTGAAGATGACCAACTTATACCACTTGCTGACCTTGCGCAGGAATTCGTCGCAGTGTGGTCGTTTGTGGACATAGTACAAGATTGGATGCTGAGGACCCAACGTCGTTTGCGGCCCACCGGGTGACAATGCAGTAGTCGTAGGCATGGAGAGCTTGACCTCTACCATGTGGCCACTAGACATGCGGCCACCCTTGGCGAGGGAGTGGATCAGGGTCTCGTCAAGGTCCAATACCAAAGTCTTCTGCGGGAGTCTGGCATTGCGTGGAGCTGCAGTATACGAAGGCACCCGTTGTGGGAGAAGTGGGCGTGGAGGGGTTGGAGAGTGAGGGTACTTGGTGATACGGTGGACGGATCCAGAGGTTGGGGACTTCAAGCTGTCCAGATGGACGGCGCCCTGGACCCGAGAGACACCCTCGGGCATTGGCGGTCCCATTTCTGCACTCTGTGACCGTCGGTGACGCTGTTGTTTGTGAGATTCTTCATGATGGAGTTTGATTCGTATGGAACGTCGAGGTGTATTCTCTTCCGGGATTGGATCTGGGTCGTGGCCTTTCGTCTTCGTCGGCCGGTTCTTCCCACTGTGATTCTTGGAAAGCCGTCGATCTGTATCTGACTCCGAGGTTGTTGATATTATGGATTCATGTGATGCTTGGGGTCGAAGCTTGCGGGTGGAGCCACTCCGCCGTCGATTCTCCCCTTTATCCGGCCGGGTCGTTAGTTCGGCAGAGGAGCGCCACAACTTCCGGACAGGTGCGAACAGAGAGTAGCGACCATCATCAGCTTGGAAGCATTGAGCGACATAGACACCGGGGGCGGCGAGCGTAGATAGAATGAATCTGATGGTTTCCGTAATCGCATCGAAGATCCGGTGGGTGATTAGCCGCCAGGTGCTTCGGGTCGTGATCGTGCTGTCCTTTTGAGGCTCATGCAGTAATGGTGTCTTTTCATCTAAGCCATACGTCGTATCCTCCTCTGCATCTTCATCCACCCGCGGTGGTCCATCGTTGTAGCTCTTCTCGGTGTCAAGAGCTCGAAAGTTGTTCTCGCTGTAAGATCGGAGTTTCGACAAGTCGCTTGGCAGACTTGTGCGTTTGCTATCACTTTGGGATTGCGATCGTGGACGTGGAGAGATGGAAGATTGACCAATGACTCGCGAGGACAGGATGTTCAGCGAGTTCATCTTCCCTCAAGGCCCACGGGAGACAGGGGCACAACGATCTATTGGACGGACCGTGAGCGAATCATCAAAACCACTTGAAGCGGCCCATGAGATTTGGTGGGAATATGGTTGGAGAGAGGGGGAGGGCAAGGAGGCGTAAGCTGATCGTGTTGTGAAGTTCTATCTAGGTACCGACCTCAATGCGCCAGTCACCCGTGCCTCGGAACTGTTTCCGCGACCCCAGTCTGATTTCTACCGCGAGTTCGAAGCGGAAAATGTAGGGAAGTCCCCCAAAAAAAGCACAAAGAATCAAAGAAGGAACACTGAAAGCGAAATTCTAAAAGCGAAAGGCGTTGGGAAACAAGAAAGCGAGGATCAGAGAGTGTGGGGAAGCGGACAAGATCAAACGGCAGAAAATCGTTCATTGTCTCCCACTTTGTTCGGCTTCACTTAAAATTCCCTCTCGACGGACATTTCTTATTACTGATCTGGCTGTAGCTGCTTGAATTTGAAATCAGTGTATGTGAAATATTCGATTGTACAGTTGATTGCTCCAACCGCTAACCTGCGCAGACATCTTACGACGTGAAATCCCACTTCGTTATGCCGGCTACGTCTTTGGCCCTCACGCCGGGCCTGGCGTCTTTTCTGAAATCTCTTAAGACTAATCCGATCGATACCTCAATTGAAAATCTCATTTCGTACGTCTCAAGAGTCCATTTCATCCAAATTACCCCGCCGAAGTCAGGTTGCTAATATAGTAACTCTATCTAGATTGCTCAAGCGCCGCCAAATCCGCCATTCGCGTTCATGTGCCACGGCAACTGCTTACTTGCTGCGCAGTGTCATCTCAGCATGCCGCACAGCAGACCCCGCAAAGCTCATTGAGCGGGTGCAAGGTGTGGGAAGGCGGCTGATGGCTGCGCAACCGCGCGAGATGGTTGTGGGCAATATTGTGCGCCGAGTCCTCGGTCTTATTCGCGACGAAGCGGAGGATGATCGCGAAGCAGAATTCGCCCTCAGTGATGTGGGCTCAGAGAGTCAGCCCCAAACACCCCGCGCATTTGACGGTTAGTTCAAGGTCTTTGTCCCATATCTATACCGGTGACTCACACCTACTGTTAGACCCATCATTGCCTCTGAACAGCGATTCGCCCTCCTTTAGACCCGAGGATAGATCCGCTCGCCCCCCTCTGACTTCTATGTTCAGCCTTCTCTCCCACCCAGAACCCGAGCACTCTCTCCCGAGCACCCCGGGATCTCTATCTCCAGGTGGACGGCTTCCCGGCCACGGGCCTAGCAAGGACGTTCGGGCCGAGGTGTTGGATGGTATTGGCGAGATCATTGACGAGTTGGGCCAGGTCGACGATCAGATTGCTGCCTATGCTTTGGATCACATTCACTCGAACGAGATCATCCTCACACACACATCGTCCACAACGGTTCAAAAATTCCTGCTCAAGGCCGCCGCTAAGCGCAAGTTCACTGTCATCCACGCCGAATCATACCCGAATAACCATGAGGCTACACACGCTACCGTCAGTGGTGGTAGCATGCACGATGATGACAACCTCGGCTTCGAAACTTTCCAGAAGCCACTGATCGAGCACGGCATCACCGTAATCCTCATCCCAGACTCTGCCGTCTTCGCCCTCATGTCCCGAGTCAACAAGGTCATCTTGGGAACACACTCCGTCCTTGCTAATGGTGGCCTTGTCGCCGCAGCCGGTACTCGTGTCATTGCCCGTGCCGCCAAGGTCCACCAGACCCCCATCGTGGTAGTGAGCGGAGTGTACAAGCTCAGCCCAGTCTATCCCTTCGACTTTGACTCCCTTATCGAGTATGGTGATGCAAGCAAGGTCCTCTCCTATGAGGATGGTGATCTCGTCGATCAAATCGATGTTCAAAATCCCATCTACGATTACGTTCCCGCGGAACTAGTCGATCTCTATATCACAAATCTGTAAGTTTGAAACATCATTTTTACCTCTGTAGGAGCCTATATACTGACATTCAGCTTTTTTTCCAGCGGTGGTCATGCCCCATCATACCTCTACCGTATTGTGTCTGACCACTACCGCAAAGAAGATATCAGCTTCTAAGCTGGCGGCGTGACAGACAGCTGTAGTAGATCATTGATGAAAATAACTGAAAATGAGGGACATGCACGAACGATACCCGAGGAATGATGCTTGACGATTGATATGTGAGAGGAGTATTAGAATCCCTGGGATACCTTAGGGGACATAGACTTGACATTCAGTACCAAATGCAATCATAGTCAAATATATCTGCAGGGCAACTCCACACTAAGACACTAATAACCTAAATTATATATAGCGCGAATATGCTCAGGATGTCTAACCACATGGGCAGTACTTAGGCATTAGTACGACACTGTATAGTAGTCGTCAAATCAAAAGACGGGTCTACGCTACGTTAAAATAGACTATACTCAACTCCAATCGAGTCAAGTTAGTGAATAAAAAGTCATGGCGCCATAATCTTTTGGAATTTGTATCAATCGTGTTTAATTCGCTTAGCGTATCCATCACGTTCCAGACGAAAAAACCCGCCGGGGGACTCCCCAAAAAGAAAAGATCTCATGAAATCAAGGCGCTGATGAGGCGGGCTTTCCGTCCGGCACCTTTCCCATACACCGAGGCTCCCGGTCGCTGCATTTTTGATATCGGACAACAAAGAAGAAAACTTGTTGACTTGCTTAAGAGCGGGGCTTCTCCTTCTTCTCCTTCCAGAGAGCGGCGAGACCAACACCGGAGACCTTGACGACCTTGAAACGGACACCGGGAATATCACCCTTGGCCTTACCCTTACGACCGAAACCGGCAAGGAGGACCTCGTCGTTCTCGTCGATGAAGTTCAGACAACCGTCATTGGGGACTAATAGAAGATCCTGGTTAGCATTCGTTTCGAAGAATGGTTTGTTGTTCGATGGTACTGGGTTGTCGTTTGGGCTTGATTTGTAGTTTTCAATCGTCGAACAATGAGGGAATATATAGGGTTACCCACCGAAAGCAGCGACCTTCTTGCCGTTCTTGATGAGCTGAACCTTGACACACTTGCGAATGGCGGAGTTGGGCTGCTTGGCCTCAACACCGACCTTCTCGAGGACGATACCCTTGGCGTGGGAAGCACCACCGAAGGGAGAAGACTTGAAGGCGGTTCCGAGGAGACGCTTCTTGAAGTGGTCGTCAGCCCAGCGCTGATCCTTGCGGTGAGCCTGGAGCTTGCGGGCGGCGTTCAAACCACGTGGCTTTCCTTTACCCATGTTGGCGGTTTATGTGTTCGACGGTACAACTGAGCGAAGAGAAGAATGTTAGCCTCGAGTCGCTTGCAACGGTGGTTGTGTGGATTGCGATGGCTGTCGACGGTTGTGGGAAGCCGATTTTTTGTGCGTGATGCGATGGTATCAGGAGGATCTCGCGAGGAATTCTCAAATAATTTCGAGAAACACAAAGAATAGGACGGTAGGAATAACAGGGTATCGATAATACGTACCGACTGGGAAGGGGTGTTGTCGCCAAAGGCTGGAGGTCGATTGTCGAAAAGTCGAAGAGTTCCGGAATTCCCTTGAACCACACTCGCTTTGGATGCGCCTCAGGTGACTTTGTGCGGTAAGCCCTAAGCGAGTCACGGGACTGGCGTAACCCCCACCTGTTATGTCAGCTGATAACGATAGCTTATCGGCTATCGATAACCTCTTGTCTACACGTACACTTGCACTCAACTTACACTTACGCATACAGATTCAAGATGGAGCTCACGAGGAAAACGACAAATTCTCAGCGGTTACCTCCACCGGCTCTGTTTCAGGGTCCGCCATCACACAATGCCTCCAATATCTCCCTATCCGTACCACCCGCAACCTCAGCCCTACCAACACCCTCTGGAAATCAACCTCCACCACTCCATCGGAACAAATCTCCTCTCGGGAACGAGGGTAAGAACCCAGAAAAAGCCAGTCTCTTATCGCCATTTGTATCGCGCCGTCAATCCAAGAACGATGTGGACGGATCCGACGCAATCTGGCAGGAGATGCAGAGCGCTCTATCGGAAGTCGAACTCAGCGCCGTGACGAGCGAGAATGTCTTCGGAGAAAAGCACTCGGAAGCACTAGAAGATCTACGTCAGAAGCAACTGAAACTTGCCCAAGCCTGGGCGCGCAGCGAGGCGGACGACGAAGTAGCTGATCCTAGCCATGATACGGCAAGTGCTAAGGGTAGCACGGCCCGGCAACGAGGCACTGCAGAAACAGCCATCAAAGACGATGCAGCGACTGAACATAGCGCGGGACGTGGCTCAGTCTCGCATCACACGCTGGACGAGGAGACCGAGAAAGATATTATACATGCGCGCAAGCGTCGTGAGGCTAATGACCGGTACTTTGACCGGGTAAACCAGGGTGTTTTGGATGTCGTTGCCAAAGTTGAGGAAGTTGCTCAGGCTATGCGCACTGTGGAGCGAGAAAGCAAGGATATCTGGAGTGATTCGGAGAGTATTGCGACCACGGCGCCTTCGTCTCATACCGGGTGAGCCGCTATCTCTCGGCCATTCGCTGTTGTCCAGCATCAAAATATACTCTTCAGTCTTCGCGTCCAAATGGCTGCTGAATACTCAAGATGCTTGGGGCATCGCCAAGTCCTACATCATCGCATCATCCTGTCACAGAACGCGCTGGACGCATTGCAACGACATCCGTGGACATAATCATACTAATGCATGTAAATTATAACAAGAATCAAATGAGGGTATCCAAACTCCAATGCTCAAACCCAAAAAAAAAAGAAACAAACATGATCATGCATCCCAATATATTCTGGCTCAACAAGACCAAATCGGTTCATGTCCTGACCAGAATCGATCTTTAATCCCGTTTAACAACACGCGCAGCAGCTTTCCAACCCTCAATAGCAGCATCTCTCATATCCTCCCACCTTGTTTCGTAAGCCTTGCGCGTCAAGACCTCGAGTTCCGAGTTCCACTTTTGCTTCAAGATCTCCTTCATGGTTGGTACTGAGGGGTTTTGAGCCTCTATCTCTTCACGGCGCCGCCGTGGGACATCTGCTGGTAGATTACGGCGGTCATAGGCGCCAATGGAAGAGGTCAGCCAGTTGATTTGTTCGACCTGAGCGCTGATAGCTTTGCGCTGTTGGATGCGATTTGAGCGGTGAACTTGGACGGTGATGAGAAGGATTGAGGTTGTGAGGGCAAAGCCGCTGGCCTGTTCAAGAGAACATGAAGTGAGTCAATGCTCTTCTAATGTAAAGACGAGGTAAACGTACAAAGCCGGTGAAGAAGCCCATATTTGTTGCAGGTGGTAAGCTCGCCGGATTCTGGTCTGGTTCGTGAAGAGTTTGAGAGCGAACACAGACACAAAGACTTGTTTGCTAGGAATATAGCTATTCGCCTGCGAATAAAAGCAAGAAAACAACACGACGAAACAATGTCAAAGTCCAGCGCGGAAAACTGAAGTCGGGCAGTGGGCGGAAGGGCTCCGATTGGCCGTGGGCCCGGGACAATTCTTCGAACATCGTCTCCTGCAACACCTGGAGCCCTTTGACCGCGGATTTTCAACTATACCTCCAGTTTACCCTCCTCTCCCTCCTTTTCTCCCTATCTCAACTTCCAATTCCTCACCATGGCCGGCGGAGGAGGCAAATACCGACATTTGAGCCGGAACTCCGCGCATCGTCAGGCCCTGCTTCGCAACCTGGTCACCTCCCTCTTCGAGCATGAGACAATCACAACGACATGGGCCAAGGCCAAGGAGGCCCAACGTCTGGCCGACAAGCTGATCACACTGGGAAAGAAGAATACCGAGGCGAGCCGGAGACGGGCATTGGAGATTTTCTACGTACGTGACACCCAGAACAAGCCCATATCGATATCGGCTTGAGAATTTAATCTGGCCACGGGAACGGACAACTCAAGTGTTCATTCTCGTGGTCAAATTTTGCAATCCTCAATTCATAATCCCCCAATGAATCTTCAAAATCTCTTATCAAACAACACCACTAACAAACCCCAGACACCACACGCGATGCTCCCCAAACTCTTCGGACCCCTCCGCGAACGCTACGCAGAGCGCCCAGGTGGCTACACACGAGTCCTGCGCGTCGAACCCAGCCAAAAAATCCAATACTTCTCCATCAAGAAGGGCAGCAAGGCCGCTCCCGCCGAGCGTAAACCCCAACCCCAGCACCCCATGGCGATCCTCGAGTTGGTCGATGGTCCCAAAGATATGCGCTTCGCCATGACGGCGCGCACATTGGAGCGCGAGCGCTCCAAGGGCCGGGATGTGCCGCACGGTTTGACGAGGTTGAATGTGCAGAAGGTTACGCAGTTCCGGAAGGATGGTGTTGAGGTTCTTGAGCGGGCTATTTCGAAGTTGAGCCTTGCTCGGAAGGAGAAGAAGGCTGAGAAGGAGGAGCAGGTTGAGTAAATGACTCTTCTTTGGCTTTGTTCTCTTTGATTTCGAGATTATGTTCTCGTCTGGCCTTGGTGGTTCCTTTTAGACGGAATCATTTCCTGTTCCTTTTTTGTTCGTCTTGCCTGTTTTATTATCAGGAGTTTTGTCTTCTTCCTGTTTATTATGGCATCTCGTCTTCGTTTGCACTTGCGCATGTGACATAGCCTCTGTATAAAAGATTCTGATACCTCTTTACTGTCATCCCTTTGTATTTTCCAAGGCTCTGTGTAAGCCCGCGTTTTTAGCGGTAGGGCCAGCTATACTTCGGCGTTACCTTTTCTGTTCAAGAGACGGATTTTGGCCAAGTCCGCGCGCTGCAAGGTGTTTTCCCTGCCTAGGACTTCAGGCCTGACACATTGAGTTTGACGGGCTTCTTTAGGAAAGCTATATACTGCAAGGTAGATCATAGGACAAAACTAGCTATCAATAATGTTATTTCGCGGATTATGGTCAGCAAGTATAGGTGAATTGACAATATTACATTGGTGGCTGCTGCCAACGGACGATCGACAAGGCATATGTCAATTCAAAACCAATTTTTGCGATGTTCGAGTCTATTTTTAATTTGAAGCAGTAAGCAAGTAATTGAATTGATGGAGCTGCTCATTACTCTTGGAGGCTAATTCTCTTGTAGCCAATACTTGATTATGAAGATTCCATGTTTCTCTTCGAGAAATCTGATATATCAACTGCAGTGTCAACTTCTATTCGCTCAATATTCTCAATCAAGGGGCACCAGGAGTTTATGCAAAGCTATCGATAGTAGATTTCTCTAGCGTATGATCTTAGCACTCGAACTTACGGTCAAGCCTGTTCGAACAAAAGCAAGATCCCCGGGACAACTGCCCCCGTCTGGGGAGAAGCTCCAGGACTCATATTCCCAACATCGCCTGTCTCAGATTCACTCAATGAATTGATAGTCCTCAATCTCCATTGTCTCAGATTCTGTTCCACATACTCACCGTTCTATGCCCCTCTTATCTCAAGTATGCAACTGATGTCCCCAAACGACACACCCCAGAGCACAAGATTTACTAACCACCACCATGTACAGTAAAGGCCCAAGCAACCTAAAAAGCAGACAAAATGTCTCTTGATAACCCCAAGCGCTACCGCAACACTGGTCCACCCCACCCTATCGACGCAGACACATACAAAGAAGTCTCCGTCACCTCGCCACTAAGATCGCACCCACCGCCACCGCCAACAATCGAATCTAGCACGAGTGACTGTACTCTACAAGTGAACCATGAAGACTGCACGCTAGAGCTAAGCGACCGCTCTCTTAACCTCGAGCTGAACGGCATGCCAAATGAAAAGCAGGTAGAGACAGACATCGAGAAAGAAGCCGTGGACCTGGCCGAGCAGAACGAATCTGGAAGACAGCGTGCAGGAACTGCAAATGGCAACGGCAATTCGAGACCGTACTCGGAGTCCTTGACAGAGACGGGCACTGTTAAGCGTCACCGCAAATCTCATCGGCGGCAGTGGATTATTGCCGGTGCTGTTTTGGGAGTTCTTGTTCTTCTTACTGTTATTATTGTTCCTTCTGCTATTTATGGTACCCGTGAGACTCAGGCGAGGAATAGGGCTCAAGCTCAGGCTAATCAAGTTGGAATTGGGTTTGCTTGAGTTTTGGGATTTTATTATACTTGACATGATTGGTTTGGATATATGACGAATGTTGAGCTGGGTGTTGGAAGGAATGAATGTCAATTGATGAAATTGTTTAATTATTGTTGGTTTGCATGTATGTTTGGGGATTTATAGGTTTGAACTTCGGAAGCTATAAGGTATAGATAGCAAAGGTGTAGGTTCAATGCGAAGGCTATCCATTATCCCACGCGTGCACTGTATATACACTTTTCAGTATCGTTGAATTGATACATGATATGGAGTGAAGCTTCTAAACAGCCCATTGTAGCAAGCTCAAACACATGCAGTCTATTTCATATGATTCTAGCTTTGCTCTTTTCTGTTTTGTTTTTTTGTTTTCTATTTCGCTGCTAATTTGGAACATGTCAAGCCTCAAGACTAAAGTAGGGCATCAAGAGTATCCTAATACACGTTTGACGTGAACTATGCACGTAAAACGAACAGTGAAACAACGAGGGTAAGAGTTCTACTGTCTCCCTCCCGGATACTACTCAAAGCCAGTATACGTGGCTATAAGAGTCTACAAATTGAAAAGTAATGGTTGAAAATGGATCTGAATAACCTAAGAAAGGATGAGTGACGCAGCTCAACCACTAGATAGCCATGTACTGTCCTAACTGTACAAATAACACGACAGACACATGGATAGCATGGATACATCTCACAGAGCAACGTTTCCTGTTTCCGTCATCAATGTTATTGATCCAGTATCCCTCCACGCAAATGTGATGCAACATGGAGTGGTAAAAGAGCTAATAGCTCAGAGAGCTTAGTTTGGTTTGGTGATGTTTGTGCCTCCCGAAACTACCAACGGTCCGTTGTTAACGCTAGAGATTCCATTCGCGTAGGATGGCGCAGGGACCGAGGGGGGACCAGTTCGGGTGTTCATGTCGAACTCGGAGGGGACTTCGGATGGTGGGGGCTTGGGGGGAAGGTGAGAGGGTGTTCCCCATTTGGCAATTGAGTCGCGGGGACCAGAGGAAGGCATACGGTTTGAACCCATGTTTGCGGTAGGGTCCATGTTCCGGTTTTGATGGACTTCATGATATCCGGTCCACTGCACCTGGGCGCCGGGTTGCATATTGCCGTATGGCTGCATTGGGTGCTGAGGGACTTTATTCGGATGGCGGCCAAGAGGTGCGCCACCTGGGATGAATGACCGAGTCTGAGGGTTGAAGTGTGATCTGGCATTGGCGTATCCTGCATTCTGCATTGCAGGATTCATTTGCTGTCCGGGATATTGAGAATAAGGATATCCGCTCATGTTTGGCGGCATAGACTGCGGATGCTGGGGATAACCGGGCCAGTGGATAGGCGGACCACTTCTTTGAGGCTGGTGTTGTTGATAACTCGTAGGATAAGACGGTTGGTTCCAGTTGGAATTTTGCTGGTATGGAGCGGTATTTGGCACGGCGTAGTTGTTCATCGCGGGCGAAGATTTGTTTGAAGATTGCTGGCTCATCATTCCCGGCTGGTTCATCGAAGCGTACCCAGAATACGGAGATTGCTGTGGCATATTGCCTCCTTGCCATGAGCCATTGGAGGTCATTTGAGGTGACATGGTCATCGAATACTGCATGCCATTCATGTTCATTTGGCCCTGCATTTGGTTTTGTATTTGACCTTGCATCTGGCCCTGCACCTGGCCCTGCATCTGGCCCTGCATCTGGCTTGGAATCTGGCTTGGAATCTGGCTTGGAATCTGGCTTGGAATCTGGCTCTGCATTTGATTTTGCATTTGACCTTGCATCTGTCCTGGTATCTGTCCCTGCATCTGTCCTGGATACATTGCGCCGCTTTGACTGGATGGCATATAACCACCTGAGGGCGGGGGCACACCGGGACCAATCAAGTAGGGTACTTGGTTCGGGTATGAATTGTCATTCACGGCAACATTGTAGGGAGCGGACCCATTTCCATATTGCATGCCTGGATAGTAGGCGTTGAACTGGGAGCGAACCTCGAAACTGTCGTCACGAGGAGTTCTCTGTTTCTGGTTCTTTTTGCGACCATTCACGGAGCTTGAGCGTGACATGTTGGGATTTGACTCGCCACTAGCTGTGTCTGATTTGGCGCTGTCTGGGAAGTCACGGAAAATGCGCTCGCGTGCTTCGTGGTATTTTGCTTCCCGCTCTTCTCGTGTCATGTTCATGCGATCTTTGGCAGGGGTAGCGCCAGATGAAGATCCGTTTCGTTCTCCATCTTGACCACTATCACCAGCCTCCGAAGTCGCCTTCGACGGAGCTGACGAGCCTCCGGTGCTTCCTTCGGGTCGCTCGCCGTCATTTCGGCGCATAATCTTCATTGCGGGAACAGTTGGAGGAGGCGTGGTGTGGGTGGAAGCATGCACAGTGGCCAAAGGCGTGGGTCTAATCGGGTCAGTAAAGAATTCAATTGGGCAAAAAGGAGCAGAATAACAAACAGTCGGCAGAACGGTGTCCGGTGCAGTCTGACCGATGTGACATTGTTGTCGACAAAATGTGTCAAATGATAATAGTCCCCAAGCTTATGTGCAAGAAGTCGTCCGAATGCGTTTGATGGAGGCAGCTCTAAGGATTGCTCACTAAGATAAATATGTTAGTTCATTCCACAGGAGACCTTTGCGTGAAGAACACGGATATCGCTCACCTAGAGTTTTTGATGAAATGACGAATCTTCTCCTCCAGTTGGAGGATCAACAGACGATCTTTTGGTGATTTCATTGCCTCCAAAAGCTTCTCGTCTGGATCAAGAGGGAATCCATGTAGATTTTGACCGTCCTGAAAGCTGTCAGGGTTGGCGGGAATCACAAAGTTGTTTGCCACTGAATCGGGAGGGATTGTGCCATTGCCAGGCTGAGTGCCATTGAACAAAGGACCAGGAACGGGTAGAACCCCACGTGGTCGTAGAGGGACGCCATCGCGGAAATGGTCACGATACGCACGGCTGTCAGCTTCAGAGCCTGCTACCGAATTGGGAGCACCAGAGGCAGGTCCCGAAAGTGCATCCTCTTCGTCAATAGCCTGAACACTAGCACTGTCATCAGGACGCACAGAGTCCTTTTCATCCATTGCAAAAGTGGTCACTGAAGCAAGACTCTTTGAGTCGAAACTGGTCATTTTCGTAGATGATGTAGAAAGATGAGTATGATCATCGTCAAAGGAGTTCTCTCGCTTGAGCAAACCATTTCCCTGGCCCCCGAGGAAAGAGCCTGAGCCTGCGCGGTGCTTGTTTAGGGTAATCCCAATATCTTGCACGCCTCTTGCTAGGTCGTCGACAGCTAGGTCAATAGAGCTGGCCTCTGGCGTTTTGTCCAGGGTGTGTTGACTGGGCAAATTGGCACCCGAATCATGCGCTTCCGCGCCAGGGGATGGGTCTGCTGATTGGCCGGTGTTGTTATCATCAGTTGCCGAGGAAGTTTGAGGGTTGGAGATCGCGGCCATTGCGGCAATCTGGTGATTTGGGTTAGTAATGATCCACTAATTAGTGCGCTTTGATCAACGCTACTCATGAGACATACCTTTGCAAAAGAGAGTGGGCCATCTCCTCCGGATGGACTTTGGGATGCCATCTCAACGCACTGCGGGATGCTTGACGAAATTGTTTAGATACCACAAAAAAACCCCCGAGATCAAGCTAAGACGCAGCTGCACTGAACACGTCTCAGATCCTCAAATATGAAAGAAGCAGAAACACGACTGGTTGGAAAGTAGGTTGTTGGGGAAATCCGTTTCACACAAGCCCAAAACGAAGGACATATCTCTGGAAGAGGGCGATCGCCATGGAGAAAGCTGTGGACATTGAGCATTAGCAATGTAGAGTGGCAGGGAGTAGAGCCAGAGGAGAAGTGGGGAGCAAATTGGACTCAGTAGGACAAGCCCCCACACTCAATCCCAGGCAACGGCCCTTACATGATATCAAAGCTGGCTCATGTTCAGGGAGATAAAGACCTCGTCCTGAGACGGAGAAACTGTAGCTCGGGCAGCCCTGGAAAAAGGCGAGCAACTTTACTAACTTATCCGAACCGGCGGAAGTGAATGACCTGAGAATTGATAGACCTCAGGAGAGAATCGATATCGATCAGGAGCGTTGGGAACCGGAAATCTGATTATTCTCGAACGCCTGAAGATTCGTGGGCGCATTTTGCCGCGCCCCACCGCCCCTGCCGCGCGCCTACAATTTCCTTAGGCTTCAAAGAACAGCCGCCTATCAAACGACTTGCGCCGAACCACTTTACGCCTGATTTTGCCTGTCCACCTGGGTGCAATCTTGCTCATACCATTCACCGAGGCCTGAAGGATCTTTTTCTACAAAATTCAACACCGTCCGCCACACTACACTCTCCAATGAACCGATATAGAAACGCTCCGACGCTCCGAGGCCCCAGCAAGGCCTCCGCAAATACACAGTGTCAAAAATGCCTCAAGCGAGATATGTGCTCCCCCCCCCACCCATCGCTGAGGAGCTTGAATTAACTCCATTGCACGGCACTATAGTTATGAATGCAAGGCAACAGCACAAGAGCGGCCATATATGGCTCGTCCTTCGCGGACTCAGCAACTTCTGAACCCCAAGTTGATGCCCAAGCTCTCGAACGAGAATCCCAATCAGCTTTTGGAGTCGTGAGTGTCTATTATTTTGGGACTGCCCATGCCTATATTGTGACTAACCAAGACGCAGAACTGGCGTGGCTGATGATCTGCTTGCCAAACGAGAGCAGGAGCGTGGCCGAAAGAGAGATCTTGAAGATACCACAGACCCCCACTCTCAGTCTCCGAAGCGGGCCAGATCTATCTCGTCACACTCAATGAGTTCAATTTCAACTATATCAACCAACCGATCCTATTCCACATCTCCTCGTCGGAGCAAACGTGACGAGCACGAGAGTCGTCGGGGTTCTACATCACCGCCTCCAACCAAGTCTCGGAAAAGACGCTACAGTGATTCTTCCGAGGGCCGTGCTGGCTCGGTACACTCTTCAGAACAAAGACCTCGCTCGATCTCCAGGGAACGCACAGATGACCGCAATACTCGTCGCAGACGTCGTGAGTCAAGCCCCGAGGAAAGAGGGCGGCACCGTGCTGCGGGAAGACACAGCTTGCGCAGGGACCGTCGTAGCAGGAGTGTGGACAAGGCCCGTGTTCCAAAGGAAAAGCGTTCTCCAACTCCAGATGGTGCCCGTGACCGTCACTACCGGGATCGGGCAAGCCCGCCACGCCAGTCTCAACCTGCACAGTCTAGACAAGACACCAGAATGCGGAATGATCAACCTCCTCGTGAACGGAGCTTGAGTCCTTTCAGTAAACGCTTGGCTTTGACTCAAGCCATGAACCATGGAAGGTAAATTGATTTCAAAAGGTGTTCTGGTACATTAGGATTCTTACGGCGCATTGTGTTGACGGAGCGCCAATTCATGTTCACTGGCATATGTAAACAAGTGTATTATTAGCATTTTCAGGCAGGGAACCCGACCTATCAGCCTCGATAGCGAAACAAAAGGATGTCAATAATGATATTAAAAAGACAAAACAGAATTGCTCATTGAAACTGTCGACCTGTCCTAACGCCTCGTTTCTATCTGAATGGTAGTATGCCTTTGCCCTAATCGGCCGCCTCAAGATAGAAATATGAAAAATGATCAAATGGACAGAATATAGAAAGTACAGGTAAAGGCAGGAAAGCTAGACAGCGCCAGTCCTGCCAAGGGTATCACATTCAAATCGTTTCATCGTCGTCCTTTTCCTCCTCTCGCTCGCGCATATGGATGCCCTCAACTAGTGTCTCGCCCTCCATACCCACTTCCTCGCCCTCTCCATTCGATGCCCCGCCGCGTTCCTTCGCAAGGCGTTGCGCAGCCTCTATCCGTTGTCGTACAAGTCGAGCAATGGCATTTTCCGTCCGTACGTCAAGAATTTTAAGCTTCTCGTCCAGATCACGCTTCAGGTCCCAGTTCGGTTTCTTTGGTTGCAGTTTGAATAGATCAATTGGTTGGTCGGCCTCTGCGTCTTTCTTGGCTTGTTCTGCTGTGGCCTTTGCGATCTCCGCTGCTTGTGTCTCCAGCGTCACCTGGCCCTCTTGTGGGCCCTGCTCGAATCCCAGCTTGGGGCCGCGGGCTTCGGCGTCGTAGTTACGGCCAGACAGGTAGGTTCTTGTCACCTCTGGCTCGGTATCGGCATCTGGAAGCTCCTCTGATGCACCGGCATCTTCTGTCTCGGGTTCTGGTTGCTTGCGCTTCAGGGCTGCGAGTTTGGCAAGGCGGGCTTTGCGGTCGATGGACGCCGCATCGAGATTGGCGTGGTTCGACGACATTTTTGGACGTTGTGTGAAATTTGCCGTGAGAAATTACAGAGTTGGACTCCTGGAGAGAAAGTGACTGGGGTGAACGAAAGTAATCCCAAGCTCTGCGAAAGTCGAAGAGCGGAATGATAAAAGATGTGGTGCGCCACACCTCAGCCACGGCAAAATCGGGCGGAAATCAACTTTCAACACTTAACCATACTCCGACTTCCTCGCGCTGCACGACTTCCTGGTTTATGTTCTTCTGAATTTCTCAATGTATGCGGTGACACACTCCTGAATGTCATTGTGTCCGCACCTCGTCCGGTCCCGCCTGAACGGAATGCTTTCGCCGCAATGCCGCAGCGCAGGCCGATGGTATCGGTTCCCCGGGGCGCCAAATGTTGGCCATGGAGTGCAGCATTTCTCGATATCCCGTTCCTCAGCGATCTTGGAACCGGGAACTTCACACGATGACCTTCGCGGTTCCGACATCTCGCAATTTCCGACCCAAGATTCCGAAAGCCCACACCCCGAAGAGTCGAGTTCCGCAACAGATGAATATGCCAATGCCGGGGAGAACTCAACTTCGAGAACTCGTCAAGTACGAAGAAATGCGGCACCACTCCCACTCATGTCGAAGACGGAAATACGGAAGATTATCCATGCGCAAGGTCTTGCTCCCAGTCTCGTGAATCCTATATCTAGGAGAATCAACATCGCGATTCAAAAACAGGGTAGACCGTTGACAAAGCGATCACTATATCTCACAACTGTCATGCGGCTCAACTCCATATATACGCGCGAGCTGGGACTTCGCCAATGGAAGCCCGCATACGAAGCTATCTACAAAGCTAAGGTTTATGAACGCGATGTCATCAACAAGGCTGTCCTCCCGACGCTACGAGGGGATGGAGAAGCACTGCTAGAAATGGTACGCAGTGACTGCCATGGCAAATTCCGAGAAAAGTGGGAAGCTATGACAAGACCTCAAAAGGCATTTGCCTGGCAGCGCCTTGCCATTTGGCTGTTGCAGAATGACCCCAAACTGGCCTTGGAGTTTCTGCTTGTCACGACCGCGACTCAAGAAAAGCCGGACTTTACTCTGGTCGCTGATTGTTTGATGTACCTGGATAGATTCTATTACGAGGACTGGCTCGAGGATTGGCAGAGCGGTGACCACACATACCAGTCGGTTATTGAGACTTGCCTGAATCCAAGGGAATGGCCTATCGTGCAACCGCCGCATAAGGGATTCCGGCTGTTTATTCGCCGAGCCAGCGCCGACAGTGTCAATGAGGCTTTTCGAGTGGTGAAGGAGAGAGGCATCTTCATGACGGCCGAAACAGCGCTTTGCTTTATGAATCGTTTCACGGAGCTGAAGGACACGCAACGGGCCTTGCAATCCCTGCAATTCCTTACCAAGATCCAAGATCCTGGATTTGGTATGAACTCTGAGGGTGTTTCACGACACTGCTGTAAACTCTTGACTCTTGACACTGTCGAGGATAGGGACGGGGGACGTAATTTCCGAATTCTTCCCCAATTGCTCAAGATGGGCGTCAACCCTGAGCGGGACATGATGAACGTCGTGCTCGCCAATGCTTATAAGACTGGTGATCCTCAGCTAGGATCTGATATGCTTCAGTTCATGAAGAATCATGGCCACGATTTCGACTCGTATACCTACTTGACTCTTCTCACCGATGCAGTTTCTCGAGGTGACCGGGGTCGCGTCGACGAGCTTGTCCAGGAAGTTGAGATGCAAGAAGAACTGCGAAAGAACCCATACATCTTCAGCAAAATCTTCCATGCCCACTACACTTTTACCGCCAAGCATATCGACCCTAATACAGACCCCTCGGAGGTCTTCTACTCTATGCTTGAAATGTACAACAGACTCCACGACATTACCCCCCTCAAAGAACTCCACATGATCCCTCCTCAATACACCCAACCACCAACCCAAGCAATCAGAGGCCCACCCTCCCCAGTATCCCTGTTTCTAATGATCTCGACCTTCTTTCGCTGCAAGAACCGACAGAACCATGCGCATCGCATGTACGAACAGTTTCGCACCCTCGCACAACAGGGCCACCCATCCATCGCCCCTTTAGTCGAGACCGACCACGTCTACAACGAGTTCCTCATTGCTTTCCGCAGAGCAGACCGTGGACTGCGGGGTTGTGTCCGTCTCGTAGAGGACATGCTTGACTCATCATCTATGCCGAAGGAGACCACAGATGGTAGACCTCTCCACCCCGTCCAGCCAACCCCCCGAACCTGGACGATCCTCCTCAGCGCTTTCAACTACCACAACCGACCCGACGCAGCCGAAAAAGTCAAACAAATGATGGCAAAGCATAACGTTGAATATAATGATGTTACCTGGAACACCATCATCAACGGGTATGCGAATGCGCAGAATATCCCTGAGACCGCTGCTGCTATCAAGATGATGGAGCAGCAGGGTTTCGCCATTGACCCTTACACTATGAAGAGTCTACGCTATCTGCGTGACCCTGAGCGTCTCTGGGTTTCCATGGAGGAGTTAGATGATCAACACATTCAGAAGGGTCTGGCGCCTACAGCGCTTACATCCTCGGGTCCTACTTCTGAAATTTACGTTGACACGGAGGAGCGTGATCTGCTGATTGATCGTGGCTTGGAGAAGCTGAAGCCTAAGCTGTGATATCGGATACCCTTTTGTTCTTTTTACTTGTTGGCCTTGGTGGTCTAGCCATGGGAGCATTTCGGATGGTGTTTGAAGAACTGTTTTAAACTTTTTGTAAATTTGGATATCTTGTACTATACATTGCATCATCATGAATTGATTTGCCCGAATACTGTCCCAAGGTGTCCCCAGAGTGAGTCTCCTTTAGTTCTCACTTCGTGGCTGACTCACAGGACGAATTCTCGAGGATTCATGTATTCAGGTTGTCCGCTATCAGAAAGCAAAAGTGGTACCTTAACCACCGAAGAAGATTGAAACCTATTCAGTACAATGTCAATTAGTACCAATTCAGAAGCTCGTAGATCTCGAGTCGTCCACTTACTGCCATCAGAACGCAACAAATGCTAACGTAGGGACTTAGTCTTTCTCCGACACGAGCACATTTCCAGAATATCCCGAAGATTCTGTCGATTCGTTAGCGTCCGTCGTCGCGAGCTTGTCGTTGCCTGTCGCTGCCTCGAAGTGACCACCTACCCATTCTGATTCCGGTCCATAATTCCGGGCATGATCGAGTGCGCATAGCTGCTCGTGCAGATTATGAGCAAAATTACCAGCAGCAGCGATTGAAAGTTGAAAAGGGCCGTCTAGGTTCGTTCATTGTCATGTTAGCACTGTGATGATTACCGTGACCAGTATGCAGCAGCAGATAAATGAGTCCCATGATATCATTCACCTGCTTTGTTAACAGTCACAAAAACAGCGAGAACTCACCATATTGAATAGCTTTCGAAACCTCGCCCGCAACGTGGGCCTTGGAGAGCGAGAAGTGAGGTAGCTCGAGGCCAAGTCGCGGCCGATTCTGCCAGCCATGCCCGCCAAACGCCGCACGGGCCGCAAGAAGCGGGTATCCTTTTCGCTGCCAAATGCCTCTGCTAAACAAGCTCCAATTTCTCCAACTGCGTCTCCTTCGACTCGCAATTCGCCGGGCAAACCTGCGTCGGGTAATGTGCCAGCAAACACCTTACCCTTCTGGATTCGCAGCCCATTCAACGAGCGAGACACAGCTCTAAATCGCGCAGGTTACGAACCTAAGTGGACTCCCAAGAGTCCCACTACCGAAGAACCTCCCGCTAAAGTTCCTGCCAAAGCTACCACTCAAGCCCCCGACGACACTGTTGCCGAAATTGCTGGACCCCCCTCTTCTACGTCATTTCCATCATCCAAGGACTCAACGAAGCCCGCCAAATCCGCAATGGCTGAACCCCGTGCACGTGTGGCCCGCCACAAGGGCCAGATGAACTTTTCCCGCAGAGCGTACGTTCTCTGCAACAAAGCAACCTCCGCAGACTGAAACTAAGCGCTAACTTCAAATCCAGTTCGTCTCCTTCTTCTCGCCTACGGAGATCCAAGCCCCCACCCGTCCTTCTCCAGCGAGCCCCTCCCCGAAACAGTCCGCGTCCTCGACGAAATAGTCACCGACTTCGTTCTCGAAGTCTGCCACGGCGCCGCTCAAGTCGCTCACCATGCCCGTCGCCAGAAGATCAAGGTCGAGGACTTCCGCTTCGCTCTCCGTCGTGACCCCAACAAGCTCGGTCGTGTCCAGGAATTGCTGCGCATGGAGCGTGAACTGAAGGAAGCGCGTAAGGCTTTCGATCAGAATGATGACCAGGTTGCCAAAGAGGCTGGCAAGAAGGGTGCCGCCGCTGCAGCTGCGGCTGCTGCTGCTGGTGAAGACCCCGAGGCCGCCGAGGCTGCTGCTACTGCCGGTGCTCTGAAGAAGGGTAAGGGCAAAGGCAAGCGTGGCGCTGGTCCTCGTCGTGGTTCGGATGCTACTGAGGAGTCTGTTCCCAAGAAGCGCAAGACTCTGAACTAGTTTGCTTCTGATGGTTTTCTTGTCTTGTTTCCTCTTTACTTCGGCATTGGGTTATGGATGGCGTTTGATCTTCTTTCTCTGGTTCGGGTTCGGACGTGAATATCATGATTTTTGGCGTCGGCGGGTTCTTTTTTCTACTTTGCTGCTTTGCATGGGACTATGGTCTGGACATATGGATGAATAGGAACATGGGATTTACTTAATGCGGAGAATTCAAGATACCAATTCGCAATTACAAGTTGGCCGAGAGCCTTGCATTCTTACTTTTATTGTAGCGATTGAATTGTAGCTGTAATACTGCCCATATATGCAACATTGAAGGTATAGTACATTTTCCGTCTACAAAAAGGATGCAGCCAATGGTTTGTATATGTCCACCCCCACTGTCCCACATCATGTGGGAGGACCACAAAAAAATGGTTTCCCTGGGAATCGAACCCAGAACCTTTCCGGAACACTTGCTTGAAGCAATTGTTAACGGAAAATCATAACCGCTAGACCAGGAAACCAGTTGCTGAATGATGTCACTATCTTTGACATGAAGAGCGAGAGCTGAATTCCATAAAGACTACGGAATTCCATACTTGACACGAAATCATCAGCGTACTGTACTCACTCCGTTAGCCTATTTAAAATCCAAGTTTCAAAGTATTGCCTCCAGTGTATATTCAGGTACTATGATAATATCACAAGAAAGACAAAAGAGGAAAGACATATTCTAACATCAATTCGAGGAAGCATCTTGTTATGATTGGCAACACTAGCCCTAGGTTCTCTGGATCCCTCCACACACGCTTGGGATCCTGTCTACGCCAGCGGTAAAATAAATCATTACCTAGCTACCATGGTCCCATAAGCCCATGAATACACAGTCCGGCTAAACAGATAACGTTATAGCAAGCCAATACGATTCATAGAATCATGACGAGCGAGGGGTTCTCGGCGGAAGTCACGATTAAGATCTCATAAAACAACTCTACAGTAGTTACCCTCCATATCATATCCTCTCTACACCTAAGCTCAAAAATACAACGACATCATGCCTAACCACAACACTTAAAGTCCAATCCCAGACCGCCTCCAAACCCTCGTCGCTCTAATAACCGGCGCAGCCGGAAACACTTCGAACAGGCTTTTACATGCAGGCGCCAAAGTTGTGCCTGTTGATATCAGTACTGAAAACTCGCTGAATCTAAGCAGAAGCTTATTGATAGCTTGAAAGTATCGCCGTCATATAATGATCAGTTCAACGCGGATGATGCCATTTTACAGTTCGAGCTGATGTGACTGTCGAAGAGGATGTGTTGAATGCAGCTACGGAGACCGTGTCTAAGTTTGGACGGTTGGATATTGCATTTATCTGTGCTGGGATCTCGTATTCGTCAACGAGTATTCTTGAAATGGCAAGCATACGACCAAGTTCATGGGCCGAGATCCGAGGAGAAAGCAGTCTCAATGATGATTTAAGCCCTCTAGCTTTGGAGTCATCGGCGGAGGACTTTTGTACTAGAAATGAAAAGACGAAATAAAGCAACGAAAAACAAAGAGAACGTTATGTGTGAAATTGGAAAGTCTACAAAGACCAGGAAAAGAGAGGGTATGATGATTCATTGGCACTGGGAAACTGTAAGTATATAACAGCAATACAACAAGTAAATGAAACCAAGGCTGCCCAGCTGGAAGCTCCAAGGAGGGCTGCAGAACGAGCAAACCGGAGGTTTACATGATATTCAAGACATAGGAAGGCATCGGTCCGATACATTCGACAGGATACATATGCTAACGCTTACTGTTAATTCCTTTACACCTACGCAAGTAATATATACTTAGTCCACGTAGTCACTTTGTTCTCGCTTATGATTCTTAGGGTTTTAATCACTAATCATACTACTTTATATCGCTCAGTTTGTCCTTCACTCTGCGAGGGCTAGCTACCAAAGTTTTATACCGCTTCTCCGAGCAATATGGAAATGCATAATAACAAATAAAAAAGACATACAAAGCATAAGGGCTCTTGCAAGCTATGCAGCGCCGGCATGGCATGCCACCATGAAGTCCTTCAAACTTCCAACCCACCAGAAGAGCTGAACCGTTCCCAGGTTGAAGACTAGGAATAAAAGTGGCGCGAATAATTGCTCGAAGTTTCCAATGTTTATTCTTTTCCGAGACACAGTCAGAGCCTGATGAGGGAAATGCAGCCGACAATCCAAATGACAATGTCATGACCTCGTAGTCAATGCAAATCAAAGCCCTACGTTGCCATAGACAGGGAATGATTTTATACAAATATTGATCTCTCTCGAATTTCTGATGACCTCCTTTGCTTTGCATTAAGACCTCCATACAGCGTTGAAAAGCTTGTGAACCTCTGTTCACAGTTCATGTCACCAGGTTCCTAGTGTGAAAAGCGATACGGAGGCGTGGTAACCTTCTCAGTGTACTCAGTGGGACAGTCAAGTGTTTTGTCCCACTGGAAATCAACGAGGCCGATTTGGAGTGCCTGGTCCTCTTGCATGGCTGATTTGGTACTAATGTTCAGCCAGAAATAGCCTGTTGACCACCTCGTCTCCATTGACTCAGTTCAAATCCAATATCACTCCATCCAATTGCTGAAAAGCTTTTGCGAGTTCATGACGGCTGGTCAAGTTTGATCCATCTGCAGACTTTGCGCTCATATTCTTCAAATAAGTCCACCTTGTTGGGGACACAGACTTTCTTGCTTCTGATCATTTCGAGTCCATTGACATAGAGACCGTCAAGTATTGTCCAGATTCTCCATCAACAGCTTATGCAAACTGCCATTCGACTTCCAACACTACAAGTATAAAGAAACAGGCCGGCAGCAGGTGCTCGGAATTCGGAACTATCTGTGTTGTTGCGATAGCCATGCTACCATCAAGAAGTGAGGCTAGCTTTCTTTGTAAGATGGTCAATGCATGTAGAGTTGCGGAAGAAGCACTTACAGCTCAACAGGAGAAAGCCAATGAAGAAAGCTTGCACAAAATGGTGCAGCACATAGCTAAGTCCATGAACAAGCGTGAAAGCCGAAGAGACAGCAGCTAAAAGAAGGACAAAAGTAGATACATAGGTAGCCAGAGGGCATAGCCAGGCTTGGTGGCCATCTTTGCGTAGAGAGAATATGGAATGTGTAAATAGAAGTTTGTATAGTAGACTATGAACGATGATGCGGAGGTAGGTGGAAGTAGGAGAGGAGAGGACGATGGAGTGGAAGTAGAAGTAGTTATTCATATTGAAACCCGCAGTTGTGACAAGGGGTACAGGGCAAACAAGCTGATCATGTTCGTTCTGGATTATTCGAGAGGTTGTTATGTTGTGTTCTTTGTAGATATATATCGGTGACAAGGCTGGGTTGTCAAACCATAGATTTTCTATGTAGGTATTTTGGAAAACCACACTCCCAATGCCTTTTAACTATGTTGCAATGCAACCCGTGCACGATTGTAAATATATTGTAGTACGCAGTACCCAACCCAGAGATATGTACTGTTGAAATAGGCATGTATGTGTCAAAACAACACCCAGCTCGTCCTCTGCGAGGAAATTCCACGTCTCTACACCAACGCTTCTACACATCAGTTTACAACAGAGACCCAAAAGCAATCCCTAGAACTTTTATGTCCATTTCATCATAACTGAAAACGCCGCGCCCAGATAGATGCGACTTCATAAAAACCGGGTCAACCCGAGGAGATCAGCACTCTCCAAACGCGCACACCAACCACCAACACATATACCAATACATTGGTGTTGCAAGTAGATAGACCTCATCCCAAAGCGAGGATCAATCCCACCACTGGTGTTTAAGACGAAGTATGCCCGATCATCTAGACCAACAACTCCAATCTGGAAGCCATGCAGGGGAAACATGACTGGGTCGTAGTCCTGTACCCCGAAGCTCGCGAGGAGGGAAAAAGAAAAGCGGAGCGGAAAAAAAGGAAACAAGAGGAAGAGAAGTGGGATAGTAACAGAGAAACAAGACCCAAAAAGAGGTAGAAAAGGGAGGAGGGTGGAAGAGATAGAGAACGTAGTATGAAGAACGTTCACTTGGATTGAATGGTACGGTTTCCTCCCGCAGGTCACATTATGCATCAATTGCGCTTAATTCCTTATGCGCGGGCTTCCTCGCGGTCCTGGCGGCGGTTTTGGTTGCCCTTGCCGCGCTGGTTGCCCTTCTCACCAGTGGCAGCTCCCTCACCACCGCCGAGGGTCAGCTGGGCAGTTGCTAGACGGGTGGACAGCTCCATCTGTGTGCGAACGGTGTTGGCGAGGTAGGAGACCACCAAGACGTCCTGGATGTGGTTGTTGCTGTGGGGGTATTAGCAATGGATCATTAAAGTGGAGGGGAAGTACATACAAGTCACGCTCGATGTCGGCGGGCTCGACCTTGGGGGCGAGAGCGAGAGCGTTGAGCAGGAACTGACCCATCGCTGTCGAAGCGGGGGTCTCCTCGTCAATGACGGACTCGACGTACCGCGAGACACGGTCAATCATGGAGAGAACCTCCTCGACGGCGCGCTCGAGAGACTCAATATCGGAAGTGATGGTGGCGGAACGCTCCTCGGCATCCTTGGCGTTGGCAATCGACTCGAGACCACTCTTGTCAGCCTCGCCGTAACGGAGCTCGTAGGGAACGGGAATGAAAGCAGCACTGTCGGCAGCGCGCTCGGCGGTGACACCGACGGGGGCGGAAATGTAAGCGCGGGTCTCGAGGTCCTTGCCGGGCTGGGTCGAGACAGTCAGGTGGACAGCGGGGTGAGGCCAGGTACCGTCACCCTGGCCACTGTAGAAGTTCTGGATCAAGGCGGAGAAAGTGTTGAGCTCGGAAGCAGTGGCGTACCAGCCAACAAGGACTTCGCGCGGGTTGGCCTTCAAGTGCAGGGCGAGCATCTGCTTGTGGTATTCCATATCGACCTCAACCTGGTCCTCGGCCTCGGAGTGGCCCACAGCGAAGGCGGATCGGACCTCGACTTCACTTCCATCCTCAGAGCGTGTTCCCAGCAGTGTACCGATGACGCGTTCCTGATCGGCATTACGGCGCAGCGAGTGGTCGAGGACGGAGAAGATGGCCTGAAAGAGTGAGCTTTGTACCCCTCGGCGATTAGATCCCACTTACCTGGGGCTGAATGACCACGTTGAGAGGGGCAGTAGTGGGAGCAGTCCCCACGCTGACGGGACCCAGAGGGCGAGCAAGGTGCAAGAAAGAGTCCATGATTGATATGAATGATGAGCCCTGGAGGTTTCCAAACGCCAAACTCAGCAAGCCTTCCGGAGGTTCAATTTTTCCTTGAGTGGAGTCGTGGATGTTCCGATTCTTTGTGTGTGGGAATTTTCGCGCTAAGATAAGAGATAAGAAATTCTCTACTTCGAGAACATCAACGTTTGAACTTCAGCTACAACAATGCCTGCACGCGGTTCTTTTAGAGGTCGAGGCACAGGTCGAGGCCGTGGCCGCGGTCGTGGTGGCCGTGGTCGCGGTCGCGGTGGTCGTTCTTTCGCTACATCTCGACTGAATGAGTCTGAGTGAGTCGCAAGTCGATGGGGTATAGCGTTTAGCTACTGACAGACTGCAGATCAGACGACTCTTCCGGAGAAGATGATGTTAGTGAACAATCGCAAGAGGAGGTACAGGATATGGATCAGGATGAGGGTTCATCGAGCAGTGAGGAAGAAGAGGAAAGCACCGATCGCCCATACAACGAGCTACTCCAGCTGCTCCACACCGAGAACGACTCTCAAGGACCAGCCCGGAAGAAGCGCAAGACTGCTACTGATGCCAGCGAGGAGATTCAAATGGCAGAGCCGGAAACAGAGCAGGGTGACGACGACCTCCAAGCTCAGGCCCCATCCGACGACGAAGAAGAGGAAGCTGATGAGGACGACGACCCTACTGGTGCGTTTGAGAAGCATTTCAGTCTTGTCGATAGTGCCGATTTGAACAAGAGAGTCGAGAACATCACCTCCAACAAATGGGTATCGGCCAGGAAAGAGGTGGATGGTTTGCGACTGGTCCAGACCACCCCAGACACAGGAGCAGGTGCGGCATTGCTGCCGGCAATGAAGAGTACGGTCAACATGAAGGTATGTCATGCGCTTCTATATGTTGACGACAACTAACGTGTCTAGCTCAAAAACAAATTGAAGCCTCGTGCGGCCGAACTCTTGCCCAAAATCAACGGTCAAGCCCAGACCCTTGCGCCCTATATCTTCGACTACCAGGATATCCTCTACGGAGCCCGAACTCCCTCGAACTCAGGTGAGATGCGCGATATTCTCGCCTTGCACGCTGTCAACCACCTGCTCAAGACTCGCGACACCGTCTTGAAGAACAACGCCCGTCTTTCCAAGGATCCGGATACCGATATTGAGTGTCGTGACCAGGGTTTCACCCGTCCCAAAGTGCTCTACATTTTGCCAACCCGACAGGCCTGTGTGAAGGTCCTTGACGCCATCACTCGATTCTACCAGCCCGAGCAGCAAGAAAACAAGAAGCGCTTCACGGACAGCTTCTCCGGACCCGAGGATGCCGCCTGGGAGCACAAGACCGAGGATTTCCGCGAACTTTTCGGTGGAAACGACGACGACATGTTCCGTTTGGGTCTCAAGTTCACCCGCAAGACTGTCAAGTACTTTGCGCAATTCTACAGCTCAGACATTATTCTCGCCAGTCCTCTCGGACTGCGAACAATTATGGACCAAGCCGACGCCAAAAAGCGCGACTACGACTTCCTCTCCTCAATCGAAGTCGTAATTGTCGACCAGGCCGACGCCCTCCTCATGCAAAACTGGGACCACATGGACTATATCTTCCAGCACCTAAACCTGCAACCAAAAGAAGCGCACGGCTGCGACTTCGGCCGCGTCCGCAACTGGTACCTAGACAATCAAGCCAAACACATCCGCCAGACAATCGTCCTGTCAGGCTTCATCACACCCGAAATCAACTCGCTCTTCTCAACACATATGCAAAACGCAACAGGCCGCATCAAAGCAACAAAAACCTACGCCGGCGCCATCACCGAGCTCCCCCTCCCCGTCTCCGTCAAACAAACCTTCACCCGCATCGACAGCATCTCCCCGCAGAAAGACCCAGATGCCCGCTTCAAGCACTTCACAACAACCATCCTGTCCAGCCTCGTCAAGAACATCACCCACGGCCGCGGCAAAGGCGGTGCCGGAACCCTCATCTTCATCCCGTCGTATCTGGATTTTGTGCGTGTGCGCAACCACTTCGCCACCTCAGCCCAGACCACCAATATTTCCTTCGGTGCTGTGTCCGAGTACACAGAGTCCAAGGAGGCGAACCGCGCTCGCAGTCATTTCTTGTCGGGTAGACACTCGGTGCTGCTGTACACCGAGCGTGCGCACCACTTCCGGCGGTACCAGATTCGCGGCGTGAAGAGGGTTGTTATGTACGGATTACCGGATAATGCGCTCTTCTATAGCGAGATTGTTGGGTTCTTGGGTCTAGATCCGGCTGAGTTGGTTGAGGCTGCTGAGGGGGGTGTGCGTGCCCTGTTTTCCAAGTGGGATGCGCTCAAGGTTGAGAGGGTTGTTGGTACTTTGCGTGTTGGGAATATGTTGCGTGAGAAGGGCGGTGATACTTTTACTTTTGTGTAATCTAGCAATGTTAATACAGCATTTCATATCCCTACTTGGATGTCGGTAGGGTACGCAGATCGTTCTGCCTGCGAACTACCCCGAGTACCATAGACCCGTTGGTAACTTTCCATGTTAGATATAAGTAGAATAGCAGAGATAGAAGAGCTAGCAGTATACAAACTAGATATAATCAAAACAAAATCTCTTTAACTGATATGTTGCTACACTAAATCTATAACTTGAGCGGTCTAAGCAAGAACGGGCTCCACCCCGACTGTCATGCGCGAAAATCTCTGTAGTCACTTTTCTCCAATACAACCTCACTCCAGTCTCTCTGGTTAACTGTATATTCCTTTCCAGAGTACAGGACAGAGGTATTCCTCAAGCATCAAGTACAGAACAAATACAAGGGAACCCAGAGGTTCAGGTTCAGGACCAAAGCATGTCCCCAACCCCGACCCCACAGCTCCAGGGCCAGGAGCCAACAGGCTCCAATACCGAAGCCAGGATGAGAACGGGAGATTTTGTCAACGAAACATACAAGGGCGAAGATCATCCCGATGCACCACTGCCAGAAAGTTCAAAGACGACAAATGGAAGATATTCAGACAACCCAGAGAACGAAAATGAACATGAATATGAAAATGACTGTGACCGAAATGATCAAGATGAATACAACTGCCAAAGCAGCAGTACGAGCCAGACCGATCCGGAAGACCAAAACCAAGCCCTCGCACAATCCGAACCCCGTCCTATTGACGATGATGAATACAACGAAGACGCAGCAGCAGCAGACCGACCCCGCCATGCATGGCAAATCCTCTGGCTCAAGAATAAAGGCATGGCCCTCGTATTACTAGCGCAGATGTTTGGCGCTTCGATGAATGTCATGACGCAGATTCTTGAGATTCATAGTGCTATGCATCCGTTTCAGGTACTGTCCCACCCAGCATCTTCCATATAGTACAACATCATGCTAACACACCCCACAGGTCCTCTTCGCCAGAATGTCAATCACAGCCCTATCAAGCTACATCTACATGTATTATGCCTCAGTCCCACACCCACTGGGCACAAAGCCCGTCCGACCACTGCTCCTCCTACGCGCAAGTAGCGGGTTCATGGGTGTCTACGGATTGTACTATTCAGTTCAATACCTGCCGCTGTCAGAAGCGACCGTTATCACTTTCCTTGCGCCTATCATGACCTGTTATGCTTGTTCGTTGCTTATTCCTGGTGAGACGTTCTCGCGCAGACAGCAATTTGCGGCGCTTGTTTCGCTTGCTGGGGTTGTTCTTATTGCGAGGCCGTTTGGGAAGAGGGAGAAGGTTAATTCGGTTCCGACTGCTGTGTCTGTTTGGGCTATGAGTCTTTCTGCCCATGGTGGAGAGGGGACGCCTGATGATGCTGATGCCTATCACCATGTTCTTGCGACGATTGTTGCGTTTGTTGGTGTTATTGGGGCTGCCGGTGCTTATACTTCTATTCGAATGATTGGGAAACGGGCCCATCCGCTTGTTTCGGTGACGTACTTTTCGTCGGTCACTACTGTCATTTCGTTCTTAGCTATGGCTTTTGTGCCTGCTGTGCCGTTCCGATTGCCCAATTCTGTTGTTGAGTGGTCGTTGTTGACTGGGTTGGGGGTTTGCGGGTTCTTACTGCAGTTTTTGTTGACGGCGGGGTTGTCGTATGTGCCCCCAGCTTCGGTTTCTGGGGGCAAGGTTGTTGGGCAGGGGTCCAAGGCTACTTCGATGGTTTATATGCAGATGCTTTTTGCGCTGTTTTATGATAAGGTGGTGTGGGGGGTTACGATGTCTGGGGTTAGTTGGATTGGGTCGGGGTTGATTTTGGTTTGTGCAGTTTACGTTGCTGTTGAGGGTGGGAAGAGTCCGACACAAGTACAGGCGCCGAGGAGTGCTGAAAGTGGAAGTGGAAGTGAAAGTGAATATCGGGACGTTGAGGGGTACAAAGACGCCACGGAGACGGAGGCGCAGACGCATTGAGTTTTGAGGCTTGCAGATGGCACATATAGACCCAACACAGTAGACGGAGCACTCTGCTCCAAAGACGGATGCAGCACCTTCGTCATAGGGTTACATAGAAACCCGGGAACTCCCGTGAAAGAACAGTCCTCGAGCTTGATTACATAGTAGATGATTACATACATAAGTGGATCAGCCCATTCCCCATATTTTCCCCATATCTTCAATTCCATACTTACTCCAGACTTCAATTCCATACTTTCTCCAGACTTCACCTCGACACATCTACAATCCACTCCCTTCAGTCCACTCCTTCAACATTCACATCCAATCCAATAGATGCGCCACTTCGACACCTGGGTCCTCCGCGACCCCTACTCAATATGGCACTACTACCCCACCGGCCATAGATGGCGCGACACAGTCCGCGACCTCATCCACACACGAGCAATCTGCAGTCCAGAAGATCTAAACATACAAGGTGGTCCGGCTCCAATCGACCCCGGGGCAAGACAAGCCAATCAGGAATCATCGCCACTGCTCCGTCTCCCAGCTGAAATCAGACTCATGATCTGGTCGTATGTCCTCACAGACACAGACACACCAGAGACAAACCCACAGACTGTCCATCTTGTTCAAATCAAGGGAAAGATTCGACATGTGAGGTGCTCTTTATCCAACGCTACGTCGACGCATACATCTAGAAATGCATCTACATCTGCATCTACATCACCATTGCCACCAAAGAATAAACCCCGCCAAACACGCTCCTGTTGCCCAACAACCCCAGCCCACTGGCGTCACACGCCCTCCCTCCTCCCCTCCCCCCTCCCCAACAATCCAATCATCAACCCAGTCAACAACAATGACCCCCCCCAAAACCCGCCTCCTCTACCCACACACGCACCCCCACCTCCCTGAGTCCCTAACAACCCTAACACCCTCCTTATTGCGAACCTGCCGCAAAGTCTACCTAGAAGCCGAGTCCATTCTCTACAAAACAACCCTCTTCGACGTGGACGATCTCTACACCTTTATCGCATTCGCAAATTCCCTTTCGCCAACAGCCCGCCATTCAATTTCAAACCTGAATGTCCAGTGGATGCCCATCTGGACGCCCATGGCGGGCTTGGATCATAAGGGGAGCATCTATGCCCACACCCACAGTGATGAGCTTTGGAGGCGGTTTTGGGGGGTTGTTAGTGAGCTGGGGGGGTTGAGATTTTTAGGGTTGGGGTTGGATCTGGGGGTGCTGAGTGCTAGGGATGTTGGTATCAATGGGAATGGGAATGGGAGCGGGAATATTGGGGTTGGGGTTGGTGGGCAAAGGATTCCCTTTGGGATTGATGAGGCTTGGGTTAGACCTTTGCTTAGGGTGCGTGGATTGAAGGAGTTTGATTTGGCTGTTTCGGCTAGGTGTGATGCTTCTTCGAGGGGTGTTGTTGAGGGGAAGTTGGTTAGGGACGTTGGTGTTCTCAAAGGCGAGTTAAAGAGGGTTTTGTGTTTACCGAGGGAGAAGCTGATGGAGAGGGTCGGGGAGTGGGATTGTAAGAAGGGGATGATGGGTAGGAGGGTGAGGCTGGCTATTACTGCTGCTTAGATTGAAATACCCCCTGTTTATACAGTTACAATTGATAGTTATAGATTGCATCTATGAGCTAGAGCATTGAGCATATGTTGATTCAATGGAACTCAAGTAACGAGCAACAAACTCGGACTTAATCTTAATCTATGTCCAACCATTCCTGCAATAGACGAATACCTCCAGCTTTTATCTTTATAAACATAGAACATAGAACATAAAACATCATGGCAGATTGACACAAACCACCAACCAAGCCACGCAAGATCAAGCGAAAACAAAAAGAAACGAAACATTTCATTGAAAGAGTATTAGGGAGCAAGTTGCCGAAAGTGCCAGAGGAATTGTGGCAGATCAGATCAAGTAAACACAGGTAAATCAAACACAACATGATTTGAGAATTGGATTTGAATGTTGCACAGAGCATTCGGTGGCTATTACAGCCGTTACCCGATAGCAAGAGACGCCATGCGCCACACATAGGAAAAACCGCCAGTTACGGCACAATTTGTAAAGTATAAGACACGAACCGAATGCAAAATGGGCAAGATATCAAGAGATACCTAATGCAAAGGGTGGGAAGAAGTCAAGGTATTGTCTACTGAGCAGAGACGTGGCCGGTGCGACCACGCACCTCCTCCTCGTAGCCATTGGCATGCTCAGACTCCGGCTCCTCATCTGTGGGAGAGTTCAAGCCACTGGGAGGCTCATGCAGGGATTGTCGGCTGCGGGCCATCCAAGCGCGAACGCCTCCAATCAGTCCCAGGCTGTAACCGGTAGCGAAGTCCTCGTTCCGGCGAGAGCCCATGGGGCTGTCGGGCCGGGCGGGAACTTCGCCAACTCGCGACAGGTGTGACTTGCTGCCGCCGGTAGGGCTGGCAAGGGGTCCACGGCTGCCGGTCCAGTCCATGCTGTTGCGGGCGCTGGGAGCGGGGCTGCCGGGTCGGCTGTTCTGCCAGATCTGGCGCAGTTCGCGGCCGAGTTCTTGACCGGTCATGGTCCAGTTGTTGCGAATGTTGTCGCGGAGCTCGACGACGTGACGCTTGATTTCGAGCTCGTTCTTCTTGAGCCAGGAAACGTTCAATTCTTGACGCGAGGCTCCGCGCTTGAATTGCCGGGAAATGTACTGATCGTAGTCGCGGACAACTCTGTTATTATGTTAGCATTGCACTCAAGTTGTAGTCATTGCGGGATCAATCAACTTACCTTGTGATAATACCAGTGGTACTGACACCCTCTGTGCGCTGCGTCACCAGGAACTTGCCCTGCTCCTTGATAGGAGCATAGATATCATCACCCTCAGCAGCGCCATAAGGCAGATCATCGTGAGCAACGTAGTCAATCTGGTGCTCGGACAAGAACTCCGGAGTGACGACCCACGGACAGCAGGGAATAACTTCATCCACCCACTTACAGTGACGAATAGTCTCAGCGCGCTCGGCACCACTGAGAACCGTCAATCCCTTCCGCAGATGTGTCTCTTCATCGCCAGTAACACCAACAATCAGATAAGTATCAGGGAAAGCCTTCTTAGCCTGCTCCAGCTGTCTCATGTGACTACAAAGTGGTCAGCACATCCGAGTAACCCATCTTTGTGGTCGGTCCTCATCAGGAAACATACCCAAGATGGAACAGATCAAAAACACCATCCGCATAAACCCGCACCGCCCGACCCGTCGGCGGCGGGTTAGTGTGATACCCAACAGGATCCTGTAACCCGAAAACAGGCGGCGCCATCTGAGCCTCGACCTTGTCCTCCTCAGGCAAATCAATATGTAAGCCAGGCCGCGTCGAGCGGGCGCCACCCTCGATATCGCTACTGGCAACCGTCGTCTCAGATGGCTCGCCGGGGTCTTCCTTTCCAAGAGTGCCGTTGGCGCTGGAGTGCGATGCATCGCCGGAAGCCTTGCGGGCGCGCTTGGATGGCGGAACCGACTCGTTCACGCCTTTCTTAGATTTAGATGTGGCATTGGGGGCGGCATTGGCGTTGGAGGCGGTTGAGTCTTCGCCTTCTTCGCCGGACGCGTCGCGTGAAGAGGGTTGGAGGTCTGCTGGCTTGGGGCCGGGGGTTGGGAGATGGCTGGCGCTGCGCTTGCGCTTGCCAACTGGTGAAGTTGAGGACATTTTCGATATGATTGATGGATGGGCGGGAAGAGAGAGAGGGGACCAGGGGATGAGACCCTGAATGACGACCCGGTTTTAGGGGGTAATTTTCTGTTTGGGGAAGAGAGTGGGGGCTGCAATTCCGCTGTCACCCTGATTTATTACGTGACGCTGTTGAGGGCTTGGCGTTCTGCCAAGGTGACCACGTGTGGTCATGCCGTTTATGTATACGACCTAACTTATCTGGGGCTATATACGGCTTATACGGTTGATCTATGGGGTAGATTCTACTCTGTGGCTGATCTAGCTTCACAGGTAGCACTCTTCAGGGGGAAATACGTCATGGATATGGAGTCTTGTCTCTCAACTTGTCTTGACACACTGACTTGAACTTGAACGCTCATTCTACCAAGCCTCGCACCGAGGCTGCACCGAGGTATAGTTTAGATGAAAGGGAACGGGTGAAGTAAAAGGCTCGTCAATAGCGGGCATTTTCTGCGGTATCTCGTGTGGTGATGGCATAAAGAAACAAACGTGTTCATAGGGTCGGTCCCCCTCTCACCCTTCCTCACATCGCATTCATTCCACATGGCACATGATGGCCTCCATGCTCCTCACTTTGACAATTCTGAAACATTTGAGGAGGAGAGAGAATCAGGCTCGGAACCAGAGCCCGGACATAACTAAGCACAAACAGAAAGAGAACATGGGGCATAGATCGTGAAATGATCGTAGAATCAGGGGGTCGTTGGCAAACAGAAACCAAAAGGAAAGCGGGAAGGGAAAAAAAGAACAGAATAGAAAAAGAAACCAGAACCGATACCACTCAGGAAGATGTAGACTTGTCCTTCTCAGCGTCAGTGGAGGCCGGGGACTCGGATATTTGAGTAGTCCCCTCCTGTTTTCCCTGGGGCCCCGGGGTCGCCTCGCGGTCGTTCCGTGTGCCTGGTTCGTGCTGCACCTGATTGGTAAGGTCCTGATCTTCTTCCGTCTGGTCAAATAGCTCTTCATTCTGGTCTGGGATCACCTCGGTGCCATCACCCAAGAGGATGATGCGGCCGGAGCGCACACTGAAGCCACGGGACCGCTCCATCTCCACGTCATATTCATCCGGGGTATCCTCGAACTGGTTCCGGATCCCAGGGCCGCGGAACTCGGCTGCACAACTGGCCGTCAGCACGAAGTGATATTGCCTTCGGGTTCCTCGGGAGACTTGCCGTACTCGGGCGGAGCACAAGGACCGTCCCCGTTCGCGACCCGCTCTGCGATCTGGTTGTACCATTCCTCCTTGGTCTTGCCGTGGAGCAGACCAATGACGGTCATGGTCATATTATCGCATCCAACACCACCGGTTTCACTGTTGGAGGCCAGGCAGTTGTCCATCATATTCTCACAGATCCGGGCAAGAGGCTGCTTGGCGGCAATGCCTCGGCGAACGAACTCCACAACGGCCTGAGAGGACTGGCAATCCCAGATACCTAGGGTTGTTAGTTAAGATTCAGTAATAAGTAGTGAAAACATACCGTCACAAGCAATCACAAGGAACTCATCATCATTTGTCAGCTCGTGAACCGTCACATCGGGGTATGCGGTGACGATCTGCTGTTCGGGGGAAAGCTCGGGGCTCTTCTTGAATTCGAAGTCACCGATGGCACGGGACAAGGCAAGGTTGCCGTTGACGCGACCGAAGTCGACGAAACCACCAGCGGCGCTGATACGGGCCTTCTCACCCTCATTCTGGGGCTTGTGATCAAACGAGAGCGGCTTTGCGCGGCCCTTGACTCCTAGCACTGAACGCGAGTCACCAGCGTTTGCCTACTACCAGTTAGCTTGATCCATCAATCCAATCTCCACCCATAACATACCACCCAGATCTTGTCCTTTGAGATAATGCTTGTCGAAGCAGTGCAACCGGACACTTCCTCTTCGTATCGGGGATCTGCACGAGTCAGCCATCTGATACCCCACAAAAACCGATAATCCACAAACCTTCCAAAATAGCTCTATCAGTAGCCAGGAATCCGTCCTTCATGGCCTGCTCAATATCGCCCTTGGCGAACGACTCCTGCCGAGAAACGATCTTGTGCAGGTTCTCGCCCGTGAATAATGCCACCTTGTCGCCTCCGTGGCCATCGTACACACCGAAGAACGCAAGGCGGTGTTCCGGATCCGTCGGTTTGTCGTCGCTAGTGCCTGTATACTTGGCCTGGAGGTCCAGCACTGCGGCGTGGGCGTCCTCCATGCTGATTCGCCAGCCCTGCATGGCAGACACGCCGTAGATGCAACAGTCATCCCCGCCCTCGGAGGAGGTCTAGAATGAGACAGCGATGTTAGTGTCTGTTAACACACGAAAGCACTGTATACTATAGAGCATGTGAAGAGTGACTTGGCACGTTGCCATGCGAGTTCGTGTGCTGCCCACCCCACTAACGCCCCTCCAGCCCAACAGTTGAGACCCCGCATGTAGCAAACCCGAGGAAATTGGAAATTCCCCGACTAATATCACAGCTGGTGTACTCGAGGAGTAGATTCAAAATACCTCGACGAGCTTCCCGGTCTTGGACTGGGTTTGGTCGGGTTGTGTGGAGTGACCGAGGGGGATAAAAAGCACCACAAATAGGACACAAATCTCAGATGGGGCTCACCTTTTCGACCACCGGCTCCGACAGGGTTTGACCCATATTGACAAGTATTAATTCGGGGGTTGTGGGATTGAATGGAAAGTCGAAGTGGTTGAAGGAAGGGGAAGAGTCAGATGAGGGCGCAGGGCTTTCGCGGATCCGATAAGTGGGGAACAATGGATGACGGCAGATAGGGGGATCTCTCTGAACAAAGCCCTGAACAACAGGCTTTCTTGTTCAAACCTGTATTTTGTTTCTTCTTTCGAGGGGTTTTCTGGAGCAGAGATTTCGTGTTTACCGCTTTGGTTCTCTATACCATCACGTGAGGAGGGGAATTCGCAATTGACTGGTCATTTGATGCTGCACCGAGGTTGCTGCCTATGCATGGCTTCCTTACTTACACCTATTCGATGAGCGATATGAGACACTCAATGCTTATTGCGATTGCTATTAGAGCTAGTTTACAAGTATAACGACCAATCAACTAGAAAAGCCAATGGATATCATGTGCGCAATGGAGAACGCCGACAGAAGGACAGGAAGCAGAAGAGAAAAATCAAACAAAGGCTAGCTCTCCACTGCTGGCAATGGGAAGACCACGGTTGCTGCCGCTCTTCACTGGAGGTGGAGGCTCTAAAGGAGACATCCGCCATTGCGGATCCGTCTTTTTAGGGCTGACCTTGCGCAGATGTTCATCCAAATCAGAGACCATAGAAGAACTCTGAGGCATGGCATTCTCATCATTCACTTTCTGATACCGGTGCTGGCCCTCCAACTGTCGAGCACTGCTCAGACTGTTCTCACTCCAGAAGCGAGGCAGGGGGGAGATGACACCGCGGTAATCCTGCGCGAGACTCAGTTGGCTCTGGCCAGCGCTGTTCTCGGCAAGAGGGAAGAGGCCCGGTGGCTGCAAGCCTTGGTAGTGAGACATGCGGTTCTCATCGCCGTATTCAGAGACTGACATCGCTGTGGACATCGGGCGCTCTTGAATGGATTGGCGGTACTCGTCACTGAATGTTGATACTGAGACTGTGTCAGCGCGACTGCGGATACTGCGAGCTCTGTCAAGAGCTCGGAGACCGGACGAGGTACGGCGGCTGATTTGAGCGGAGAAGAGAGGGTTGGAGGAGTTGCGGTGCTTGGCGCGGCTGTGGACAAATGCTTCGAGGGAGTCGGCTTCTGAGATGGTCGACTCGTCGGGCTCCACAGCTCGTAGGGTGACTCGCTTGTAGTTCTCGGGGATGCTGTGTGCCATGCTGTGTCTCATGCGAGCAGCTGCAGGAGGGCGGGGGAACAAGGGTGCCATGTTGTTGAGACTGGCCTCATCACTGAGCATAGATGCTCTGTGGTTTTGCCACGACATGTGAACGACGCCGTGTCCAGGAGGTCCAAATCCACCAGCGCCGTGACCGGCACCGCTGAATCGTACAGGCAGTCCGGAAGCAATAGATGAGATGCCACTTGAGCGTTTGGAGTACCGCTTCGACTTGGATGATTGAATAGACTCTCGCTTCATTGCCCGCGGTTGGATAGTCTTCAAAGGCTGACGTCTGGATCGGTTGGTGGATCTGCGACGAACGGGGCTGCTGGTATTGGTATATGAAAGACGGTTGTTCTGTTTCTTGGTAGGCGAGATCTGAACTGGCTTGTCCTCTGCGATGACTTCGTCCCGCAGTGGAACGAAACCACCACGAACAGGAGATCCCCGCTTAGGAGAACGAGGAGGGACAACAGGCTCGGGAACTGGGAAGCTAATAGAGTGCTCATGTTTATCAAAAGAGGACACATTCCATGCTGGTCCAAGTTCAAGTTTGGGGAGATCAGATGCAGGCGAGATAGGACTCATCCAGTCTTCCGAGTTATCGTCACGAGATGGTCTTTCAGACATGGCCGGCTGGCAATTGGGGACATCGGGTCTGACTGGTCGTGGAGGCGCCGGCTTGGTGTTGGTAGGTCCCTCTTCAACCGTAGGTGAGCTCTTTCTGCGACGCCAGCAGCAAAAGAGAATTAGAAGGCTCAAGATCACCACAACTGGTACGACAACAGAGATGGCGATAATGCCAGCCTTCTTGTGGTCGGGGCTGCTGGGTTCAGTGAACGGACTCGTGGGGTCTGTATGTGTGTCTGTTTCTTTGAGGACATCGAGCACAAAGTCTCTCGTGTCTTCAGTCGATCCTTGGTGCGCGGTGAGAGGAATAGTGAATTTTTTGGGGTCCATATCTTTTGGAACGTGTCCAAAGAGTGTCTTGTTCTCAGAGAAGTAGGTGAGCCACGAGGAAAGATCGCTATCTAAATCAACATCTAGTTGTACGGAGTCATCGGTAACAATAGATTGGTTGAACTCAAACTTGAAGTCCTTGCCAATTGCTGCTTCACACCCATCGACAGTGTCGAGGAACAACTTGAGGAACTCCAGGCGGACCATCAGCTTTGCCTGATCTTGGAAAGAGTCGGTCACAGAAATAGTGATGTTCTGGTTCACGGCATCATTGGGTGGTGTTCCACTTAATAATACGTTTTCTTCATCCAAATCCAGCCAGTCCGGCAGTTCAGCATCGACCTTGGCCAGGTCCTTCTTTGTAGTTGGCGAGCCATCCATCGACAGAAGGCTTGTAAATTTGGGACTGGTGAACCTGTCACCTCGGGTGAGGTTGAATGTCTGGACAGTCTCGCTGAATGCCAGAATATGAGGACCAATTGACAGTTCAAAAGTCATGTTGGCTGCGCTAAATCCAGCAACATCTGATGCAATCAGCTGAAACGTGAATGTCTGAGGTCCAGCGCCTGGAAATGCTGGGCTATTTCCCGCGAACTTCAGGGCAGCTGGATCGAAGTTTATCCAAGAAGGTAGCGGTGCATTGTTTGGTGAGGTTCCGTAGTAGATCGTAGAAGGGTGGGTGTTGTCGAAGGTATCCGGGTCAAACTCGATGGAGAATGGGCGACCGGGGTGGATAAACAGCGTCGCGGGGTATGAAACCGGTCCCAATGACTGTAGTTGAGGCACGAGTGGCTTGTTCACAGTTGGTCCTTGATCGGCTGTGACAATTAGAGTAACCTCCATGCTGTCGCTCTCAGACCCGTTGGATGCCTTGAGCTTGAATTTCTTGGAGCCACTGTCATCCGTGTCTGGTGTTCCTGCAAGAGTGCGAGTGCTGCTGTCGACTTTGAGCCATGATGGTGCATCCGATAGCGAGTATTCCGTGTCATTGTCACTGTCAGAGAAAGTACTTTGGGCGAACACAAAGTGGAAAGGTTGCGAGACGCGCGCGACAGGTGGCAGCTGCGCGTTAATAGGATAATTAGCTGTCAAAGCTGCTGCATTGGCCACTGACAGAAAAGCCAGGATGATGAGAAAGAGCGCCATGGTGGACGAGGAAACGGGAGCACCCAACTGTGTATAGTTGAAGACACAGGCTCACCGGATCACCAATAGCGCATCCAAAGTCAAGGAGAATAGTGAAAGTAGTCAAAAGAGGAGAATCGAGAATCGAAACGAAGAAGAAAGAGTGTCACTGATCGCAAAAACACAGTCCCGGGTCGAGCCAAAGGGACTGGAAGGGAGACATTCAAGGCGTGCCCTTTCAAAAAAGCCATACCTGGATATGCTGGATGTCACGGAAGTATGTAGCAGAATGACAGCGGAGAATGAACGCGGGCGCGATCGCTATCACCGGGCTCACGTTTCGAAGATGCCCGGCTCATGTAAGGGGTACAGGAGCCACCGATGCGCCCAACCACTGGCATGATTTCTTGCCCCTCGGGCCCATTCGAAAGGGACAAGGCAAGGCACATTTTTAGTGAAAAGAAAAGGTCCGTCCTGCAGTCATCGGCGTGGCTCACGTTCCCAAATCCAGGACCATCTTAATACCTGTCCGTCCAGGGGCGTAGTAATCAGGGATCACTTCACGCTCCTCGAATCCACCACGGGTATACAAGGCGCGAGCAGGCTCCCTGGCCTCATCCACCCACAGTTGAATGTACTGGCAGCCCTCCTTTCGCAGGCGCTGCTGAATGTAGGACATGACCTCCTGGCCCACACCTTGACGGCGGTTAGCCTCTGTCACACAGACTTTGTGCAAGAGCGCAACACCCTTCTGTCGGACATAGACCGCGTAGGCGATCAGATCAGATTGCGATCCCTTGGCTCGAGTCGCGTATAAAACTCGCGTATTGGGCTTCTTTCTCCACAGTTCTTCGCCAAAGGGGAATGCCTCATTGGTGGGGAAGGTCTTTTTCTCGACGCGTGAGATCTGGGCAAGAATTTCCAGTGCCTCGTTCCTCTTTAAGGAATGGATATTCGATATGGTGAGGTTGGACATTCCTTCAGCGCCATCAAGCGCCATTCCGGTTCACGGCTGACAGAATTGAATTTGACACGTCTTAGTCGAGCTGTATGACATGAATGAAATGACCGGGCTGAAATCAAATGTATTCCAATGAATGCTAGATGCGCTAACGTACACAAAATGTATAACAAATGTTGAGGTTGACGAGTTTTATGTGGCCCCACCTGACTTGTCCTCCAATGGGAACTGCTATGATCTATACAAAAGCTGAGATTGTCAGGGCCAATCGCTGAAGACATCACAGTTGATCTTGTTGATCTCGTTTCAGATCTATGCTACTGGCATCTCTGCATAATGGCGTCACAAGGCTTCAGATTTAAATGCAGCTCATGTGTTGGTTCTTAGGCATCAGCATCGTCAACGTAATTTGTTCATGACGCCCAATCATAGGGCGTCAACGTGGCTTGTTCATGGAACCTGATCATAGAGATGGCTCTACTAATTTGAATACAGCTAAATGATTGAATATATGACTGGCGCTACACGCATAGCTAAGAGTATCCGCCCATAAGCCAATTGTTTATGTTTATGCTCATCTATAGAAGCACGGTTTCTTTGCTTGTCTTGCATTTGCACTAAATGATCACCACTTATTCTCTAGTGTTGAAATAAAACATATCAAAACAATCCAGAGACTCAAGCAGACTGGTTAAGTTATTCCCATTCAAAATGAGTGGGAGAAGGAAAGCCTTTCCCATAGCAAGTCCATAGAAGAGTAAACACACTTCCTGACAAATGAAACAGACATATCAAAGTCCACATTCACTTCGATCTTTGAATCCTTTCTCCACCATTCATCCTTCAACCTTTCCCATCCATTGTGCCTTTGCCATAGACCCACCCCCGATTGTTTCCACAAAGCTAGCCCTCCAACTACCGTGGGTTGGCAACGGCACCTCATCCATGGTGAAATTAGTCTCATCGTCAGTGGTGGTCAAGGTACCCCATACCGAGCCCGGCATCAGGCGTCAACTCGAGGTCGAGGCTGAAGTATACGAACGACTGGGATCACACCCTAACATCACCAAGTTCCTTGCCTTCAAAGAAGGCAAAATCTACTTAGAAAAACTTCGGTGCACTCTACGCCAACGACTTCTTGATATCCAAATCGCGGGAATGCATCCCCCAGCCGACCTGGTACTACTCTGGGCCACACAAATCGCACAAGCTTTCAAGCATATCCACTCCCGGGGAATATTCCAGGTCGATATCGCCACCTGGAGCATGCTAGTTGACTGGTATGACAACGTCAAGTTGTCTGACTTTGCTGGCTCCAGTATTGATGGATCAGAGCCCACCATGTGTGCTAGTCACCACGCCGAGCATCCCCAGTGCATGTCCATCCGTCCTTCAATCCACTCCGAGCTGTTTGCCATCGGGTCTGCATTATACGAAATAGAGACCTTTCAAGAGCCCTACCATGATAAAGACTTCAGCGAGATTGAGAGTCTGTTTACGGCAGAGCAATACCCCGAGACTGGTGGGCTTATTCTGAGCGAGATCATTCGCAAGTGTTGGTTGAGGCAATATGAGAGTGCCGATGAAATGCTTCGAGACATCAACCAGATACAAATGCAAATGGAGACTGCCACGCCGACTACAGCGGAGAAAATCATTACAGAGGAGGCCAACTCAGCTTCCGAGCTGTAACCCGAGATACAAGGTAATTCAGAAATATCCAGATTGATTCACGACAGATTCCTAGTTGTACCATGCCTTTGTCATGCATCCATCCTTTAGCACACTTCTACCCTTCACACAGTATCCATGTCCATATCACGCAATAGTCTTAGCACGGCTCTGGTCGTATGGGATGACAGCATAGCGCTAATGCATTTTCGGGATTAATCTATGATCATAAACCGTAGAGCTAGAGTAGAAACCAACGTACCTCGATAGTAGTTTCGCTCTCGTCTTGGCAAGTCGGGCAAGGATCAAGGACAGGCGAGATTCCACCATTATGTCCACTATAGGTACAGATAGCACAGATTCGCTGGATTCCGTAGGCACTTTGATGCCAGCAGGTCTCGTAGAATCGGACGGTGACGATGTGTCTTGGACGCATGGCGCAGGCGCGGTACACGCGGGTGCCCTCGGTATATTCACACATTTTGAGGGAGATGCAAGATTGGTTTTTTGTCTCGTTGGTTGTTGAGGGTAGTTCCTGATGGGTCGTGGATTAGCTGCTGTGTTGCTATGGTGCTTGATTGTCGGTATGGGCTCAGGCTCACGGTCATGCCATCGCAAACCCTTTTGATCTCGAGAAGACGTACTGGTCAGAGATGTATGTCTGCGTGAGGAAAGTAAAGAGAGAGTGTGGAAAAGGTCGGGCAAAAGCAGGCGACGGGGGTTCTCAAATAGGTCATGCACAATGCGGTCTCAGGTTAAGCCCAAGCAAACATCATGAGACCTGGAGCAAAATGGTCCAAACAATTATCACTTCGATAATTTGTCCTGCAGCCCTTGGCTCTATTGCTACATCTATGGCTTTCAGTCGTCTATATATGCAAAAGACTCAGGCTGAAATTGAAAGTATCAACTCAACTTCTAAAGCAGAATGACAGCCTGTATATTTAGACGGGGCGGATTGCAGAGCACACTGGCACCATATCGCCCACTGATAGTCTCCCTGGTTGAAAATTATTGTTATATGTTCCGCAGGGGATACAGCATGTCCCTCGCCTAAATGACTGGACCATTGCGTGAGCCTGGACTCGATCTCAAGGTATGCGCATTCGAGTTTTGCGGGAGATGAAGGGTGTCAATCTTGAACAAGGTCGATCGTGGTGGACTTTCTCACGAACTTGGACGCCTCGTGGCTCAACACAAAGAAATCTGTCTAACACAGCATTGGAAGTTGGTGGGTATATCGTTTTGCTAGAAGCAGCACTTTTAGGGCATCCGGATTGGCAGCCCTCGCTTCATTCCACCTGTCTCGGTGCTGCATATAGACCTATATCTTGCCAGTGCCAATGAACTACCCCCAGCTTGATTAGCCAAGCATATCCAATCAATATCGAACAGGCACGGTATAGTTTTAGCTTGGTCTTTGATGTCTGTCGATATTCAGGCATACCGGTCGAGTAAGTCTCCTCATGCAATCACTCGTGATGGATATACAATTCACGATGAATACGGAGAGGTCATGATTTTGCCGGTCATATCTGTGCTTGCAAAAGTGGACGACCGAGAAGGCTGGCGGCGCAGGCAACAATTTGATCTTGTATAACAAGTGTTCGTCCACGGACATTGCCAAAGCCCCGCGCATTACCCATACCCTGAAATTTGAGCATTTTTCTTTGGCGAAATCGGTCAAGTGGACGGGTTGGTGCGAACATAATTCGATCTTTTAGGTTATATATAAGTTGATGAAGCAAGAGGCAAGAGGAAAGACGGTAGGTGGAAGATGTAGAAAGATTTAGGGAAAATACTAGATACTACAACATCTATTTAGAATATAGTAAAAATAGCACAGGGTATGAATATACAAACAGCAAGTAGAACAATTATTTTCCGTAAACCTTCCCAAGCAAAAACACATAACAATCCCTGCATCGTACAACATATAACGAAAGAACATCAGCCCATCCAACTAGAACAACAAGTTATATACAAACACAGCACCCACATTTTAATTAACACTCCAATGAACAACCTGTTGAACCCGAATAGCCATAGGATTCAACCCATTCTCCAACTTATCCCTCTCCTTCTGATTAACCATCTCAACCCTCGTGGTGAAAGTAGCAAGCCCAGTCCGATCATCATCATATTGAGTAAAAGGAAGCGGACTGCGCGTAGAAAACAAACTGTGGGAACTGGAAGCCTGACTGTGACTATGCTTTGATGGAAATTTTCGGAGGTTATTTATACCCCGTCCTCGGCGGATCGGTATGCTTGATAGCTTCTGCGCTATTAGCCGGATGAATGGTTGTAGGGCAGGCAGGCAGGCGCAGACTATTCCGATGCATGGTTCCACAATTGACCAGACGTATATATCGCTCATGACCCATGTCAGATCGATGCTTGTTTTTAGGTAGGTTAGGTAGTGGATTCGGACCATGCTTGCGATGCAGGCGCTGATGGGTAAGAGTTAGTCATGTCTTTTGGGGGACGCTGGGGTAGGACTTACATAACGCCTAATAGAAGGACACTGCATACTCCGACTTTTTGGATTGTTCGCATCTTTAGGCTCCATACGATTGGTATGGGAACGAGTAAGATCAATGCGTCTGTCACGACGTTGGTGGCTGCGTTCCCGATGAGATAGTTGTAAAAGTTGAACCTGTATTTGCCGGTTCTTGTGTTTTTTCCTTGGGCCCAGAAGTATGAGACTGGATCTGAGACACATATCGTCGCTATCATGCTTCCGAGGGCCCAGCCATAGCTGATGAAGAGGCAGGCCCAAATCGACCAGTTCATGCCGAATATTCGGCGGTAAAACATCAATATCGAGACTTTGATGAGGAGAAGTTCGGCGAGATAGATCAATAGGTATGCAAAGAGTGTCTGGTGTATGAATTAGTCATTAAACTCTGAATTCAGGGATCTTCTTTACCTTTCGCAAAAGAACCAAGTCCTCAAATGACGCGCTCCAGATATGCTTGCCCAAGCCATGTTCTCCGCCTAACTCAATAGTATCAGTGAATGCTCCATACAGACATGGCAATCGGCATCAACATACAAAGCACAGCAGCAGCAAGTAATCCTGTCAAAGGAGCAAGCGACGCCGCAATCAACCAGTCATCGACCTCGGGCCTCAATCGCTGGTAGTATATCCTCACCACGAACCGAAGACCCACAGCCAATGCAGCAATAACACATATTGCAATGACGACAGAATTCTCCTTGGGCGTCCTGTTCTCACTTAGATCAATCCCGGTCGGCCGAGGTGTCGTGAAGACAAGTGAGATGTCCATAATCACGGACCGTGTTCAATGACCTGGACAATTGACACTTTGCCACGTTCAGATGTCAAAAGCAAAGGCATGGAGTGTAGCCCCAGGGGGATCAGGGCTTATTAGGATTCAGAACATTCAATCTATATAAGTGGAGCATATTTAATATGACACCCCGGTAAGAACTAGTCCTCAGAGAACAGTCTAGTAATTGTATTTCGCGACAATCACTTCTTGGCGGTAGTTAAGCGTAAAAGAAGCCAAACTCATAGTATTCTAGATATATTGTGACGAAAGATAACTGAAATACAAATACTTCAACTTGCTCAATATAGCTAGTCTCGTACATGGACACCAGTGTCATTTCATCAGTACTCAAAGTGGAATCGGAGAATACTCCTCAACCAGACATCTCTGTCTATGCGCCCCGCTATTTCTGCAAATTTTGTTATTGTCTGTCATGCAACTTGTGCATGTCCAGGTACATGCTCATCCTGGGCTTGAGCTTGGGGGCTATAATTCCGAACCTTGTACGCCCGGGCCTTACTGGTGACTGCGTTTTTACTGGTGACTGCATTTTTTCCGGTGTCTGGCGTTGCAAAACGTGCTTTTCCTGAAGGATTCGTGTTGTCATGTTTAGTATTCAGCGGATAGACTCCGCTGGATATTGAAATTGGATAGGCATAGTTCGGACTTAAGCCGGTGAAACACGATCGGGGCATTGGGAAGGGGGGGCTACGGCCTATGGGGGGGGCAGAAATACGTGGACTGTGAGTAGCACATTAAATTGAATCCAAATGAAATGTTCTGGGGACTAAATATTTCCGATAACCTGGACATGGAGTTTACTCGTAGAGCCAATGTAAACAGTTGATCAAACCTTGAAAAGTTCCCCACCAAACCCAACTCCAACTTCACTCCAACACTTCTCCCCTGTATCATTGAAAATGCCACCCAAAGCAGACCAGGGTGATGATAAGCGCCAAGCTGCGCGTGAAGTCATTGATATTCTCCAGGAGATTTCTGACCTGTTGGTGCGTGTCTACCCCGTCTTTCTCTGCTGTCGTCCACCAGCCTGGGCCACGCATGCTCTACAGATTGAATAATGAGAATAAAAATACGGATATGGATATGGATATACTGATGTATGATATTGATCTGACAGAACACAAATCTTGACCGAACAGAGCTATCACTTTGCGTGTCCCTGATCGAAAATGGTGTGAATCCCGATGCTCTAGCGGTACGCGTTTCCCCGTCTCTATCTCATACAATGATCAAAGATCGAGAAATCAACACGCGCGTTTTGGCGTTATGGTTGAGGCGACTAAGACTAATTTGTCTATAGACTGTTATTAAGGATCTGCGGAAGGAGACTGGTGCTTCCAAGCGCGTTTCTAATGCTCCGGCTGTGGAGTAAGTGGAATCAGGCTATGGAAGTGAGAGACTTTGTTTCTCCCGCTTAATTCCTATTGGTCTTATTTGTGGATTCTGATGTTTTTGGCGTTGAGGCTAAGTTGGACGTAACATATGTTTACCGGTCGGTCGGAGATACCCTTTTGTTGTTTCAGTGGTAGAAATACAGATTCAATTTGGCTTGGTTTATGGTGTGTTAGAACCTTATTACCTTCCTAGGTATCGTAAACTGGGGTTGGGGATATTGGGTCATGCAAATGGCATTGGGAACTGGAGCAATGGGAATGGGTAGGCTGAGATGCATAAGAAACAAAGGCGATTCGCATAGGTTCAAATCGCGGATATCCAAACAAAAGGTGATCATTCGCGCTTATTTCGACTCATCGGGCTTGCGGTCTTCCTTCGTGTCCTTATCCTTCGAGGAACCCACTTCATCGGACATGGCCTCGGCCGTGGCCTTCTTGATTTGGTCACTTTCTGAAGCAGTGGTTTGCTCCTTGGTCTTGGTATCCTTCTCGTCATCGCTGTCACCAAGACTGAATGGGTCGTTCTCTGCGACGGGGGAGGGCTCGACGGTGGACAAGGGCTGCCATTTGCTAGGCTTGTTGCCTGTTACGCTGTTACGCTTGGAGGAGGGAGCATCATAAAGGGTATCGATCTCAGTAGGAGGTCCCTCCTGGAAGGAGACCCTGCGCCGGTCCGGCGAAGGAGAGGTCTTGATGCTGGGACGAGGACGGGGAGGCTGACGCGGAGGAGCTGTGCAATGTTAGCGGATTCAACGGGATCATACCAAACCGTGCTTACCTTCGCCATCTCTCAGCTCAAGGGCAGAGAAGTCATCGCCGAGAACCTGGGGATCTGCGTCATAACGTTCACGGTCACCGCTGCGACGGCCCAAATCGCCGCTACGCCGGGGACGACCATACGCAGCACTCTCTCCTTGGCTAAGCTCAGATTGCTCGTCCACTTCATCTCCATCGATCCTCTTCTTCAAATTTGTTACCCAAGAGTTAACCTTGGACTGGGTCTCCAGGAAACCCTTGCGGATATTCTCGCGGATCACGGGTAGATCATCTGCAGAGACCCGCAATTAGCATGTGCGCATGTCACAAGACCATAATCCATACCATCGAAAAAGTTATATTCCCGGTCATCCGACTCTTCACTTCCTCTGGGTCGCTGATATCTAGGATCGCTTTCCCAGCCGGGGGGAGGCGCGCGACGTCCTGTCGCATTGTAATGCTCAGAGAGCTGACGGGCGTACATTTCATCGGCATCCATTTGTCTCTGCGTGGTAGAGGTAGGCTGCTGGGACGGACGGGGCGGCTTTGGTGGCGGTGCCATTTCCTCTTGGGCCTTAGGGTCGGTCATGCCTACGAGCCAGATCAGTATTGCTGTCCAGTTGTAAACAGTAGATCCACGAACCCAGAAGCGCATTGAATGCTCGCTCGACATTCCAATTGCTCGCTGTCAAAATTGCCTTGACGACGCCAGGCTCAACGCTTGGGAACGCCTCCTTCAGTGTGATCTCCGACTGTTCTCTCGGGCTCAGGGGCCGGGGCGGCTTTGGCGGGGCATCCTCGGCAGGAGCTGGCTGCGCAGCGGCAGGAGAGGAAGTGATGACTCCGCTCTCTTGGGGTTCATCGTCAAAGTCGAGCGGGCGAGCGGTAGTGGGCGACTCAGCTCTGAGGCTGGCAGGGGAGTTGAGCGCAGCCAAGGGCTTACTGGGAGTGGACTGTATCTGGAGTGAGCCTCATGCGACAAAGAGTCGATAGCAGGTGGTCAGAACGTACATTCTTATCTTCGTCCGACATCTTGAAGCGATTTCAGCAGTTCAAGAGAATAGACGTAGAAAAGAAAAGAAAATAGTTGCCTGGAGAATGTCGAGGAACATATCGGGGAAGCTCCAAGTGACGTGGGGGGGGGCACGTGAAGGCGGTCAAGCTCCATACAGATCGTCCTGCAGGAGATTATCTTCAATGCACTGGACAACTTCACAATGGCTCATTTATATTTTGACTTCTCTTAACACCAGCCAAGCAGAATATCGGCCTAGACTGAATACTGTCCACAATGGCTTCTGAAGAGCTTTCGACATCTTTTATTCCAGCCCTGTATAAGCCGGCTGCTCTATTGCCTATTGCACGGCATAAGAGGAGTCTGTTGTACTTGGTTGAGAAATACCCTGTCACCATAGTCGTGGGTCAAACAGGTAGCGGCAAAACAACCCAGCTTCCGCAATATCTCGACCAGGCAGGATGGTGCGAGGATGGAAAAGCAATTGCTGTCACACAGGTAAGTCTTTCCAAGCTGTAAGAGAAGCTTCAACTAACTCACGTGCTAGCCCCGTCGAGTGGCTGCCACGACTGTTGCAACCCGAGTAGCAGAGGAGATGCGTTGCAAAGTCGGTGAGGAGGTTGGCTACTCTATCAGATTTGAAGATCTAACATCCGCCGCAACAAGAATCAAATTCTTGACAGATGGCATGCTGCTCAGAGAAGCTTTGGTCGATCCTCTTCTCTCGCGATATTCTGTGATCATGGTTGATGAAGCACATGAAAGATCTCTAAGCACCGATGTTCTCCTCGGAACTCTGAAGAAGATCCGCAAAAAACGTCCTGAACTCCGCATTGTCGTGAGTAGCGCAACGCTTCAGGCAGAAGACTTTTTGCATTTCTTCGCTGGCGAAGAATACAAGCCCGATACAGAACCGGCTGACCTGGGAGGAAGTGTTGGAAGAATTATCAGTCTGGAAGGACGGATGTACCCAGTCGATATGCTTTACCTTGAGACACCTGCAGAAGACTATATCGAACGAGCAGTCAAGACTGTGTTTGATATTCATTCTCAGGAAGCAGAAGGCGATGTACTTATCTTTTTGACGGGCCGGGAAGAGATCGATACTGCCATTCAGTTAATATCCGAGAGAGCGGCTACTCTTCACCCAAAAGCTCATTCACTGCTTCCATTGCCTCTCTACGCGGGACTCACGACAGAACAACAAATGTACGTCTTCGAGCCGACACCAGAAAACACCAGAAAAGTCATTGTCTCGACCAATATCGCAGAGGCATCGGTCACGATCGACGGAATCGTATACGTGATCGATTGCGGCTTTGCCAAACTTAGGGCCTACAACCCCAGCACTGGCGTTGAGACTTTGACAGCAGTACCGATATCAAAAGCATCGGCTACACAGCGAGCTGGACGAGCTGGAAGAACAAAGCCGGGAAAGTGTTTCCGCTTATATACGCAGGAAGCCTATGAAAAATTACCTGAAGCAACGGTACCTGAGATCCAGCGATCAAATCTAGCCCCGGCCATCATGCAGCTTAAAGCACTGGGAATTGACAACATCGTTCGATTTGACTTCTTGACTCCTCCACCGGCAGAACTCGTCATTCGAGCATTCGAGCTTCTCTCTTCACTCGGTGCAGTTGATGACTATGCAAAGCTCACGAAACCACTTGGAACACGAATGGCAGAACTTGCGGTCGATCCAATGATGGCCAAGGTCCTCCTTGCGGCTCCGTCTTTCAACTGTCTCAGCGAGATCCTCTCAATTGCGGCGATGGTCAGTCTTCAGGGAACGGTATGGGTTCAGCACGAAGGAGATAAGAGATCTGCCGAGAGCAATCGCCGCAAGTTTGCCGTCGAGGAGGGTGATCATTTGACATACCTAAATGTATACCAGGCATTCGTCACCAAGGGAAAGAAGGATTCAAAATGGTGTCGTGACAACCTCTTGAACTACCGGGCGCTACTGCGCGCAGTGAGCATCCGGGGTCAACTGAAACGATACCTCGAACGCTTCGGTATTCAAGTTGATGAGTCGTTGTCAGCTCGCACTGGCGCCCTTGATTTGAGTTCCCAGCCTGAACGGATTCGGAGATGTCTCACCACCGGTTATTTCGCTCATGCGGCGAAGATGCAACCTGATGGCACTTTTCAAACTGTCAGTGGGGGACTGACTCTTCATGCACACCCCAGCTCATTAATGTTTGTAAGTAGCTCAACAGTTGCAGCCGTCATGTCCGTTTTACTGACTCTTTGTAGAACCGCAATGCAGACTGGGTTATCTTCCATGAAATCATGCAAACGGGCGAGAAGACTTACATTCGCGATATTACGAAGATTGAGAAAGGCTACCTACTGGAATATGCTCCCGACTATTACAGAGTCAGGTAATGTCACTATGTGTCTAGAAATAGATTAGCCATTTGAACAAAATACCCAGGCGTTCAAGGGATGCAATTGACATTTACATTTGCGATAGTATGAAGAAGAAGATGTGATCTTTGCCAATACCAAACGTAGTATTCATAATGACCAAAATAGCTCCCAAGGTTGACTGACCCCAACTCTTACAAAAACCGCAACGTCACGGGAGCGGAGAGCTCCAAAACACCTTCCGCTTCAGGTCGCGCGCATTTCCTCGTCAACACGCGCGAAACAGATACCTGCATCACCACTTCACAATGTCGGGGCACCACCATGACCATGATGGCCATGGCCACTGCCACGGCGAAGACCATGATCACTCCAACGATATCACGCCAGCCATCCAATCTCTCCTCTATTCTCAGATTGATTTCGGTCGGATCACTACTCTCAACGGTGTGCCGATCCTCCAGGGGCAATAAGCTGAATATGTCCACTGACATTCAACCTGCAACAGAATCTGTCCCCAAGGCCGGCGCAGCTATCGCGCAAAAGACCTGGGCCGAGCGACTGAATGACAAGCCCGAGCTTGAGAGCGATGCAGACGAGCAGCTGCTCATGAACATCCCGTAAGTCTAATCTAACCCAATCAAAGCCATCACCAGCTTCATCTTCTTCCTCATCGTCGGTGCCCGCTCCATCAAAAACACCAAACAAACCCCGCCATACCCCTCACCTTATCGCAACTCCAAATTCCAAAAGCGAAAGACCAAAACAAAATCAACAACTAACCCTCTCCAGATTCAACGGCCAAGTAAAAGTGCACTCCCTTCTCCTCTACACAGCCCCAACAACCTCCGCCCCAAAAACCATAAAGCTCTTCAAGAACCGCGACGACCTAGACTTCTCAACAGCCTCAGAGCTGACCCCAACTCAAACGATCGAAGTCCCACAGCCCATTCCTGGCGCCGATGTCTTTGAATTGCCGTTGAATCGCGCTCACTGGAACGCGACTACCTCTATTACGCTCTTCTTTGAGGACAATTGGAGTGATGGCGAGGAGGATGTTACTAAGGTTGGTTATGTTGGGTTTAAGGGGCAGTTTTTGAAGCTCGCGCGTGAGCCTATTAGTTTTCTCTATGAGTCTGCTGCGAATCCTCAGGATCATGTTTCTATCCCTGGGGTTAGTGGTGTTGGGGGGAGGATTATGCCTGGTCAGTAGTGTTTCTGGTATGGATTGATGTTTGTATTTGAGGTTGGGTGTCGGTTGTTATGATTAACGAGAATACCATTTTGCTTTGTACACTTTTATGTTCGATGTTAGTGTGTGCCAGTTGTACTGCTGAGCCGTATGTCTTGACTATCGTTTATCCGTCTGCTGGGCATAATACATTCTATACAGCATGTATTCGGCAAGAATAAAAAACAAAACAAATCCGCCAACTCCAGTAAAATCTACCAATAGACATAGACCACTGAAGCAGGCCAAAGGCCACCAACGCCACCAATGCTAGGGTCAATATAATGCAATGCGCAAGATGCGTGCAACAGAATCTCAAAATATACACCAAATCAAGCTGGCAACGCCGTCCTCGTCTCAGCCTTGGCCTCTCTCCTCTCCCGAATAAACTCAACCTCGGGCTCAGCTTCCTCGGCAGGAACAGGAACAGCAGTAGGCGGACTAGGCAAAACAACAGGTCCAGCAAGCTCCCGTTGCAAAGCCTCCAATTCATCCTCAACCTCATCCTCGTCCTGATTCGTCAAATGACCCGCCAGCATTTGGCTCACCTCCTAAGCAATCGTCAGCATCAATACCCATACATACACACTCATCCTCATCCACCAATTACAAAGAAGGAATGGAAGAGAAACATACCTCCTGATAAGCCCTCGCATCCTCCGTCTCTCCCATCAACCTCTCAACCCCCTCAATACCCCCCATCTCCTTATGGATAGTCTTCAGAACAGCAGTCCCTTGCTGTAAGCCATACATGACATCCTTTTGCACAAGCGCGAACTCCACATCGCCTGTCAGTTGTTCCAGCTGCGCAAGTTGGCCGTCTGTTTTTGCTAGGAGAGATTCTTGGTATTTCTTGCGGCGGAGGGCGAGGAGGGCTAGGCGTTTGTCGTTGCGTGCTAGGCATTCTTTTGCGATTGCTGTTTCGCGGTCTGTGAGGACTGTTATTTTTCGTTGGTATTGGTGCAGTTTGTCGCGTTGGTTTTTTAGATCGAGGATTGCCCTGTTGTATGGGTTGTTAGTTTGGTTTGGGGGTTGAATTTGGTGTAGGCTTTGTTGGTTGTTGTGTTATGAGTGGGTATGAGGGGGGTCTCGTGAGGAGATGGAGATAGCTGGTTGAAGTGTATGGTTGGGTTTGGAGAGGTTGTGGATGAGGCGGAAGATGTAGATAGACTCACCGATCCTGGGCAGAGATCTTTTGTGAGCTACTCGAGTTCCCCATGGTTAGAGAGAGAGAGAGGGAGGGAGGGAGAGAAGTAGCTGGGACCTTGAGATAACTGATAGCGGATGACGTGAGGGTACCGGAGATGTAAAATACCGTAACTTCGTCTCCCGATTTTTTTTCTTATCGCAACTACATCAACATGCCTCCAAGGAAGGGCAGGACCCTCAGTGCAGGATTGGACCGTGAGGTGAGTCTCTATTCCAATTTCTATACTTCTCTTTCTTACAGATCAGGTCTACCAAATCGTGCGCAAAATCATCGACGATCAGCCCGACACTGGGCGCATCCGCCTATCGGTGCCTGCGATCTTTGAAGTAATTAAAAAGTCCAACTCCAGCCTGAACCGCAAACCAAAGAGACAAATTGAGGATAGTCTGGAGCGAGTGCTGGAAATTGTCAAAGCCGATCTGGGTGACGATGATGAGGACTCCATGGAGGGGGACTTTGAGGGGCTCGAAGAACCTCCTGCTGCGGTATGCAAGGCGCGCACTTGATTTTTATAGCCGGAATATACATGCTAATTGCGATTGAACAGGAACCCAATGGATTGAACCAGAGCATCGTCGGCTCATGGGCTACGGCTAAACCCAAAAAGCCCGAGTCTACCACCAATACCCCGGCTCCTACTGCCACCAAGCGACGAACAGGCGGAAGCGAATCGGCCTCTAAGCGCCGGAAGGCCGAGCCTGCTGATCGGTCGCCGCCTACACATGTCAGTCTGGCGGATCTGGGTGGTTTGGATGAAGTGGTAGGGGAATTGGGGGATTTGGTCATCCTGCCCATGACCCGGCCACAGGTGTATCTCTCCTCAAATGTGCAACCCCCGCGCGGAGTGTTGCTACATGGCCCACCGGGTTGTGGTAAGACGCTGATTGCGAATGCCTTTGCGGCTGAGCTGGGTGTGCCCTTCATCTCGATTTCTGCGCCCTCCGTTGTGTCAGGTATGTCGGGTGAATCCGAGAAGGCTCTGCGCGAGTACTTCGAGGAGGCAAAGCGACTTGCTCCGTGTCTTATCTTCATCGATGAGATCGATGCTATCACCCCCAAGCGTGAGAGTGCACAAAGAGAAATGGAGAAGCGAATTGTCGCTCAGCTCTTGACCTGTATGGACGAGATTGCTCTTGAAAAGACAGACGGAAAGCCCGTCATCGTTCTCGCAGCCACCAACCGCCCAGACAGTCTCGACGCAGCTCTCCGTCGTGGCGGTCGTTTCGACAAGGAAATCAACATGACTGTCCCCTCAGAACCAGTTCGAGAACAAATCCTCCGCGCTCTCACGCGCAAAATGCGCCTGGCAGATGACATCGACCTCAAGACCCTGGCCAAACGAACTCCCGGCTTCGTCGGCGCCGATCTAAATGACCTAGTCTCAACCGCCGGTTCAGCAGCCATAAAACGCTACCTGGAAATCCTCAAGTCAAACAGCGGCGAAGAAATGGATATGGAAATCGAAGGCGAGGATGAATTAAGCTCCAAAGTCCGCGAACTGCGCCGACTAATCTCCCACGCCAAAGAATCCCCCATGGGCGAAGAAACAGAAATCGTTCTCGTCTCGAACGCAGACTTCTTTACTGCCCTCCCTAAAATCCAACCCTCCTCCAAGCGTGAAGGCTTCGCTACAATCCCAGACACAACGTGGTCAGACATCGGCGCGTTGGGTGGTATTCGCGATGAGCTCGTCACAGCCATTGTCGAACCAATCAAGAACCCAGATATCTATGCCAACGTCGGCATCACCGCGCCGACAGGCGTCCTCCTCTGGGGTCCGCCCGGTTGTGGTAAAACCCTCCTGGCCAAGGCCGTCGCCAATGAGTCCCGCGCCAATTTCATCAGCGTCAAGGGTCCAGAACTACTCAATAAGTTCGTTGGTGAATCTGAGCGTGCTGTACGCCAGGTCTTTGTTCGTGCGCGCTCGTCTGTGCCGTGTGTTATCTTCTTTGATGAATTGGATGCCCTCGTGCCTCGTCGCGATGATACACTCTCTGAAGCCTCTGCTCGTGTCGTTAATACCCTCCTCACCGAGCTGGATGGCCTTGGCTCTAGTCGTCAGGGTATCTATGTTATTGCTGCCACGAATAGACCTGATATCATTGATCCGGCCATGCTGCGCCCTGGTCGTCTGGAGACTCTCTTGTTCGTTAACCTCCCCTCGCCGCTGGAGCGTGTGGAGATCCTGCAAACTCTTGTGCGCAACCTGGCTATTGAGTTTAGTGAGGATCTTCGCAGACTTGCTGAGGAGTGTGAGGGTTTCAGTGGTGCCGATCTGGGCAGTTTGTTGCGCCGCGCTGGTTACTCTGCTATCAAGCGGAGGGATGCTATCAAGTTTGAGGACTTTGTTGCGGCCAAGTCGTTTGTTCGGCCTAGTGTCACTGATTTGAAGAAGTATGAGAAGCTGAGGAGGGATTGGAGTGGTGGTGTTGTTTGAATTTAATTGTGCATAGAGTGCTCTTGCTTGGTATATACAGCTCATGTTAAGACCTAGAGGTTTCGGCTTTGGGCCGCACATAGATACCTGGATATTTGGTAATCGATCGAATTGATGATTTGTTCCATGCTGTTTGCTACTTGACTACAATTATTAAGATTCAGCTACAAGTGTAGCAACATGGATAGAGTTCAAGGTTGAAAGATCAAACGACTTTTATAAGACTATACAAAAGGAAATTATGCACAAAAGTAAAGAAACGCCAAGAAAAATGTCAGATATCATGCATCCACATCCCAACATTACATCCACAAGCGGCAAGTTCCATCGGCACCAGCACTGACACACCACGCCTCGCGAGGGTGCCAGTCGATATCAAGAACACCCAATTCTCCAGTAATCTTGTGACCCTTGAGAACCTTGAGGGGAACAATAGTAGCATTGCTGAGCATATCGCCAGTAACACTGCCGTGGAAGATCTGCAGCGATCCATCGTCGGAGGCATCGGCGAAGAGCGGGTACCGACCACTGGGGTGGAACTTGACAGCGCGGATAGCCTTGCGGTGGTAGCGGAGGGTCTTGTATGGTCGCTGAGACAGATCCAGATCGTGCCAGAGGAGACGACGGTCGTAGGAACCGACGATGATGTTGTCGCCGCCTGAGGCGCTCGATGAGGTTGGGTGGATGTCGAAGGATGAGATCCAGCGTGCACCGGGCTGGAGGATCTTGACTAGCAGCTGGCGGGACAGGTCGTAGGCGCGGATTGAGCGCTGGTTGGCTACGAAGAGGATTGGTTTCGAGGGGTGGAAGTGGGCGGTCTGGGGGGGACCACCTCCCTTCAGGCGGCGGCGGAAGGGGAATTGCGTCAGATGCTTGGAGACGGTGTGGATGGAGATTGCTACTGAGGCTGGGGTCGAGGCACCGGAGCATACTGTGACGAAGTAGTCTCCGCGGCGGTGCCAGGAGATCGATTTGGGGACGTATTTGAGGGGGATAACCACGCAAACACCGGCGTCCAAGAGGGTAGACGAAGGGCGGATCCATGTGGGGGGGTTATTCTTCTTGCCTTCCTCTGAGGCGCTGGGAGCGGGCTTGGATGCCGCAAAACCCCATCCTGCGTCGAGAATCTCCAGACTGGCCTTCTCGATCTCAGGGTCGACAATTGGGGGTACGGCGAGGAAGATGTCATCTCCTGATGCGGCAGCGAGAATGACTGCATCCTTGCCTGGCCGCCAGCGGACGACGTTGATAGCATCCTCGTCGCTCAGCTTGGCGCTCCAGAGCTGGCGACCTGTGAGAAGTTCCCAGACACGGACAGTACCGTCATCACCACCAGTCGCCAGCCAGATTCCTGTAGGGTCCACGGCAACAGAGCGCACACGGCCCTTATGACCGCGGAAGACTGTTGCGCAGGCAGTGGGGAAGGGCTTGAGCTCCTCAGGGCTGGGCAGCTTGGGCAAGAGACTCTCGGGGTCGATGTTCAGCTTGCTACGGCGCACACGGGGAGCAAGGTACAGATCCAAGCAACGCTCGAACTTCTCCTGAACAAAGCTCTCATATCCGGGAACTCGGCGCAGGGAGCCAAAGTCGTTGGGAAGGAAGTCCTTCTCACGATCCTCAGGATCCATCTGCTCCCATTCCTTGCGCTCCTTGCTATCAGGCAGGTACTCGGCAGGCGGGTGATAACTCTCTTCGTAACCAGGGGGTGGCAGCTTGGGTGCTGGAATATGCATAACGTGGTCAGGTCTCTCGGCCTCGTCAGCCCACAGGTCGTAGTTGATGATTTCTTCCTCCTTCTCGTCCTTCTCCTCAGGGGCCTTGTAAGGCAGAATGCGGCCCTCGCGGATGGCCTTGACAAGCTTCATCACACGCTTCTGCTCGTGCTTGGAGGGCACGAAGCGGCGCTTCGGCTCGGGGGCTGCGCTCAAGGGCATGATCTCCTTCTGGCTACTGAACCATTCGACAAGGGGTTCGTATGGGTCGTAGCCATCGGAGGGGACTTCGTTCATCTGCACCTTGCGGATCAGCTCCAATTCGTCTTGGCTGAGTTCCAGAGGCTTTCCGGTCGCGGGGTCGGTGAGGCCAGTCCAGCCCTTGGGGATCTCAATGCTGTCCAAAAGCGCATCCAAGGCCTCGCCCTTGGCGGGACGCATGATCTTCTTTCCATTGATGTCGTAACCAATGTGGGGATACTCGTCGTAGAACTTGAGCGGGATGTCACCAATGGTGTTGGCGTTCTCATCGGCTTCGGAGTATTCAGAGTTGTCGTCCGGGTGGATTTCGTCGTAGAGATAACGGTCATTTCCATTGGCGTCCTTCACGATGCGGACGTTGGGTTCACCAGGAGCGGGCTTTCTGTCCTCCTCAGTGTCGGAGGGGATCTCATCGCTATCCAATTCTTCTTCTCCATCTTCCGAGTCGCTAAAATCGTCGACGACTTCAAAGTCCGAGTCGTCACTTTCGTCTTCACTCTCCGAAAGTTCGTTGGCGTTGTCCGACAAAGCTCCGTCCAGATTGTCCTGGCTCAGCTCATCGCCAGAAAAGACGCCAGCCTCCTCTTCCACATCACGAGTGATGGCCTTGCGCTTCTTGGAAGCAGCCTTGGGATTCATTTTGCCGTTCAGCAGGTGTAAGTCTGTGGCCGTCGATCCATGGATTTTTTTTTGGATAAATTTCGGGGCCCTCACCGCCCACATGACCGCCCGTCTTATCGGCATCTATGACTTAAGCGTCAATCTTCCACTTAATTCTCAAGACTCGATCTAGAGCGTCCAATGATGTCGCTCATGGCTGAAACTGACGGAGGAGCGCCTGGATCTGACAACCAGGCTACCAGTGATCAAAAACGGCATGCGGCGTGTGACGAGTGCCGTAGGTTGTCATACAAAATACCCTTGCCTGGCCTTCACTGATTTGTTTGCTTGGACAGGGAAACGCAAGCTAAAATGCTCCGGTGAACTATCAGGCTGCGCTCGTTGTCTTAAACAGTCACTCCATTGCAACTATTCCTCGCAAAAACAAATGGGTCGCCCGCCCAAGAAGAGAGCGCGAACAGACGATGAGGGGCTTGAACCTACGCCGCCTGGCGAGATATGGCCGAGCCCAGAGGACTCGCAACAATCTTCAGTCGGACCGAGTTTTACCAACGGCGCTTTCCCGGATTCCGATCACCTTTGTCCTTTATTCTTCTGGACGCCTGGCGGGAATTCGCCACAATCGCAACCCACCTCGGATCTATTACCAGGCGAAGAAGAGCACAACCACGCATGGCGACCAGACCGTTTAAAACCTGCGAACCTGCCCGTCTTTCCATCCTCAAGCCCTTGGCCTGACTTTTCTACCGTCTCCGAAGCTACAGCCATGCCGTTCCCCGTACCAAACCTCCAGGGTATGGACTCTCTCCCACTCTCCCCTCCAACATCTGTTTCCTCTGACGGTACCATAACTGGTTGTACATGTCTATCATACCTCTATTTATGCCTCAGTCACATATCATCCCTCGCCTCCTTCCCTGTCAACTCCCACACCCTATGCTCGCTATACATCGCCGCACGAACAGCTCAAGACGTGATCCGCTGCCAAGAATGTCCAAAAGTCTTCGCCACAGGCATGCAAAATACCATGTTCGTGGGGACATTATTAACCGTTGTTGCGGACGCATGGCTGCGAGTTTCGAAGGCCGATGCCGTCGAGCTCGGAAAGCAATCCGCATCACCAGAATACGTGGCTCAGGTACAACAAAGCCCCGATCCAACACAAGCCTGGAAGAGCTGGCTCCACCAGATTGTTCGTCGTGCCATTATTGGCGGCACTTTGGATCATGGTGCTGTAGTTGGTTGTTCTGGCCAGCTTGATCTATTGTCTTTGATCAAAGAGGTCGAGCACCGTCAATGGCTCAGGCATCAACCCCACAATTCACAATCACCCTGTTCTTCCAGTGCGATTCATAATATACCACCGGAGTATGAGCAACAAGAGAAAGAACATCTCTGTCTTCGTGTGGTTGGGAGCGCCAGGCATGTAATATCCAAGTTCAACTTTGATCCTAGCGATTACCCAGAAGGTGTTGAGCCAGTCACTTTCAGAGATAAGATGGGTGAATAAGCTAGATAATGTTATTTTATGATTTATGTTTAGGCCTGGCTGCTGATTTACTTACGCGCATACCACATTTATTACTGGCGAGGCAATTAAAGATATCCATTGCTATATACCATCTCCTATAGGGGTTCAAACTACAATCTTCAGCTGGAATGGGGCTTGGATTGCATGAGATCATTGACCATTTCATTAATTTTTGTTACAAGCATAAATCAGAGTGAAAACTCCACTGTCACTCAATGCCAGTCCATGTACGCCGGATGTGAATATGAAGCAAGAAATGTAAAAGGGACAAGGTGGGATCACTCATCATCCTCGTCATCCACCACATAACGGTTCTTCTTCCGGGCCGCAGGAGGTGTTTCAGATCGCCCTTGAGGTTCAGGTGCAGGCTTGCTTCGGGCAGCCTTTGCGGGGGCGACCTCATCATCAGCTTCACCCTCGGCATCCATATCCTCATCCTCAAGCTCCTCCTCTTCATCATCGAGCTCTTCTTCTTCAACGTCTTCATCACTGCCAACCAAGAACCCATCGTCTTCGTCGTACTCGTCTTCACGATTACGAGCACCACGAGAGTAATCCTCTTCGTCATCGCTGTAGATCTCTCCACGGCGATTTTGACGACGGGGCTTGGCACGCGGGCGAGTGGTGAGTAGACCACCATCTTCAAGAGCACCAACGCTGAGGCCGGTACCGTGAGAACGGGGAGCACCAGCACGACGGCCACGGTCAGCCTCACGGTCAGCAAGCTGTTGACGACGACGCTCAGCCTTGATAGCTTCCTTCTCCATCATCTCGGCCCGTCTCGTGGCCAGTTCAGGGTCCTCCTTGGTATCAACAATAGGCGCAGAGCCATCTGCGGTCTGCTTGCTACCACGAGCAGCAGCAGCCAATGATTCTTGCAAACGCTGAACGGCATCGTCGGTCTCCAGGGTTGTAGGGAGGATAGTAAGACCATGTGTGACGTGCGAGGTCAGGCGGAAGACTTGCGCTGCTTCTAAACCCGCAGCCAGATAAACGTGGGAGTCCAGCTTTGTGTCATATTGGCCAGCCTTGTTGAGAGGTGCAAGGGGTTTGGATGCAATGCGGTATTGCTCGAGAGGGGCGGAGGCAAGTTGGAGGGTCACGGAGCCGTCTTCCCATCGGATCATGCGGGCATTTGATTGCAGAAGAGCGTCGTTTTCTGGGTCCTTGCGCCAGCACAGGGATGTAGCGGCCTGCGAATAAGGCGGTGGAACATATGTAGCAGGGTTGAATTCTTCGGCTTCCACTGAGAGGAAATCAGGCACGCGCATTGAGTAGACCTGCGGTAAGATGTTAGATCCAATTTAAACAGCTTAAAAGCTTTCCGTACCTCTCCATCATTGGTTGCTGGCACTGGAGCGCGCGCAAGGTCTAGGTCCTGAACGTTGAAGGTCTGCTCCTCGTCCGCGGCCTCGTCCGCGGCCTCGTCCATTCGGTCTTCGCGTCGGTCATAGCGACCCTCATCGTCACCCGAGTCAAGTTGCTCATCGTCTAAGTTGTGGTCGTGATTGCTAGAAGGTCGTCAGTATTCAGCGCATTCTGTTTTTGTTCGATATGCGTACTTGAGATCGTCTAGTCCACCTTCGCCGTCCGAGCCGAAGAGATCAGCATCATCGTCTTCATCCATGTGGTTGCCACCATCATGATTCTCAGCACTAGAGTCATTGGCATTGCTGTGCGCGGGACTCTCTGAGCCACTGCCAGTGCGGCCGGGGCGACGCACGCCCTCGTCGTCGGAAGACATGACGTGTTGTGGTGGAGACTTTCAGGATTTTGAGGGTATAGACGTATCAAAATGCAGTTAACAGGGTATAAGTGTCAATGAGCAATTGACGGAGGGAGATATCCCAGCGTTATAAGCATCGTAGCTCTCATTACAGAGTCAAGTCCGAACGCGGATCAACAGTATACCCGGTCCGGTCCTAATCGGTACTAGCGTGCTGTGGCTGGGATAAAGATATTCCAGCTCCGCTCTCAAACGGGGTTAGTCTTCTATTGGCCCAGACCAAAAGGGGATCACAACGTGTGGCATCTCACCGTCTCGTCTCTCGTCCCCGTTGTTTTTCTTGTACTCAATCATTGCAGACCAATTTCATAATGGCGACCTTCTTCCAGAGCGTGTAAGTATTGCGCGCCTTCGTTGGCCGTTCTTATCAGTCGTTGACCGTCTCTCGCCCTTACCCCCCTCATACTGCACGAAGCAGACCCGGCGCCACAAACACAAAGCATTATCCCGGTCCCCGAAGTCTAATGGCTACGGCATCCTGCTTTGTGTTATCTGCATCTGCACCCTCCCCTTTCCCTTTGATCTTCCCAACTTCGTCTCGTCTCGATTGTAGCTGCCCCTCGCCACAACCGCTAACTTTATCTTGAATATAGTCGCCAAGGCTTCGGCCGGGGAGGTAACAATAAGAACAACAACCCCCCGAAGAGCCCAGCACAGCCTCCTCCTTCCCAGGGCCATCAGAGCAACATGTCGAATTCCCCTTCTTTGTCAAACAGCCTGTCGATTGATAACCTCGCCAACGATCCCGAGGGGCCCAAGTACTTCTTCCAGGAGAAGTATGCCCCACTGAACGTGAGGGGCAACTTCTTGACCCTGTGTGCTTGTCCGAAGAATGTGGAGCTCGGCGAGTGGCTGGCTCATCAGAGTAAGCTTCATGGAAACTCGAATTGAGAGTGGGGACACTGATGCATATACAGTTGTTGAACAATATCGTCTACTCCACGGCATGCTCCAGGTCATCCAGGAAGTTAACAGTGTCAACGGTCATTCCATTTGCAATGAGACCACTTGTCCGACAATGTCTGCTGGGCGGTATGTGTATATGGCGGGGTAGATTATGAGTTGGGCTAACAATTCGAAGGCTCACCTACACCTGGTTGGTTGACGGCCGCGCTGCCAAAATATCGGCCCCCAAGTTCATCAACCGCGTCGAGAAGTGGATCGTGAGCAAGATCCATGACCCAGTTATGTTCCCTACCGAGAAGGTGTCTGGTACCCCCGAGACATCTGCCATCAAAGAGGCCAATGGCACACCGACAACTCCATCAGATCCCGCCAACCCAGCCTCCGACGACTGGATTGGCAAGTCCAGTGGCTTCCCCCAAACTTTCTACAAGGACTGCCAGGGTATCATGAAGCAGATGTTCCGCTGCTACGCCCATCTGTACCATGCCCACTGGCTGAACCCCTTTTGGCACATCAACAAGCATGATGTTCTCAACATGTGCTTCGTTCACTTTGTGACTGTCTCCAAGTACTACCAGCTTGTCTCCGATAAGGAGATGGAGCCCATGCAGCCCCTGATTGATATGTTCATCAAGCAGCAGCGGGTCCCCCCAGAGGCGCTTAATGGCGGCCACTGGGCTCAGGTTCAGCAGGCCTCTACTTAAAACTCCGCGGGTCTGGAGTGCATTTTTTTTACTGACGACTACGACATGTCCACTAACCTGGCGTTGGGCTGCACTGTCTTACTACGTGTTCTGCTTTCTTCTGCCATTCAGAAATTGGGTGGGTCTGCGATGACACAATAGAAAGTCAGGGCTTTGATTGAGCATTTAGCATGCGCTTTGAATATTTACCTTGATCCTGCATATCTTATTTTCAGCATCAGCTGGTCTTGGTTGCACGTTTTTAACTACTCATTGCAATACAATTTCATCGGGATAATTGATATTCCATGGCATAATTTGAGCGTATTCTCATTCATGTAGACAGCTCGGTCTTTGATTTGAGCGTATCAATCAGGCCAGCTTGGCTGAGCATGTCTTAGAGCGGGTGTCCAGGTGTTTGGTTATATCTAGGCTTCAAGGATTCAGCTTGAGTAGTGAAGGTATGGTCGGTGTGAAACATAGCCACCTGACGCTGGCCGATCTTCAACCCACAAGTGAATGCCGTAAAGTGCCTGTAGAGGGCAGTGCCAAGAACCAGTGATACCGTAAATGACGATCTTGGGTTGTGAACAATGCGAGCAATATCATAGACACGAGCACCGCAATAATCCGCTCGAATCTTCACAGGTAGACGCCTTCTTCTCCACCTTCGCCTTCGGGTGCATCCTGAGTCGCACCGGTAGGTCCGTTGCCATTGCCATTGCCATTCGTCACCGGAGCATTGGGATCAACCTTCAACTGATCGAGCTCAATCCACGGCTGTCCGCGATTCTCAACCTCAGTCTTGAGCAACGAGATCCGCTCATTCATGGAGACTGCCACATCATCATTCTCTTTAACATAGGTCTCCAGCTCCTTCTTTTCTTCCTCTGAGTCGCAGCTTTCCAGCAAGAATGCGCGCAGCTCGGTGTTGGAGCGGTGCAGATGTGTGATAGAATTGGTGAGCTCCGAGACTTTGGCGTAGAGCACTGCCAGCGGAAGCTCTTTGACTGCTTCTGCAAAGGCTCCCGGGGTTATTGGGAGGGATTCGGTGGACATTTTGGATATGTTTGATATGTGGAAGGGAGAAGATGAGGTTGATTTGGTTATCATCACGTGTGGGCTTTATAGCCGCGGAGTATACAGAGAAGGTATTGACTTATGCGTACAAATATCATTGAATGAACGGTCTAAATGCAGCTTGAGATAATTGAGATAGAGATCAAACTAAATACTGTATTGTTATATCCACTATATTTCTTCTACATCACTTTTGTAGCTAAACAGCTTACACTTACATACTATCAGATCTCGGAACAACTCCTCAGCCGTGGGCCCATCAAAAAATATCCCGCAACCACCACCATATACCTGGCTCATTCCGAGATATCTCTCGCAAGTCTCGGGATATGAGCAATGCGGTCTGGGTCGCATGGCGGGTTCCATGCCAGGGACTTCGCGCCTCTGTGCTGCCCCTGGTGACATTTCGCCCTGCCTGTCGCGATCTCCGCATTACCCCATGGCGCATGTACAGCACCTCACAGCGCCCATTCGGGGTACTGAACCCTCTATTCCGACTAAACACACCAGCCTCTCGACCGAATCCTCCCCCGTTCTCTCCGCAATTCGCCCCGTCTGTTCCCCGTCGATCTAAGAGGACTGCCGCCACGATTCCTCAATCGGATCTGTCGGAGGACCATCCCCGCAAGAAGCCCTTCACCGATACCGAAATCAAGGCCATTTTTGGTCGCAACACTCTTTCCCCCGAAACTGGCTAACCGCGTTCTTGCCGTTTTGCACCACCACCGTCTAGCCGGTACACTCGACGCAGAATTGCCAGTTGACATCAACCGCGCCTGCGCCCAGCACCAAATTGATACCGCACTGGACTGGCTTCGACGTGAATACCCGGTTGATGAGGATGCCGCTATCATGGTCCGCATTGAGCGCGAGGAGCGTGAGGAGGAAGAGAAGCTCATTCGCCGTGCTGAAAAGCTAGGCCTGTACAAGCCACAGAGTGGTTCTTATGATGCTGAGCTCGGCGATGAAGGCTCTCCTTACGGAAGGAGTGTCCTCAAGGAAGGCCGTGAGCAGAATGAGAAGCGTTTGCTGGCTGAACAAGAACGTAAGCGTCAGGAATGGCTTGATGGTGAAAAGGAAGAGCAGGAACGATTGAAGCGTCAATTTGGCGAGAATACTTCCCTGCAGCAGTATCAGGAGGCTGCTCTCACAGAGGGTATGTAGCTTCGTCTTTGGTTGCTTGTAATTGGTATTGACGGTTTATAGCTCGCCCTCGTGCCGATCCTGCTCAAAGGCCGTATCTCGCTTGGGTTCAGAAGCATCACATTGCTGGTACCCATGAGACACCCGAAGAAGTGAACATTACTACCGTAAGGACTAAGTATGTGCTTTGATAATCTCATTGCTAACCACGCTGGCAGGCTCAACGTCTCTTTGCTCCTATTTTATTCACTATCGTGACTCTTGGACTTTGCTATGCCTTTACTCAATACTATGAGTTCCCGGCACGAAAGGACCGTTTCATGCCGGATGTCCCTCCCGCTGTGGCGACTGTTGGAGCCATTATTGGAGCTAACCTGGCTGTGACTCTTCTTTGGAAATACGTCCCTCCCTCGTGGAGATTGCTTAACCGTTACTTCGTGATTGTTCCGTTTTATCCTAGTTCACTTGGCATTATTGGAAGTGTTTTCAGTCATCAGACCTGGAGACATCTCGGAACGAACATGATGGTTCTGGCACTTATGGGTACTCGCGGTAAGCAAAGTAGCAGCCCTCAACATGCAAATCAGAATGCTAAGAATCATTTCTTCATAGTTCATGATGAAATTGGCCGCGGAAACTTCTTGGCTATTTACTTCGCTTCCGGTGCCATTGGATCCATCTTCTCATTGACACGCAGCGTTTTACTCGGCCGTCTGGGTATGACCTCCCTCGGTGCTAGTGCCGCAACTAGCGGTATCGTCGCCGCATGGTGCATGTCCCACTTTGAGTATGTCCTCCTTCCTTTCAGATTCATTTGCAAGGACGTCATTAACCATGTCTAGTGACAAAATCACAATGTGGATTCTTCCTCATGAGCTACGAGAGAAAATCTGGACTCACGGCTGGGTTTTCCTCGCCTGTTTGGTTGGGACTGAGGTCTTCAGCTTGCTAGCTCCCGCGCGCTTCTTCCGTGTGTTCCCCCTCTCTCGACTGACCAAGATGGATCACGCCGCTCATCTGGGTGGGTACGTTGCTGGTGCGGGTTGTGGGTATTCTCTAATGAAAAAGAAGGAGCGTGAAAGGAAGGCTAGAGAGACCAAGTGGTTCTAGTTTGTGAATGTTGATCTGGTACCCTATATTTTCCGGTCATCATTCATGGATATGGTTATTCTTTCCTTTTTGTATTATACTGGTGTTACTGTTGCTTGGTGTAGCCTTTATGCTACTCAGTTACTTGTGCTGCGTGTTTTTATATCAATCTGCCATTCAACAGATTAATGCGTCGAACTGTCTATAAACTATCAACTTGAAATGTATCAATCAGAAAATTTGAATCTGGTCTTTGGGCTTTTGCATCCCATTCAATCTTCTAGAACTCCATCTCTTCGTCCTTCATTTTAGCGGCCCTATCTTGGCGATCACTCTCAATGAGAGGATCCAATTCGGCATATTCAATTTCGCGCTCCTTCAGGAGCATATTGACGTCGTTATCATCTAAGTCTCCATCGTACACGGCCTGAGTCATTGCCTCCCACCGCTCACTGCACTGCGGCATGCGCTCAGCATGGTCAAAGCGACGTGCGATAGGAGCATGGATTTTGGCGGGTCCGGCAAATACCTGCAGGTTGTTAAAGCTGTCAGTAATGTTCTCCAATGCTTCATCAGTCATTGGAAAGGTATCTTGCATTTCCCGAGAAGTCACGTAGCCATCTTCAAGAAGAAGGTTAGACAGCTTTGAGAATTGCAACCCAATCTCCGCAAGGTATTCCTCTGTTTCCTGGTCATTCAGGTGAGGCTCCTCGAGTCTTCCAAGAATGTCTTCAAACCGAATTGAGGCATCTGCGATGTTTTTGCTATTCGCGTTGTGGGGCTGAGCATTAGAAACTATGGACCTAGTAGAATAAACAAGGTTAGCTACCTCGGCATCTCTTTCACTTACCTCCATGGTTTGCAGACGACTAGAAAGGCTAGTAATGTCAACAGAACGGGGCGGGGGAGGAACATCACCAAAGCAGACTGGGTATTTCCGCACCCTGGATGCGTCCTCGCCGGGGAGAATGACCTGTGTAGGAACAATCAGCGAGTCTTCCATATCAAATTCGGGATGGCTATGCCAAAGGGCCTTTCGGTCAACGCGCATCTTGCGAGATCCTATTTCATTAGCGAAGTATTCTGCAAGATCCTCTGCGTCTTGGTAGATTTGCTTTCGCTCTTGTCCTTCTCGGATAGGGACTGGCATACAGAGCCATCCACCGGTGGTATGATGCAGTGGCTCATCGGCGATGAAGCAATCGCCATCTGCGATACACTCCATCACATACTCGAGGAGCTCTCTGTCGCTCCTAAGCCTGATTCTGGGGTTGTCCATGCGTCCAGGGGTAGAAACTGCTACCCACCACATGTTGTCAATGGGCTCAAGGTAGTATTCGCCATCCTGGCCGTTGTTTACCTGGATGAACATGCTCTTTCTTGCCATGTTGACTGGTTCTGATGATGTTTGGATTAGATACGATACTTTAATGTTTATTGTGGACTGCCTGGAGGCGAATGATGGGTAGATATTGTGAGAGATTGTGATGGTATTATGATACGGTGGTCAAAGAACTGGCAAAGACCATGCTTTTATATTCCGATCCGAAACCACTGCACTGTTCATCTGAGTAGTCTTGTCTCTGTTTCTGGCTTATTTCAAAGGGCTTTCTCCGGAAACAATGGGCGTTCTCTGGTAACAATGGCTTTTTCCATGTCTTTTGACTATCCCGTGACCTTGAAAGCCCTGTACTCGAACAATGCATTAGGGATGAAAAGCGACCTTGACCAATATAGACACTTTCTTTGTTTGAACCCTTGGCTCTACAGATCTATTCGAGAATTTAGCGCTTTCTTACTCGTTCATTTGTATTCTGAAAGAATCTGCATATCAATTTACTTGGTTCCCCTTGTTGGTACGCACGAAGATAACAATCAGTACAACTGCTTTTGTCCTTTCAATCCTCGTCCTCAGGATCACAACCCTATTGTGACCTGAGCATCGGATCATTAAGGAACCTTCCTATAAAGAATTTGTGGTATGTGCCCTTTGTCTTCCTCGATTCGAACTTCAAAGGTAGTTTCCTGCGAGTTTTCGAACTTGGAAATATTGGATCCAGAATACCTTTGTATCCATTGTTTCATTACCATGAAGAAGCCATGGCTCCTAGTTATGGGTCTGTTCGTCTGGGTTATAAAATGGCCTACAATCCTATACTTTTGGGGATACAATCACATTACCATTCCACACACTTCATTCACACGGTGAATTATCCATCTACTACTCTACTCTACTATTTTATGATCTTTGCTCGATATCTTCCAGTCGCAATCCTATTTCTCATCGTACGAAACGAGGAGATATTTAGGCTATACTACCTTCTACATAGCCTTTTTCTCTTCTCTTGTCCAGGAGATCGAAACACCGTCTTCTCTGATCCCCGTCTTCAGACCACATAGTATCTCTTTCCTCAACGGATTACCACACGACTTTTATCAACTTTTCAAAAGCACCATCGCCAAATTTTGCCAAAATCAAGTATCCACCTCGTCAAATTCTGCGAACATGATGAGCCGCAAGTCTTCCCATACTGTCACTGAGGTCCCACCCGGACACGTTACTTTCTTGAAGTCCGCTAACCCTGAGCCTTCCAGTGCTAAGCCTACGGAAGTAAGATTGACCTATGCAGAACGCCTCAATCTCTATATGAATCACCCTTGGGGTCTGGTCGACTACCACATCTACCTCGCACACATTGAGAGTGGTCGAGATCGGATCAACCGCTCAAAAGAGTGCCATCTCCTCGAGAGTGACGGATTTACCCAGGTGAGCCTCACTGAAGAGCTTACTTCCGAGAAGATCCCCACAGGCACAACCCCAACAGTAATATTTGTGAGTATCCCCGTCCCTAAGGTAGCAAACAAATTCGACAACACCAGGCTGGTTTTAGGCTTTGATCTTACAGCCTTCAATCTACAGGGTTATCTTGTCGAATCTGAGACCCCCCTGGATGGATACAAGGACCTCCATAAGGCATGGAACAAGGGTCGTCTAATTATTAATATGCACGCTCACAAGTTCTTGGGTATGGTAGACCACACTATGCGGAATGACATTGAGATCCTTGATGTTGGTATGCTCCGTCACTATGGCGAGACTAAGCGTGAGTTCCATGCTGGGTTTGATATGGTCATTGCTATTCAATTCCTGCAGTTCCTGAGTGACCATGCCGATCTTCTTTTCGAGGATAGCGAGTGGTTCCGTGAGACATACACTTCTTCTCAGTATAATATGCGCGAAATGATTGCTGCTAGCTCGCATGGCTCGTGGTTTGCTGCTAACGACGGTATGACTGTTGAGCAGTATCGCCAGAAGGAGAGAAGGAAGGTTGTTGTTTCTAACTTGTTCTATGGCCAGACTGTTGACATTTTGGGACAAGCTGCTTCTGCTGAACAGAAGGCTGTTCCGGCTGAGGTTTCTAAAGTGGATGCTCATGCTAAGCTTATCAAGCTAGGAGCCTGGCTTGCTTAAACCAATTACTTGTCTTAGAGAATTCTTATTTCTTGTGTTCTTTATTTGACTTTTATCAATTCGATGTTTTCAAGAATCTAAGCGTTTCATTATGTATTTACTGTATTCGTAGTCCGCTATATTTGAAGAGTGTGGGTTGTACGTCAGGGGTCACAAGCTTGTGTACATTGCCACTGATCAAGTCCTGAATATGTTCCACACAAACACCCTGGAACGAGTATATCGTGTATGGCCAAATCTACTCTGATCCGTCTTTTTTCTTCTCTCATTTGCTCATTTTCAAGTGCTTCGGCTTGTATTCATTTGTAAATAGTGTGTCAATCATGTAGGGGACTAACAGGATTTTTGGCCCCTGTTTTATAATGTTGTACTATATACGGTAGATATATCAAACCCTGGAAGCCTGTGGTTTGTGCTCAATTCAAACTGCGTATAGTTCCCAGACATCCGATGCGTTCGTAGCTGGCAGACGCAACGGTTTGTATCCAATACTAATTATAGACAGCGGCCCGCGCCGCCCCTTTACCGACAAAAGTCCCGGTCACCTGATCAGATAATCCCTTGCTACTTGATTGTGTCATTTGAGGATGTCTGGATTATTGGCAATGCTAACAGGTCTAGAACGTAGGCAATGGCCACTGGATCGTGTCTACTGGTTATTTCCTATAGCTACGATAATAGTGGAGCTTGTCTTTTAAGCGCCATTTAGAATCTAAACACATTTTGGGGGGGCTCGCTACAAGCTAGCTCTCTAGAGAATGTGATGTAAAGTACATTAGCGCCGGTCGAAGAGCCTGGCGCGGTTAGATTTGGTCGACTATCTGTCTAGCACGTATACTGGGATCCATATTTAATAGACCTGCGGTACTTATGTGAAACAGACAGGGATCTAAGCTTTGGTGCCTTGTGAGGGGAAAGCGAAGGCATATCCCGAATGGGTTCTTCGCGTTTAGTTTTGGTCCCCCGATATTATCAGCTGAGGCTGAGTCTGAAAATTGCGCAGGGGACTAGGGTTATGGGGAATTTGACCGTTATTTAAAGCCCTATAACCGCCGTCTGTGTCAATCAAGATTGCAACCATTCAATATGGCGTCAGTTACAAGCGTTCAGTCTTCCGATGCACCCGCGGATGTTTTTGAGGAAAAAACACGTCTGGATATCACAGGCTCTGCTCAAGATAACGATGAGGAATCATTGTCAGAAACCACCCAGGTGGATACAAATGACGATGTCCTGAAAAGCCTCGGCAGCGTGGAAGGTGAAAAATTGCTCGCCTTCTTGGACCACATCAGGAATGCATACGAGCTGGATACCGGTAGCCTTGATCTTCCTCAGGTAATTGGAAACAAACATCATAAGTGACATTTTCTCTTGCTGACCGATATAGCTCGTCGTCGTGGGAGGCACCAGCTGTGGAAAATCCTCGCTTTTACAGGCCCTTACCAATTTACCGTTCCCAGTGGAGAACGGCATATGTACTCTTTTCCCTACAGAAACCATGATTCATCGATGCGATCCGTTTGTGCAGCCACACTATTCAATTACAGTTGAGAAAAATGGATCTTCTCTACATCGATTCAAGCCGCGGGAATATTCCGGTGAGAAATGGTCAGACGTTTCTCTTCGTCTCAGAAAAGACTTAGAGGAGGTCTTTGCTGAGCTACACGCCCCAATCACCAACGCGGATGCCGGTGGTAGAAACCGACTTAATCATTTGCGAGAAGAGGTATTGAAGGTCAATGTTTACAAACATGACCAAGCCCATTTTAGCGTGATCGATATACCGGGGCTGGTCAGCGGTATGGATAATAACTACACCCTGATTCCTTTCTCGCAAGATGTTGACTCACTGTTATAGGCGGTTCCGGGGCAGACCAAAAGATCTCTGAAAGGCTTGCTCGGAACTACATATGCAAGGAGCGCGCTATTGTATTGTATGGGACCTTTCTACCATTTGGAAGCGGCCATATGCTAATCTTTGCAGAGCGGTAATGCCGGCGGTCGATGATATCCATAATCAGGCTGTACTTCGTCTTGTAAGGGAAGAAGGCGCTATGCACAGAACAATTGGAGTGATCACAAAATGTGACATGTTACAAACGCACGATGAGCCTAAGGTCAGTCTATCAGTTCTTCGATTTGGAGTGTTTTTTTATCTGACAGATCAGACTCTCGAGCTTCTCAAGAACCGGACACCTGAGTATAGACTCAAACTTGGATGGTTTGCTGTTCGCAATAGGACTACAGACGAGATACAAAACGGGCTTTCCTACCGTGATCGCGACGACCGAGAAAGTCAACTATTCAGCAGAAAGCCCTGGTCATCACTGAATACCAGTTGTGTGGGTGTGTCGAACTTGAAGAAATGCTTGTCCGGTACGCTCTACCGGCTTGTTCAGAAGAGTTTTCCGGGTATACAGAACGATATATCTGAAAGGCTCGAGTCTTCCAAGCGAGATCTAGATGCTCTAGGCCCCCCAAGAGATACATGGAGGTTGCAGAAATACTACCTGGATGATATACAGACACAATATGACGGCTTAGCAAGAAAGTGGCTGATGGGGACGTATCGTGAAGATTGCTCTTCAGACGACTCCTCAAAGCTCAGAGTCCGTCTGCATGCCCTGGATGCAAAGTTCCGGACACAACTTGAGAGAAATGGCATGGAGTACAGATACTTGGCCCCTGAGGACGCCAATAGGAGGCTCCAAGAGCTCCACTATATGGAATTCCCGAATGATTGGGAAGCAAAAATTCTGGCGACAGATGACATCTTTTCCTGGATTCTACGCATGTGGAATGACAATCATGGAGATGGGTTGTGGTATAAAGCACCGGTTGATTTTGAGGGAATGCTTTGGAAGGTCCAGATCAAATCATGGGGTAGTTTTGCTCGCGACTATTTCTCCGAGGCCTCTCGCATGATTCAAGGTTTCTCTGATATTTTGTTGGAGGAAACATGCCCCGAGCCTACCATTCGTAGCAAAATCCGCCGGTATCTTCAAGAACAGAACTCAATCGCCATTCGTCGCGCGGAGGATGAGCTTGCTACTATTTTGAATGAATTGGGGCATATGAGAACCTACAACCGGGATTTCATGGCTGAGTTGCATGATCGCCAGAAAGCTCTTAACACTTCGTTCCATTACATTGGCGACAACAAGCTAAGACTAATCATTTCGACCTATCAAGACTTGTGTTCCTTCCAGAAAATAGCTCTTTGGCGTTTCCTTGATAATGTGATAATTCAAGTCGTTGAGCGCCATCTCTTGGGGGCTCCCGGTCTTGTTTTCTGTTTCAGTGTGCATTGGATCCGAGGCCTGTCAGAAAAAGAAATGGATGATATTGCTGGGGAGGACACGGAACAAAGACAGAAGCGCAATGCCTTGCAGACTGAGGTACGGGAGCTGGAGGAGATCTTGAGGGACTCAAAGATGCTACAGTATAAATGATTAGGTTGGTCGTTTTTGAATTTTGCTTTCGTCGTTTCGAATATTCAAATTACCGTTATGGATCACGAACTGTAGTTTTCCCTGCATATTGATATTATGAATCAGTTGACGTTGAAAGTCAATCTAACCTCCAGGTTGCGAAGACTATCTGCTTAAAAACATGTGTTCATGTTGAAACATGAACCTTGGTGGTTTCTTTATACACCACAACGATCATTATATATATGTACACCGAGACAAAGAGCTGGTGAATGTAGCGCACCTCAATGAAGGAACTATATATTCAGGATCACTGTATATGCTAAGAATACTATATTACTTGAAGGAATAATACCGATAGATTTCAGTTGCAAGAAAAAGTTGACATCAAGTAGAGCACTGAACTTGAGAGATTAGAAGCAGCACCCACTATCGCAAATTCTGGCTTATGTCTTCATAGATTACTCCTCTTCACATCAATTCGGGGGTATGGCGCAATTGGCAGCGCGTGTGACTCCAGTTCACAAGGTTATCTGATCGAGACGGGTTACCCTCAAATTCTTTTTTTTGCTTTTTTTTCTCCCACATACTCACGTGACACTATTTCGTTCTCACGTATACTATAGGCAAATCTTTTTTGTGTAGTTACAGAATCTAAGTATAAAATCCTCAATTTAATAATGAGTAGGTAAACCAAATAAATGAAATTAGTTTTTTTTGCTAAATCCTCCCTATTGTGTCATTCTTGATAGTATCAAAAATGGCCTCGCTTATCAACCAATTGGGGGTATGGCGCAATTGGCAGCGCGTGTGACTCCAGTTCACAAGGTTATCTGATCGAGACGGGTTACCCTCAATTTCTTTTTGCATTTTTATACCTATTTGTCTGATATACGCCCCGAGGGTGGTAAACGTACGTTAAACATAGATTTTTTTCCCCCGCTGTATTCGAGGTTGTGGACTAAAAACCTAGGCAACATATTCGACTCTATACTCGACATGTTCATAGTTTTTGCTTACCGCATCTAGAAACAATTAACTATGTCATAGCGAGTTTAGAAATCACCCGTATCGTTACTGAAAAATAGTCGAAGAGGCCTCTCCGTCAATTACCCTGACAATTAGCCCTAATTCTAACTTCAATCCTCAGTGACTCGAGCTTAGCTATTCACATTCCTCAAATGTGTACACTTTAGAGTCACTCTATCTCCCTCTCTTCTCTCCATGCCACCATATACCAGGCCGTGCAGTCTTATGGAGTATATTTTACCATTAAAACCACACCGTGCTCTTGATCATGCTTGATCTCCTATTGCATCCCTTTTCGAAGTTCCACTTTTGAAAATTCTATACTATGATCTACTACACCATCTATCTATTCGTTGCTAATTTTTTCCGTAACCAATCGGAAAAGGAAAGAACAAATCGTGTTCGGACACTTGCGATGAATCTGGTAACTAATCGACAGTCGAAAATTGAAGATCCCTACCAGCCAAAGAAGTAGCAGGTCCCTCTGGCAGAAGAAACGCTCGGGTAAAGTTGTACGGTACTGTAGATTGCAAGAGGCGAGTAGAAATGCACTATTTTTCACTCGTGTTGTGGCGTGTCTAGAAGACCTGACTTCTTCAAAGGGGAACGCCTACGCTAACCCCCAATCTCTCAAACTAGATTTCAAATCAACTTCCCCAGTACCATTCAATATCTACAATGACCAAAGACACCCTCCTAAATAGCAATAATATCAACCTCCAAACCAACCCCTAAAGGTAAGTAGTCCGCGGCGGTCCATGAGGCATGAGCGGGCCATGAAAGAGTTGAAACCTCGGATATACCGAGAGATCCTTACGATATATCTATACATAGTATCAATCATTCATATATGAGAACTGTAGTCCCGCTCGCATGAATAAACAAAAGGAAGTGAAATGAACATACCGTTGATCTCACCACTTGACTCATATCAGAACTGGCAGCTTCCAAGATTGCTTGAGTATTCTTGAAGACGAGGGCTGTTTTCTCTTCGATTGTCCCATTGCACAAATTGCCATTGTTGTCTGCGGGGATTTGGCCCGCGATGTAGATTGTGCAGTTTGCTCTGAAGGCTTGGGACTAGTGACGGTGAGACAGGAACTGCAACCTTAAATCTTGGGAAATAATATAGGGAAGCTGGGTTATGTTGAAGGCATCTACGTAGTGATCCACAGCTTGACAGAGATTAGCGCTAAGATCAGATGAGATAAAATATGGACCAATACGTACGAGGACAGCCACATGGAGTGGAGACGGAGATGATTCCTCTATTTCTGCGTGTAGCGCTGAGAGGTATTTTGAGCAAAAGGTACACAGATGAAGAAAATCCGGGACATTGAGCGATTTGACTTATTCTATTTCCTGAGACGTAGGTCCCACGGCTGGGGTATCCGCATTGACACCATGTGAATCAGAATAGCGGGATGTGTTTCTACTTCCCTGTTTTGTGTGACTGCTTTGTACCCAAATGAAGGCCCAGATAAAGAATAAATAGTTAGGTGGCACTATACGCCTATCCCGATCCATCGAGCTATGTTCACTTCTTAAAGCGGCCACATAGTCCCTACCCATGAAAGGGTTATCATATCTCACACCTAGTGCGCTACACCAGTAGTGATATACAACAAAACCCCAGACAAGACAAACCAATTTCCTTAATTCAAAGCATCCGACTCGGGCGGTCCCTTATAAGCTACAAAACAAAGTTAGCAAAAACCACGCCATGCCAAAAGAGAAGAGAGGAAAACGAAAAACTCACACTTCCTCGCATAAACCAGAAACCAGACCCCAGAAATAGCCATAAAGCCCACAAACACAACAGAAGCATAATTCATCGAAACAGCCGTAACCGGCAAAGCAGTAGGCATACTAAAAAGTACCAACTCAAACGCAATCCAAGCAAGCGCAAGCATATTAACAAAAATACCAACATAATTTCCCCCAGGCACCTTCCAAGGCGCCTTCCGCACCTCCTCCCTGCCATGCCACAGACTCAAAAAGATAGGAATGGCATACGCAGCCGCGAGCGCAATCACACCCACAGACACAAATGCCGTGAATGCACTCGTACTCCCTAGGTTAATTAATCCCAGTAACATCTGGATAGCTGTTAAGAGGACTAGTGACCAGACGGGCACGTTTAGTTTGGGATGGACTGTTGCCCAGATCTTTGAGAGCGGGACTGCGTCGTCGCGCGCTACCGCCCAGGTTGAGCGGGATGCCGCTACTGTGATGCTAATTGAGCAGAAGAGGGTTATTACCAGCACTAGGAAGACTAGTGCGAGACCCCCGCCTGGACTGCCCATTACTGTGTGGAGGATGTAGGGTAGGGCTTGCCCGCCTGGCGCGGCGATTATGTCTTCTAGCGGAGGGAGGGTTGCGCAGAGGGGTAGGATGAAGAATAGGCCGGCTGTTCCGCCGACGGGCACGGAGAGGGCGATTGCTCGGGGCACTTTGATTGCTGGCTTGTTGCATTCCTCGGCCATTGAGGAGATCATTCCTATTGCCGAGAAGGTGTAGGCTGCGGGCAGGAGACCGATGAAGAAGGTGAAGTCGCCCCAGCCTGCGAAGGATTTGTCGTAGTGCGATAGTGTATAGGATGCGGTGTGTCGGCCTGCTGAGGCTTTGACTGAGACGGCGATTAGGATGATTAGGATTGTGAGGGCGGTCCAGGTTGCGCAGGCTATGTCGACCTGCGGGAGGTATTTGTTTGCGAAGACGCAGATAATCAGGGAGCCGAGGCAGACCGCATAGAATATGAGGAGGAGTTGCCAGCTGTTTGCTGACCATGTTGGGTGGTACATTGATATTGTTGCTGAGACTAGGGATGCGAAGCCAAAGTTGACCGAGAGTGTTATGGTCCAGTTGCCGATTAGCCAGATCCAGGCGTTTATGAAGGAGATTGTGGTCTTGTTGCCGCGGGATATCTGGAACGTCCAGTAGTAGGGCCCTGCGGAGGTTGGGTAGCGTGATGCTAGCTCTGCTAGGGAGAGGGCGATGCATTGGTCTAAGAGACAGACGACTATCCATCCTACAAAGATGGATAGTGGTCCACCTCCATAGATGGCGGACAGGAGGGGTGAGCCTTCGCCATACGGGATTGCAGCTATGGCGAGGGTTTGGAAGAGGAGGGTTAGCACTGAGCGGTTGCGCTGTAGCTCAGGTTTGTAACCCAAGCGATCGAGTTCGAGGTTCTCCGAGAGGGAAGTGATAGTGCCATTTTCTTGATCTGGATGGGCAGTGATTGAGGGTGCTTTTTCAAGCATGGTGGAGAGGATAGTGAGCTAGGCGGTATCCACTAGGCTGGCAGTGTCAGCTATAACTAGGAGAGAGATGGTAAAACATAGTGGGCAGACGGACTATGTTATACCAGCAATGCAACCTTCCCCCATCTGCGGAGAAAGTGCGAATGAATGTAGACGCGCTGTACAGGCGACGCCACCAAAGAAGATACGAGACAGTTGAGGGGTTCTTGCATATTGCGATAGGTAGGGATAGACGGGGGAAAGGGTTCAAGGGACAAGGATCATGTTCACCGATTGGGAATGAAGTGGCTCGAGCTACAGTTTAATGAAAGGCGTCTTATCAGGTTTAGAGATGCAGCTAAGTAGTGGATTGGCTGCATGTTCATATCTTCTATAGCTACATGTACCTGCACGGCAGATGTGGGCCAGATAGTAATATTGACCCACGTAGTCAGTGCAGTCTCAATAGTTGAATGATTATACACTTAAAAAAAAAGGAAAGCCAAGCTCAGAGATAAGGGACGCCACGTCTAACCCCAAACAGCAACTCAATCCCTGCGAGGGGGTACTCCGCATTTGGTCTATTTGGCACAAGCTTGGATTTGATATAACAAGAAATTTCATTGGATTATGTGAACTGAAGAATATAAGGCATGGGGTAATCTGCATATCTTAAACATAAAGAGGTATTAAAGACGGGATGCTAATTATCCTCAACTCGAACAAACATTAGATGGTAGTGAATATTACTGAGCCGTAGATGGGCGGCCCTGGTGCGACCTGCGCGAGTGCAAGCTGAGACGGGAGTGGCCTTGAGGGGGCCCCTCGGTTGCCAGAAGGGGAGGGACTGAATGATGTTAGCATGGAGCGATAAAGTGAGAGGAGGTTTTGGAGAAGGGGACTCACTGCTGAATCCATAGCCTTCAGTGGCAGCGCTACGGTCATGAGGGTCGATTTCCACCTGAATGGAAACGTCGAGGCCTCCGTACATGCCGCTGTCACTGCTAAATCCATCGGCCGCGCGATGACTGGTACCAGCATCGACCTCACCCTTGTGCAGGGGCGCATGACCATCCTTAGGAAGGCGGTCTAGCTTGGCCGATTCCAAGGGGGTCTCGCCATTGGAGGTCGGGGCAACCACCTCGGTGAGTGTGGCGTAGTTACGCGATGGCATGGTAACCTTGTTCCAAAGGGCGCTCTTCTCCTGACCGCCGGGTTGCTTGTCGAAAAATGGCATGAGGGTTTCGTCGCAATCGTGGTCCAGACGGTGGATCTTGTTGCGGCGGGCGAGGAGGTTGGCGACGGCCTTGGGAGGGGGCTTGTTGGTGATGGCACTGCTGACAACGTTGACAATGAAGCGATGGTCGTTCTCGCCAGCCAGATTGAGCTTCGGGTTGGAGTAAAAGCGACCGATGGCAGCAAGGTGAACATCTCCACCGAGAATAGTGACACGCATAGAGTTGGCGCGGGCCAGCTCCTGAAGACGGTGGATCAGCATCTTACGCTCACGCTTGTGCTGGCGGGCTGTGTAGTGGTCATCCAGATCATCAAGCAAATCGACTTGACCGTCAAACTCGTTGAAGAGGCCGCCGGCCACCCCGAATCGCTTGTTCAGCAGACGGATTGGAGCGATGATCGGAGATGTGAGGATGTTCTCCAACCACGCAAGACGGGGGTAGGCGATCGGAACGCCCAACAACACGACCAGGTGCTTGATATCGCCATCGGCTGCCCCAATCTCTCGTTGCAGACGTTCGAAGATTAGGTCATAGGTATCTTCGTAGTTGACCTGGTGGCGGGTACGTTCTGTGCGGGCATCCAGACCCATAAAGGCAATTCGCTTACCGAAACGCATGTACAAACTTCTACTGCGCTCCTCGACATATGGACCTGGGCGCTTGCCGATGATCCAGCTGTCGTCCTCAGTCTGGTTCTCCAGCACGTAGGTGTTCACCACCTGCCGCGGGTCAACACCGGAGGTTCCATTGACAGCATGCATAGTCTGCGGGGCATCGGTTGTAAAAGTGGACTTGGGAGGAGCCATGTGGTGCTGGAACAAGCAGTAGTACTTGAATGCGACACCACCAATACCACGGAAAACGGCACACTTCATGAAATGATCGGTGTACGAACCGAAGCCATCGATAATGTCATGGTCATCCCAAATGTTGACCTGCGGAATTTGCCCATTGGCAGAGCGGAAGGGCTCGATGTTGTACCAGCGGACATAGTTGGCATAGTAGTAATCATCGCAGTCAGCGCGCATCTTGTTGTCGAAGTCGTGGTTGCGTCTCTTGTGCGGGTTACCAATGGCAGTCCAGGGCTTGAGAGGACCGTCGACCCGGATACCATCGTTGTAGATCTGATCACCACCGCCAACCATAACGTGGAAAGGCTTCTCGCCGTGCACGCGCATGACATCGTTCCACAAGTTAGGACCTACCCAGGCGTTCATATCGGTACCGACAGAGAAACCATTGCACGAGTGGAACATGATACGCATGGATTGCTCTTCCGCTGGAACAACAAAGGTCCAGAATTCTTTGACTTCGTCGCCGGACTCGTTGTACAGACCAGGAATGTCATACGCCCAGCGCGCCTCGAAGATCTCGACTGGCACAGCCAGCGTGAATCGCCAGAAGGCCTTCTCAGGATCTTCGTAAAGCTTGAGACCTTCAACTGTCTGGCTCTTTTGTTCGATATCGCCTTCGCTCTGGACTCCGTCGCCCACAGGCCCCACTTGGCGTAGGCGCAACTGTGGCTGCTCCTGGCCTGGTTTTGTGACAATCAAAACACTGCCATGCCAGACAGTCGCGGACTCGTAGTGCATGTTCTTTAAGTTGAGGAGGGGGCCGGAGATGAGCGCGAAGCGGTCATTGGCGCCTCGCGTCACCTGCGCGGTCTCACCATTTTGCATGGTCCCTGTAATGCATTCGTGGTCAGTTTGCGCAGCTCTCAATTATAGATATGGGATAGTCGCATACCGTTAGCGGGCTGCGCAACAGCCTCGGCCATGATCGGATCAATTGAAGCGATTCAGAAAGAAATCGTGTTAAGGAGAAGAGCCGTGGACTGAGTCTCACGGGGGTTATAACACAATTGCGCGGGGACTCCGAAATGCCAGGGGGGAAGCAGGGAGTAGATTAGGCAGACTCGAAACTTCCCAACAATTACCTGGGTAGGGCTGCAGGGCTGACAGAGAAAGGAGGAAAGCAAGCGAGATTGGAAGCTGCAGATCAGGCCCGGTACCTTCGGGGGCTTGCTTGGCGGTCTTGGGTACTTTGCGAACAGCTCATGACGCTGCCAAGGCTTTCCGCGCCAGCAGCCAACCAATGGAAACGCCGTTAATGCAACGAGCCCCATTTGAGCCACGTAGCGCCACCTAAGACGAGTTTGTCACGGGCTTGATTGGGTCAGCAAAGTGGCGGTGCAACTAGCTTGATCGATCGAGCCTCTCTTTTGGTCACCGATCATCTGATCAGCTCTGTGCATCTGCATGGCGTTTGAAATTTGAAAGACATCTTCTCCTTCTGTGACACAAAAATACTCCGTTGCTTTGACCTCTACAATACCTCGGTCCCCCTCTTTCACGATCTACAGATCTGCATTGCTTACACTCGCCTTGACCGATGATCGAATTCCAACAACCAAGAAAGCGGTCAACTTAACGGTCATCGTCATTTCTGTACACTAGTTACTCATGAAACCAAGGGTCATCTAAAATTTCTCGCGCGGATGCTCGTGCACACGGCTCAAAGTGTAAAAGCTTCCCAATCAACATCCCCAGCCTAGTTATATCCTCGCGGGTCAAATCCTGTTTTTGTGCACCAGAGTATACGTCTTCCAACCACTCCTGTAAGTCAGGCCCAGGGGTTTCTCGGGGGTTGTTGTCTTTTTCTTTCATTGCGGCCCAACTATTTTGCCATTTTACAGGTAAAAAGTCGCTTGCTGTGTCTTGCATTTGTCTCACAAGGACAGTGGGCGTTGTCATGAATGTATCAAAAGGTGGCTGGCCGGTAAAAAGTTCGAAGAGCTTTTATTGTTAGTGTGGATCTTTGAGTTTCTGATAACTCCACTTACCATACAGCCCAAACTCCACAGGTCGACTCGGTAATCGACCCGATATTGGAATATAACCTCAGGCGCTCGAAGGGGTAAAGGTGTGTGTAGTGTTTTTGGTGCCTTAGTATTCAAGAACGATTCCCCTAAATCGATGATCTTGACCGCCTGGGTTGGTGTCCAACCCTGATAGGAAGCAGCCCGAACAATATATTCAGGTAAACTAGGTCCTACCGGTTTCCCGTCACGTCTTCGGACCTTGCCGACTTCGGGGGCTCCGAGCATATCAACGAAGCACCTCTCGGATAAAGTATCCACGTGAGGCATTGTGAAGGCCAAGTTGCGTGTATGCAGATCTGGATCATCTCATGCATCAACATCATCCAACGTATTCTCAGGATGTAAGGATAACCACCTCCATGTCCGACGCCTCGTTGGTATAAGTGATCAAGTCCTATCAGAGCCTGTCTCGCTATGATTTTAGCGAGCCTCCCAGGGAGTCTCCCGCTAGGAAAATGTGTACCAATCGCATCGGGGATGTTGGGCCCAAGAAGTTCATAGACAAGGCATTTGTGATCTCCATTGGGGCCTTTCGTATTGAAAGAATCAATAATGTGAGCCGTATATTGTAAGCGTGGGTGACAAGATGACAGAGCCTTCGTCATTTGAAGCTCTCGCATCTCGCCGTCTCTTTCTGCCACACAGATTTTGATAGCAACATAGATCTCTTCTCTAGACATGGATATTAGCCTGACATGCCCTTAATAATGAAAGTTAAATAACCTTTGATCTTTAGCCGCCCAAACGGTCGAGTACCCACCCCATCCCAGTTTGTGGACCACCTTGTAACGTCCTGATTTTAGGTAGTCTCCCAACTTGATCGGATGATAGCCTCCTGGCTTGTATAGATGAAGTGGCTCAGCGTCAACACTTGATACGTAAAGGGGATGGTCCAAGTGACCGTGAGAGGGATGTATTGCCATCGACCTGGAGTTGGAACAAATCCGCAGAATCCTCGACGCGACATTACGCCGTGATAATTGCAAGAAGCCTGCCATTGGATGCATTATCATTTAGTTTTGGCCATGGGCTGTCTTGAATGTGATGCGTCCAAGAATGGATGTAAACATAGATAGCAGCCAATCACATGATCAAAACAGTACAGTACTTCAAACTGCAGTACTTCAAACTACAGTATTCCAGCCATGACAAACCTCAGTCCGGTTCATGATCCTTTAACAGTGATCAAGTGTTGACATCCCCTCTAATCTTAGTACAAACAAGAATCTCGGTCGCGTTGATGCTCAATTAGAGTAAAATATTAAGTGAGCATGTGACTATGGTGACTCCGCCGAAAACTTTATACCCTCTTTCAGTCTTCCCGCAGAATCATCCATCCTCTTCAAAGTTGGTTCGGATTGAATAGAAGCTGTGCTGCTTGAGAACAGCAGCGCAAAAGGGGAAGACTTCCAGATGTATTGGTTTCTCGTCTGCACAATAGTGATAGCAAGGAAAATCACACTGAGCACCAAGAATACCACAGGAAAATCCAACCATTGCCATCTAACATGTATACAAGATTGGATAACCCAAGAGGTCCCTTTGACAATCGAATTGCAGATATTCGTGCGTGTATTGTTTGTCAACGTTGTCGCAACGGATTCAAAAACAGAGTTAATGTCCGCGAAAGTTCCTCCCTCTCCATAGATGGCTTTCATGATATCAGAGCTCCAATGTAGCCGATAAGAGTTTATTCCCCCTCCCCCGTCCCCATATAGCAAGGGACGTATGGTCGATCTCATACCATGTAAATGCAATGCTCGTTATCCCCATATGGCTTCTGGTAGCGCATTCCGTGGTAATAGCAAATATCCGGCGTCAAAGTTTCCAGAGGGGCATTCTATTCCATTTCTGCTGCTAGTTGGCCCTTGAGTTTGGAACAATCCCGATTAGAGAGCCCCAAGAGTGACCAATGAGACACTGAACACCAGCCGGCAGACATTAATCGGCCGACTAAGATGTATATTGAACAATGAATAGCATACACAAGGCTCTATTTAAATCATTGCCTGTTCATGTTCACAGCCAAGGATCCTGAACTAGCTCTCTGGTAGACCTCCGGTCCTCTGGTTGCCATTGAAGCATACCTCTCACGAGAAATAGGAATATCTCCTTTTCTTGCCTTCAAACTGGTTCTCTTCCTTTTCCAGGCCCGTCTTCCTAATTCTGGCATCATGCCTCTTCCACCCACCTAGAACTATTAGCAAGTCACATTCAATGATACAAAACAATAGTACTTACCATCCGGAGTATAAGCTTGTAACTTCTAGCTCCACGTTCAGCAAACTCCTTAGGTGCAGGCCCCAACAACCGTATCATCTCCCCAAGATGTATAGCAGTAGATGAACAATAGACACCCTCTTTTTCCCTGGGTTCTTGGCCCTGGAACAGCAATTTACCTTCACACAAATGCTAGACCTATTTCCAAATACACTGATTGACAGTGACCCTAAAATACCGATGAAAACTTACCAAGACGCCCAAATTCCAATGATCAATATGATAGTTCCATTCCACTACCAGTATTACCTCTGGTAATCTGAAGATATCAGGCTGGGCAAAGTGATTCCTCGAGTCATCTCCTCGGATGGCACTACCAAAGTCACATAGTAAGAGTTTCTCAATTACATTTGCGATCTTGAATTGTCTAGACAGATAGACTGTTCTACCATTAGCAAATTTCCCTGGCGATGGCATCTTGAATGAATTCTATCATACTGTCTTGATTCTCGATCCAGCCATCACTAGAGCTCAAGTCGGTATATTCCCATGAGTTACCATAGATACGCTTCCAGCCATACAAATACAAGGTTGGTTAGGGGTAGAGGCCCGACTGATTTTAATGAAACTATGAAAAAAAAGTTAAAAAAAAGACCGTAAGAGATAAAAATGAAATCTCAGTATGCAATTTAACCCTGGCAAGTCCCAAGATAATACACAAAGAAAAACCACAACCCTCACTCCCGATCAGCAAGAATCCCCTCGTCATTCTCACTCCCACCCCTCCTCCGCCTCGGAACACCCTCGTTCATGGCATTAGTCTGCCTCGGCACAGAGACCGACAAAGCAGCATCACTCGGCCTCCGCCGCCTAACAAGCTGATAGCCCCTATCCAATTCAATCTCGACAGCTTCCCTAACCTTCAATGCACTAATAGCAGGCCAAACACCCCTCTCACCCTTCAGAGTCCACTCAGCGACCCTCTCACGTGTAGGACTATGAAATAACTTCCTCAGATCCCAGAAACATAGATCTGGAACAAGCGTCAGATTCGGGCCTGGAATTGTTTCGTCGATTAGGAGTCTGCTCAGTGATGCCGGGAGGACGCCTAGGTAGTCGAGTTGGCGGAGGCGGTGGCGGAGTTCGACGATTATCAGGCGCATTGCTGAGCGGGAGAGGTTATTCCAGCCTGTTTGGCGGCGGTCTAGGAGGTTGAGTTCTGAGCGGAGAAATGGAACTAGGTATGGTCTTGCTTGGGAAACGATGAAGTGATTTACGTTGAAAAGTTCCGAGATTCGGGATAGTGGTGATTCGCCTTCGTTGTAGTGGACGTGTCGCCAGGGTCGGAAAATTGCGTCTTGCGTGTGTGGCCAAGGTGTTATTGTGCCTGTTTCGTCTTTGCAGTAGATTGTTACTGGTGAGTAGAGTGCTGTTGATGAGGAGGCGTTGGAGGCTACTGCAGCGGACCAGATGAGCTAGTAGAAGTCAGCAAATATCACAAGAGCTGAAGCAGGGTAGTGTGAGACATACCACATTCGGCGCCGTCAAATAATTCAACAAGTTGGGCGTGCCATTCTTCCCCGTCGTCGCAACAGTGATGTTGAGAATCCGCTTGGATCTCGCATACGCCTCTTCAAACGTAAGATCACCAACGTTGGCTCGAACACACTCCTCCAAAACCCCAACATCAAACAAGTACCCCTTCTGAACAAGCCGCTTCATGCGCCGATAAAACGTCCCGAACCAAGTCTGCCCATCAACAGAGCCATCACCCCCAAGCGCCTTCTTCCGCCGCTCAAATGCAGACAGATCAATACCCGCACCATCAAGCAATGGAAGCAACTCGTCTTCCGGGTGAATTCCCACAAGCGCGGCAATCATCGCACCAGCTGCTGTACCAGTAATGATCCGCGGCAAAAGACCCTGCAAATGCAACGCCTTCACAACACCCAGATGGCACAGCCCGAACGCCGAGCCACCCTGCAATAGAAGGGTCGTCCGCCCAAAGGCCTGTCGCGTATCATGCAACAATTCCAGCTTCGCCTGTGAGGTAAACCCACCTGGATGAATCGGTGCCGGCTGCACAGATGCCACATACTGGATTGACAACGCGACTTGAGTGATATAATCGTCGATTAGAAGCTTCGTGCCTGCATAGGCGTGTGTAAAGAGCTTGGTTGAGGCAATATTTCCAAGATTTCGCACTAGACCTGAGCGCAGGAGGTTTGCTAGGGTTAAGATGTCTTCGGACTCGCGCGCGCTCATGAGTGATTCAAGGCGGCCTAAGATGAGTCTGTAGTCGTAGTGCCGACTGACTGGGTTTTGGCGCCTGGCTTGGTTTAGCTAGGGGTCATTTTCGAGTGAAATGAGTGGATCGATACCAAAGGTCTTTACTTAGGAGCTCGTCGAGTTCGAACGCGGCTTCTTCCCATTCTTCATAGCTCTGCGCGTTGGCGAGCGTATGGAAGAGTCGTTCTCGGGGTGATTTTGAATGTAGCCATGATAGTAGTTTCTAGCGAGAATTGATTAGCCGATGGCTCAAGCAAGAATGAATTGAGTCATCAGGTCTCAGGATATGCCGAGATTCTCTGTTGAGGCAGGCTTCAAGTTGACCCCCACATACAAGCTCTAGCATCATCGGGCTAGGCCTCAGGAGGAACACTTACATCTTTCCAGAATTGCGTCACTTCCAGTAACATGCTGAAGACTGCGCTGAGGATACTCCACAGCCCTAACCACCAGGAAGCCATTTCTGAGAAGAATGGGGTGTTCGGGGGATGGCGACGGTCGCTTTCACATGCTAACGTCACGCGCTCAGTGGGACTTCAGGGTATCCATCGATGTTATGAGATCATTCAATGCGTTCAACAATGAAAGGATGAACATGAAGTACTGCGTAGATATGGACAGTTAATTGTGTCTGCATGTATGGAGTACGGTCGAGTGTAGGAGGAAGGTTGACCATTGAAGTCACCGAGCTCAGACCCGTCTAGATTCCCCGGATCTCCAACCTGAACTTCAACTTCAGCTACGTCTAATACTGGAACATCATTGAAGTATAATCGAATTGCCTCGGGCGCACATTTCTACATGCCACATACAAGCCATGAACGCGTTAGGGAATAGTGAATTTCAAAAGGGTCGTTTTGTTTTTGACATTTCGCTTTGCTTCCCTATATGCAAGTAGGCGAAATTAAAGAAACCTCTCCCAGACACCCGATACATCCCAAGCGTCACATTTACTCCTCAATGATGTTGCCCCGCTCCGACACGTACAGACCGTCCAAGAACTAGAAGGGGTTAGTAAAGGTCTGGTAGACTGATAGAGGGGGTATCAGTGTATAACTCACCTTACGGATATCCTTGTTGCGAACACGGCAGATCTGCTGGATGTCGGCGGCACTCTGGGAAACACCCTCAAGAGAGTTACCCTCGAGGACGAGCTCGTCCTTGACGTTGGCGGAAGGAGCAATATCGACACCGGGCTGGGCAGTCACGCGGCGGACGTACTTCTCACCCAAGAAGTTACTATTTAAAGGTCAGTCACAATTCATCACTTGTATTCCTGAACAGAAATATTTCTCAGGTGATTCCATACCGGATCTCAATCTCAGCGCGGCCAGTCTCGTGGTTGGGCTCGATGTTGACGTTGATGGGGAAATGGGCGTAGACGTAGCGCATCTTGTAGCGGAAGCCACGGGTGACACCGATCATAAGGTTGTTGATGATGGTGCGGACGGTACGGAGGGTAGCAACACCCTTACGGGCACCGTGGTGCAGCTCGATCGAGATGACGTCCTTCTCGGGGCGGCCGAAGGTGACGGCAATGTGGGACAGGTCCTTGGTGAGCTTGCCGCGGGGACCCTCGACGGTCACGATGCGGGAACGAATGTGAACCTTCACTGTAGGGGAGAAAAAAACATCAAATTAGTCGTCTGCTTGCGAAGAGAAATTCACCAATTTCTGGCGAAGCGAGTCGCCGGTCCACACAATTCTCCTTCTCATGTCGATGCTGGTGTTTGTCGTGGTTTCGGGTGGTTGTGTATTTTTTTCTTCGTTGAATATCGAGTGTGCTCGCGGATCCAGTAATTGTGTGCGACCGGCTTCTCCCTCCAATCCTCCAAATTCGCAAAAAGAGAGTCGCTCACCATTGTCCAGAATGGGCAGCCGTTCCTCGGAGTGAATGTACCGCATCTTGGTGACTGTTGGTGTTGGCCGAGGGGGTGTAGATTGTCGATGTCGGGGAGGTTCAAAATTCGGATTGGACTTGGTGGTGGAGCGAAATTGGACAGTCACGGGATTGTGCGTCGCTTAGGGCCACATCGGGGCTAGCGTCATTAGGGTTCCTTATCAGCTTATCGAGGGGTGATGTGCTGGTACTTCTTTAGTATGGGCGGTGTGGCGGTAGGCCAGGTACCGCTACAATGGGCTTATTCACCCGATTTCTCTCTCCGAGGCGATTCGATATGACTTATGTACAATACAGTGCATTTCAAGTTATTGCAACGCCAACCAGATTCATACCACCAGGGCAACCATTAAGTCTTACTACTAATTTCACAGTGACTCATCGACCTTGTGTGTAACATCCACGATCCATTTTCCGCCCAGTTGTCGCAGCTTCGATGCCAGCTCGTCGCGTTGATCCAGTTCAGCGATATCATCTCCGCCTCCAATACTCTGTCCGGTCACGATAACGTTGGGAACAGTGCGACGCCCGGTGTTCTGGGCGAGGAGAGCCTGCAGATACGGACCGAGTGGGTGCTGGTCCAATTCAACCACGAACGGTTGTGGTTGGATAAAGTAGTGGTCGAGCAGGATGGTCTTGGCTCTCTTGCTATAGGGGCAGTAGGATTTGGAGAAGATGATGACTGCAGGGTCGTTAATCTGGAAAACACTTGCAATATATGAGTGGAAGAGTACATACCTGGAGCACGCTTGAGAATCGCATTCAGCTCTGTCTTTGCCTCCTGTTCCTTCTTCGCCTTGTCCGCCCGCTCTCTCTCTTCTTTCTCCTCTTCCTCGGTCTTCACGTTAGATCCCGAATCAATCCCTGCTTGTGCATCCGTATCCGTATCCGTATTAGCCTTCTTTGGCACAGTCATCTTTGTCCGTCCCGCGATGGGGATTTCCTCCACATCCTCGTTCCCTGTAGCAGGTGGTATAGCGGGCTTTTCAGCATCTGTGTTAGGTACCTTAACTGCTGGATCATCTTGTCCTGGGGGATGCATAGCATTCTGGATCTTCTCTTGTGTCTTGGCATGCTTGGCCGCCTCTTTCGCTTTCATGGCGTCAAGAGTCGAGCGGTAGAACTTTTGGTTTTGGATTTTGCTTGTTTCGCCCTACATAGTGCATTGTATCAGCTACTTGAAGAGGTCTCTCGCGGCAAAGAAAGATGAAGGGTGAATACGTACAGAGTAGTAGAAGGTCAAGAAAAGCAATGCGACAACCCCAATGATGATGAGGCGCATGCGCCGTTGAGAAAGCATGTTGATATATTGCTTCGCTATAAGTCGAAGTTATGTCACTGTTGTTTGACCGTGCCGAGCATTTACCATCGAATCTGGTCAATCCACACGCGACCACAACGTGATGAGTGAAGCCAAGAGATCCGCCTCCGGGCCTGAGTTGGTTTTAGTGTTTGGCGCGGGACATCCGAGCTGCTAGGGTGTTTGTGTAGGGCGGCAATACTCCTTTGTGACTGAAATCAAAGCTCAAGCAAGTCAGGAGAAGTGGGGTTCTCAAGGGGCCAAGTTCATCCCTGATTGCGGGAGGCGGCGCGATGCTTGGCGGAGTAGCTATAGACGTCACGGGATGTACTTGCGATCAATGTGTACAGTACTAGAGTATTGGGAATTTTCTTCACGAAAGCCAGGAAACAAGTGTACTGGTTTATGGGCTGTTTTCGGCCTACTTTGGCCTCTCTTTTTAGCCTCTTTTTGACATTCGATCATCTCGGTTTAATCATTCAGATGATATAAAAAAAGGACTTGTGGTCCCTATTGTATGTCTACGCTGTATACGATACACCGAACAAGTTGAGAGAATAGATACATATGATTATCAATATGAATTAATGGATAATGACTGGGTATTATGCTAAATCAGTGGTGTTCTTTTGTCCGAAACCCATGTCGCAGAACATCATGACAGGGCATTATTCGACCTCACACCAGAGTTATACGATAGGGGTAAGATGTAGTGTAAAAGATGCAATCAAATAGACAGCCGCAATCCTGTTGCGGCCTAGGGTGTCGAAGGATGGTGATTAAAGAATGTTGGGCCACCAGGGCTTGTATGGTGTCATGTCAAAGATGCGATGCGATGAATTATCAAGACATTAGGTTTGGATCGAGAGTCCAGGTCGTGCAGCATGGTTGACAGTTGCTCGGCGCTTGCCTTGCACAAGGATTGTCCAGTCTTCCCATTCTTTGGCGATTTCGGTCAAGACACTGCCCATGACGCTGGCAGATGCCATGAGGCCGTGCCCTTCTCCTTCAAGAATCCGGACCTCACAGCGGCGCATTGTTTTTCCCAGCCACTGGACATTGTCGACTGGTACACGGGGATCTTTGCTGCCATGGTGAATGACCACGGATCTGGTGATATCCACGTAGCGGAACCCAATGTCCTGGCGACGCTCCAGGCAGATCAACAAATCAACGGCCGGGTTGGCATTGGTGGTGGCCAGCTCCCAAATTTTGTATGTGAGACGGGTGTCGTAATCTTGCTGCCGCTCGCGCTCATCTTCTGGAGACTTGGCGCGAGACCCGAGAGTGGTGTCACTCTTACCGTAAGAAGCAGTTGCTGCTGCGGCTGGTTTGATGTTCTGAGGTATATCCAATCGTTGTTGAGACTGTGAGTTTGTCTCAGCTGAAGGGATTTGTGGGACTGCAGGTATAGTGTTTGCATTGAATGTCTCTTTGCCAGCCTTGCGCTTGGACCGCTTTGGTGATTTGGGCACACTTCTCGTGATGCTGGCACTTGTGGCACTCATGAAGCTTGAGTTGGCCACTTTGAGAAGGGAAGTTGGAAGAGCACGAAGAATTTTTTGGGCGTAGGGAACAGCATTGGTTGGAGCAGGATCTTTCTGAGAACCGATGGTAGATAGCTGGGATGGAGGAATCCACGGAGCTAAGAGATGGATGCGGCCACGAATGTGCTGCGGGATTCGAAGGGCCGTTGCAAGAGCATAGATTGCACCGGCTGAGTGTGCAAGAATAGAGAACTTGGTGACTCGGAGGTAATTGCAAACAATAGCAACATCGTCTGGCCAACTGAGAGGGGTGCTCGGTTCGTCGACCTGGTGTGGCCCACTCTCACCGACGCCAGGGCGATCCAGAGTCACCAGTCGAAGATTAAGTGTTCGGGCCAGCTCGTCATAAAATGCCATGAGGTACCGAGTAAGTCCCATTCCGACACAGCAAAGCACAACATGGCCCTTGGGGTCACCGACTTCGGAAAATGCAATGCTGCGGCCAGTGGTTGGATGCACAACTCTCTGGGTAAGCTTTGGGGAGAAGACGTAGTCATCCACAGCAAGATCAATCGAGTCCATGCTGGATGGACGTTCTGTGCTGTATGAGGGACGCCCATTCGACAGATGACCGGATGGGGTGCGACGATGCGATGGTGCTATTGGCTCAAGTGATTGTTTGTACCCAGCTTTCTGCGAGTCGGTCCTTTCCATGGATGATTTAGAGACAGAGTGTGGTAAGTTGGCCGCTTTTGACCCCAGAGGCGCGCCTGGTCTACTCGAGCTGCGGCTTTTGCCTGTCATGACAGATGGTGACGGAGCACTTTCGTTGAAGAGCAAATTATCACCGTCTTTGAGCGGGAGCTGATTGACATCGTGGCCAAGCACTCGTGATGCTTTCGAGCCCTTTGGCTTCGGTTTCTTTGGAGATGATTTGGGTGACTGATCAGGGCCATTGTCCACTTCCAACTCCGTTTTGATCTTTTGTTGTTGGTCTTTCAATTGCTGGATCCGTCGAGTCACCTGCTCTGCGTCGTTGCTTGTTCCTGGCAAGCCGTTATCGGTGCTAGAATCCTTGCTAGCAGTAGAGGAATATCGACTGTGACGGGCTGACCGGCGTGTTTTTGAGCCGGAAGACTGACTATGACGATGGCGTATAGAGGAATCGCGGGTAGGAATGATTCTACCACTCCCAATGCCGCCAGGGTTTCCAGCATCTGGAGTACTCTGGAAAGACTGGTAATCTTTGGTCGGTGGAGTATTGGCCAATTTTTCTTCAAATGGGTCTTCTTGGAGATCCGCCGGACGGCTCTCTTCTGTGACCTCCGCCATTGAATGCAATGAGCGCAGGCTCGCTCGGCTACGCGGGATGTTATATCGTAGAATCTCGTTGTGGCTGGTCGTCCTCCGCAAGCGCTCGACTTGCGGGTCTTTGTCGCTTGAGAATTCTCGGGAAGATGATTTCTTCAATAAACCAAATCCTCCCTTCAAGCTTCTTGTTCGACCTGCAGAGCTATTTGAGGCAATGCTGGGAGCAGTTGACAGGCGGGGACCAGGCTCTGTACTGATTGTTCCAAATGACGAGACCTCCGGAGCAACTACAGATGTATACGACTCTCTCGACGTCGGACGCATGGAATTCGAGTCGGCAGATTTGAAGGATTTGAATCTTGGAGATCGCGGGGACTTGGGAACCTTTGGTGATGGAGGCGCTCTGGCCATACGAATGACAGGGGACGAGGCAGCATCATCGGGGTGCAAGAATGGGCTTTGAGGGCGCTCAGGTGGCTCGGCTGTTGGCTTATAGGCACCGTAGCTCATTCCAAACCCATGTTGTTCCGAAGGGGGTATAGAGTAAACAGGCGCTGTGTGAGGTACCTCGGGCAACCCGGGATCGGAGTCGGTGTCGATCTTCGGTACGGTATCGAAATGAGAGTTCAGAGGCACGGATATAGTAGAAAGGGACGAAATGAGAGAGGAAATGATTTCGGGGGAAGTTGGATCGGCGTTCCCATTGCGCGAAGGTAGCGATTTGCGACGGCGACGGCGGCTTAGCAGGGCCGACTCTGCTTGCACGGGGGCCGGGGCGTTTTCGTTCAGACGCATGGCGTTCAATAGTCAAGGGGTGTTAACCGTCCAGTCCAAACCTCAAGGATCAAGCGTGAAGGGCGCGCGCATGATCTACTGCAGAAGTAGATGTTTGATAAGGGTTTCTGACCCTTGCGACCCCCCTTACAGAGTGATTTGAGTTGGAAACCTAAGAGTTGACAGAAAAGGAGGGATATAGGTAAAGATGCGGGAGAAAGAAGAGAAAAGGAAAAAAGAGCGACGCAGCCCGTGATCGAGGGGCTGAAGGAGAAAAAGAGGCCATGAGTTTTCCTATAGGGAGATCTTTAGCGTATGCGCAATCCCCACCGTGGGATCTTAATTTCCCGGAGAGTTCGCGTTTCCATGTCAATTGACCCATGGATCGTGGGTATGTCCACTTTATGCCGCCAATTGTTCGGAGTAGATAGGCGTGAAATTAGCCATCATAGCGTACAAGTTATTGGTTGGCCAGTCTAGTTACATGTAGTATTACCATGTAACGTCAAGTCAATCTTACTATATAGCTGTATGCGTTATGTTGATCTACTGAGACATGTCAGAGTCCAAGTATTTGGGAGTTCCCACGTGGAGCCTGCTTAAAATTCTTGAGATTTTGGCGTGTTCATTCTGGAAGACCCCCTTTTATACCCTATCTCTATACGGGTCGCGTGCCGAGAGATCGACATTTCTTCATATTGGAGCATACTATTTTCTGGGAAAAATTAATTAGATCAGGCTTGCCAAAGTGTGGCACACACCAGGTCCGGGTTTTGCAGAATATTCCTGCAATGTCGATTGTTGAGGTCAAAATATAAACATATAATGAGGACACAGGGATATATAAGTAGCAACGTAGGTACAGGTATGGAATTCTGCAAGTCATATACAGTTTCAAAAATGTCATATACAGTATTCAGATAAAGTAGTGGCAGTATTCATACTGTCAAATGCCAATAGTATCATAGAAAGTTGTCAGGCTGGGTCTATACAACTTGGACGGCTGCATGAACAGTGCAGGTGATCTCCGATCGGAGTAAACACTGACCGCCCACCACGGCAGTATCTCCCCATTGTCATCTTGCTACCCAAAACATCGCGATTTACTCAACATACCCGGGCTTTTGCTTTCATTGCGGCCTTGATCTTCAAATCTCCTCTCTGGAGTCTGATATCGACGCTAGACATGCGGTGACCGCCCCGCGAACCAGCCATTGCCCGCAATGGACGCCTACCCCGAAGACTACGTCAACCACAACTTGCCTTTTGTCCTGCTTTCAGGACTAGAGGCTGGTTCTGAAGATGCAATAGAAGCATCCTCGAGATATCCTCTGTTGTCGGAGAAAGCAACACACATATTCTCGGACTTCCCACCGTTAAGCGGGGCTGTTGCGGAGGAGCTGCGGAGCTTACTCCTAGAGGAAGATTGCTCCCAGATGCCATGGACATCAAGGGTCAACTTGAGCGGGAATACCACTACTCCGAACATTGGCTATAGAGTCAAAAGCTCTGGACGGGTAGGTTTTGAGCACAACCTCCCTGATCATACAATTCCACTGCGGACTTTTCCTGACACCTTTGCAGTCATGCAGACTACCTCCACGAAAAGCAGACCCTCCTATTCCCTCACCACCAGCTAGTCCAAACACAGAAAAGAACGATGATTCGGATTCTGGCCCACATTATGTCCTTCACTCCCCGATATCACCTCTGTCACCGGGTTCTCCCACATTTCCAGATGGCTTGCTTACTCCACTATGGGTAACAAAACATCAGGATTTAGTTCCTGCTGCAGTGATAAACTTCTTTCCATTCTCATTGGACCCGAATATGAACTCTTTGCGCGATAATCAGCTCAAGATCGAGATCAACAGCTTGAAGAAAGAATGGCAATCCTCTGGACACAAGACGCGATTTGTGGTGATCCTTATATCTGAAGACGGAGAAGAGGGCAGTTACGAGGGAGAGATCGATGATCGTATTGCAGGGATTCGGCGGGCAACAAATCTTGACCCTAGGTCGGTTCTTGTGATTCCGCCAGATGCAACTGCCTCGGAACTACAAGATTTTGTGAAATCACTTTTCTCTCTTCTGCAGCCATCGGTCGTTGAATATTACCGTGACCTATCCAAACATGCTAGGCGCAAGCGGAACAGAGGCACTATCCCCCCTCCAACAGCACCGCCGACGAGTGGCACTTCCCAGACCTTGTCATCTCAGGGCTGGAATGTGCGTTACGAGTTCAAACTTGGAATCTTTGCCGAATTTCGTCAAGAAATGGATGCAGCTTGTCGAAATTACGAGAGCGCGTATGACACTCTATTTGGGGAAGAGGTGTTTGAAATTATTGCAGGATGGAATCCTCGATTCAATGATGCACGCCTCCTGGCCGATGCTCTTGCAATCCGAATTATTCGTTGCCTGCTCTGGACGAGTCAGACAACTGCTGCTGTTCGATTCTGGGTAGACCACAGGGTTCGTGTGAAGGATATCGTCAACCGCAGAGGCAAGGGCAGTAACAACTACGGATGGGAAGCCTGGGAGGCTCGCTGGTCGATGGCCATGGCACAACTCATCCGCCGTGCAGAGATTCCGTCAATCTCCAGCGAGATTTCCCCTGAACATCCTGGGGAACTGTATACACTACCTGAGAAATCAATTCCCACCGGAGAACGAGTTACCCCCTGGGAAAACATGCACCATGAGGGCTATTGGCTCCATCGCTCAGCAAAACATAGCATGGCTCGGCGGTCCCTTGCCCAAGAAATTCCTTCTGAGGATCGGATAGCTCCTGGACAGTCACCCGCCTCCCAACTCGCCAACAAATCCTATCTATACGATACATATCTTGTCCCAGAGACTCATCTTGAAGCGCCACAGGAAGGACGAACTGGCTTCGATCATTCCGCTCTAATCCTGAGCACGTTGAAAGCCGCACTTGAAGAGTTCTCAAAACGTCACCAAATGCGCAAGGTTGAGAGCCTAAGCCTTGAGGCTGCTGAGGAGTACATGCGGATTGGATCCTGGTCTGAAGCACACGCGATCCTTCAACCACTGTGGTCAACTCTCACGTGGCGCCGCTCTGGATGGTGGCATTTAATGGTCAATTTTGGATGGGCACTCAGAGAATGCGCCCTGAGAGTGCAGGATAGTGAAACAGTGTTGCGAGTGGACTGGGAACTACTCAACAAGAGTGAGTCGTTTGCAATTATCATGGAAGATTCAGTGCTAACACCGAGCTAGATTTCAAACCGAGACCTGCTTGGCATTATGACATTCACAGAAGCCTTGAAAGTCTACCTTCAGAGAAACCCAAACCATCCCTTGTACTTCGTGCAGAGGATGTCATAACAAGCTGTACGTTGTTAAGCTTGAAATGCAAGAGCTATATGCTGACCACTTTGTTTAGTGACTGCTTCGTTGGTTTTCGAGAACTCCGATGGCAATGTTGGCGAGCCTCTACAAGCTCAACTTGCAATTAGGTCTTGTGCCCACGAGTCATCTGCCCCGATCCGTCTATCAGAGGTCAAACTGGTTTTCGAAGGATGCCTTCGCCCAGTAAAAATCCAATCAGACCAGAACGACAATGCTGACACGACAACCCCGTCATGTATCTCCTCTCTTTCGCTGCGCGAGCCGAGTAGCCTGCCAGACACTATCCGATCCCCGACTGGTGCGTTGCCCACGTTGGTCGGTATAGCAGATCTGACTATTGGGCCCTCCCAAACCAAGATCTTCAATCTCACCTGCATTCCCCGTGAAGCCGGTGAAGCAAGAGTAGCCTCCATGACCATGTTAATCGAAGAGGAGCAATTCGATCTTGCCTACACGATCACAGACCACCAAGACCATCACGAGTCGTGGTGGTGGCAGCAAACCCGGAAGGGTGTGACACGGCGAAGAGTGGGCAAGGATCGGGATACAGGCAGGTGCAAGGTCATGCCTAAGCCTCCAAAGATCCGTCTCACAACTCCTAATCTGAGACAAACCTACTACACCAATGAACGGGTGGCTCTTCAGATTGGAATACATAATGAAGAGGAAGAAGCGGCCGATGTATCGGCTGATATCAGACTCTTGGGTAGCCCCGAATCTACTACACAGATCCACTGGCTCGATGGCACCAGCAACACCGGACCTCTCGAGTCGGGCGGAAGCACCCCTATCGAAGGACCTTCTCATTTCCTGAAGCGGTCAGTGGGAGTTGTAGAGCGCTCTTCTGATAAGACCCTTACGATTATGCTGACCGACACTCATGACGCTACGAATTTCACATTGGAGATCTCGGCTGTTTATCACTTGGTGTCCGATATCCAAACGCCAATCATGAAGAACATTACCGTGGACCTATCATTCATCCGGCCATTTGAAGCAAACTATGACTACATGCCTCGAGTTCACCCTCAATCATGGCCCAACTTCTTCGCTGTTGGGGATGACCTTCTTGAGAGTACCGCTGTTTCGACCCCTGGAGGATTGTTGCAGAAGTGGTGCCTCAATTCAAAGGTCGTTTCCTTTGCATTGGAACCCCTCGTCATTGAGAAGATGTCTCTTCTTCTTCTAGAGGTCAATGGAGGAGCTGTTTGCAAGGTTGACGCGGAAGAGCTTGTCAGCCCAGAAGCGCCTCATCTTGGACCCGAGGAACTCCGAGAATCAAACTTTTGCCTCTATGTCCAGAAGCTCATCCTCGGAGATCGTAGACCCACCGCGGTCAACTGCGCGTTGGAAATTAGTTGGCGCCGGCAATCATCCGAGTCTGCAGCTTCACCCGAGGTGGAGAATGCAGTCACAACCTCTGTTCTTGACATCCCCCGATTTGTCGTCCCGATGGGAGAGCCTCGAATACTTGCATCGGCGTCTCCATCAAGCAGTTTGTCCGGACTGGTTCATATGGAATACACTCTTGAGAACCCATCGACCCATTTCCTCACCTTCAATTTGGTGATGGAAGCCAGCGAGCACTTTGCCTTTAGTGGACCGAAGTCCATGGTTGTCCAGCTCATGCCATTGAGTCGTCACACAGTGCAATTTAATCTTTTTGCCGCTAGACGTGGCCTATGGATTCAACCACAATTGGTGGTGATTGATACCTACTTCAACAAAACACTTCGGGTCCTTCCAACAGGGGACATGCGGTCTGACAAGAAAGGTGTTTTGGTATGGGTTGATGCAGATGACTGAACGATATTGTCATGGTCCTTATATGTTGTAGATGAATGGAATTTATAACGAGAAATTGTATACAAAACATCGGAAATAAGCACATTGTATGGGGTCACGTGCAGCCCTTATCACATAACCCGGGTTTCCGAATACGGCCTAGCGGCGATCGGTCTTCCGCAGCTCTCGCCGTTAGTGAGCTTCATCACAGTCAACCAAAGCCATTACAGCCCGCTTTCTTTATTTCTCTCAGTGTGCCACTCTTTACTTGAGGCCTGGATACTGGAACGTCCAACCTCACTGTTTTCCCCTCTTCAGAATCAGTTCTCAGGCCCTCATTTCACCCGAGAACCCCCTCCACCGCGCCAACGGACGTGTCTGACCCGACAGCCTCGTTGCATACCATACACTATGGCGGCGCAAGCGGCATTGATCGCCGATACAATCACCGGCATGAAAAGGGCCTTGCGCAGAGAGCGTGAGGGTGAGTACCTCCTCGACTTTGCCTCCAAATCAGACAGAATGTTTTCTCTGACGTCTTCTCTTTCTTTCCTTCGCTAGACTCAGGCCCGGACGATCCTATCATGCAACCGACAAACCGTGGGAACAAAATGCATGCTAATGCGAAGTATGTCCGTGAGGGCGCTATGGGGTACATTAATGCCGAGGATTTCTACAAGCAGGTGCGTGGTTTTGCGAATTACCGGGACTGAACTCGGGGTTCTGTCCGCTGTGGCGATAAGATGGATCTTGTAGAAACTGACTTGTGCTTCCGTTGACAGAAGGTTGATCATGCTGGCTACACGCGCTACATCCTTCAGTCGAACCCAATTCGTTATGATTCGGAGGGGGACGAGCTTGAAGAGGATGACGAAGATTCCGAGGCCGATGCTGCGGCCGCGGAAGAGAACCCATTCTCTGGGATCGCACTTGAGAGTATGTTTTTTTTTTTGTTTTATTCACATTGAGTTTCATCACTGACTTCTTCATTTTCTCTTTGTAGCTCTCTTGTGTCCCCTGAAGCATCCTTCGGAACTCCCCTCCCATCCTTCCATGTCCCAACCCTACACGTCACAAGCCTTGGAGCAGATGACAAAGGCTGTTGATCTCAAACTTCGCCAGGAACGCGCTTTGCTATGGCGTGCACGCAATCTCCACAGGCAATTCTTGGGTGACGGTAGTTGGATGCCGTGCGGCGCACTCGAGACACCAGATGATCGCTGGATCTTCGAGCCCAGGATTGTCAGCAATGACCCAAGCATATCTGCCAGTCAGCAAGGACTGAGTTTGATCAATTCTCCGTCTGTCAATGGAGATATTGCTGCTCCGCACGAAGCGCCGCAATCGGTTCCTGCCACATTAGAATCGACTGAAAACACCCAGGAACAGAACGATGTGGAGATGTCAGAGATCCTGGCGACCCATGAGGGTGAAACTATCAACAACGATGCGCAGGCTCTGCCCAAAGAGTTCAAATCAGAAGAGACCGATGCTACAGTCAAGGATCTCCCACCCCACCCCACCGAGGCTTTTGCCAGTGAAAGCAACCATGACGCAAACCAAGAGCCTAATGGCAAGCACGAAATGGACACATCCAAAGACAGCGAACCCGCTCCAGAACTCGATCGCAATGAACAAGACGCCGATATGGAGGACGACGAAATGCATGACGGCTCATCTCCAGAACCACCGCGGCGCATGACAACTCGCGCGCGAGCCAACGCTACAAATCCAAGCGACGGCAACCAATCCCCCCTTTCATCAGCCGACACAGCAAGCACTCTGCCAACACCACATCCCCTTTTCCTGATCCCAGAAAACGTTCGCCCAGACGCCAACTTCGGTCTCCCCGCTGCAGAAGCAGAAGAGACCCGTAGATTGCTCTGGTCCTACATTCAAAAACAGGAAGAGACTGTCCGTGGGTTTGAACACATGTTCGACTCACTCATCAAGGCCTGCCGCATGAAAGGTGATGTCTTGGAATGGTGCAAGGCCGAGGGTCATGTTGGTGAGATGAGTGACGGAGAGGATTGGTACGATCGAGAGAAATGGGGCCTTGCCGAGGGCGAGGATTTGAAGAAGGGTACTGATGAGGATGAGGTCGAGACTGTTGATGAGAGTCGTACCCAGGCGAAGAGAGGGAGAGGGAGACGACAGTAAGGACTGTTAACTCCAGTCCTCAGGCTTGGTAATTACTCTTTTCCCTCTGATTTGGTGTCATGCTAGCGTGGCGTTGAAGGTCTCCGTGATGTACCTACATATACCTTTTGCATGACAGTTGGTTCTTTGATTCATGTGGCGTCGGTATATACCCTCATTTTCATAATAACATGCTTTTGATTATTTGTACTTGCTGCCTATGTCTGTTTAACCAACTATTTATACCGTCCTTCCCCCCTCTCCTTTTTCCCTTCTTCATCCTTTTCATCCTCTACAGCCTCTGTAACCATCCTCTTCCTTCCTCAGCTCCTCACCCCCTCTCGACCTATGGCACTATCCTTCTCGGGCATTGCAGATGTTGTGGCCGCTCTCGCCAGGTCAGTCGGATCACTGGAGACCCGGTACATTCCAGACCTACCCTGCCATCTGACCACCGTAAGCATTATACACTATCTCCTGTCTACTCTGTCCCCCAAAGCAGACATCATCTCAGTCTGTTTTCTTGTGAGTCCTTTCCTTTCACTTGGTCGTCTCACCTGTCATTGCCACGATGCAAAGTATTTTATCATCACTTTTGCTTCACTTCTATTCCGCCATACCCCATCTTTCGAATTTGCTTCAAAGTTCGATCTGATCAATGCTAACAGTGATATGTTCAGGCTTGGATATCATCTGAGCCATATCATCTTCTTATCCTATGGCCTCTTCTTATGCTTTCAGCGAAACAATGCCTTTTTCAATTACCACCAACCACCCTGAATCAGACCAAATCAACCATTGCCATGTTTCTCAAGAGGATGGACGCAAAGATCGCCCACTACCTTCCCAAAAGCCATACCAAAAACCATACTGAAAGGAGAGTAACCAAAAAATCATCCATCTACTTTATCTCCTTGAAGCTACCAGGCTGTCAAGCTATGAGGCATTGTCCCCGTGCCTCATGGCACCTCGATGTTTTTGAATTGGAGGTGAAGAGCAAAATGAACAATACGACTTTACTCAATGGGTGCCGACGTCACGGATCCATCTAGCTGAGTTGAATAGTTTATACTGGAGAATATCATAACCAATTTGCCTGCCCGATTTGCACACGTTGAAGCCACTTTCAAAGTCATCCCCTGCCGTCAAACGATACCTCTAATTCTCAGAGCGGGCTTTCCCAAGAGTCGTTGAAAAGCTCATCGCACATACAGGCCCTTAGAAGGGCATGAACGAAGAAAGCAAATACTACCTACGCGTGCTTACTTTCATGTGGTGGCGGCAGAACACATCAGCGGAATCTGTCGACAAGTACACCCTTCCAAGAAGGTGGAAGGATGTCCAATTGAGTCCTCCTAGCCACTCACCTAACCTGGTGACTTTCAACCCATTGGGAAGCCCTGGATAATCAATTTACCAAGTGCCAGACACTCTTCACCATGTATCTCTTTACCAACATCTACAAATTCAAAACGGAGGCCCCAAAGATTTCATCGACCTACGCATTTTTCTTGCATTACGCTATGGCCTTTGACTGTCTCGCAAGTCCCCGTCGACCGGCGTGACTCAAATTACTTCTATTTTGAGCCCCGGTGATCGTTCCGTTGTGGTGCCTAAAGTCTGGGGGCTTATATGCTCGGCACTGTTGAAGCCTGTGGATCAATGGTCACTGACAATATCTGAAACTCAAGTTCTAGATTGTCCGACTCCGGAGAAGGCCACGAGGACGCAAGACGGATCTTTGGAGTCAACCAGAGCCAGAAAATGGATCCAACTCAAGGACCAACCTGCTTCTCGCGGGAAGGACCAATGGGTTAACCTCGTGAGCCGTGTCTGTCTGAGGAGATAAACGGGAATCATCTGGCGCTGCATGCAGTTGCCCATAAGCTTTTTTACAGCGCTATGAAGCATCAGACAATACTTACACGAGATCTTTGAAGTGAGTGGGCCACTTCATGCATTTTTTGTGCCCTAATTTGGCATCTCTTTGGTCTTCTCGTTTTCGCCCATCTCCGAGTCCCTCGAGCGAATCGATTAGATCGTATAAGGGCAAAAGGGCGAAAGGAATTTGACAATTCTTGTACTACTAAGCCATTACTGCTTGAAATCGAGGTTTAAGGCCTTGAATGCATTCAGCGTCTAGGTGCACATCACTAACATATAAGGCATAGGATGCAACAGTGGACTCTGTGCTACCAAATCTCTAAAGCAGACCTGTAAGATAGAGCGCAAAGATAGATAAGGCAACAGAGGTACAGGAAAACAAGAAGTAAAAAGTCGCAACAAAAACGACAACTGAGACTCTTATTCTCCGTGACATCTCCATCTCTTCCGTAAAGATAAGCAAAAACTCCTACAAGCCAAAAGGGACACATGGCAACTAGCTCTATTGAGCCAAAACGTTTACTCGTTCAGTCGTACTGGAATTTGTCGCGATGGGTGGATTGAATTATATCTTTTGTAGTGTCGCGTAGGGAAATAACAGTGGGCCCGGTCCTGATTCAATGGGTATCAAGGACAAGGAGAATGGGTCTATCGTCTACAGGCCCAGCATTGTTGAAGGATGGGATGAGTCCGTGTGATGGACAATTGTTATGGGCAACCCCGGTTTTTGGTGCAAGTTGCATGGAGCAGCCTGGCTTCTCGGTCTCTGCATTGAGAGTCATGTGCGGATTTGGGTGTTGAATGTCCCAACCCTAGTACATGCGTGTCACTTATTGCCGCTTGCCGCCCTGCTTCTTGGCACGCTCGCGCTCACGCTTGGCATATATCTCGGCAGTGAAGGGGCTGGAGATAATTAGTTTAGTTTCAGTAATGCTTGGGAAATATCAAACTTACTCCTCCCAACCAAGAGCGAACCAATAGACAACAAAGACCTGAGCAGTCAAGAGAATGCCAGCAACTTTTCCATGATAGAGGGCAACACCGAGGAAGTTGAGGGTGCTACCCCAGTACATGGGGGAGCCGGTCACGTTGAAGGGGAAACCAGTGACAGGAGCGTCCATGAGGATACCGAAGTAGTCGCCAAGGTAGGTGCCAGTCACACCAAGAGCCCACATACTAGAGAGAACCAGGACGGAGCCAATGGCGAACAGAATACCGCCAATGACCGGCTGGTACACAGGAGCGTAGAAGGGCTGATCCTGCAAGGCGAGCTGGTAGAGATGGTCACGGTAAATTCCGAGTGAGAAAATAGTGACAGCAAGGACATAGCAGCCATTATAAGCGCCTCCGAAGATACGAGTCAAGAAGTGATTGCGGTGCTCTGTTGTGGTTAGCCAAAGTCGAGACAGCTCTCGGGTGGAGTCGGCCAACCTGTGCGGGCAACAACGCTGAAAAGATCTTTCTTAGCTAGTGTCCTCGATGAGGATTGCGGATTTCATTACAGATATCCATACGGGGTTGATACTCACTTCCAGAAAATCGGGTTGAAGAAGATGGATGCGACGGACCCTGCTGGGGTCAATCACATGCAAATAGTTGAGGATTGGGAAGAGACTCACATAGCAAAGGCTTGGAGGACAAATTGATGAAGTCAGTGAGAGAAGCCATGATGCCGAAATCGTTACAGAGAAATACAGAGAAGAGGTGAAGAGAAGAAGAGAAGAGAGGGGGGGGGAAGTAGCTTGGACCTGCAGCTGACAGTTGGGGAAACGCTTAAGTAAACAAATGACGTTTCTCCGCGTTGGGTCACGGGATCCTGTCTTTCTCGACTTTCGGCTTTCTTTTCGATAGCGCGCTACTCTTTGCGTCTGATATTTTCGAACCTTTTCGCGTTATTTGATAACGCCTTGCTTGGGATCTCGATACCCAAGTTCCTCGCCGATTACAAACCCGTGTTGACGTTGAGAATATGCCGAGTGGTTCGCTCCCGAGCTGGGAGTGATCCTTATGCGCCGTGAAGCTCTGGATACAGTGTGGGGAGATGGCCCTTAGCCGTCGCGACCTTGTTCTGGCGGGCGTCGGTGTTTTCATTGCCTGGGGCTTTGTGGTTCACTGGCTGCCGATTCTCCGATATCTAGGATATGCCGTGACCTTGGGCGCCGTGTTGACGTCTGTGGGTCTATTGGGTCTTGTCCTTTTGACGATCCGACAACACAATGGAAAGTCCAATACCACCAAGAAGGTCTCGGTGGCTTTCATACAGCCCAATAATTGGCGAAAGGAAGTGCTCAATGTCCGCAGAAGCACTCGATACCGACCCCGACCACTATACCCTCAATCGTTCGTCGTGTCGGAAGGTATCGATGAACTCTTATCCTTCATTACTCGAGACTTTGTCTCATCGTGGTACCACAATATCAGTCCGAACCCCACATTTGCCAATGAGATCGATCGAACTATCCGTGTTGCTCTTGAAAACTTCCGGGATAGGTTGGTTGCAGAGGATCTGGTCTCTCTGGTAGTATCGCGAGTTTTTCCTATCTTGACAACACATCTTAAGGAATTTGACGTTGCTGAGCGTTCAGTTCGGGGGCGCAACTTGAACCGAAATGTGACAGAGTCTGAGGAACTAGATCTTGCCGTTGCAAACAAGTACCGCGAAGGTCGTTTACACCCAGCAGTTGCACTTTCATTATCAGACCAAAAGTCTGTTCAGCAAGAGTACCTACGAAAGATAGCTGTGGGTCTTTTGCCTCAGTTGTTCCCTGAAAGCGTGTTGAAATGCCGAATTGTATCCGTTTTGGTTCGCGAAATAATATCCTGTGCCGTTCTTCTCCCTATAGTCACAGCCCTATCAGATCCAGACACTTGGAACCAGTTGGTGGAAGCTTATGGCCGCACAGCTCTGCAGGATCGGAAGACTGTTCGCAAGCTACGTGCCGCTCTGGATCAACATGCATCGCCTGCACCGAAGTCTAAACGGGGACAGCCATTCCCCCGACTATCTGCAAATGACTCAGAACGAGCCTTTGAAAGATTCGTAAGAGCAATCAGGAAATGTAACAATCTCTCTGATGCACGCCGCTTCCGTGCCCTTGTTACCAGTCAATTGAAGCGAGAAAGCACAGTTGATGGACAAGATCAAGTCTTTTTGAGACGTCTGGAAACCGGCAAAAGAATGCTTGACCAGAAAGTGGCAAATCTTGCTCAACCTGGTGGGAGATCCCACGTCCCTCCGGCTCTTGATCTTCGACCCGAGAAGCCACTTTCCACCCATGAACAACCACTGGTGGATGTGATGCATAATGCATCAGGCCTTTCCTATTTCATGGAGTTCATGGATAGACAAAAATTGATGTCCCTTGTCCAGTTCTGGATCGTTGTCGATGGGTTCCGTAACCCTTTGGAAGATGACTTTGGAGACGTAGCTTCACCTACCACAGTGACCTGGAAAGCAGCAGACAGGAATGATCTGGCGCTCATCAGTGAAACCTATCTCTCAAAACCAGAGCTCAAGGTCTCTGACGAATCTCGCCGAGCAGTCAAAGCATTCTTAGGCGCAGGGAAGCGTGCGACCTCGGAACAATACCGCAAAGCACGAATGGTGGTGTTGACCACCCAGTCTGCTGTCTTGGAGCACCTTCAAGAGGTTCATTATCCGAAGTTCAAAGAGTCTGATCTATACTGGAAGTATCTTGCATCCGATGAAGCCGCCAATGCTCAGGCACCGGTTCACCAGTCTTCTCCGATATCAGTTACTTTTGAAAAACCAGAGAGGCGACCTCTTCCTCCTTTGTTAACACGAACCTCCTCTCAACCGGGAATGAGGCCTTCCAAGGATCTTCGCCGAGCTGCTGTCTCGTCTAGTGATGTAAGAGGCATGGGGAAATTGTTCGATGATGAGGATTCACCCCGAAGATCGATAGATTCAGAACGGTCTGCTCCTCTTTTTGATGATGAATATGACACGGATAATCTTGCTACATCCACCTACAGCCTGGGTAAGGATTCTCAGAATGGCGAGAATGATGCCAGCCAAAGCCAGGTCCTTGAAACAATGGAGGCGGCGCTGAATGATATCATCACCAATGAACCGAAAAACGGAAAGATAGAAGATCTCAAAGGAGATTCTTCTGGATTGTTCGGACCAGAGCGTCCTGCCGTTTCCCCTCACAATTCTTCCGAATTTCCTCAAATGGAAAGTCGCGGCAACGAAAAGATGAGAAAAAGTATCGCGTCGCTTGGCCTAGTTGACCATGCATCCCGCATGGGTGTATTTGATGATGATTTGTTCCCGGATCAGCAGAAATTCATCGAGGATGAATACGAAGAGCCAGAAGGCGCCGACGAAAAGGATCCAGCCGATGAAGTTCACGAAGCTGCACCGGGTGACCTAGGTCTGACGGAAGCTATCGAGGCGCTCTCTGTGGACATTGACAAGCTTGCGTCCCAAGATTCTGTGGTTGAAGCATTGACTCGCAAGGCTGAATTGACAAACAACACAGCCGAATTGAGGATTCTACGGAAGTCCAAGGCTAGCCTCCAGCGTGAAATGCATCGAAAGGAAATGCAAAGGCAGCAGTACATTCTTCAGGAAAGCGATAACAGCTTGTTTGGGCGATCTACTGTCAGCCTCAAGTCTACTGTTGTGGGCAAAGAGGAAGACGATGGTCGTGAATTTGCAATGTGTAAGATGACTCTAGTACGAACCTCCTATTCCAAGCTAACCAGTTACCAGACGTCGTGGAAGTCCAAAGAAATGCCGGTGAACAAATGCCTGCAGCATCCTGGGTTGTAGCACGGCGATACAGCGAGTTCCACGATCTCCACCAAAAGCTTCGCCAACGTTATCCTTCAGTGCGACACTTGGAATTCCCTCGCCGGCGCGTCGTCATGAAACTCCAAAAAGAGTTCCTCCACAAACGGCGACTCGCCCTGGAATCATATCTACGAAACCTCCTCCTCCTACCCGAAGTCTGCCGCAGCCGTGATCTAAGAGCATTCCTATCTCAACGCGCAATTCTCCCACACAAAGAGAACGCCACCCGCGACAACGAAGGCGAAACAAAAGACCTAGTCACACGCATCTACAATTCCGTCGCAGACGGAATGGACGACTTCCTCGGCAACTTCGGCGTCCTAGATCAACTCTCAACGGCAGGCCAGAACCTCATCTCAGCCGCAACCCAGCAAACAAATAGCACCGTAACCCCAGAGTCGAGTCTCGCAACCGAAGATGCAGTTACAGCAGCCGAAGCAGAGGCAGAACTGAATGCCTTTGAAGATCGCGAACTCGAGCCCTTCATCAAACCAATCTGTGACCTCTTCCTCGAAGCCTTCGAGTTAAACCGAGGCAACAACTGGCTGCGCGGTCGTGCCGTCGTCGTCGTGCTGCACCAACTCCTTGGCGGGACTATAGAGCGCAAGGTCCGCGAAGGCGCTCGCGGGTTAACACAGGATGACTCGCTTTTGCGGTATCTCGCGCTCGTTCGTGATACAATGTGGCCTGGTGGTGTTCTTCGCAAAGCCCCACCACGCTCAGCTAGCGATCGACTCAAGAGTCGTGCTGAGGCGACGGTCGTCTTGGCTACTCTTATTCCAGACTTGGCTGGCAATGTGGTTGGTAGAGCGAATGCTCAGGCTGCTGCACGACGGACCTTCGCTACGCTCAATAATCAACCTCTGAATACTCATCTGGTGTTTACGATGCTCGATGAGATTGTGCAGGTCCTATGCAGTGCTAATCCTAGCCGTCCTCGCTGAGTGATTAAATCATCCCAGTGGACTGGATAGGTTAATGATTTCCTTAAGTTATTTTTTTTCTACTTCTGTCTCATTCATGGTACAACGGCGTTATGACATTTTCATTTTCATTTTCATTCTCCTTTCAAGCCTCCCAGCGAAATGACTCCCATGACCAAACTCTCTTCCTGTCCGTTACATCATGAACCATGAGCGTACATGTATATACCTCATTCAATCAACACAAGTATCCGCCTTATGTAGCATATACAAAATAATATCGCCGCCATTCTCTAGCCTATGATTATACGAAAATATACTCACCAACCCCATCAACAAAAGACCCCTGAACATCAATAACCTCCAACCCACCCCTAAAAGCGCAAACATAACCCTCAACCATCCCAACAGCCCGATCAAATACCTCTTGATCGGTAAATCCAGGACTCCGATCTACAGGAACAGAGTAACACCATGATAAATAGGAACTCTTGGGATAGGAGGATATACTTCCCCGTCCAGCTCGGATGTATTCTGCTATGCGGGCTAGGAGGGCTGCTTGGGGGAGGGCGCTGTCCCAGCGGCTGAAGTGGACTGTTACCCAGTTCTGGGGGGATGTGTCGTATGGATCTGGAACTGTGTTGGATTCGTCTGTTATTCTTTCTTGGGATGTGTAGTTGTTTGGGTATGGACTTCTTTTGTTACATAGGGTGCACATCTTGCATGTTCTGGGTTTGATTTGGTATGTTTCCATGTTGGTTGCGAGATTATTTGTTTTTGGTGGCTTTGGAGGAGCTGTGTGCTTGGGATACCTTATGTACAATATTTTATTTCGAGACATTCTGTTTCGAGTTTTGAAACAGTGGCCTTTGCCTGTATATTGGCTTTGTTTGGTTGGATGGGGATTGTTATTGGGGGTGGAAGGTGTAATCGGGCAGTGTGCTCTTTGTTTGCTTTATTATAACGTCTCATGTTGAAACCTCGAGGAATAAACCGGTGTAGAAACAGCTCTTTCCTCTGATGGTATGATCCCGGACTTAGGGTTAAGCTGGGGTCAGCTGAGGATGTAAGTTACAATGTTAGCCGTAATGTAGTCACGGGACTCGACAAGTCTAGCACGCTACTTGAATGCTACGTGGTAACTACCAATAAGTGAGCCCTCAGGAATTAATAGATTGATCTCCACTGGGGATAAATGAGTGAACGATACAAGACCGGTCAGCCCAGGGTAGACACATAAGAGCCAGCCGAGATGACCGACAAAGAATGAGATAAAAGCAAAAATACAAGACTGATTCCCCTCGCGCCGTCTTAATTCTTGTTTCTACAAGGAAACGCAGTGAACGCAGAGCAGCTGAACGGGACTGGAACTGTGGGATCAATCAACAGAACGAGAATCAAGTCAGGGGAGTCAATAGTCCCCGGGGTCCATTATCATGATCAGTAAGGAATGAAGGGAAAGTGAACGTGGAAGCAGTAGGTGGTGTCCATACTTGTATGGGAGACCGGGTCGATGGGCAATTTATGCCTCTTCCTTGTTCTTCTTCTTGGACTTCTTGCTTGGCTGTTGTGCCTGTCCTTCCCTCTTCTGGTGCACAATCAGACGTGTCCAGCACTCATCCTTGTCCCACTCGAAACCAGCGAGGTAGGGCTTGTCCAGTTCGTCGTCCGCCTAGCGGGTTCGCGTCAGCCATCTTGAACATGTCCTCTGTTTGGTTGAGGAGGATCACTTGCCTTCTTTTTGAATTGTTTGTGGATGGCATCCATTGCATCCTTGATTGTTACACCCTTGGAGTTCCGAGCAGTGACCTCCAAGCCTAGGGGGAAGTGTAGGTCAATCTTCTTGACCGGGGGGTGGATGAGCTGTAGTTTGAGGATATCCTTGTCCTCGATGGTGTTTGGGGAGGTATTTAGTTTCCTTCAACGAATCTGTCAGTGATGAAAAATGATGATATGAGGTAGTTACTTACCATCCCGTCTTTTGTGTTTCGATGGGAAGGGTGATTTCGATGCCTTGTTCTTCTATCAAGCTATCAGTAAGAGTGTAGTCCGGAGATAGAAGAGTGCCCACCAAGGTCCTTGATGTTCCATACGCCTTCTGCCGTTGAGGAAGTCCGCCTGTGGTCCTTCTTGAGGCCCTTCTTGACCTCCTTCTCGGTGGAAGCGGGCTTCTCGTCAGATATGGACAAGCCAGCGATGGCAGAGTCGACTTTGGTTAAAGGAACAGACATGATTGGAGTTGAAGTATCTTGTAGCGATGGCAGAAGATGGGAAGAAGGAGAAGGAGACAGAGAAAGAGGGGAAAGGAGAGAAAGATAGTAGAAGAGCAGGTGACCTGATGACCTGATTGTGAGAGGGGGTCAGGATGTCATGCTACATACACCTTTCGATCTTTCTTCCCTTTTATCATTCCATAAATTACTCTCCAATACTCGACTTCATGACTTCCATTCTATTATATTCAACTTGTTCTCCTACCGTACGGTTCTATACTGTGCTCTCCTACATACTGTCGGCCCCTTCGGATACACGCCGGTGGACTGACATCAACATCAGAGCGGAGCCAATGTTAGCGCTGCACCCCGCATTTTCCCCACTCTTTTGCGTAGATCGACTGCTTATATTTACTCTCTACCTACACTAACCTCTTTGTATATGTAGTTGGTGCTAGTCATGGCTCATACGATCAATTGGTTCTCTCACGAATCACCTGACTATCAGACCACTTTTCCCTCCCCCTTCCATTCCCACTCCACTTCACACCTGCGTCTTAGCTGCTGCCGCCCTATTCCCATTCGTGAATCATACCCACTTCCTACGTACATATAGATACTCGGCTGCATCTCCAGCCGTGTCCACTTCGTATAGCAAGTGGTGGCGCCCCTGTGCTGCAACAACACTCAACCCTTTCATACAATAGAGTATTCACGATCAGCTCTCGCTTCTCAGACCTCGCAAGTGGACCCCGATGGCGTAAGCATTCAATTAGCTTCACCTTACTCCGGCCATCTGACTTTGTTGGCTGGGGAAGCGCCGGATAAAGCAGCGGGTTTTTGTATTGGCTGTCTGCCCTCCCGAGTTACCCGCTTCTTTGATAGGTCGCGTGCTCATCCTGCATCTACTTAATTTGTGGACATTTTGAGTCAATTAGTCGATGATTTCTCGAAACGGAATTCTGGACCTGGTTCCCTCATTTGGGAAATTTCCCAGTATACAAAATATGGACTTGATTCGAGAGACATTGAAGGGGTTGTCACTCTAAAAGTCTTGGCACTCGACGTATAGACATTGAATGCCTTGCATTCAAATCTAATAGAATTGGTCCATTTACGTGTAACTGGAAACAAGAAATGAAATGGTATATCATGTAAATGTACGAAGAACGAGAAGATATTTGGTCACTGGTTCCAGCCTGAGGCCCTAGTTAGGATACTTGCTTCAACAAGAACACTACATAACGTTATACATCAAAATCAAACCAGTTCAGCACTCAAGGCACTGTACTGGAGGCTTTCATGATTTCATGGTTTCAGATATGTTTCGGTTTGAAAAATCTACACTACTAGGACATGACGATTGAGTGTTCAAGTTAAGTTGACCGTTGAATTAACCACACGGAAGTCACTTGTCCCAGTATCAGCTTTAGGCGAGGCAAGTACCGCAGCATTAGCATATCAGCTAGAATGCCTTCTCGTAAACGGATCCTCATGGAGAACTACAGTCCGACAGTGGTGCCTGACGGCCAACAGTAGGCCGTGATGACTCAAACAGGCAATAACCTCAGTACTTCCTCGGCAAAACACCAAACAACCCTACGAGCCAATGGAAAGTAAATGTCAATTCAAAAACGCGAACTAAATCAGAGTTTCGTCTCAACGAGAGTCCCAGGAAGTACAGGCAGAAGGCGGTGAACTTATTTTCTGCCGTCATCGCGCATCGCTTTCTGCGATCGAGCTCCAAATATCACGACTCGCCTACTTCTTTCTTTCCCATTGAGCTCGAGTTTCATTCCTCTCTCTTTTGCATGACTCCAAACTGGGAACTCAGCTTCACCTTGATCTAAAAGAACTCGTTTTCCTTTTGCTGACCCCTCGACTGAGACACATCTCTCGCGCCCTTTCAGATGTCACTTTTCAGTGTCGGCGGCAGCACCACGGCCGCGGCGGGCGCAACAAACACCACGGGTGATATCTCCAAGGATGTCGCTTTGAACCAGCCCCCCGAGGATGGCATCTCGGATCTCCGTTTCTCGCCTGCTAGCGACCACCTTGCCGTGGCTTCGTGGGATAAGAAAGTCCGCATTTATGAAATCAACGACCAAGGTCAGAGTGAAGGGAAGGCGCTTTTCGAGCACGAAGCTCCGGTTCTGAACTGTTGCTGGTCTCCGGTAAGCTTGCATTCATATTCCCCATAAAATCAATCGCGTGCACTCCAACTGACATCTTTTTTCTCAGGATGGAACCAAGGTCGTCGGGGCCGGTGCCGACAAGGCTGCCCGTATGCTCGACCTCGGAGCAGGCCAGACGACAGCTGTTCAAGTTGCCGCACACGACGCGCCCATCCGAAGCTGCCACATGATCCCCAATCCCTCTGTCGGCGGCCAACCACTCTTGATCACCGGTTCGTGGGACAAGACCGTCAAATACTGGGATCTGCGTCAATCTACACCAATCGCCTCGGTCGAGTGCCAGGAGCGCATCTACACCATGGATGTCAAGAACAAGCTGCTGGTTGTCGGTACCGCAGACCGCTATATTAACATTATCAACCTCGACCAGCCTACCAAATTCTACAAGACCATGCAATCCCCCCTGAAGTGGCAGACGCGGGTAGTCAGCTGCTTCGCCGATGCTTCCGGTTTCGCTGTCGGCTCTGTCGAGGGTCGTTGCGCCATCCAGTACGTCGAAGAGAAGGACTCGGCCTCGAACTTCTCTTTCAAGTGCCACCGTGAGACTCCTCCCACCCAGCGTGACATCTGCAACATCTACTCCGTCAACTCTATCACGTTCCACCCCGTCCACGGCACCTTCAGCACCGCAGGTTCCGACGGTACTTTCCACTTCTGGGATAAGGACGCCAAGCACCGTCTCAAGGGTTACCCAGCTGTTGGTGGTCCTATCACTACTACCGGCTTCAACCGCACTGGAAACATCTTCGCTTACTCCGTCAGCTACGACTGGAGCAAGGGTTACTCCGCCAACACCCAGCAGACTACCAACAAGGTCATGCTGCACCCTATCGGACCTGATGAAACTAAGCCGCGACCAAACACGCGGAAGCGTTGAAACTTTGTCGTTCCTTTCTTTTCTGGGTGGGAGGAGGACTGGTCTCTGGACGGTTTTGTTATCCATCACTACAACGAGCATGTAATGAAATTCTTACCATATCGGCGTGTATTGATTAAAGAGTGCAATGGGATTTTTCTAGCCTAGCTACATTATTAGCAATAGCAAGTGTTCACGGCAGTACTTGAAAGTAGTCTAGTATCACGTGTAGTTTAGTAGGGATATGAGGCTTAATCTACTCGTATATCGATTGTGTAAAACACAACACCTTCATTGCATTCATGTATGTAGCGTAGCTACCCTAGAAAAAGGAAATTGCCCAAGATCCGAGTAAATATCCCAAACCCATGAACAATGCATACTCTCATACGCCGCTTCAGCATGAAAGAAACCAAAATGAAACTGAAAATGGAACTGGAAATGAAACCGTCAGACATCAGACATAAGACCACCCCCCTGCACTCCTTTCAACACTTTTCTGTAGTCTAGTGAACTTGTATTCTACTCTACGAGGTAGGGAGAGTGACCTGAGCAACACCATCGGTGACCTTCTCGACGGCCTCGTCGTTCTGGCCATCGGTGGTGACGGAGACCTTCTCCGCTCCACCCTTGGCAGAGGCCTCGACACCACCGGCCTTGCCCTTGTCCTTCTTCTCCTTCTTCTTGGCCTTGGCGGCGGCCTTCTTAGCGGCAATCTTGGCTGCTTCCTCTTCCTTCTTCTTGCGGTCTGCCTGCGATCCACCGAACATCTCACGCCACTCCTCGGCCTTCTTGGGGTCAATGCGAGAGAAGAGGTACTGGGCCTTGCCGATCTTGTGACCGGCTTTGAGGGCGGTGGGCTTCCAGCCGTCCTTGAGTTCCTCGGGGCTGGGGATGTACTGGAAGGGTGCGTCGAGCTGCTCCAGGATCGACTTGGAGGTTGCAGGCATGTAGGGCGAGAACACGCTGGAGAGCAGGTAGATCAGGTTGAGGACTGTGCCGACAACTGCGGCGGCGCGCTCGGGCTCGTTGGCGATGAGGGCGTTGTCCAGGCGGTTGGCCTGGATGAGACCGTTTCCTGCTTCGGCGATCTTCATGGCGGTTTGAACACCGGCGCGCAGGTGAGCGCCTTCCATCTCTTCGATGTATTGGCGGAGGAGAGTGGTGACTTCGTCCTGGAAGGGTGTGAAGCTCTCGGGAACGGTGAACTCGGGGATGACGGAGCCGTAGGAGGCAGCGACAAGCTTGATGACTCGGTTGACGAGGTTACCCAGCTTGGCGAGGAGCTCGCTGTTGTTGCTCTCCACGAAGGGACGCCACTCGAACTGGGTGTCACCAGTCTCGGGACGGTTCTTCAGCAAGAAGTATCGCCACACGTCGGCAGAGACACCAGTCTCCTTGGCGTTTGTACCGAAGACACCAACACCGCGGGACTTGCTGAACTTGCCGCCCTCATAGTTGAGGTACTCTGTTGTGCTCAAGTGGTGCAGCATGGTCCACTTGTCCTTGGTACCGATCTGGGTACCGGGGAAGATGACACTGTGGAAGGGCACATTGTCCTTGCCCAGGAACTGCCACAGCTGGACATCCTCCGGGTTGCGCCACCAAAGCTCCCAGTCGGGGGTATAGTTGGCGGTGATAGAGGGGTATCCAATACAAGCCTCGAACCATACGTAGAGCACCTTGTTCTCGTAGCCCTCCAGAGGGACGGGAACACCCCACTTCAGATCACGGGTAATACCTCGATCCTTAAGACCCTCCTTCAACCAAGACTCGGTGATGATGCGAGAGTTCTTAGGCCAGTTACCATTCTCAATGGCGGGGTGAACCCACTTCTCGATCTCCGGTTGGAGCTTGTCGAGAAGGATGTGAATGTGTTTCGTCTCACGACGGACGGGGGCAGCTCCGTCCAGCTTGCAGCGGGGGTTGATCAAGTCAAAGGGATCAAGGAGGTGACCGCACTTGTCACACTGATCACCACGGGCATCGTCGTAGTGGCAGCGGGGGCACTCGCCCTCTACATAACGATCAGCCAGGAAAGAGCCGTGCTTCTCACAGAAGGGCTGCTCGGCGGTGCGCTCGCCGAGGAAGCCATTCTCGTGCAGGCGCTTGAAGATCGACTGCGAGATCTCGGTGTGCTTTTCTGTGGGTGTGCGACCGAAGTGGTCGAAGCCGATGTTGAACCATTCGTACACCTCCTGGTGGATCTTGTTGTACTTGGCGCACAGGTCTTGCGGCGACAGCTTCTCCTCCAGCGCCTTGGTCTCTGTTGCTGTTCCGTATTCGTCGGTACCGCAAATGTACAGTGTAGGCCGTCCGCAGGCCTTGTGGTATCTAAATTGCGCGTGTCTGTTAACTACGTGACTCAATGCCAGTTGGAGGTGGGGTTGACTCATACCTAGAAAAGACATCGGCGCTCAGCACGGAGCCAACGACGTTGCCCAGATGAGGCACATTGTTCACGTATGGCAGAGCGCTAGTGATAAGGATGTTGCGCTCGCCCTTTTTGGGCAAAATCGGATTCGACATAATTGTGGTTGAAGTTGAGAATCGGTGGAGGGGCAAAGGCGGGAAAATCGAAAAGTGGGCTATCTCGTGACATATCGGAAAAAAAGTGGTCGACTTGGAGATAGCTCTTTGAATTCTTTGTATTCCTCGCACAATACTCACAATGGATTCCAATCTTTTGGATAGTCTTCTGGATCTGGAGGAGGAGTTCTACAATGAGGGTTATGAGTTGGGCACCGCGGATGGAGCGGAATCGGGGTATACCGAAGGCAGCGTCTTCGCCGTTGAAAAAGGATTCGAAAAGTTCGTTGAGATGGGACGCTTGTATGGCAAGGCTCTAGTCTGGGCGCAACGACTTGAACAGAAGCAATCCAGCGCAAAGCCTTCGTCTCAAGCGGACAGTGCTTCGGACAGCCTTTCTCTTGATCCGTCGATCTGCAAAGATATGCCCAGTCTTCCACCCCACAGCACTCGACTGGCTAGGAATCTGCAAACAATTCTCGAGCTTGTTGACCCGGCTACGCTGGATATGAGCAACACCGAGGAAGCTGTCAACGATGTGGATGAGCGCCTGAAGGGTGCCGCTACCAAAGCAAAGCTCATCCAGCGAGCTATGGGCGAACGCGAGGACTCAGGCGCGCAGGCTGACGCTAAGGACATGCAAGCATCCGGAGATGGCTCTGGCAGTATTGAAGATATCAGCGCATTGAACATTCGTCACTGAAGTTGATCATGCTATTTTGAATATCAATATTCACATTAGCGCACTCGGTGCTCAAAAGATGCATCGAGACATTCGCATCGGAATCCAAGAGTCGGACCCTTCATCGCAAATGCATACTTGAATTCAATCGGCATGCGCCTTCAAAGAGCGCAGGCCCAGAAACACATGAAGCTTGTGAAGAGACATTGGATGGAACATCCATTCGCTTCTCCCACACTGCCTCAATCTCACCCGCCTATCACCGACACCAGCTCCTGGAATCTGGTTGAATCCAGATGTTGTTGTCAAATGTGCTTGGAGAGACAGGCATCAACGATCATCTACTTCTATCTTGGATGCTGAAGCACACGCAGACCATTGGAAGCTCCAGACTATCATTTGAAAACAATGGTGTCCAGTTTTATCTACAATACAATATTTAGTTGTGAAAATGGCGAATGAAGGCATTAGCCTAAAGCCGTCCTTAGTGTCAAAATAAACCATCAACTTCCTCCAAGTCATCATAAGAACATTCAATCATGGTAACTTGAATCTAATCATATTATATGAGCCTGTTTTTACATATATCCGTTAATATAATACTACGAGTAAAAGGAGGTGATCTGTTCTAAAATATATAGATATATATATACTAATAAAGCACCCAGGTCAAGAATACTACTATTGATAATGTATATAACAACAATCTTGTCACCACAAATAATAATACATGAGATTGCTATGGATCTCAATCAGATAGCATTGCGCTAGGCATAGTATTAAGTCCGATGGTGGAATGCCACAGGATTCCTTAGACTATATAGCATAGCTCAATGGAAAGAAAGGGCAAGAGAAAAATGATCCATGAACTATAGAAGGATCCTGTGAGATGGGGTGCCCTGACAAGCATCCGGAGACTCTCTCACAATTGAGCCTTGTCGAAATTTGCCCATCTTTTGTGAAATCCCTCGGCCAGTATTTATCGCGTTCGACTGTGCCGCGGTTCATCTCGTACACGAAGGGGTCCATCAAATTGAGAAAGAGGAGCATCTAAATTTCCTCTTATCGTCAAATATATGACTTCCCAACATCCCGCATCATTTATCTCGTCATTGATTTTCGCGGCGCCGATAGCTGGTCAGGTTGGACAGTTTTCCCACATAGACGTCGGTTTCATTCCCCCCAAGATGTACTCTGTGTGCTTATACTTGTCGATCAACGTTCTAGCCATTATAAGAACGTCTTTCGCCACACAGAGACCGTCAAATGTTGTGACCTTGAGTCGGTAGGCAACGGTATCCTTCAGATTACCCATGTCGGGGTTCCATGAGGACGGCGGAATCCCCAGCTTCTCGTAAACGGCTTTGCGGGTTGGTTCCTCATCCGTGTCCGCGGCACGTTCTTCCTTTTTGGGCCCATAATGATCGATACTAGGTACAAGAACAGTCAGAAGTGATATCCAGTGGTCTCACTTGATTGGAGCCATGACAACGAATGCAAAAGACGAACCGCAACCCTCGTACAGGTGTAGGTTGTGACTCGATGGTGTGAGAGGAAAGAAGTGGAACACAGATACGCCAGAACCATACATACTTACATACATGTATACATTGCAGGAGAATATGGATAATGAGTAACGGAAGATAGGGGACAAATGGTGGGTGGAGGTAGCTCCTTGAATAGTAGAGAAAGGGCGAGAGACAAGACGAAGCGAGATGTAAGTGAGAGGTGGGAAGGGGAAAAGAAGGGGAAGGTAGAAACATCAGAAGACCTCTTAAGTAGAAATGGTGTTTAATTGAATTCAACTTTTGTGCTCATTGCATTTTCGTAAAAGCGTTTAATTCATAGTCCAAGACCACGCTCGGCCATACCCATAGCACCCTCCTTAGTCTTGTGACCACCGATGAAACCGGAAGCATGAACAAAGACAGCACCCTCAGGCAGCTTGCTCTGGCCGTTCTTCTCAGCCTCAGCAGCCATAACACCATCCAGGTCCTGGTCGCGCACACCGCGCCATGACTCGGGCAAAGGCTTGCGCGACTCGAAGCTACTCTCGGAAACAGACACGCACTGCACGCGCCACTTGGCGTCGGCATTGGCGTTCTCTGGGTACAGGACATAGTAGACCTGCTTGGTAGGGTCAATGTCCTTGCTGCCGGAGGCTTCAGCCTCGAAATTGTACAGGTGCTCCTTCCAGGGCACGCCGCCCTGGGGAAGGACGAGGATGCGGCCGGAGGGGTGGGCCTCCTTGCGCGCGGCATATGCGGCACCGACGGTTGTGCGGGCAGGCATCCAAGAGGTGCATGCGTGGTGCATCTTGCGGGCGAAAGCATTGCCGATGAGGATGCTGGCGCGGCCGAACAGACTGTCTTCGTCCTGGGGTTCGCCGGGAGGGCTGGTGGGGTCTGGGTTGTTCATGTCACCGACCATAGACATGAGAGTGACACCACCCTCCTTGAAGCGCTTCTCCAGGTTGGCATTGGAAATGGCGGCGGAGTCGTAGGCGGAAATGCCGTTGTCGTTGGCGTCAATGGCCTCGATGAAGTCAGTGTAGAGCTTCTCGTAGAGAAGGTCAACATCGGCATGGTCTACGGGAAGAGACAGCTTCTGTGCGATGATAGCCTTGCCGAAGTGCATGTACACCAGACCGGCGGAAGAAAGCTTGGTGTTGCGCTGGGGAAAGGTCGTCGAGAAGGTCCGCTGGTGGTGATCATAGCGGTTGATGGCGGGGTCGTAGACGCCGCCCACATCCACCACGGTGTGGCATTTCTCCAGTTCAGCAGGGTCACGGGTGCGAACGAGGGGAGAGGAGTCGTAGGTAGGTAGGAGGCGGAGAAGGTAGACGGCCAGGGCTTCATCGGCGTGGAAGTGGCCGCTATTTCAGTCAGTCTGTGGCTCGCAGGTCTCCAACAATTGAGCTCACCTGTGAGTCCCGATCAAAGGGGACGAGGTCTTGAGCTTTTTAGCAGCAGTTTCGGCCATTTTGAACCAGGTGTTTGTTCTGAACCAGGTGTTTGTTCTGAACATAAACCGAGTCTGGGATGGATTACATATATAAATTGGCGGGCTCTGGCTGGCTGCGGCTTATCAGAAGCTGGCCATATCAGGCAGTTAGGGCAGAATCTCAGGGCAAGCAGCTGGCATGTGACTGGAGCTCTGAACCGTGGAATTGCTGCGTTTCACCGTCTTCGGAAAGGAGTCCTGAGGCATCAGGTGTTATCACATTAGTAGAGTCTTAGATCTTATATGGTAATTTGCAATTTGAGGTCTAGGCTCTTTGACCTCCTTAGTGTCTTTCGCTAGAAGGACATTCTTCTTTTTGGTGAAACTCTGCAAATATTCAACGTCTGTCCCTTTCCACGTGAAGACGATAAGCTCGAAAAAAGGAAATCACCGTCCCCTCCTTGACTTATCCACATCTCCAACTTCAGCTTTTGACACTCTCACCTCTTTCTCCGTTCTCTTCGCGTACCTTCGCGTAAGTTCCTTCGGCGGTCCGATGTGGCTCTTTCGAGTCTTTTCGTCGGCCTTGTTCCTCGCCGTCACGGTCTCGTCCATCCCACTAGCTTTCGATGTGGGCGGCAAGACATGCGGCCTGGCCTTTTCGCTGTCTCTGGCGACATTCTACTTTCTCATCTCCTTACTGAAACTCAGTACCCCTGACCGCTCGTGGTTCCGTTCGTCGGTGATCACAATCCTCCGTGCCACCCAATGGGTTGTGATATGTGTGCTTCTCATTTGGTCGCTGAATCGATTCTCAGTTGAAACCGACAATACAAGTGGATGGATGGAGCGCACTTTCAGTGGGAAGAGGGCACAGGACAGCTCTATCCAAGAATGGCTCTTTGGTCGCGACGGCTTGGTGGAAACCGTGGCCTTGGGCAACTGGGATAGATTGTTGAGATGGTCGACACCTGTTTTCCAACTGGCAGAAGGGTTCTGTAGTTTACTGGTGATTCAAGCTGCTGGTCAAATCACGCGCTGGCTCGTGAATCGCGGTGGGCGTAGCGATAGCTGGATGGTATGTTTTGATCCCGATTTGTCACGACACGAACTTACTTATCTTAGATTGGCCTTCTGGTACTGTCCGCGACCATCATCTCCAGCTCCGTCTACTTCCTCTGGCGGGTTCTGCAATTCCCCGAAATCTCCAACGTCGATGCGGCCTTAATCGGTGTGTCGATCACCTGCGCCGTTATTCTGTGTGCTTGGGGTATCGGCAGTGGGCGCGGCAACCCTGTCGAGAGCTCTCTTCTTTTCGCCTACATTGTGTTGTGCATTTACCAGATATTCACCGACTATAAGCCATCGCACCCCTTGGAACAGATTCCCTCGCCTTCGCAAGCCGGAGACTTCCCGCCGCTCCCTCCCATTATCATGGCCTCGTACACAACCCTCATGCATGCGCTGTCTCTCCTACCGTCGATAATCCACGCCGCTTTCAACGTGATAACCGCAGTATTCAGCGCTGTCACACCATCCGTACTTATCTCGCTCGCCTACCGCCTTCTGGTGCTGTATGCTTCCACCCGCATCATCCCAGCTGTCCGCGAGGCTGGGTCTCGCGCTCTCTACCAGGAAGCCTCCATCGACGATTCCGACGCAGCAGGCCAAGTGCTTGGCTTCCTGAGCTATTTCGCCCCGACTATTCTCATCTCCGTCTACACTAGTCTCCTCATGCAGCATTTCGCATCTACATCGCAAGCAATGGGCGGTAGCGGCGAATGGTGGAGCAGCCAGGGCGGGGGTGGAGGAAACCCATGGCGATGGATCAACCTGGCCTGCACTATAAGTCTGTACGCAGTCGAACTCTGGCTCGGCGAGCACAACGACATCGACAATGGACTTGCAGGTCACTGGAAAACCGACTGAGTGAACGAGTCAACATGCCTGCGTTTTGCTTCTTATCGCTATAACTCGCGTGGGCAGCATTTAAAGACGGGTCGCGGTTCATGGCTCATCACAACCCAACTCGCTGTATCTTACTGCATGAGCCCTGGCCGGGAATCGGCCAATGAAGCGACGGTTCTCGCGGCCATCCATACGAGAGCGCCATATTGGCTGTGAATTTTTGAGTCGCTCACCGACATCACATCGCTACAGTTGCAAAGCGAGTCCTCTTCAAAAAAATGCTTCCGCTCTGCAGATGCCGTATTTCCGTCCCACTTCACGCGCATCTTCCAGTCACCCGCCCTCTCCCCTTGCTTTCTCTCCAAACATACTCCGCATTTGGTCTATGTATAACCCTCACTTCTGCAAGAGATAGCTCAAAACTGTCTCATAGCCCCGCAATAGGGTGTGCTACAAGCCATGATTCCGCTGTCACATTACGCCTCTGTTTTGGAGAAGACATTGCCCAGTCCTCCAACCACCCCCTTTTTATGAACCGACGATACCAGATAAACCTATGTTGCGTCTTTTGCTCTCGACTTTTTTCTTGTCTGTATCTTTTCCATCTACCCTCACTGTTCAACCTGTTCCATTTGGCACTTATACCCTCTTCAGTCCTCAGACTCATTTCTTTGCTTTGGTTTCACCCCTCTAATTGAGTCTTGCTTCATTCGTAGCCGAGGTGTATCTGACGGCTTGCTTTTTCAGCCAATTTTGTACATAGGATAGGATACCTGGATTTTCTTTCTCCTTATCTGTTGTACTTTTTGCCTGGCGCTAGGGCGGTTTATAGATATCTTGATTATACTTCGGTCCATTTTTTTTTTTTGGTTGTAGAAGCTAGGTGGAGCATTGATCTAATACTGAGGAGGCCAATCTACTTCTATGCAAGATCGGACTCCATATGCCAAAAGGAAATTATGCCATGGATCTTTAATAGATCTGAACAAATTGGTTGGCTGGCACATTTGCGCAAAATAAAATCAAGTACACAATCCTAGACGCATAGAAGGCAAGACAGCGAACAGCTGGAACCCACAGATCCATTCCATGCTTACACGTATCTTCGCATAACAATAAAGAATACAGTCGAATGCAAAGCAGTCTCTCATCGCGAGCAGAAACCGAATCTCAGAATCTGAATACTAGAATAGCAAACACAACAGTCTTGCCGTGTGCACTAGATATAAACAAGTAGAAACGAAGAGGAAGACAGAAACCCATGCCAAAATTGCTGATGATGAATGATGATAGGCATAAATAGAAAGAAAAAATGACAAATCACTGAGAGCAAGTTGAGAGCAAGATGAGCTGAGGTTCATGATGTACCCCGGTGCCATGCCAAGTGCACGCCACGATCTGAACACCGAGGAATCAAGGTGTCTCACAGCTCAGCTCAGCTCAAGCTCTCACTTACTCCGTCCCGCAGTGCATCCCATTCCTTTCCCATCCTCCCTCGCAAGAAAATAAAGACAAATCGAAAGATCCCATAGCGCCGAGCTCTTGAAAAGAAATCACAGACCCCTTCTTCAAAAGATATGCATGCAGATATCACCCGTCCCCAATATCTCAGTATCTCGTATCTCAGTCTCAGTGGCCACGCCCCTACCGGCGGATGGGAACACCCTCCCTAGCCGGCGGGGGACTAACACTGAGATTATCCTCCTTGCCCTCCGTGGCAAGGCCAGAACCAGCCTCGCCCTCGCTGAGACTTGAGCCGCGGTGCAGGAAGCTACCGCCCTCCTTGACGGGACTGCGGCTTTGGAACCCGACCGAACCTGGGTGACCGCTGAAGCTGCCGGGCGCTTGTTGGCCCTGACCGCTCACGCTGCCACTGACGCTGCCGTTGTGGGGGGCGGGGTTGTTGGTGCCCGGCGAGGTCGCTGTCAGGTGGGGGATGTTCTCGGGCACTGGGTGGCGCGATCCGATGTTGGTTACGCCAACGTCGGAGGCTTTGCCCGCCTTGCTGAGGGCGTAATCGCCCGAGTCGAAGTACTTGCGTTCCTGTGGTGGGCAGTGTTAGTATGGAGTATTGGCTTGTAATGGGTGGGCTGGTAGCAAGGAGGGGTAAATCGGGCAGACAGGTAGGAAATTAGTAGTGTCAGGTAGAGTTGGGCGACTTACCTTGAGCTTGTTCTGGAGAACGTCCTTCTTGGTGGGCATCTTGCCGTAGAGGCGCAGCAGGCGCTGCTCCTCGGGGCTCAGCGACTAATATGTTGTTAGAGAGAGACAGAGATAACTTCAACTGGAAGGTCACTAACGTTGAGGTCCACTTTGTTCTGTTGATGGGGATTCATGATGATAGTTGAAGAAGTTGAGAGCGGGAGGGGAGAAGAGAGAGTTATAAAGTGTGACAGTCGAGAAGTTAAGTGGAGAGAGACATTATTCAGATGACGCCAATGGCAATTAATTGATGTAGGTTATTTTCTCTTATTTCGCTTAGTTCGCTTGCTTTCTACTTGTCTATTTTTCTCTTCTATGCCAGTTTACCAGTTCACCTCAGTAGTTCGTAACCCTCGCATATTTGATTGACTCAAGTGGAACCAACATCTTCACCCTTTAACACCCCATCATGGAGAAGACATTCGTGGTTGAGCACTTGGATCCTGAGCTGGGCCCCTGGTCCACGCTGGAATATGCCTGTATCGCTCGTGAGTCTCATGCCCGCGGGGCTCGATTCCTGCTCAGTTCTGTGCCCGCCGAGCTGCAGATGCCCGCCGATCTGGCCGCCACCAAGGGTCTCGAGGTCGAGCAGCGCAGCGTCGAGGAGATCTTTGCAGACCGCAAGGATAAGGTCTGTCTGCTGGATCCTTCTGCTCAGACTGAGTTGAGTCCTCAGGATGGTGACCACTATGAGGTCTTTCTTTTCGGTGGAATTCTTGGTATGTGACTTTTTTTCCCGCCAACTTCAACGTCATAAATCGCCATATCTGCTGTTCTATATTCTTTTTCTTTATACAATTGAAAGCTGACATTCTTACTAGGTGATGACCCACCCAGAGGTATGTCTCGATATTAATATATCTAGTTGCCACTGACAATTTTCCAGATCGCACTTCGGAATTGCGGAAAAAGGGCTATGTCGGTCGCCGATTGGGGCCTAAGCAGATGACGACTGACACTGCAGTGCGGGTCACTCGCATGGTGGTCCACGAGAAGGGTAAGTCAAGCACTGGCTTCACAGTGGCCCCAGACTGACTGTGGCAGTGCCCCTCGAGGAAATCCCCTACGTCGACTATCCCGAACTGCAGATCAATGAACATGAGAGCACTGAGATGCCTTTCCGCTATGTCAAGGATGCTGAGAACAAGCCTATCATGCCCGATGTAAGTTCCACCCGTCTCACGTCTGGAAGAAACTAACAATTGCAGGGAATGGTGGCTCTTATCAACAAGGACGCCGACAAGTCCCTGGATGACTTGTTCTGATGTTTCAGTGTTTCAGCTGTTTCCGTTTTTTTAATATAAAATATATAAAAGTACACATTCAATACAAGAACTAGCATACCAATTCTCATCAAACGTTCTCAAATGAAGCTATACTCGTAGCCCAAGAAGCTTATAGAGTGATGGATCCGGCCCTAATGCACTTGTGTATTGCCAATACATTTAAATAACCTTATCCGCCAGCCAAACAGCGGTGACCTGATAGTAATTTCCGTATCGGTACTGCCACGCATGCCCGTCTCCATTCCCGCATCACTCCTTTCCTTACATTCATGTTCTCAGTTCTCACTCAACTTTGCTCCTAGCGATTATCTTCCTCTTCTCGAGCTGTCTCATCGCAATTCGATGACCTGGTGATCAGCGATCATCCCTTCGGGACCGCTCACCAGTGTCCCTATCCTCGAAACCGACTTTACCTCTTGATGATTGCTACGACCATTAGATGTTCTCGATTTCATTCCTCCCTTCTTTGCAGAAGGGCGGTGCTGTCGCGATGCTGTTGTCCGCATTAACGCTTCTACTCAGTCCGGCGCTGGTGTCAGCCAGCTCAGCCGCTGATTACTATGTACGCTCGTTACCAGGCGCCCCGAAGGGCCCTTTCTTGAAGATGCATGCTGGGTGAGTGACCGGAAAGCTGTGAGATGGAAAAAAGAACATTGGGATTTATCAATGAGGTTGTCTAACGCGTCATCCAGCCACATCGAAGTCAACTCGGAGACCAACGGTAACCTGTTCTTTTGGCACTTCCAGAACCGCCACATCGCGAACCGCCAGCGCACCGTCATTTGGCTGAATGGAGGTCCCGGATGCAGCTCTATGGATGGCGCATTGATGGAGGTTGGCCCGTACCGACTTAAGGATGACCAGACGCTCGAATATAACCCTGGCCGTTGGGATGAGTTTGCCAACATGCTCTTCGTGGACCAGCCAGTTGGTACCGGATTCAGTTATGTCAACACCGATAGCTATCTCCATGAGTTGGATGAGATGTCCTCTCAGTTTATGGTATTTCTGAGCAAGTTCTTTGAAATGTTCCCAGAGTACGAGAGCGATGACGTACGTTTAACCTATACCTTTCGTCTTGGATTCAACGCTGACTGTCTTGAAGCTGTATCTCGCAGGTGAATCATATGCTGGACAACATATCCCCTACATTGCAAAGGCTATCCAAGAGCGCAACAAGGCCGCGCCGGCAAACGGCGGGAGGAAGTGGCCCTTGAAGGGTATGCTGATCGGCAACGGTTGGATCTCACCTGCGGACCAGTACCCTTCATATCTTCCTTTCGCGGAGAGGGAAGGCCTCGTTAAACAAGGATCCCAGACCTACAAGAAATTGGACGCTCTGAACTCCGTCTGCCTTTCCAAACTTGAAACCCCCGGCGCGAAGAACAAATTGGATGTCGAATCATGCGAGACTGTCATGAGAGAGCTCCTCGCGCTCACATCCAAGGACGGGCAATGCTACAACATGTACGATGTCCGTTTGAAAGACGAATACCCCTCGTGCGGCATGAACTGGCCTCCAGACCTGGAATACATGACGCCTTATCTCCAGCGCCCGGATGTGGTGAAGGCTTTGAACATCAACCCAGCCAAGAAGACCGGCTGGCAAGAATGCTCTGGTATGGTCGGTGGTGCATTCAGCGCGAGGAAGTCCACACCCGCCATCAACCTGCTCCCCGGATTGATTGAATCCGGTCTCAATATCTTGCTGTTCAGCGGTGACAAAGATCTTATCTGCAACCACATGGGAACAGAGACCCTGATCCACAACATGAAGTGGAAGGACGGAACCGGTTTCGAAACATCGCCTGGGGTCTGGGCTCCTCGTCATGACTGGTCCTTTGAGGGTGAGCCTGCTGGTATCTACCAATACGCCCGCAACCTCACCTACGTACTCTTCTACAATGCCAGCCATATGGTGCCATTTGACATGCCCCGCCAGAGCCGTGACATGCTTGACCGCTTCATGAATGTCGACATTGGTAGCATTGGTGGTAAGCCAACTGACTCCCGTATCGATGGCGAGAAGCTGCCTCAGACTTCTGTTGGTGGTCACCCCAACAGTACCGCTGCCGAGGAGCACGAGAAGGAGAAGCTGAAGCAGACGGAGATGCACGCTTACACCAAATCTGGCGAGGCTATCCTCGTCATTGTCATTATTGGTGTTAGCGTCTGGGGCTTCTTCATCTGGCGCAGTCGCCGCTCGCATAAGGGCTACAAGGGTGTTTCCAATAATGAGATGACGGGCAGTTCCTCTATTCTCAACAGATTCCAGAACAAGCGTTCTGGTGGAGATGTTGAGGCTGGTGACTTTGACGAGTCCGAGCTTGATCAGCTTCATTCCCCTGGTATTGACCGGGAACATTATGCGGTCGGCGAGGCGAGTGATGATGACGATGACCACCATGAGGCATCTCATCCAGCATCGGGAACTGGTGAAACTCGCCCATCTTCATGACGAATCTGATCGTGTTTGTTTACGTGGTTTTGGGTGCATTTGTACAAAGTATACGGTGTCAACGGGGGTTGCATCTCATTTGATATTTACATATGAATGAAGCTTAGAATTTTGAAATCGATATGCGTTGTGCATATTCTTCTCCCTTCCTAGTTACATGTCATCGGTTTTTGATATCTATAATGCATTCGCGGTGGTCAAGAATTACCGCTGCACAGTCCAGACCTTGACACTTCCATCATCAGCCGTCGTAATAAGCAGCTCCTCGCCAGATTCAGATCCACGATCCGCCCTCTTCGCCCAGGCACAATGGTTGATTTCATAAATGCCATGCGCGCCATCATGAATAGCAATGAGCACCCACTCGGTCTTCAACAATCCATCCCCAGACCCAGTGTCCATGACATCGGGATCCTTGTTCTCGGATGTCACAAACCGCTCTTCATAAAGTGCAATCCGCCCATCAGCACCAGTAGAAGCAACAAGTCCACTCCGCTTACTCCACGCAACAGCATAAACAGCCAACTCGTGTGCATGCGGGAGAACAGCATCCTCTTCCCACGTCTCATCCGTTCCAGTAGGCCGAATAATACTCGGGATCCCCGTCGCCGCAGAAGAAGACTGAGACGCCATCAGGCTTTCCTTCGGCTGGCGATGCCAGACTCGCACACTGCGGTCATCCGAGCAAGAAAGAAGACGCGGGCCCGAAAGCGCCGTCTGGGAACGCCATTGCGACGCGACATCACCGGAGGACGAGACCGAGGACGAGGACGGCACATTCTCAGAACCCTCCCAGTCCAAGAACCATACCGTCCCCGAATGACCCTTGATACAAGCGACTTGGCCCCAATCGTCCAGATCCTCTCGCCACAATCGGATCGTATCGTCGTAGCTCCCGCTCGCCAGACATTCTTCCACAGGATGCCATGCTACACACTTCACATCACCACCATGCTCCTGCATCACAGCCACGGTCTCGAAGTTGTTATCGCCATCGTCGAGATCCTCCCAGATCCAGATTGATTTGTCGCGCGAGCATGTCGCCAGTAACATGCCGGACGGGGACCACGAGACGGATTTTACTTCGCTGTCGTGGCCATCGAGGAGGACGGCAAAGCGCCATTCTTCTTCGTCTTCTTCGTCGTTTTCGTCTGACTTTTCTCCATCTGAGTTGCCTGTGTCGGCGGCTTTTAGGCCGCTGCCGTCTTCCCGTCCGTAGCTATCCCATCGTCGCCAGATTCCCACCGTTGCATCGAAGCTGCCTGTTGCTAGCACGGACTCGCCTGTGGTGTGTGGTTTCCAGGCTGCTGTGCGGACGCTGCGCTTGTGTCCGCCTGTTATTGTTGAAAGGAGGGTGAAGTTTGTTAGCGAGTATACTCGCACTGTCTTGTCCGAGCTGCAAGTTGCGACTATCGGGAGGGTTGGGTGCGGAGCTGTGAGCCAAGTTCTTTCTAGAGATTGAGGTGTCAGGTCTGAGAGGTGATTGATTTGCGCCATTCTGAATTGGCGTAGGTGAAGGTGAAGATGAAGTTGAGGTTGAAGTCGAGTGAATTTTGGTGTGGGGGAGATTAGATAGCAGTGGGGGGGATAATTCTGAGTAATTCTACAATAACTTCACCATTCGGTAGTTATTCCATACATGAACGGTACAGATACTTAGATGATCTAGGATCATAGGTGAACGAATTGAATTGCATCAAACAGATGAAATCATCTAAATCCAAGTATAATCATGCCCTGCCAATTTGCCAATCCCAAGTCCAACCCCCAACAAAACACAATCATTATATATGTATATGCCCTCTATAACGCCATCACAGTGGAACGCCTTCTTCGTATAAACCTTGATATACCATCCCGTGACAAAGCCAATCCACCTCGCGGACCTTCTCTAATTCCTCCACCAACTGTCCAACTTCATTGACAAACTCCGGCATACCAGCAGCAGCCAGGTTCTGACTCGCTGTTGTGGTGGCTCGAACTCGCTCCGAGGCACTGGATGCGCTCAGTCGGGTCAGAACATGACTCCGAAGACGTGAGAGCATGAGCCGCGCGACTGGGTCTGAGAAGCTGGGCGCATTCACCGAGTCTGTGGAGGGCATTTCGGATGCAGATACATCAGAAGAAACCACAGCTAGCTGGGGTGCAGCTGCGAGACATGCTGTGGCGACGGGTCCAAGCACTCGCTTGATGGTTGCTGCCAGTTGGGCACTCGCGGCGGGTGGCATTGGATGTGTTGATTCCAGGATTGACTGCACGCGCTCGGCGCTGATCTCGTTGAAGTCTAGCGAGAGGATGCGGTCTGCCTCCGGTTTCCATTGAGACCGGGCATCCCGCTTGAGTAGGTTCTTCGCCGTCAGCAATATCGAGGCTGTTGCCACGATCTGGAATGCTCTGGCGTGTAGCCGCTCGAGTCGATGGCGGTCAAGGCTCAATGTTTCGGGGATCAAATCCTCAGACACAACTGCATTACTCAAAACGGTATCTGCAAGACCCTGGGCGTAGATACGCGCTGAATGTGGGCGCGGTTCACCATGGATGTTCTCTGGGTCTCGCTTCTTCATCTCGTCAACAATGATCTTGTGATGAGTGCGCCAGAATCGCCGGGTCTTCCTGACGCTGATTGTCCCATCTGCGATGCCCCGGTCGAAAGTCCGCTGTTCGTACCCCGGAGCTTCTTCGATAAGCTGAGGCGCGGCCAGTTGAATCATGAAATTGGTCTGGTCCAGCGAAAGCAGGTCGATGATGCTCATCAACCGGGCCAACCGGTCAATTTCATCCCCTGACATGTCTTCGATGAACGCCTTGACCACGGGGTCTCGATAAGGAGCACACAGCCGAGGTAGGATGTTGTACATAAACTCGAAGAAGTTGTCATAAGAGAACGTGCCAGCTTCGCACTGTCCTTGAACCAGCTTTGGATCCAAGACTTCACTGATTATCACATAGAGCGAGTTGCCACGCTGCAGTGAGCGCAACAGGCGATCTTGGATCACCGTAGCCATGGCGACAATCCATTTATTGGCCTGTCCAGCCTCAACTCCTTGTCTCATCGTTTCGCACATTTGCTGCATGATCACCCGACGAGGCTCGGTGTACGTTGTCTCTTCAATTTTGAATTCTTTATTGATAAGAAGTTCATGTACCAACTCACGGTTTTCAGGGAGAGGAGTGAGAATCTTGGTGAATCGCTCGTGGGGCGATGTTCGCTGCTTGTCCAGTTCATGGAGCACCGCAAAATCGAGGTTGTTGAAGGATTCACTAATTGGCGAGGTGACACTCTCTGTCAGAACATCTGCAGATGGAGGAGCAGCCTCGGCAGATCGAGGTATAGCTTGCTTAGAAGCTGCACGCTTCTTCTCCCGCTTAGCCTTCTTAAGCGAATCTCGAATCAGCTCCATGTGTCGGTCTGGACCGGCAAGTCGCTTCAGACGGGCGAGCAGCAGAATCTGGTTCTGTCTGATTCCCTGTCTGTAGTCCTCTGCAGCACCGCCAGCTTCGTCATTCTTGACCGTTTGCCAAATAAGCTCCAATTCGACAAATTGGGCAACCATAATCTCAACCAAGACGCTGGAATCGTGGGACTTCCAGGCGTGGAAAGCCGAGAAAAAGACATTGTGCCTCTCACACAAGGTCTGGAGATCCGCGGTGATCACAGAAGGAGAGCAACAGCCTGACGATAGCAGGGCTGTGACCTGATCAAAGGCTCCCAGTAGTTCTCCAGCCTTGTCAATCAAGTCTTGTTCCTGTTCTCCGTTACTGCTGCTCAAAACTTCGGTGGGATGTGTAACGATCAGATAACTGCTGAGAAAAGTGCGCACTGCACCCCTCTCGCCCATCGTTCCACCTTCCATATCTTGCAGCCCACAAAGTCGGAGAACTTTGGTCATGGTATCTAATAGTTCCTTGTTGGAAAGCAACCTACCAACTTGCTCAAAAGTCTCGTTGCGGACCCGGTCCACCGAAAGATTCAACGACTGGAATTGCCCCATGACCATTTTGGCATTGTGGGTTCTCCACACGCGCTGGATTTTGCGCGCAGCCGCATCCTGGGTGAGAGACTTGGTGATCTCTCGAGACATCTTCTTCTCTGCGGCAACTGGCAAGCTGCTCGTGCGTTGGCGTCGGTGCGTTTGCTGGTACAACGTGCGTCGCTTCTCGGCTTCAGCAAACTTCTCTGCCATTTCCACACGCAACCGGGCTTCTTCAGCAGCCTTCTTATCCCGCTGGTCCTCGGCCTTTTTCTTGGCTCGTTTGACCTGATCTTCGCACTTGGCCGTGATGTCTGCAAGCAGGCGCTCACGAGCTTGTTGGGCAGCCAGTGCTCTTTCTTCTATTTGAAGGTTCCTTGTGGCTGCTTTAGCCAAGGCGGCTCGCAACCTTACTTTCTCCCCATGCAATGCTCGATCAGCGAGCCTAGCCTTTCGGTTCTCCAAGATAGATGTGCGTCGGAGGTGTTGAGCAATATGATCCGGAGTGGGCGATCCATTCGACGACGCGGAATGGTGCGAGTGAAGGGACGAAATGGAGCTTCGGCGAGACGACGCGGCTGAAGAGCGACGCAAGATGCTGCTCTTACGGTAGAATCGGGCAGCGATGTGTGGCGGGAGACTCAAGGGAAGTGCCTGTTCCTCCGATAGCATCTCCACATCGGATTCGGTCTCGGGCGAAAGAGGAGTCGGCCCGGCATCCGGGAGCTGGATCTCAATGTCGGAGTTGCGACGGATCATGGTATTGGGGTGTGAGAGGGCGCGGAGCCAGGGAGAGAAACGCACGCGGTGGGGCAGACGACGACTGATAAGAGATCAGAGGAGGTTGTTGGGACTATTCACGTGTTTTCTTTGGACTAAATATGCCACAGGATACTGATCCCGTGAATCCGCACCTCAGGGGAGCTCAGGGGAGGAGATAAATAGTAATCTGGGGGTCCTGAAATGAAGAGTATGCGCACTGGTGCGGAAGGATCCGTGCTTCGTTTCAGGATATGACGAAAAAGAAGATCATGATGCAAAAGGAGAGATCAACATCAACATCATGAAAACAGACAGTTACAGGCAGTTAAGCTGGCTTACAGATCGTGAGTATCCAACTATGGAATCCGATGGCCGCATGCAGAATAACGTCAACGCTTAGGTAAGCCACATTAGTAATCGATCTATAATTAACTTGACCATATAACTTATGTACTTCCTCATACTTCATAGCTTTGTCGATATAGAGTGGTAGCAAGGAAGGAAGAAAAGAGAGAGGCATTCCATCTAAGAATTCTCTCAATTACAGTCGGTTTCCAACTATATAATACAGCTCGACATAAAGGGCGCAAACAAAGTCTAACAACGGTGATACCTGCAAGTATGAACAAAGCTTCCACATTATTTAATTTTGAAGTTACTAGTGACCGTTTAAACAAGGGGTCTTCGTTTAAAAACCTTTTCTTCAAATTGCTTCTTGGAATGTTTCAAGTTCCTAGGTCTTACAGCAGCTCTACTACACTATTCAACGCGTAGTCCCACTCTCATCTGTCCTCGTCCACCCCTATTTGCCCGCAAATAATACGGCACATAGCACAGATCATTCTTCTCTCCAGTGACAGCATTCTCTGACTCTGCCACAATGCGCTTGTCCCAAGGTGACGTGTCAAGCTCGCCTTTGGCTCCATTCTCAGCAACGATGGCAACGTACTGATCAGGCTCGGATCGTGCCTCTTCTCGTAAATGAGCATGACGATCAAATACAATCGTCTTAATTGCGTTGTTAGGCTTCCATTTTGAGTAGATGTGTTGCAGGTCTTACCTTGAAATGATGCTCTTCCCATGGGTGATCGAAATCCTCCACGCAGTACACAATTGGCCCTCGTGTGATGTATGCCACTGGCTGGTTGGCTAGTGGATTGGGCCTGGCAACTCGTGCTTTCATTGGACATGAAAGCCGGAATTGGGGGGTTTGCTGTAGAAATTCGGCTTTTAGATGTAGATATCCTTTCTGGATATCTAGATTTTCGGGACTCGGGGTAATCTGATGATCGTTAGCATGCAGGTAATCACAGATGTGATGTATCAACTTGCCTGCCATGACTCTGCCCAGCTGGGGATCCTCAATCTCAATTCGAGGTCAACAGGGGGTCCATTTGTCGCGATGGTGAACTCAACATCACCATTCCAAGGCCAGCTAGTCTTCTGGGTAATTTCAACCTCTGATCCTGAAACAGGAGCACGTAGAGTGGCTGATGTATACAGATGCACATTGACGATGGCGCTGCTTTCTGTCGCAGTTTTACTCCAGATATATCCACCCAAATAGCCCAAGGTACGTGTGACATTAGGTGGACAGCAAGCACATTCGAACCACTCATGGCGCTCGGAAAGATCCTTGTCCGAGGAAGCAAGCTGATTCACATATGTGAATGCCTTGCCGTCCAGACTCATACCAGTCAATACTGCATTATAAAGACATAACTCCATGATGTCAGCATAATGGCTGTCTAGATCGATCTGTAGGTTTTTCGAATAAGTGCCCATCATATACAAGTATGCATGGAAGAAATAAGGAAAGCTTACCTGCAGCAGCCTCTCAGCAAGCATCATGACTCCAATCGCAGCACAAGTCTCTGCATAGCAGCCACCTTCATCGGTTCCATGAGGCAAGAAATAGTCAATACCAAAGCCTTCCCATTGCTTGATAGCTCCAATGCCGCCAGTGACATAGGACTTCCGCTCCACCATGTTCGACCAAAGCCGGTTGACAGCGGGCAAGAAAGTGGCTCCCACTTTACTGACAGGGCGGAATATCCGAACGAGGTCGGTCACTGCTGTGAGCAGATACATAGCTCGAACTGAGTGTCCCTCAATTGTTTCTTGCTCAATAATTGGCAGATGGGCTTGCTGGTAGCTAGTTCAACGCATTTATTAGCAACACCCCTATGAAAAGCACATATAGCCACATACGAGTAGCTCCTGGCAGCGGGGAAGTATGCAGGTCGCTCATGCTCTTTCTCGCCTCTAGCTTCAGCTTCGATGTCGTAATAGTGCCTTTTTGTTTTTCCGCCTGAGGGATTGCCCCTTTCTTCGATGAAGAATTTGGCTAGCTTGAGATGCTTTTCGTCTCCTGTAACTTTGTACAGCCGTAGAAGAGCAAGCTCAATCTCAGGGTGTCCAGGATATCCGGGAATTTGAGTATCCTGGTCTCCGAACTTGGTTGCCAGAAGGTCCACATACTTCAAGATGGGAGATAGCATATCATCGTTCTTGTAAAAGAGACGATGGGCAAGTGCACCTTCAATGAGATGACCAGCGTTGTATCTAGATATCGTGTAAGCTATCTGCAGCTCGCTAGGTGACATGTTTCTTTTAAACATATGAACCTACAGCTCATGCATATCTCGCAGATTCGTGAAACGCTTGCCAGGCTCAACAACTGAGTAATGGATGTTAAGGTACCCATCGGGATGCTGGGCGCTCTGGATCATCTGCACCAGCTCGTTCACAGCCGCATCTACCTCTGCATCGTAATGGTCCATCAACAAATAGCAAGCTCCTTCAATCCACTTGGCCACATCAGAATCCCAGAACTGGTGATTTGGAATTGGATACACCGTGGGAGGATCTCCATAGCTCGCGTGCCACTTCAGCTTGAAAGCGTCATACCTCCCAGTGGTCTTCAGCATGTTCAGTTGATGCCGCAGTGTCTGAGTCCGAACCACTTCGCGACGACGTGCCCAGAAGGATCCTGGGGCAAACGTTGTCGCGACAAAGCTTTCCTGTGGATAGTCCATGATATTGTAGAACAAGGGTTCTGGTATAGATGAGCATCCAAGAAGACAAGCAGTCTTTAAGTATTTCTTGCATATAGGGGGTATCGGCTAGCCCTTCCGAGATTGAAGTCGGCGAGAAAGCAAGACCCTCACATCATCATGTTTCCCGAGTTTCCCAGTGGTCGGATCTCCGCCGGTACTTAGGGCTTGGGTGGGAGGCTCCGACTCCGGCGGAGACTCCGGCGGGGGGGGCAAAGAAGCCGAAATGTCAAGTTGCTTGACTGTCTGATGCTTTCCCCACAAGCTTAGACTTAGTTTTTCTGGGGAATCCAGGTCGCGCCTTTCCAGATGTGGGGTCCCGGACTAAGTTGCTTTATATATATGCCGTTATTCTCAATGTTTCTTTAGCTTTGCGGCGTTGCTCTTGTATGGCATGGTCTTCTCAACCTGCTTCAACGGGTATGATGCAGGGATCATGACGGTTATTCTGGCCGACAAGCAATTCATGGAATACTATAACATCGATGAAAACAGATCTGGTCTTGTTGCAACGATACCATGGGCCATGACAGGTAATTTCGAGATCTCCGACTGCATTGAGGTCACGGCCAGGTGACTGACAATGTGTTTCTTTAGCGCTGGCCCAGCTTTGGCTTGGGGGTACTCTTGCTTCATGGCTTGGAAGACTTTGGGCTCTACAGATGTCTATCGGAATCATGATTATTGAAGTGTCACTCGAAGTGACTATGGGGGTTGCTATCTGAAACAACTTTAGAGTCGTCGAGGTTGTTCCAAACAACTTTGGAGTCCTAATCCTGGGAAGACTTGTAACGTAAGTCTATTGATCCTCATATACTATCTCTTGCAAAAATACTGAACAACTTCCAGAGGTCTAGGTTTCGGGTGCGTCTATATTGCCACGAACCTCTACGTCGCGGAATGTGCACCCACCAAACTTCGAGGCAGCTTCGTCGGAACGGTCGCGCAATTCGGCTACCAACTAGGAAGTTTGATTGCTTTCTGGACTGGGTACGGAATGTCCTTCCACAAGTCACCCTATAATATTGCCTGGCGTGTGTCGAACATTGTCCAAATCCCTATTGGTCTGGCGTTTGTCGCGATCTCGTTCTGGTACCCTGAAAGCCCACGATTTGTGCTCGAGAAATACCCCGAGACCCCTGAGCGGGCTCTTAAAGTCCTTAGTCGGCTGCGATCTGGAGCACCAACGGACGAACGTATCCGTACCGAGTTCCATGAATTAGTGGCCTCGTACGAGTTCCGCCGTCGCTATGAGACGGGCTATGTTGGTCTTCTCAAAGATAAGACTATGCGCAAGCGGCTGTGGTATGATCTTTATGCTGCAGGTCTCCAGCAGGTATGTAATTCTTTACAGTATATAGCTTCACTTGACAATACAACTGACAGCGCTCTGGTGCGGAGGCATTGCTTCATTGACCATGTATGCCACATTGATTTATCAGAGTCTCGGATGGGCCTCTGGCTCGCAGGCATTGTCAACCAATGGAATCCAGTCTGTCCTCCAGCTGCTTGTAGTGTTTTTTTAATACATTCACAGTTGAAAAATTCGGTCGCCGGGGTCTCCTGCTTGCAGGATTTGCGATCCAATCACTGGCTCTCTTGATCATGTCTTGTCTGACCACTGCTTTCCCGTCAAAAGGCAACAAAGCTGCTGCTATTGTTGAAATTGCTATGCTTTTCATTGTTGGGTTGACCTATTGCTGGTCCATTGGACCCATTGCACCAACGGTGGTTACAGAGATCTTTCCTCGGCATGTGAGAGACAAGGTAAGTTGAACTCGAACTCAGTTGAACGCTCTACGGAACAGGACATAACTAACAGCATCGCTAGGGATTTGGTCTTTCGATGCTTGGTCAGACATGCTGGCTGATTCTACTCACACAATCTTGGCCCTCCTTCAATAATAAAGTCGGTGACCACAGTTATTGGCTCCTGTTTGGCTTGAATTTGGCCGCTGGCGTGAGTTGATGATTTAATATTTTATCTATAACCCCTAGTAGCGGACTGATTCTTGCGCTTACAGATCTCGGTTTATTTCATCCTTCCCGAGACCAAAGGCGTGTCCCTCGAGAGAATGGACAAGATCTTCGAAGGACCTGATAATGTCGAAGCCGGAGAATTCGAGGGAACTTCCGAAAAACGTGAAGCGATGGCCGTCATGGACAAAGGAGACAAAGCGCCAACCGCTTATGTAGAGGACGCGTCTCCAGCTCGTTCATCTCAGGGACCGGAGAGATCTTCTGTTTGATTGAACCAGATGATACAGCTCGTGTGGACACATATAGCTACAAACCTCTATAGACCTTGCTAGATGGAAATAATGCCAAAAGATGTGTTCAACAAATTGCTATCGTAGCGCCATGATGTCCATGTACTTTGAGAACCGAAAAAAGTGAGCGCTATGCTGCAGCAAATCCAGCTGCTTATGTATGCAAACCCAACATGCTCCAAATGCACGGTTCATGTTAATCCGTGAGTTATTTTGATCCAAAATCATTGACAAGGTCTCTGAGGGCTGTGGCTGGAACATTTTCGTGGGCTGTGATTCTGGCCCTTTGCCAAACCCCAGATAGAATCATTGCTTTGATACCAGTATGAAAGTATATCCTGAGAGGCAACGTCCAGCCAAGTACGCATTTAGACTTCCACTGTCGTCTAGCGCGGTGTTGTTGCCGCCACGCAGCTCAAGTTACTGAGTGGCTAAGAACGTCAAGGGACTGTCCGGTTGGCGTAATCCCAAAGTGCCCCATCAACTGCCAGACAGCCGACCAGAGAAGAGCTTTGCCGAGCAGTGATTGCGCGGCCGCTGCTAGTTTGACTTGTTTAAATTGAATCGCATGACCCCATCATCGATGGCCAAAAATATCGAGATGGTCCTCATCCTCCTCATCCTCATTGCCCCGGGAGCCAGCTGATTCAGCGGAGTCTGATGACTCTGCATCGTCTTCCTCTTCCTCACCACCTTCTGATATGTCATCGGTCGCCCTTGTCTCGCCTCCAAACAGCCCATATGGATAAGTGAGCTTCTTGCTCAAGAAGTTCAATGCACCAAAGTCGGTGTCGTTGACACTGCGCGATGATGGGCTTCCAAAAAATGGCAATGATGAAGGCTTCTCAGACTCACGCTCAGTGGGAAGTCCAAAGTAGTTGCTTACGACCGGCGAGACAGCACGACCGCGAGTAATGTTGTATGATGCAAATTGTCTTTCGGGTTCCACTGATGGTACACTGAGCCGTGAACGAGGAGCCGAGCCGGGATCGACATTCAATCCTGCCAGCGAAGATGACATGGATTCATCATTTTCCATGACCGAGGATGATCGAGGTCGAGATGGAAGATGCTCACCATCATCTTCCTCGGGCTGAGCTGACATGTCTCCATGCAGAATGCGAAGTTGAGCTGTGTTATATGACTCGCATCTGGAGAGAATTAGCAAGCTTCTATTAATTGTCAAGTTGAATACTCTACTCACAGTTCACATCTCAAGCCCAACCAATGGTACTTAACAACTGATTTTGAACCACAATCATTGCAATAAACAAGACCTTTTGTATCCTTGAATTCTGCAGGCATAGGTTGACTCTCAATGGTGCGATCCAGATTTCGGAAAGTGGCTTCCATGTTGGTTATTGTCTTGCTGCAGATTGGACAGCGGAAAGAACTTTTGGAATACTCTGATAAGCACTTGTGATGAATGCTGTGGCCACATCGCATAACAACAACGGTCTCAGGAGACGTGAACATATAGTCTCCACAGATAGGACAATCACACTGTGTGGATCTTTCAATGCAGCGATGAGTGTTTTCAATCGACATTGGCAAACAAACGCAGCAAGTCTAAGGTATGATCAGCACGTTTGAAAATGAATTTTGACCACAAAGGTAATCTTACCAGGCAATGGAAGAAATCCTTCCCTAGACCCTGTCCAATTCGACAGATCCCACAGTCGTTACAGTGGTAGATGCTCTTCTTGCTGTCATTGTCCCAGAGCTTGCATATTTCGCAATAGTACTGCGCTGTCTGTTCACCGCATTTTCTACAGTCCTGTGCTGCAGGTTGGGCATGTCCACATAGCATACACAGCATGTGCTCTGTGTCTCGGCGAATGAGAGCGTGGTCTTCCACTTCATCATGGCAAAACCGGCAAGTGTACCACTTCTTGCAAGTATGGCACTCTAACTTCACATTGCGGTGATAATGCGCACAACCAATTGTGGCCTCTTCCAAATCTTCCGTATCCAAATCTTCATCGCCTAACTCACCTTCGTGTGGTTCAGGCTCCGTCTTGGGGACGTAGGTGGGTTGCAAGTCTTCGGGCGTGAGATTGAATGAGCTCTCGTAATGAGTAATTCCATCTGGGTTTGTTTGGTTTAATTTAAACATATTACTCGGCTGCATAGTCTTTGGACTTGTGGGTAGTGGGCTCGAGGGCGGGGACAACAACCTCGTGGAAGAAACATTCAAAGGATCTCGCGACGAGTTGTAGCTTTCTGTCATCAAGTCATGAACTTTTCGCGCTTTTTCGCCATTGGTAACTTCTAGGTTTCTGATGGCAATGATCCTGCTTCTCAGAACACCCATCCCATCATCTGCCGGAAGCAAAGAATGGCCCACTCCATTGAGATCAGACGCGTTGCTCAGTGATCGCCTAGACCCTTCGATTGCTATCGCAGCAGTCATGTCTTCTGGCGTATTTTGCGCATTCACTGCCTCGATGTGTGAAGGTTGGGTGTTCCCAGAACTGGCCTGCTGCATATTGAGGCCAGCTTCATGTGTGTGATCGGACGAGTCATCTGTGGCAGCGGCTACATTTCGAATGGACCCAGGTGTGTCATAGTAGGCTTCTCGATTGCCCTCCGGCTGCAAGTTTCGTCCATCCATGTCTTTGGGTAAAGTTGTGAAGAAGGGAGGGCTATGCAGGGACCCCGCATCTCCGCAGTTTGCTTTATGTCTGCAGTCTTGGCCCGGTCGAGAATCTAAGCTCTCCTCTTCGCATTCGCTTATTGTGGCTTCCGGCGCTTCGCTCAGGCGAGACTCAGCTTGGTGGTCATGTGGCTGGCTAACCGGCGGGGGTGGCAGAGGTTGAGATCGTAGTCCAAGTTCAATCAACAGCGATTCGAGAAGACCACTCATGAAGGGCTGTAAGCAATCTCATTTAATCATGGATGCTGAAGACCAAAAGTCCAAAAAGCAACAAAGTTGGAGCTGAAACAAACCATGGTGAGTGGCATGTGACGTCTCCGGGCACCGCCTCTTTAAGGCTCCGATCTCCGGGTGCTGAATCATCATAAATGGTCTCACATGGGCTGTTTACTATATATTCATACTCCGCAGAGTGGTTTATTTATTTGTTCTGATAACCAAATGGTGGAGATATGTCTTTGAGGTATTTCTCATGCTTCGCGCTACTATTATCTGTCCAATACCATTGTTTACTCACATGTCTCGGACCAAACTAATACCGTATAGTAGGCGGAAACTAGGCTTGACTCTCCTGGACTCCATGGCATATAATAATGCCTTATAAATGGCACATCCTTTGCCATAGATTGTCCTGTATTCCTGTAATCAACGCGAGAGATGAGAATGACCCTAGAGTCAGCACGCCCTCCGTGGTCTCCGGAATCTTGGGGTCGGAAGGTATGCCGGTGTTCTGGCCGCGCTGATATCCAGGGGATGCAATTCATATTGGGCGGGTTGTCTTGCCTCACCTTGAGTTCATGCCCAAGGGAAGCACTGAGGCCTAACGATGCACGGTCTGGTACTCCGTACAGCGGGTCGCATCGGCGCGAAGTAAAAGTCGAGAACCGCAGACCCCAATCACCTAAGACACGTCCCTAGACTTTCATTCAAACGGTCAAGCGTCAGATTTAAATGGTCAGAGGCACATGTCCGCAACTGGTTCTCTACATGGCCGAGTCCTAAGCTCCGTAGACTAAAGCAGGGTCAGCAGCATTCTTCTCCACTGTGGGTAATGGTACTCACCGGGAATCCTTTGTGAGATGATCCTGCTCCCAGTACCTAGCCATCAAAATGTTTCTCAATATCTTATGTTCCATGCCTGCTACCTCGGTGGCTCGTTCAAGAAATTGAAGCGTCTTTGCAATCTTTGCAGGATCAAATTGCTCGGATGGGGAACGATAGGCTTTGCGTAGTGTTTTGAGTACCATATAGCGACCAGGTGTCGAGTATCGGATCGCTTTCAACCCCTGTCGGTAGAGGTGACGGTATGCGTGGACCACAGCTCGTCGATCCACCATGGCCAGGATTGGAGTATTCATGTCCGATCTGGGTTCATGCCCCAATAATGCAACGAAATAAATGGGAACGCTGGAGTACAAATGTCAAGATAGTATTGGAGGGAAGTTCGCAAAAGACGGCAGAAGAGTTGTAGCCTCAGGCACTAACCTGATCGGGAGAGGTCAACTTTTGGGCCGCAACAATCTTATCATTCCAACTCTCTCTATCGTTCCGCCTAACCTTTGCTTTCTCCTTCAACCTTTCAAGGTTCTTTATTTGTTTGCTTGTCCTGCCGTTAGGACTCGCGCAGATCTTACTAGGTGCTTGTCCCTGGACTTGGGGCAACCGCGGCCCAGAACACGTGCATCTACAGTTTGCCCTGTACTTCTGGACCCATACACAAAACACCGATATCCCTTTCCTCTCCATGGTGTGAGCCATGCTCTGAGATCTCCCTTCCAGTAAGGTTCATTCAAGAACCGAACCAGAAGGATGGCCCGTGTGATGGGCTCAGCCTTGGCCGCAGCTCGACGTGCTCCTAGTCGGGCTGTTCAACGCAGAGCTCGCAAACATAAGGTGATCATGGAGTCTGTGACACAAGAAAAGAAGAAGCTTCGAAGTGTTGTATGTATATTCTCTGTCTTTAATATCTCTGGAGTTTAACAAATTACACAGATCTGTTTTGAAGCAAAAGCACCAAGTGGCTACACCTTCATCCCAGCAGGAAACCCTCAGCTCACCACCTCATGCAAGGAGCGGTGTCGAAAGGAGAATCTTCAAATCTATGCAGTCTCGGTGAGAATGTTTTTTGGCTCGTCCCATTTCTTAACACCGCTTATAGTTTCTAGACTACCCCTCATGCTCGCACTCACAACCTTTCTCAGCATGTGCACCGGATAGGATACCATTTCCCAAGCACCGTGGTGGCTGCTGTTTGCTCCGAGCTGGGCCTCTACCTCACAAGCACTGGAAAGACGCTGCCCCTCTATGCCATGGGCATGAGAGAGAACCGCTCTCGGGCTGGCTCTGAAGTTTCCCAAATAACTTTGAACACAGATGCTAGAGACGCAATCAGGGATCTATTTCCCAACATCCCAGATGAAGATCTCAACCGGATCATCAAGACCGCATTTCAAAAGGTACGTATACCCATTTTGAGCCGAGAAAAGAAAAGGACGTGGGAAACCTGATATTTGCAAAATTCAGGGTCAAAAGAAAGTCGGGACTGCCACCGAATTGCCCATGGCTCGGAGGGCACAGCTGGCGGTGGTTGCACACATTCGTCATACTAAAACTGAGTACGATAGCCTTCTGAAAAAGTTGTCCTTCCATGAGGCGCGACACAGTGTTGAGCATGAAACCCTTAAAACAGTCATTGAATGGCGTGGTGATGATGAGAATGGCCAGACAGTCCTTGAGGATGTCTTCCGCGAGGTGATCGTCATCTCCGATGACGAAGATAGCGAATCAGAAGAAGATGCGATCACTGGCACAGGCCATCAGAGCACCAGGGTGGAGATTCTTCCAAGCGACACTCGAGCTCATAAACTTCGGACTCCGCTCCTCGGCAATGCGAACCGTTCGGGCCAGGAAACTCCCCGGGAGCTATCCGAGGAAGCACCGCCTGGATTCAGGTTTGTACCAAGAATGGCGGCAGCAAAGAATGTTGCCGACCGCCGAGGATTTAGCAGGTACCAGGCATGGAACCGTGCTATTCAGGAATACAGAGAGGGCATGCAAGGTACACAGCAAACTAGATTTGCCAGTACCGCTGCTCAAAACAAAAGCCCGCGGTATACCACGCAACGGATTGCCGCTCAAGAAGCACCTGTTTCCAGGCGCCAGGACATCGTCCCCCATGCTGAGGTTCAACAACGAATCATTCCAGGCTCTGCCAGTATGGAGAACCAGGTTCAACGATCTACTTTACCACTAATGGACCGGCAGATGGCCAACGGGAATGTAGGCGTCCAGGGCAATTACGCTCCCTCGGATCCTCAACAGAAATCCTCAAAATATGAGCTCAACACTAGGCCAATTGGACTAACCAATCAGGGATCGCCTGAACTCCAGGTATTGGAAGAACTCTCTAGACCCAGAGGTGTGAAAATGGCACTGGATCTCCCTTCTACTAGAATGGACTCCAGGTTTCGGTACAAAAGACTGCCTCCTCAGTCGGAAGACAGAGCAAATGCATCTGTGTTTGTGAGCGGACCCAAGGACACCGCCCAGAGTAGCGAAGCTCCCTCTGGACGTCGTCCTGACACCATCAGTTCCCTTTACCCTATACCAGGCTCAAAGCAACCAGAGCGCATCCTGCCATCCATTGAAACCCCCTGGTCGCTAGAGAACCGGAGAACTGACAGTTCAGTTCCGTTGGTCAACATGGCTAAAAGAATGTCGCTCCGGTCAGTCACGCCAGGCCGTCCCCAAGGGGACATGATGCATCTTAACCAGGATATCGAGCAAGATGGCAACAATAACATTTCCAGCAAAAGAAGGCGTTTGCACCATGAGGGTTCTCGACCTGAACCGCTTCCGAGGCCCACCGGGATTCCCGTACCCGAAGGGTTTGGACCAAGAGAATCCTATCGTCGCATCGATCCAGCCTCGGAACACCGACCCCAGGATCAAGTTCATCTTCGACGAGATTATCTGCCAATGGAGCAACCCGTTGTAGGACGCCAGAGGAGCCCCATTTCTTATGTCTATCCCCCGCATGCGCATGGCAACCTCGATGCAAGACCATCGGATCGACAGCATATCGATGGGCCATATCAGCATCGGTCTCAACCTGAATATCTTTCTAGTGTTCTTGTTTCTGAGGGTGATCGCACCTTCAGGGCTGCACCAGCCATCTCCAATCCTGGAACTTGGCACGCTTACGGTGATCGTAGTCTCCGCATGCCAAAGGAACCGCGTTCACACATTCGCATTGATGGTGGCCGTCTTGTGCCAGAAGAGATTCACCAGGACAGGACCTTTTATGCCGATGGCTTCGTACGCCACGTTGACATCCGGGAACCTCCTCCACTTGAATATGTCGCCCGACACTCTGGACCTGAGGCTAAGCCAACTGGAGATTCTTCCCTGCCCGCTAGAAAGAGGGTCGCTGATTATCCTGACACCAACCCGTTTTCTTATGCCCGGAATTCCCCGGACCAACGCGGACCATTGCCTATGCGCCCACGAATGGCCCCTGTTTCCCACAACCACGTCCGCACACTATCCGAATCCTCTCCGGGGAAAAGCCAACCTCATGTATCCCCTTCTCAGATTCACAGACCACTTAGTGGCGGGTTTATCTCCTCCCGGTAAGCCTTCATCGGGGAAGCCAATCATTTCACCAATAGAGACCCCCCCTTGCATTGATAGATCTCTACTAACGCAGACACAGACGTCCACCGCCTGGCCTCCCTCCATCCTCTCTGGCTATGGAGCAGAACCGACCTGTCTACGTCCAGCGAGTCGACTCGAGACCCCCCTACTATCCCATCCCAGACGGAAGACCTATTGTTATCGTTGATTAAGCGAACCTCGTTTACTTCCCAATCATTCCCCTTTCTGACTTTGTTTCTTTCCGGCGTGAGGATTTGATGTTTCGGGACTTTGCCTATTTGCATGCATCGCATTGCCTTGTTCATGATACCCTCCATATTCTTAGAACTCTATCATGGGTTTCAATTTGAATTGGGACAACCCTGTTCCCCATTGTCTATTTCATTCAAGCTTCATCACGATCATATAGAATAGCTCAATGCATGACATACTGCCGGTATATCTCGCTACCAAGGGCTTCGAGTTCAGTCTTCAGCCGTCGGCCTTTGATGGATTCACGCATTTCGATTTCCAACCAGCGCGCAGCTTGTAAACCGGAGCCCAGGTATAACTGGAATACATATATTGTAGGCATTCAAACGCTCATAGTCTGGCCGTCGGCCTCTCCCCCAGTCACGACCTTGCCGGTCTTCTTGATCGTTGCCAGAACGGTATCGTAGGAAAGCGCCGGCTCGGTGGTGACGTTGGCAGTCTGGGACTCAAGATTGACATCGAAATTCTTGACACCTGAGAGAGAAGTCATGTTAGTACGGGGTGTGCACTTGGTGTTGTTGTTATTGCTCTCGTCGGAGACAATCAAATCAACAATTGCGCGAAGTCTTGAAAGGACCCCGCATGTTCGCGGAAGACTTGCTTACCTTCGAGCTTCCTGAGAACGCGCTCTACGGCACCTGAGCAGCCGCCGCAGGTCATGGTCACGTTGAACTTGTACTGGTGGTCAGACATAGTGGAAAGTTGAATAAGGAAAGTTGGCGAGGCTGCGGGGAGGTGAGTGGGATGGGACGCGACGGCTGCAGCTTGGAGAAAAAGAAAGGGAGTTTTGGGTCTTTAAAGAAAATGTGTTCAATGAAAAATTATATATGTTTCAAGGGGCCTTTGGAAATTATTCTAGGGGCTTGCATTTGTCACACGTGTTCCATCCCTTTGAGAGATATTCGCGATTGGTTACTTCTCGGTAATTCGGCAGTAGTTCAATATTACACAGTGTATGGCATTATGACATTCATGATATTCGTGTTTTCATTATACTGGTTTCTTTTAAAATCCTGCTGCACGCTTCTTTCTCTTGGGTTTGGGCTTCTTGAAGGGATCGCGGGCTCCGAAGACTCCTCGCTCTGTTTGAGTCATTGAGACGCCCTCCATGGGTTGACTGCTTGTAAGGTTGATGCGTGGAGGACCATCTGGCTGACTTCCCCATGCCCGGACCGTGGGCACAGCTGGGGTTGGGGGAAGGGATAAGTCGCGAGTCTGAGAGCGTTTCTTTCGTCTGTTTCTGGGTGTGTTGGCCCTTGAGGCACGCCGTGTCTCTTCGTCTTCAATTCTCTTCCAAACATATTGAGAGGGATTGCTTCCCACTGACCAGTGAGAAAGTAAATTTTCCACATTTCGGGGGGTCGCACGAGGGGTCTTAAAAGTAGTAAATGCTGAGAGGCCTCTCAGGGCTGGTGTTGCAGCGTATTTCGATTGATTGACCGGTCCCGGGTTCCTTTGGGAACCAAAGGCACTAGAAATTGGCACTTGACTTGCAGAAAATTGTGATGATGGCAAGTAGCCCGAATGTAGAAGATTCTTCTGTGCCACAGCCTTTTCATTTTGATCTTGAGTCACGTCATCCAGCGTGTTGGAGATGCCGACAAGACGTGATAGAAGAAGATCGGCAGCAATTCCTCGAATGACTTTTTCTTTCATAATGCGCGTGTGCGTGGGGATATGGTGAGAGAGACTGGACATCCAATCATCGACTAGGCGATCATATGTTTGAAGAAGCCCTATGTCGGCGTCACCTGATAGAGTGACCGGAAAGTCCTGCAATTCTTTCGGGAATCGAAGCGGCAAAGTCAGGATTCGAAATTTGGCGTCAGAGTCCTGGGAATCGGGTATGAGTTCTGAGACGAGATGCTTCACATCATCCGCGCTTTGGTCGAGGTCGTCCCCAAAGATTCTTCTATTGCCGCCCATCTCGACCCTGTAGAGAATTAGCGTAGTCCTGGCGACGTCTCTTTGACCACTTACAATGTTTCGCTCGGAGATTGCTTTGTCGTTAATTGTTTAATATCGCTTTGTAGACTCGCAATTAACTCGTCCACAGACCTTGGCTTTGGCTTGTGCCTCTTTTTCTGGTTTGACTTCGTCTGGATGATTTCTGCTTTGCCTATCACCATATCATAGATGTATGAGAAATCTAGTGTCCATTGAAGATCCGAGCCTGTCCGAGTGGGAGCTTTCTTGCTTTTGGGGCGATGAACAATCTGTTGCGGTACCACTGATTCATCCCAATCATCCACGATGAAGCTATCGTCGACTTTGCCAACTTTTGTTGGAGCATATCGCTTCCTCGGTCGCAGGATGCTGTCTTCGCGATATAAATCCGGGTCGTCGGGGTCTCCTTGAGGTCCTTTGAAGGTTGATTCATGGACAGCAAGATTAGAATCCATCCAAAAAAGCTTGATGACGGTCAAATGAGGTTTGTGGTCATCCTTGATCAGCGCTGCCATGTGGGCAACTTCTTTGAAGATAAATGATGAAAATCTCACAGGCGACTCTCGCACTGGCGATATATCCGCCAGAAGTGGTGCATCGAGAATGAGTGGATCAGAAACTGATAGAGCCTCGGTCTGTTCGTCGGCTATGAATGGACATGGAAATATCTGCACAACTGGAGTGAGCTGTGAGTATAGAACCAAGTACAAGTCTGGACAAGTTAGTATTTCGAACTTGGTCGTGGTGGCGTCAGTGCCTACCTTGATATACAACTAGATCAGTCAATCGCAATGTTGTATCTTCCGGATCTCTGAAGTGTTTCCAAGAGAGACGAGGATATAGCGATGAGTTCGTTTGCTCGTCGCCAGACAAGACTCCAGCATCAAACCACAGTATCCGAGCTGTCGTCAGCACAAAGAACTGCGAAGGATTGCGTTGGTTTCGTTGGACTGCCAGAACCCATTCGGATTGCTTTGACATCCCTAGTTCAACCGTACGTGGTTGGATTTGGGTATCAACAATTGGATAGATCATGATGTGGTGGCGATTGGCGACAAGTATTGTTCCAACATCAACTATCCACTCGATACTTGCCCAACCATCAAGTTGAGGGCGGCGCGACTTGAGTTTATGATTCACTGATGGCAGTGTATTCTTCCGCACAGGCATGGCTGACCAAGTAGCCTTTTTTGACCGCTGCCTACCTGTGATTTCCCAGACATACCAGTTACCTTTGACATCTACAATGCCAACTTGCTTTTGATACCAAGGATTGAATGCAACATCGGCATGCGAGAAGCCGCCCGTTTCCGCAATCGATATATCCACCACCGGATTTGCATCAAGTCGAGAGTTCTGTAAAGGCTTTGAGGATCTCATCATGACATCCGCTGGGAAGTGCATATGCACCGGATCCCAGTGATAGAGAGGTCGGAAGATTGTGGTTGATGTGGGAAGACGAGCGGCCATAAATATAGGCTTCTCCTCCAAGGGCCGGGCAAAGTGTACCTGACGAATCGGCGCGCCACACTTGGACCATTCAGTCATTTCTGTGTTATCAATTGACGGGGCACGCATAGTGGAATCCTCCATAGGCAGATGCAGTGTTTCCTCCTCTATTGTTCGGAACGTTATCATATTGCGACATTTTCCGCTCACGGCCACCGCGATTGGGATCGAGCGAATCCTCCTATCGCGGTGCCTCAGATCGATGGCATAGCCGAGGTCAAAAAGTGAAGAAACCTCTGGATCATATTTTTCGGTTGTGTTGATCACAGCTTTTGAGAAAGGTTCTTGGCGAAAGGAAGACCATGAGGCTGCTAGTTCGGGGTGGGAGCTTGCGATGAGCTTCCCGGCATCCTTTTCGGGCACCCTCGGTGTTGGTCGCGCTTCTGTGTAATTATTTGATGGCACCTTGGTATTGGTCACCCCAGTATATTGGATCGAGGGAACTTAAAGAACGTTAGCAAGCTTGAAAGAATGAGGATAGACCGGTGATCACCTCTAGCCAAGGACCGAGTGAATGTCCAGGCCTTCGCATCAGGAAGATAGACAGGCCGTCCCAAATGCCCATAGTACAGAGCACTGTCAGGATTCTCATCCATCAGATCTGGTGCACTTTGTCAGTGCGAGATCCCAGACCATCTTGACGTATGAAGTTGAAGATCCAGAAAGTTTTCTGTTATCGATAAGCACGCTTGGGCCCCGTTGCGCCGCAACCCAAAACAACCTCACGCGTCAACTTCAACCTCACACCCCTCTAAACAAGATATTTTGTCGCAGACTATGGCTTTTGAACCATCTCTTTCAACGAGTGGCATGCGCCCTCCACTTGCCTCGGCTGATGCGCCATCAATGGCGGACTCGTTGCCCAGCATCAACTTTGGGTTCGAGGACCTGCGCAATCGCATGGCCCAATTTACAATCAAATTCGATGCATTCATTGAGAGAGGCCGAAAGCAAGTCCTGGAAGAGCGTAATCAGTTCCATATCAATCTGGCTGAGCTTGAAGGTATGATAAGCAACAACTTCCTCTTCTTTCCCATGACTAACAAAGCCTGTAGAGGACAAGCGGATGCGACAGCGCGACATCGAAATTCTCACATTGAAATCACAAACACACGAGCAGACCCTCCAGAAAGAAGCGGCCGAGGCTGCTGAAATGCATGCCGCCATCTCCTCTATCACACTGGAACGTGATTCCCGCCTCACCAAGCGTGACCGTTTGAAGCAGCAGATCGCAGAGACCCAGAAATCCATCAACGTGAAGCTCGAGGCGCAAAAGGCACACGCAAAACAACTAGATGCTCAATCACGTCTCAACTTCCCGGAGCTAGATTTCTGGCAGGACTATTTGTGTATACGGATTGAGGGTGCGGGCCGCGAAGACCGACTCAAATTTGTTTACAGCCATTTGTTGGAGAAAGATTGGGAAGCAGAAGCTTGGTTTGAGTTGGGCACTGCCAGTCGGGACTACGAGGTGTTCCATACACGTCCCAAAGTTGACCGAGATGCTTTGGAGGGCGTGGTTGATCTTGTTAATGATGATCGAGATTTTGGAGCATTCTTGAAGCGAATGCGCAAGTTGTTCGTTGAAGCTATGGACTAAGGCTAGGTTTAGAACGTTTTGGTACTTGTTTCCAGTACGAATGTTCATATATGTTTCGGTAGTCATGCCTATGGTCCATTGATATCGTCACAGTATTAACGTTTCTTTCAAACATGTCAAGTTGCTTCTTTATCCCGTGGCCTCGCGGTAAAATGCGATGCTTCGGTTGGCGCCAGCAGTTGCAAATCCCTCTGTCTTCCCGATCTTTGGGAGCCATTTGGCACTCCACACAGCCTTCTCTGTCTCGGAGTGAGTAGCAACGCAGTTCTTGGTCTCCATGGACCAGACTTTAACCTTGCCGTCGAATGAACTTTGTAGGGTTAGCTTGTGAATCATGCTGGGCGCAGAAAGGGCACACTCACCTGCTCAGAAGATATTCACCAGTGTTGCTCCAAGAAAGGGACAAGACCCATCCAGAATGACCGGATAGGTTGGCAATTTGTTCTCCCGAGGAAGTGTCGTAGAGCACAATCATCTTGGAGTCACCAGCTGCTGCCAGAATCTTTCCTCCGGGCGAGAAGGCTACGTTTCTTACGGGTTTAACCAAGCCTGGGGTCGGTCAGAAACGGAAGCTCTGCGGATTTGAGGCAGTGTCACTTACCTGAGAGAGAGAACGGCATGCGCCCTGTTTCGGTAGTAAAGATGTAGACAGCGCCGTTTTCGTGGCCAGAAGCAATGAAACGACCATCAGCAGACTGCCAAATTTCTTAGCTTGAAGTGATGGTATCGTGCAACATCTTGGGACTTACCAAGTCAATACAATACCCGAAGCTACCCTTGGTCTCGTGGTCTCGGATTTGAGTACCATTAGCAGCCAAATCGAATACATTGATGCGTCCCTCCTTGGTAACACCAGCAAGGTACTGTCCATCTTCAGACAGAGCTATGGCCCAAAGGTCAACTGCCTTGAGGTCGGCTGTGTACTCATCAGCACATTGCGGGGGATCAAAGCAAATTCAAGAACTCGATTTACCAATCACTTTTTGGTCGGCAACCCAGTAGCCATCCTGGCATGCCCAGGCCTTTATTTTACCATCGAATCCAGCACTGATCGCGCGTGAGCCTCTGGCATCGGTCACAATGTGGTGGCACCCAATCTCGTGGGCATCTTCGATGGACTGCGCCAGTGGGAACTCGGTGTCTGCAGTGGAGTGCACTTTGATAGAAGGAGAGCCTGACACAGACAGGACTTGCTTATCTGTTACGGCCAGTGCGAAAATATCAACAGAGTGCGCTGGGGTCAAGTTAGCTAAATTCGGATGGACGATGTCAATATTGCCCACCATTGTCCGCAGCACCCCAGGAGAGATATTGTTTCGACTATATCACGGTCAGCAAGATGACCAAGTTTTTATGCAGAAGCGAACATACCATTCCGGGAATGCCTGGCTCTCTCAGAGCTTGGTTGAGACTTAACGAGTGTTTGTAGGAGCAATGACGTTCGGGGCCTCGCGAAGCCCGCTTCCGCCTTTATCGGCTACAGCACAATCAGCACTACAACTAGGAATGTTGTCTCAATTGGTTTGAAGTTACATTTACGAGGGTCCCGATCTATATTGAAAGTCTCACAGTGTTGCTATTCAATCTATTTGATCGAATTGTAAAGTCATATCGAAAAAGTTTTCCCCGCAAAAACCAGACGCCATTTGCCATGCAGCATATTTCCACAACCAATTCTAGTAGTACAATCACTTATTGGGCGTGCGATTGAGGCCGCGAGGTTGCTCAAGCCCAGCCCAGTCCTTTATATCCTGTCCATGGCACCTCATGCGGTCTCCAGGGCCTTCCACGACTCCTTGATATCTGTTCACTAAGTCAGCTGTTCCGCGATCACCCACAACCGAAGTCTTTTCTCAGCAGTCAAGTAGTGATCCCTACCTTTGACACAGTGTGGGCACAAAAGATGGGCACGCTTGATTTGGCCACAGCCAGGGCATTTGACGAGGTTGGTCGTATCCTTAAGCGCCTTGCCGGCCATTTGGCGATGACGCTTCTTCATGTGGGAGGTTTTCTTTTTGGGGACGGCGCGCAGGACAGATTCCCACAGATCAGTCAGAATTCCCGGGATGTTGAGGGAAATTGAGACGGGTTGTAGGAGAGCGCTGGTTGCGATGGGTTTAAGGAACCGAGTGAATCCGGAGACAGGAGCCGTTTCGGAAAGGAGGGAGCGCGACATATTGGCAGCAGGAGCGAACGGGAGTAGGCGTAAAGCCATGGCGACTGGTAAAAGGGCGAAAGAGGAGGATGCGGGTATTGAACTAGTAGAGCTATCACAGTGAAGCAAAAGAAGATCGTAGTTTTCTCCGGAGCCACGCTAGTCCCAATTAGGCATAGCCCACCCCTGAGTGGAAAGTACAGAATAAGGGGTGATACTTGCCCGGAGTCACTCTTTGGCATCTTTGGGGGATTCTTTTGTTTCTGTCTTTCGTTCTTCACATATCCTCCCACTCATAATGGCCGCCGCTACTACTGCAGCTTCGGCTCAGCAGCCCACTGTTTTCCCCCACAGCCATGTCGGTTTCGACAGCATCACTTCCCAGATCGAGCGGAAGCTGTTGAAGCGCGGCTTCCAGTTCAATGTCATGTGTGTTGGTACGTGATGCTTATTTGCGACTCACCAAGGACTCAGCTAATCAAGAATCGCGCGTTAGGTCAAACTGGTCTCGGAAAATCTACCCTTGTCAACACTATCTTCGCGTCCCACCTGATCGACTCCAAGGGCCGGTTGACCCCCTCTGAGCCCGTTCGCTCTACGACCGAAATTCAAACCGTGTCGCACAGTATGTCTTGGATATTGGAGAACATTTTTTGGGAGGAAAACAGCTGACCGGGTGTCTAGTCATCGAGGAGAATGGCGTTCGTCTCCGTTTGAACATTGTTGACACACCTGGATACGGTGACCAGGTCAACAACGACCGATGGTATCTTGAACTCTCTCGCAAATCTTCCAGGACTACGCTAATTGTGCCCGCAGCTGGGACCCTATCGTCAAGTACATCAAGGATCAGCACTCGGCATACCTCCGCAAGGAACTCACTGCTCAGCGTGAGCGTTACATCCAAGATACCCGTATCCACTGCTGCTTGTTCTTCATTCAGCCCTCAGGCCATGCGTGAGATTACCCCGCAAACTTTTGGGGCATTCCCTAGTCCATTAAACTAATTTATGACTCGCATATAGCCTCAAGCCCATTGATATTGTTGTTCTCAAGAAGCTGTCCGATGTCGTCAACGTCGTTCCCGTTATCGCCAAGTCCGATTCCCTCACCCTTGAAGAGCGCCAGGCTTTCAAGGAGCGTATCAAGGAGGAGTTCTCCTTCCACAACCTGAAGATGTACCCTTATGATAATGACGAGCTCGATGATGAGGAGCGGGCTATTAACGCCCAGATCAAGGTATGCTTGACATAAGTGAATCAATTTGGATCTGATATTGACCTCGGATACTAGGACATCATTCCTTTCTCGGTTGTCGGTAGCGAGAAGACCATTGTTGTCAACGGCAAGCAGGTTCGCGGCCGTCAGAACCGGTGGGGTGTCATCAACGTCGAGGACGAGAACCACTGTGAATTTGTCTACCTGCGCAACTTCCTGACTCGCACCCACCTTCAGGATCTGGTAGAGACCACCAGCCAGATCCACTATGAGACCTTCCGTGCCAAGCAGTTGCTGGCCCTGAAGGAGAGCAGTGCTGGCGGCGGTGGTCCCCACACTGGTGGCAGCCGCCCCATCAGCCCTTCGGCTGACCGTGAGCTTAGCCGCAACTCGCAGCGTGCCGCTATGAACGGATACTAAACTTGAGTGTTAATATCTGACGCCAGCACTCTGACTGTTGCGCCGCGGAAAGCAGACCCCACGGGCAAGGCTGTCCTTCCGAAAACTTACCGTCCTCTTTGACACCAGCAGGCCCTTGCAGATATCCCTTTTTCTTTTGCGTCTTCTATTGTTTTCGTCCCATATGTATCCAACATCCCATCTTGTCTCTTCTTGGGACCCTTTTTTCCTTGTCTAGGATTTTGTATTTTCGGGGAAAAAGACTTGGCACTCTAGCGCTTGTGCCAACTCTGGTGCTTTCCATGTACTTTGTTTTCTTAATCATGAGAAACTTTTAATTCTTGGAGATAATTGTGCCCCATTCGCTATAAGCAGGAAATGCAAATATAGATCAGATATCAAGTATCAATATCAATAAAGAGCTTGCTTATTGCGATGCTCCAAAACGACCACCGTCAACGACCCAATCGCGCAGCTCTACGTACGCCTTCTCGAGGTCATCATTGACAACAATCTTGTCATGAGCACCTTCCTGCTTAGAGTACTCAAGCTCGTTATGCGCCTGCGCCAATCGCTTCTGCAAGCTATCCTCGGTCTCGGTGCCCCGGCCCCGTAGGCGCTTCTCCAGCTCTTCCAAAGAAGGCGGCGCAAGGAACAAGAACCGGGCATTGAGGTCGGTCTTCTTCACCTGCTTAACACCCTCCATTTCAATGTCGAGGATACAGATTCTCTCCTTCTCGGCAATGTTCTTCACAGCCTGCACACTAGTGCCGTAGTGGTTGCCCCCGAACTGGGCATGTTCAATGAATCCGTTTTGTGCGACGAGGTCGAGGAATCCTTCCTTGGTAGTGAAATTGTATTCGCGGCCGTCCTTCTCGCCGGCGCGGGGGGCGCGAGTGGTATCTGTGTGATGAGTAGCCTGGTCAGCGTTTCTTTCCCAATTTCTTGTCGAGGTTTCGCTTCTATCAGGTTCACGTCGGCACTAGGTCGTGTGCCCCGCGGTTCACATACGGGAGATAGAGAACCCAAATGTGTCAGGGTACTCGGCGAAGAGTCTCTTGAGGAGTGTCGACTTTCCAGTACCCGAGGGGCCGGAGATGACGACTGGGCGGAACTTTTGAACTGATCATTGATGTTAGATTTGGCCTGTCGCATCGCTCAAGTGGCGGGGTTCATGGTCTGTGATCATGTGGTCGATGAAAACATAGGTCGCTTACCAGCACTAGGAGCCATTGTGGATACAAAGCGAGTGGTAGGGTGAAAGGGTCTAATTGACGCTGTAATGGCACGGAAAGATGAGGGGAAATGCATACGGAGACAAATGCGACAGCGCTAGATTTCTTGATGCGGCTACGAAAACATCCGGCAGAACAAAGGCGGTGTATATCAGGGCAAGTATCAAATATCAATATCCAAGTTCTACCATTTATACATACACGCGGTCTAGGACTTAGGAGGCCCTTGGTGGCTCCCTCGTCTCGTAGTGTTCATGTTACCCACTTCTGCTTCTTGCTCCAGGAAGTTGGACCATAGTTCGGCCAGCGTCTCTTTGCTGGAGGCGCCGTTATCCATGAAGTCTGTGGCGAGGTTTGGTGTGCTTGGGGTGCGCATGGGTGTTCCTGGAACCCGGAGCTTCGCAGGCATACTCGATGTGCCTGGCCGGGCAAGGCCTGCTTGCTCACGTTGCTCTATGACCGATTGTTAGACACGCTAGAGTATCTCTCGTATGCAATGTGGGCTTACCATCATTCCAGCCCAATAACGCTGCAAACAGCTGTAGGATCTGGAACTTCTTTGGATCAGATCGATCTAATGCAAGGAAGTGTAGTAAATGGTTGGTGACAATATGCCTGTATGTAGTCAGTCAAGCTGGTCAAGTATTAATTGCCTTGGATAGCTAACCTGTCGACATTGTCTTCTGGTTTCCCCTTTTTGAGGAATCGTAAAGCTTTCGTCAGGTGGTCATTCAGCGTGACTGCTTCATGTCTCAATTTACCAATGAGAAGGTTCTTCTCTTTGACCTCCTTCTCGAATGGCCGGACTCTCTCGATCTCTTCTTGGGCATTCTGGAGACCCTTGTCAGCATCTGTGGCCTGCTTCTGTGCTTCACGCAGGGAGCGTCTCAGATCTTCAAGTTGAGCATCAGAGCTCTCGACAAGCTCCCGCAGCTCCTGCTTTCGTGCCGATTGGATTTCCTGTAGAGCACGTTGTAATCCATCAACTGTCGACTGCTGGGTATCGCGCTCATCGGTGGCTTTTTCGTATGCGTCTCTCAAACTACTGAGCTGCTCCTCCAGATCCCCGACCTTTTCGTTCAGGTTCTCCCGGATAGAGCGCTCCTCCATAGCCAGCACTTCCCAGTTGTGCATTGCCTCCTTTGCTTGTTCAAATTCAGACTGGATGTACGACTCTTGTTCGAGTAGTTCTTCCTTCTCCTTCAGCCAGTTTTGCTGTGATAGGCTCGTTCGATCCCGGAGAGTAGAGAGCTCCTTGTCCTTCTCTGCTGACTCGCCGGAAAGTTCAACGAGCTGGATAGACTTGGATTCGAGCTGCTCATTTAGGCTTCTGTTCTCATCTTCGAGATCCTCAATCTGCGATCGCGCTTGAGACAGTTCCTCCTGCATAGCATTATGAGACGAGTAGCCCTAGAAATGAAAGGTAGTCGAACGTACCGCATCCTCCTTGAGTCGCTCTCCTAGCTGCGACTTGATCGTATTAACTCGCTCCATCAGCTTCTGGAACTGCGTTTCAGCATGTGCCTTCTTAGTCTCTGCGTCGTCCAACTTCTCCTGCAACGCCTCCATGTCCGCACTGTGCTTGGATTGTATCTCCTCCAGTGACTTCCGCATGTCGGCCACTTCTGCGCGTAAGGAGTCGCGGTCTCGAACGAGTGCATCGAACCGGTCCTTGGGTTCGGTGCCATCGGAGGCGGGGTCGGACTGTTTATTGGAAGTGGCAGCAGCGTCACTGTCAGCATTCGGCTGAATATTATTGACAGATCGATTTGGTAGGATGTTGCCTATCGTGTCGGGCTCGGCGCCATTAGATTCCGGTTCTTCATCTTCTACGGGGGTCGCGCTGGCATCATGGGGCTCGGTCTAGAAAGGGTCTCAGCAACAGGTTTACGCTGCCAATCAGGATGTGTGCCTCACATACATTCATGTCATCATGATCTGACGCATCTGGGTGCCCGCTATTCTGGTGGTCGGACTTGGCTTTGGCACTCTTCTTCTTGTTCTTCTTCGACTTGGCGCCTTTGAGCGGGGTCAGTGGATTCCAATTCAATCATAAGAATGGACCTACTTGGAGCGACAATCGGTGGAATGCCCTCAGTCATGCTGTGTGGTGTTGGGGAGATGGTGAATTCCTAAGGTTCGCAAGCTGTCAACACGCTAGCGCGGCTGGCCCTTCCCGGCGATGATTAATCCCCTTGTTTTACTTCACCCAGATCTACTCGACTTTCTCTGTTTCCCCAGGATTCTTCTCAATTCAATTGAATTCGGTGTCACCTTTAAGCAGTGAACTGACCAATGCGCCTGTGCCCCGTGTCCACTATACTTACTTATTCCGGATGGTACACAACTTTCATCTATAGTAAAACAAGCAGATTCGCCAATCATGCGCATTTGTGCATTGGTTTTGAAGAGACATATCCACACTAAATTCCATTTGCCATATCCTTGGTCTCATTTATGAGTCCATTCTGAGATTCGCACTTCGCATGCAGGGTATAATTCTCGCTTTGGGTGGTGGCACAACGGTCATCTCTTGAGAGCATCACATGAAGTCGTCCAGGAAATCAGGGTCGCGATCCTGGTTGTTGCTGGCCTCCATGTTCTCCTCGCTGAACATATCGTCATACGCATGATCCTTCTGCCACTTCAGCTGTTCATGCTCTCGCTGTTTCTGCTTCTCCTTCGCGCGGAGTTCCTCTCGTGTTTTGCGGTCACTGCGCTGCTTCTTCTTCGTATCCTCCTCCTTTTCGGCTCGAAGATCAGGGAACTTCTCAAGCTTTGTCTTGTTGAGTCGGTTGACGATAACGTTCTCACGCTGTTTCACGTAGACCTTGCGGACTAGCTTGTGATTGTGGAAGGTGACCTGGCCAGCCGCCATCGATCCGTCCTTCTTAAGGTTTGACCAGGGAGTGTAGATAATAGTAATGTTGTCCTTCTTGTTGCCTACCCGCAGAGTCAGGTTCCGTTACCAAGATGCTTGGGGTCATGTCGATGGCTGACCTTCAATAGAGTTCGCTTTTGTAAGCTGGGCGCAGTCCTCTAGAAGCGGCTCAGCGATGTTCTCCCACGTTTCGCCCTCGCGAAGGCGTACGTAGACGTGTGCGCTGGACAAATTATCGACGTGGAACTGTAAAGGTACGATGTATTAGAGGTGGCGGCGCATGTGGAAGGAGAAGACTAACCCTGTTGCGCAAGTGAGTCAGTGACAAATTTCTGCAAATAGGTAACGGTTATCATACCAGACATCATTGTCCAGCCCATATTGAATGAGATCCTCATCTGGCAACGTTAGAAAGTTTCCTCGGGGAGACCAGTCGGTGGCATACTCTCGAATTTGTCCTTGCCTACATAGATGAAGGCAGAGGGAGAGACCACATTGGATGTGAAGTAGTAGACCATGGTGGCAATTCCCAGACTCAGACGTCGCTTTAACAATTGGTAGTCAAAAGTTCGATTGTTGGTGGGGGAACATTTATCAGTCTATCTATAGCTTAGTCATCTCTATAGATCTGGTTCATTTTACGTCCATAGTGAAAGACATAGAAGAGGGTGGTTTTGTGGTATTCAGTTGAATTGAATTCTAGTCTTGGGCATAATTTAAAATGCATTGAGGAAGGTAGACATGACAGATTTTGACATCAGTAAAGTACCCAGACCGTGCTCGCCGTCAGGAGTTCATAAGCTCATGAGCTCATGAGCTCAGAGATTCCCACGCACGCTCCATGCTCGAGTCATGCAATTGAGACATGATACACAGATAAAATTGACGCAAATTAGACGGACACATCGATTCTGCTAGCGGCGATCTGATGGTTTGTTTTTGCGTCTTCCGGTGAGCAGAAGGATTTTATTTCCGTTCCACTGCGCCTGTTCCCGTATCCCAACAAGTCTTGGCTTGCAGCGTATGAAATTCATATCGGCTATACTTAACAAGTCCACCAGTCACCTTCCCAGCCTTGATGGGGGTCAATGGCCGCAAATAGAAAGAATACGGGGCCTCGTATCCGGACGACCCAACCGAGCCCGATAGTTGTTTATATTGGGATCAATGGTTGCATTCAAAGCTAGAACATGCTTGGTATACTCGTGAAATATACTCAATTGGAGAGATCTGTTTCAGATGGTCAAAAAGCCACGTCGGAAGACAAAAAGGAAGTGAGGCCGGGAGATCCCCGGAAGTTGGCCGATTTAGAGTTGCGCCTTTTTGTGGACCTCAGGCACATTTCTTCGCCTCCTCACAACTTGGGAGTTTCGGGCTTTGATGATCGTGATGCTCTCATCGATGGTCTAGCCTCTTCCGATAGCTCTTAGATCGGGTCCTCGAAACGAGGCAGTCGGATCCATCGGGATATGCTCGGCAAATATGAAGTTTGGACTTGCAATTAACCCGTGGAATTGGCGATGTAACCAAATCCCAGGTCACCATGCACAATTGCGTCTGCATCTGCATCTGCATCGGTTGAAACGCGTCACCCTGAGAGTGATGGGTCGATGATTGTGAGAGAAAAGGCAAAACAGCCGGCCGGAGTTCCCATGAGGTTATTACGGAGCCAACATGGGTCCCTGCAAATTTCGATCTTCCGGAGGTGCACCGCGCTTTTGTTTCGGACGAACAACCCCTTGTGGGATCAAGCACAGAGGATCGATAAAAAGGTTCACGGCCTCCGAGAAGAAAATTGCGTGTCTCGGAAGCGAGTCTATATCCAGGTCGGCTCCAAGCAGCCGTTTCAAAATGGCCCAGTGTGATCACCGGCCTAGATCCGCCCTACACCAATGGGAATATTCCGAAGGCGTTATTCAGTGAAATCAAACTGGCCTTCGTGTTTATATCGGTACTGATTGGAATGTCTAGCTCCGGGAATGAAAGTCCCACGAGCCTCAAACTCCACCTAACTGATGCACCGGACATTGGCTGGGGGGTCACACTTCCCCCGGGAGCCTAATTGGTGCTCTCGGCTGGTCTACGGACGTTAAGCGACCCTGGCCCTTGAACCTCTATCGAATCATGCCGGTTCATCCCTTAAATTGTCCGAGAAAACCGTTACGCCAAGATACATAGTACATTCCTTGCCACGGGCGAGCCCGCAAACTACACACCCCACCTTCGGCCTTATGAGTTTCCTTTTTTTCTATGGAGAGAGAGAGCTATCCCTTCTGGTTCCTAATGCTTCCCACTGCCAATCTCCGAGCCGGAAATACCGACCCTGTTCCTGACCTCCCACAGAGGCATCTCTGCCTTTAGATGTCACACTCTATGACCTTATGAACATAGGTTTCGGTCCACTGGCCCGGTTTTCCCCTCCCGTTGCTCCACCCCGGTTCCCCATTTATTTATTGAAAAGATTCAGTTTTTCCGGGCCTGCAGAGTTTCATTTCTGCCGCTCGGAAATCCTCTTTCCTTTTAGTCGAGCCCTCGCGGCGCGTCTTCCTCTCTTTCTCTTCTATCCCCCAATCTCCCATTCCAAAAGAAAGACCGCCCCGATTCCTTGCGCCGACGCCCTTGAATCCGCTCCGATATGTCCAATCCACCGTTGTCTAAAAGCTGGGTGGACATTCGTCGGGCTCTAGAGGAGGCTCGGGACCTCAGCGCAGACACTGCAGCCAACACCCTACTGGAAACCGTCGCGGGAGAAATATGGGCTCGGATACAGGCTCAACCAGACACCTACCTTCTTAGTCGAGACGAGTTCGCCGTTTTCAATTTATACCGAACACGATACCCGGGCGAAACCGCCCAACGAGCTGTGGCTCGTTTCTGGGATAGCTATCAGGGAGGCAATTCCAATGGAAGCAAGAAATAGCTGGGGGGGCGGGGGCAACGAAATATCTACACCGGTAGATGATGACTGAACCTGGCTGAAAGGATGTTCTACGTCTTCTTTCCCTTTCCGCGGAGGGGCCTTCGCAGCCCTGCTCACCGTCACAAGAGATGCAGATAGAGAGTGTGGCTCTAACGCGCCCGATATTCGGCATCTGCAGCCTCCACCGCTCTTCCTCCTCTGGATCTACTGCATGGGCACCCATTCAGCCCAGGAACTTGGCCCGAGCAGTACATCCCCCCCCCGGGTATCATTTTATTTTTCCCCATGTGGAACCCGCACGAGACCACCTCAGTCTTTCTACAATTCGATTCTGGATAGGTGGAAAAGGATGGGCTGGCGTTTGCTATTGGATCATCGGGATCGACCCGGTGATATTCTCAGCAAATCGAAGGAACCGTGTTCCTGGTCACGTTGCCATCTTGCTGGTTGTATAGGCCGGCGAGGTGGTGAGGGTATGCATGTATGCCTTGCGCTCCCTTTGTCTTCCTGTGAACGAGCTTTTTTTGTACAGGGAATAAGTCAAGGGGTGTTCGGATCCCTGTTTTGATTGGGACACACTACATGCGTCGGGCTTCTATGCCTTGCAAAAGAGGGGGGGGGGCAACAATATATGAGTTCTTGTTTATCAAGGCCTAAAAAAACGATACAATTGATGATAATTAATTTTAGAGTCCAGGATATTGAGCAGTCGCTTGATGTATAATATATATATATATATATATATAGATGGGAATTGCGGAAGCCCTGTCTTCTCCTGTTTCTAAATTAACCGTTTAATTAACATATTATTAATCGAGCAAAAGTACTACACAGAATGCCGGATATGCGTGTGACAACGTTAGCAAATCTCCGAGCTCTTTTAATCTCGGGGCCCTACTGCGAGTCATTGCCTAGTGCCGCGGTACCACCCGCGTATATCTACTCTCAGGGGAAAGCTGGGAATTTACTGTACATACCCGAAAGGACAATTGCACGAAGTTTATGTTCTTTCTCCCATCGAGACTGACCCAAAAGATGAAATGACATGGACCTGTGTTCCGAATGGATAGAGATTGAGGTGATATCAAATTGCCGCAGTCCTCGCCATTACAGACGCGGGTCAAGTCTCGGTTAGGGGAATTAGTTGCGCGTCGGCTCTGAATATAGTGGAACAGTGTACCAGGATAACTTAATTTATTCATATACCGAAGAGTCCACCTGGTTTTGTATGTTCTTCGTACCTGCAACGCTAATGCTGTGTTCCGAAATCCCCCTTCTCCAAGATTCGCTTCCATGCCAGGACTTCCTCAGTATAGCGAATTGTCGGCACAAGAGAAGCTGCCTCCCGCAACCCCTTCTCGTATGTTGTGAAAGATAGACCGAATGGACGAATACAACCCAATAATGCACTGGTGGCGTAAGTCTATCTCCTTCACTAGTTATAGGTGATCACTCACAATCAGGAATCCGAGAAACACGAGTAAGATGTTGAAGCCAAATAGAACAGTCTGTCTCCAGGTAAGGAACCAGCAGCTGCGATTTAAATAGAGCTAAAAGAGCTTAGGCAAGCTAAATGAAAATCAACTGGCAAACAAGGAGCTCTGATGATAATTATCAGTACTCGATGCTTGTGCGTAAATGTTAGATAGGCCGTACATACCGCAAGCCCTAGTACATCGTTGAAGACCGGGATCCCCTCGGCAATTATCCAGGACATGATCCAAAGCACCACAGAGAGCATGGCCCACACAGCTCGCGCCATGAATGATTGACTATGCATCGAGCTGGTCCCCCGGAAAGCACGAACGTATATGAATTTGACTGCAACATGAGCATTTACCACGCCCCCAATTACAATCTTGAATCAAATGTCAGCTCAATCACAACAAAGCTCATGAATTAACATACCGTGGGAAGTGCGATGGTGTAGGAAATCTTGCGAAATGATTCTTCTGCAGAATTGAGAGCGGGCGAGATGACAGCCGGTCCAACGTATACATATATCACAATGGCCGAGACCGTGTATAGGACCATTTCACTCAACTGAAGCAGCGCGAGAGCTTTGGGGAAGTCCTTGATCTCCTTGAGCTCAGAGAAGAGTGTGAAGAATGCGACATGACCGGCATATGCAAAAATTACATTTGCAACAGCAAGGCACGCATCGTGTACTTTGGGCTTGGGCGCAAATAGTTGGGTATGAGTAGATCCTGTCTTCACAAGAGCGACTCCAATCATGCCTGTGATCACCGCCCCGATGATACTGACAAAGCTGACATAGGAGATGTGAGAGAGCCTCTCAAGTCGTCGGGGAAGGGTCAGCAAGAATGATACAAGTAAACCAACAATGGAAAAGATCACAGTACAGGTGGAGTGTTCAGTGAGGACATTCATCATGATCGAGAAGGAGAGGACGTGGCTCCCCATGATCAGAACAAAAAAGACAAGCTGAGCAATGTCGAGTGTGGTGCGTCCGACTCTTCCAATCAGAATATCACCAGCATCAGCCATACTGTGAATCTGCATATGACGGCATTTGAATTGCCCAATGGTATATGCGGTATATGTAGAGATGAGTCCAATGGCGAGGATGGTCAGGATGCCACTGGTAGACAGGTTAGTTCAGTGGTCATCCACTGGGAAGCGGAACTATACGGAACAAGACCCAGTGTTGCAAGTGCTTTGGGCAGTGAGAGGACCCCAAGCGATATGGTCTCCGCAATCATGACTGGCACTGTTAGCTCGAGTCATTCAGGGCTCCAGGGCTGATAAACTTACTCATGCCTGCTTGCCTGTGAACCGAATGAGTTTCTCATTGTCAGTCATCAGAAAGACACTCACCACCAAGCCATGGTCTTGTATTTCACGCCAGTCTGGCTCTCATCTCCGAAGGGATCTTTTCCCTCTGGTCTTGTCTTCGATAAGACAGCTTCCTCACTTTGCAAGGTATCCAGCTTCAGCATGGATTCGGGTGGACTAAGTTGGGACTGATTGTGCAGGTCCATGATGAAATACATGGGAGACAGACTCCGTGGAGAGAGGTATAAAAGGTAGAAATGAAATTTGGAAGTTGGAGCTACGACAGTCGTAGCTTCCGTGTGAAATATATTTGATTCGGGCATCTGCGGGCCAAAATGGGAAAAAGGAAAACAAACCAATAAGAAAAAAAAAACAAAAACGCTTCTATTTATACAAAGCCCGATCTCTATATACCACACATTATCTATTTGGCTGCGACAGCAGGGGGAGCCGAGGTTGTTGCACGAACATCACTCTCGATCATGTCCGCAGGGGGTTCTGATAATAGTCAGTACGGAAATGTATAGTAGGACAATATTCAAGACAACTTACCAATGCGGGAGAAAGTAGCGCGCTCCTTGTCATCGACCTGCTTCACACGACCGTCCTGGACATCGTGGCGCGACAGACCCATGAAGCTCTTGGGCAGACCCATAGAGGAAAGGTAGGACAAGGAATCCTTCCACTCGAGATCCTTGCGCTCAGTGGTCCACTTCAACTCCTCACCCATCAAGTCAATAACACCGGGAAGAGACTCAAGAGCAGCCTCGGCGTTCAGGAAGGCGAGACGAGTACGGCGAGCGATCACATCGACAGCAGTCTGGGCGTACTCGTGGCGGACAGCGTAGCGAACCTCTCCGTCAATGAAGGGGTACAAGGGGGAGAGGCGGCAGCCACGGACAGGGAAACGTTCAGTGGTTGGGGAGGACAGAGCAGCGACCTGCCATGATCGGTCACCGTAGGACTCAGTAAGGTGCTTGGCCACGTCGGTCTCGAGACCGAAGTGTTGGATAAGGTTGATGAAGAGAGTCTTAGAGAAACCGTGAGCACCGATCAGGCGGACCTGGTGGGTCTGGCAGCTGCCGTCGAGAACGGCACCGTCGGCCACAAGACCACTGCCGCCAACACCGGAGATATCGGGGAGGGAGGTCAGTTCACGGGGCTTCAGCTTGAAGACATTGATAGCCTCGTCCACGGCCTCCTCGGCCATTTGGCGATAAGTGGTCCACTTACCACCAGCGCAGGTCAAAAGTCCAGACTGGGAGACAGTCACCAAGTGGTTGCGGACCAGGGACTCGGAGTTCTTAGCCTTGGGGTCGCGCACCAAGGGACGGATACCAGACCAGGCAGCAAGAACGTCGCTGCGGTCGACAGTGATATCGGGGGCCAGGTAGCCGCGAATCTCAGAAAGAATCCAGTTGATGTCCTTCTCGGTGGGCTGGGGCTGGGTCTCAATTTCACAGGGCTGGTCAGTGGTACCGGCAATGGTGTTGCCCTGCCATGGCAGGAAGAAGATGACACGTCCATCAGAGGTAGAAGGGTCGATCAAACCCATGTTGGAGGGGCTGTAGTAACCGGGGAGGATGACGTGGACACCAGCACTAGGGGCCACAATCTCCTTGACGTCGGGCTCATCCATCTTGCGGATGGAGTCCGAGAAGGGACCAGTGGCGTTGATGATACCCTTGGCACGGATACCGAACTCCTCAGCCTTCTGGCCATCCTTCTCGGTGATCACATCCTTCATGCGCGCACCGCACAGCTTGCCAGAAGCATCCTTGGTGAGACCAGTAACCTCCAGGTGGTTCACCACGGTGGTACCATACAGCGCAGCAGTCATGGCGAGGGAGACGTTCATACGGGAATCGTTGTGGGCACCGTCGTAGTAGACCATGGCACCGATAACATTGTCACGCTTAAGCATGGGGAAGGCATCAATGGCCTTACTCTTGGTCAGGAAGTAAGAGGACTCAATGCCCTCGGAACCAGCCAGGAAATCGTAAGCCTTGGTACCAGCCCAGAAATAGGGAGCCTGCCACCATTTCTGAACGGGCACCATGATCGGGAGCCATGATGAGAGATGGGGCGCAGTGTTCAGGAAATACTTGCGCTCTCTGAGCGCCTCCTTGACCAGCGCATATCTGCGACACAATGCGATCAGCACGAATACGACGAATGTCGATCAAATCCGACCGAGCACGTTAAAAAAAAAAAGGCGGAAAAACTCACTGGTTGTAATCCAATTCCCAAACAGCCTTTTCTAGGTAGCGGACACCACCGTGTACCAACTTAGTACTCTTACTGCTGGTTCCGGCACTGAAGTCATCTCTCTCCACTACTGCGACCTTGAGGCCTCGGGTGGCGGCGTCTAGTGCGATACCGGATCCAGTCGCACCGCCACCAATGACCAACAGGTCATATTCCTCTTCTTGGTTACTGCGCTTGAGATCCTCAATCTGTTCGAGGCGAGACTTAATTTGAGGGAAACTGGGAGGCACCAGCTTGCCTTCACGGTAGCCGGGAGGAGGAACGGCGGGAGCTTCGAGACCGGGGATATTTCGCGGGCGATAAGAAATGTAGAGAACACCTGCACCGGCGGCGGCAGCCGCGGATGTGTACAGGAGAGGTCTCAACAACTTGCGCGAATGCCGAGCGGCCATTATCCGTTAGTTTTTTTTTTATGTAGAAGGGTTCAATGCGATGCAATTGCGCAATTGATGAGAATCCCAAAGAGAGGGAAGAAAAGGGAGATGTTAGAGAAAGAGAAAGATAGATGACAAGGGGGATGAAGGGGGAGGAAGTGTTAAAAAAAAAAAGAACTGATCAAGATTGGCGCAAATACCTGATCGCTACACCTTCCAGTCCCATCCAGGTCACGAGCACAGCAAAGCTCTGCGTCATGGGTCCAACAAAGCTCTCCATTGGAGCAGCCCAGTGGAGCTCCCAGTGACGTCCCTTTTCTCCCACCAATTGTGATCTTTTCCTCCGGCTTTCTATTCCCGAACAGAGAGTTTCTGCTGGAATGCAAGGGATACAATGTGCCTTGAAACGTGTCCTTACACTCTCGGGAAGCCGAGCAGAGCGGCTTCATATCTCGGAAATCAATCTCTTCAAGGCCACCTGACGAGCTCTATGAATATCAGCCAGTCATAGAGTGGAAATGGGGACCCATCCGGCTCAGGGGCCCCGTGTGAACATCTGGATCTGATCCACAGGGATTTGTGTCCCCAGCTCTCCTTATACTCCACAGGGATTTCCGGTTTTCCCTCCGGTATTTCATCATGGATTGGGCCTTACAGGTTTGGCACGCCACAAACCGGTCAGTGGCTACACATGAGGCTCTTTCTTTCCACCTATAAAATTGAGAAGTACTGTACACCGTGAAATAAATTAAATTAAATTTAAGAGGAAAATTGTCCTTGCATGTCTAGGTGGATATGATCGTCACTAGTCCCGGTAGTGTTTAATAGGAAAGGGTCTGGGCCTATGCCTAATGTTTAAATTCTATTCCCAGACTAAATATACTATCCTCTCTAGCTATGAACATTGGCAGACGAATTGCATTTCTAGTAGAAATCCTTAATTATCTTGTCTCATCCCTTTCCCGAATGGGTTTTACTGCTCTGTGTGTACCTGTCTGGGCATATAGTGAGAGAATCCAATGTATAATAGCACCACTTGAATCACATTTAAATTTATTCAAATTATATCGAAGGAAATAGGGAACGAGATTGCAAATGTGTACAAGGTCCACTCGTGTATATGTATTCTTATACACGTACAGACAAACGCGCACATACAAACGTGGAAACATAAACTATCAAATACATCAAAACCACCGACTATCGTGCTCTCGTGTTCCACTACCGAGTGACGCAGTCCGAACCCCATAGTAAATTCGATAAATTACAATTTGATATCTCAAGAACAGTAGTAGCATCCAGGGACTTTCCCATATAGCTCACTAATGTTTATGTGATACCTAGACATTTTACATAGTCTAGCAGATTTTCACCGCTCCGTGAGTAAGATATAATCATTTCTAGCTCAAAGCAACGTAATTTTCAATACCATGATAAGATAGCACTTCTATTTCCCTAAAATCGATATGTAGTGTTAAGAATCTTTATCAGCAGCTATGGACTATTTATGGAAAACCCCCCAAGAGGGTGGGTGTCGAGATATCAATTTGTAAATTATCGCATTTATTATGGGGTTTGCACTGCGTCGCTCGGTGGTGTGCGATACTCGGTAGTGACATACGTTACCTATATAGACAAAACAACACCTCGGCCCTAAGACGGAACATTTCCGGAGTGCGGAACCCGGCACCAGCAGAGTCAAAGCTGGGGAAATGTGGGGTAAAGTATAGAGGGCGGAAATGGCTCAATCTACACGGAAATGTTCCATTTGTAGTAGTTAGTCATTCATTACTTATAGTCATGATTGGTACATGTAAGCTTCACATTTTATCTCACCATGGCTATCGCTTCTGCACTATCAACGCTGCAAGGCAGTGTGATCGAATACCCATGGCACTCGTTGGCCGTGGCGGCAGTCGTCGTTCCCATCCTCTATATTGTCCTCAATGAATTCATCCGTGCATCGGCCCGTGTCAAGGGCATGAATGGTCCCTGGGGCCTTCCGTTGATTGGGAATTTATCGCAAATTCGGACGAACGCCGCAGAGCAGTATCGCATCTGGTCGAAGACTCATGGGGCTGTATATCAGATCATGCTGGGTAATATCCCCGTTGTCGTGGTTAACTCGGCGGCTTCGGCCAAGGTGCTTTTCGGTCAGAATGCGCAAGCTTTGAGTTCGCGGCCAGAGTTTTATACTTTCCACAAGGTTGGTTACGCCCAGTTTGTATATCCCGTATGCGCTGCTGACTGTTGCTGTCTTAGATCCTCTCCAACACTGCTGGAACCACTATTGGCACCTCACCCTATAGCGACTCACTCAAGAGACGTAGAAAGGGTGCTGCGTCGGCTCTGAACCGTCCCGCGGTCGAAACATACGTTTCGCACTTGGACGTCGAGTCCAAGGCTTTTGTAGAAGAATTGCACAGATATGGAAATAAGGGAAAGACCCCTGTGGATCCTATGCCCATGATTCAGCGTCTGAGTTTGAGTTTGGCATTGACTCTCAACTGGGGCGTACGTATTGCTTCACAGGAGGAGGACATGTTTGACGAAATCACCCACGTGGAAGAGGAGATCAGTCGATTCCGAAGCACCACTGGAAATCTGCAGGACTATATCCCTCTTTTTCGCCTGAACCCGTTCAATTCCAACTCCAAAAAGGCTGCCGAGATGAGAATGCGTCGTGATCGGTACTTGGGTTCACTCAATCGGGACTTGGATGATCGAATGGAAAAAGGCACACATAAGCCTTGCATCCAGGCTAACGTTATCCTTGACAAGGAGGCTAAGCTGAACAGCGAGGAACTTACCTCGATCAGTTTGACCATGCTTTCTGGCGGACTTGACACGGTTACCACCCTCGTCGCATGGAGTCTTGGGTTGCTGGCCCAGCGGCCTGACATCCAGGACAAGGCAGCCAAGGCAATCCAGGAAATGTATGGCCAACATGAGCCTATGTGCTCTGTTGAGGATGACCAGAGGTGTGCATATGTGGCGGCTTTGGTCAAGGAGTGTCTTCGGTATGTATCACGGTTTCAGGTCATGGAACGTTGAACTGACGGCTTAGATTCTTCACCGTTCTGCGATTAGCCCTACCCCGTACCTCCATTCGGGACATCAACTATAATGGAATTGTCATCCCTAAGGGTACAGTCTTCTTTTTGAATGCCTGGGCATGCAACATGGGTAAGCTAATCAATCAGACCATCATGTTCAAACTGACCACTTCATAGATCCCGATGTGTGGACTGACCCGGATGAATTCCGACCCGAACGATGGCTTGAGCAACCCGATGCGCCACTCTTTACTTATGGGATGGGGTATCGGATGTGCGCAGGCTCATTGCTGGCCAATCGTGAACTCTACCTAGTCTTTATTCGAACCCTCAACAGCTTCCGCCTCGAACCTCACGACAAGACCGATTGCCATCCGGTCCGGGGCAATTCGGATCCCACCAGCTTGGTGGCCATTCCCTCACGATACAAGGTCCGTTTTGTACCGAAGGATGAAAAAGCTCTATCAAAGGTCCTTGCTCAATCTTGATAACATGACCCGGCGAATCATGAAACGTCCTGCAGGACGCCGAATTGGGGACGAAAAAGCTGAGGACACTTCGTACCATTCGCATCTGCCAGCTCAAGCATTCCGAAATGGTTAGCATCGGACACATTCCTCACGGTCCCCACCTAGCATTTTGACAGTGAATAGCATACCCAACGAGTTGGGCTTCAAGAATGATCTACAGGAATCAAAGTTGAGAATTGTTCATCCAGTCTTGATTAGAGGCAATCTGGTAGATACAAGTAATCCAAAACCAAGGTCTTTCGACCTGTAACTCCTTCCAATGATAATATATAACAGGTACAACAGGTTGAGGGGTATAGGTTTCAAGTAGAGCGGGGTCCAAAAACAACAGGAAATACATCTTTTCCATCACTGACGCCTTCCAAATATATGCAAATTATTGAGTGCAGCATGAGAGCTGTATGCAGCCGAGCCATGTCGTCGTTGGGCTCGAGAAACACGCTTCGATTGGCGGGTTTCGGGTTGACTCGATGTCATTAGGTGGTAGTCAAGCGGCGCTTGAGGTCGCGGACTTGGTCGAAACAACTGGCATAATCACGTAGCTCATCTTGGAGCCGATCGGCCACGTTGGAGGTAGATGCATTGCTCTTCAGGGAAGAGAGGGAAGTTTGGGATGAGGAGGCCGATAGAATTCGAGAAGGCTGGGCATTTTCGCGAGCATTGGATTCAGATCGTTGCGAAGGACCAGTCTCCCAGTGGGTTGATGCCTGGCTAGATCGTCGTGACAAGGCATCTGACGATTCCAAGTCCAGTTCTGCTAGGCGACATGTTTGGGAGCAATAGGGAGCTCCTAGTGTTTGTCTGTCACAGACGAGACAGAAATCCAAGGACCACTCAGTTGACATGATGAAGAGAATAGATTGTAGAGAGAGGAAGAGAGAGAGAGACGTAGAGAATATAGAAAGAAATAGAAAGAGAGGGAGAGAAGATAATAAAAGTGTCACACAGCGATCATGCCACTGGAATGGGAAGCAAATATGTAGATATGTAGGTACCGAAGTGCATTGCGGGGAAAAAAGGGCAACTGAACTGGATCCACGTTGTGTATGGGAATTGCTGTGCTTCGGGCGCTTACAGAAAAAAAGGCCAAGGTACCTGGGCTCAGGTACCTTACATATGACTCTCCCACCCAACAAGTACCTCATACGCCGGTATCCCCCGGCTATCGATTTTAATTTCTAACTGCTGCAGGTCCCTCAAACTGGCAATTATCGTCATTCCCTCGGATCGACGGCATCAGAGCGTCTGGTGTCATCTGCCGATAAAAAAAGACTCAGACCCCTTTCTGCATGTCTTACACCCAATCATAACAGTTGAATCTAATTATCTCGCAGGCTCGAAGTGTCGCCATGAGGGGAAGATAGACCCGGTCACTCCACTGTTGACTGCTGATTTGTTCGCCATTTCGAGATAACCCAACTTTATTGCATGCCCATGGGTGCGAACTCCGCTTCTCCTGAATTCTCATGATTTGCAAGCCATCCCGCATGCACAAATCCACTCAGATCCGCTCTAATACACGTGTGGGAGTTGGGATTTGACATCTTTTTTTAGGCTTCTGACTTTGAGCGGTTCAGGTTTCCAGCATTTTCAAAGATGTGGCCTCCCAATACACAGATGGGAATTCTTACGATGCGAACTACCGGCTCGGTAGAGGGATGGCGCGCTTGTTATTTCCCAGCCACAGTGGGTTCAGCCTGGGAGTTCAGCCCAGAAATAGTGAGACAGAGGCCACGGGCTGATTCACTCGCCAGTTTTCTCACGTGGCTCAGCTGGAATGCGAACCAGTGTTGCCGGCAAGCGAGCTTCGGTTTGCATGTCCACATTCTTATTCTCCGGCTCGGCTTCGTGGAGTCCACTCGTTTTTTCTACAGGAATAGAAATCAGTACCGATGATAACATTTAGCGGAGATCTAGGCTTACTGGAGGCCAGGGTGATAGCTCGTAAAACATTATCCCAGTTAGATAAGACGTAGGCAACAGCTAGAAATAATCAGCGTCCATCACGGCCGAATCAGAGAGGGTCATCACCTTCGGTGCCATCCTTCAGCGTAGAAACCTTGGCCTCCAAAGCTTGCATCTGCATCGCTAGTGTTCCACTCAGATCGCGCAGCTGGCGTAAATTCTCTAGCTCCGCCTTCTTGGCTGCAATGCGGGCCGACAGCGCCGAAGATTGTTGGGAGGTCGATTGGGAGCCAGGTTGGCGAAGAGAAGATCCGCCAGGCGCACTCGGAAGCATTGATGTTGGTCTTGGGTATGCCATTGCGTTGGTAGGTTGTCGAGGTTGTCGACGTCTTGATGCCCCGCTGCCATCAACAGGTCCGTGGAGCCATGCTGAGTCACCCCACTAAGCCCGATGCGGGTAAACATCAACACGGGTGTGGCATTCAACGTTTGTTTACCTTCTCCTCAGTAAACCTCCGGTATTTTGCATTCGCCCGCCCTTCCGATTGGGATAGAGATCGGCTTTTATTTACTTCTCATTCAGCTTGTGTCTATTCGTTTTTACCAATTTTCGGCTCTAGACAGTTGGTCGCTGTCCCCAGCCTCCACCATGGCTCGGTTGAATGACTACGCGGCTCCTGCCGAGTCGATCGATGTCTGTAAGTGGGCATCATGTTTTTTGTGGGAGCTATACGTTGACGCGTGATCTTCTTAACCTATAGTAAAGCGTCGATTTGTGCGACAAAATCGTGAGATCGCGAGAATGAACTCTCTGCAATCTCTTCGCATCCGCAGCCTGGAGTCCGAGGTTTCGCATTTACTGTCAGAAAACGTACTGCTTCGGAAACAAGTCATCAATCTCACTCAAGAAACGGAGAGACTGGAGGCAGCAAAATCGCTCCACGATGGGATTTACGACATAAAATCCAAATTGGATGCGAAGTTGGCGGAACTTAGCAGCTTGGCAACGGACCTGGGCTCCTTGCCACGAAAAATGGACAAGATGTGCGATGAACAGTCTGATCGGCCGAAAATGGCAGAGTCGAGACTCAGAAATGAAGACAGCATGGGATACGATGATGGAAGACTCCCCGCCATCGTGGAGGATCAATACTATCCACGACGGACCTTAGAGTAAGTATCCCCCTGACTCTTCTTATCTGCTAATTGCTAACTTCATTTAAGGCCCCAGGAGCTTGAAAACATGGTCCGCGAGAACCAGAGCATTTTTGATTCGCCACAAGAGCCCAGCTTAATAGAGGATCATGACGAACCAGACATCCAGAACCCAAGTCCCTCGCCACCGGAAACAAACTACAAGTCCCAAATCGAAAGCGATTCTCCCGGAGACACCGAACCCGAGCCAGTACTTCCCCCAACCCTCGAGACCCGCAAGAAGAAAAAGAAGTCGACTTCGATCGCCCCCCTTGAACCTGTCACTGCAGAGATAGAGCAGCCCACAAGCCCGCGCAATGACTCGGGACATCCTAAAACCTCGGGCTCCAAGCGCAAATTCTGCCCCGAAGACGATGACCAATTATCCTCGACCATCGACATGGAAGATGATGAATTTCAATTCAGCCGACCAACTCATAGCCCAAAAAAGCAGATGAATCCATTCGGGCTTACTCGACGGGACCAGTCGCCCGTCAAGACCAATATTGAAATGACAAGAGAATCAACAAGCCTTGGCCCTCCTAAGCGAAAGGTCCTTGAACCGAGTATGTTCTTCTGCGCCTTGGTTCTTTCTATCATTTTGAGAACTCTAGCTAACGACTAAACTAGAGAGTTCCAATTCCAACTTGGGATCCCCGAAAAAGGCTCGCGCATCTTCTGGCCAAGACTCCAAGGTCCTACAAAGACCTACCAAGGGTGATGAAAATACAAGCTCGCCACAGAAGACCAAGGATGCCGAGAAACTCAGCGAGAAGACTTTGAATCAGAGACCGCGTGTTTCCCAGATTGTCTCATCAAAAAAGGAAAAACGCACCAGTCGCCCTTCCGAATATGAAGAAGCTGCCCCAAGCCTCTCTGCATTGTCACCTCACCCCAATGCCGTGAAGGTGGAGGCAGAGTCCGACGTATCCTCCGGAATTCGACCTTCACGACGTCGTGGTGCTGTAGTCAGTTATGCAGAGCCCAACCTACGTGACAAGATGCGTCGTCCTACTAAGGAAATGATCGATGCTGTTGCTCTCGGATCGCGAAGATCATCAAGTTTCCAGGCTGGCAGAGACAGTTTGAACGGCGAAGATATTCAACCAAGTGGCAGTTTCTCCGCAAATTTGGTTTCAGCTGAGCAGAATCCAGATGTTTTCTCCCAGGATGGGTCTTCTGAGCAACTAATGGCAATGGTGTCCCGGCGAAAGCGCAAGGTGTCATCGGTTCCAAAGGACGATGTTGAACCAGGACATCCAAACTCTGGTCTACAGAAAGAGATTGAAAACAGCATCGCAGACATATCTGCCCAGGTGTCGCAGGATACATCGAGTTCGAAACGACAGACTCGACGACACTCATCGAACCCGAAGAGTACGAGCGCAAGCATATCACATTACGATATCGACCTGGCCGAACCACCATCTCCCAGTGGCACCTCTTTTGGACAACCCGGAGATTCTCCAGAAGACGAGCACTTATTCGGAGCAGGACCGACTGGTTCAACAGGGCGTGGTCAGCGAGTTGCGGCAAGAAGAAAAAGCATGATGGTATGAGTGCCGCGGTTTTCCTTTCCTTTCCTTTTTCTCTTCCTTGTTTTGAAAGAGATCAACATCTTTATTGCATCATGTACGTACAATCGTTATAGACCGGTCCAGGTTGGAGTTATGTTTCAGATACCCCTCCAATGCCGAGCTTCAGAATTTCATTTCATTATTCTTTTTTTCATTACGCTGCCAAGGCCATTTGCACCTAAATTTGCCGAAGTCGGGTGATACTCTTCAAGTGGCGTTGGAATCATTCTATGGACCGGCTGCGACCCCGGGAGCATCAAAACAGCTCTACATCCCTGATTTCTTGATCATGCCATTTGTAGTCCTGCACGTCGCCGGACAGGGATATCGAGCTCAAAATTGCGCAAATTCCGTACACCCGTTACGCCTGAAGAGATGATCCGGTGACGTGCGTATAGGCAAGTCGTGCGTGATCCTCGGGGGTTTCGTTACCACCAGCCCCAGCTCTGAGGGTCGGGTATTCAAGCGCCTCGCGAACGGCTCTTGGATGACTTGGGCATTTTCTCATAAGCATTTGGACTTGGCTTTCTGCGCTTCGACTTCGGCGCTCCCTGATCTGAGCAACACCCATCGTCGTTTGGGTCAGCTATGTGGCGATGTTCATCATGAGGTTTCCTTCCTCGCGCGTGCGAGTGGCGAGCGTGGTTTGCTCGTTTGGCACGGTCATCATTACTGTCGCTGTCCGAATCGGAGGAGCTGGAATCTGAGTCGGATTCCGAGCTGCTCTCTCCTACCGGCCGGGCTTTGTGGTAGATGCAGCATACTAAGGACTGTTAGGGAATCTGTTCCCTACGCAGTAAAGTAATAAAGTTTCCAAATACCTTTGGAGCTCTTCTTTCCCATGCCTTCATTGTCCACAACGTCGTCGCTCCATCTAATTCGGCGACCTGAGGAGGTTTCTTCGCGAGTGTTGGTTGGTGCTTCTTCCGCTCGCAACCTGAGGGTTGTGGGAAAGCGGTCTATCGACGAGTCTCGAGAGGATTCAGTAGTTGTTTGAAGTGCATTTGACATCGGCTGACGTGTTCGAGACATTGTCTGAAAGGTGTATATCATGAGAAGCAAGAACTTTTTCAGATGATGCAACTGATAAGGACTCACCGCTTTACATGTCACGGGATTAAAGAGCTACATGTTATGGAATGAATTGAAATTGGAATTTGTCTTGATTTTTTGGTCATGAAACCATTTGGTAAGAACTATCTCGCCTTTTACAGGTCGAGTGCACAAGAGGATGAAACTGGTAGATCCGTTCCGTACGTCAGAGCCTTCATACACTAGTCCCGAAGAACCCGCCGCTTAGCCAGAGATTGGGTCTATGTCGCACGCCCGATAGCCAAGGAAAAGAAATAAAAACGAATAATAGATCCAAACACATCTTCCCATGGGCCTCGAGTCCCTCGCGGCTTCCCGTAATCTAGAGCTCGTAAAGGGACCAGCCATCAAGGCCGTCATTCCTGGACGTCAACCTCGAAGCCTGCTCATGCCCGAGAGAACCAGTAGAAGCAACCAACTCGGTGCGTAACTCTTGGTCTAGTCATAGCTCGTCCTCCTGATCCATCTCAGATGGCTTCAAGAGACCTCCTACCTTCATGGCGCGGTCACGCTCGGCGGTTTGGGCATCGCGCACCGCCTGTTCCCTCTCCTCGGCATAGAGTTCGCCATTGTCATCGGAGAACTCCTTCAGGGAAATCAAGAAATCACGGAGATGAGTCTTGAATTTGTTGAGATCATCAGTGAACTCAAACAGTCCAATGACAAATTGCTTAATTTGTCCCCTGTTGAAGAAAGTTAGCAATGATTTCGCAAGGAACACTGTGAAAATCGGTAAGAATACTTACTCCTGAAGGTTTTTGAAAGCATTCTGGAGCAGTGTTGCAATGTACTGCTGCAAGAAGTCCTTGTTTGAAGTTCCGGCCGGGGCTTGATCAGGGCCATAGATCGGCTCTTGGATCTTGCCAGATTCGACAAAGAAGAACATGCGCTGCAAAAGTAACGCCTGAGATTTGAATCCTATAATGTTGTTAGTCTTGTGTTACATGTCAAAATCCAATAGCCAAACGTACCAGCCTTGTGGTCACTGTCCGTCAAGACGAAGAAAACGTCCTGAAGGATGGAGATGTAGAACTGGCGGAAGAAGATACTTGAAGTTTGCAAGTCGGTTTCGGCCATGTTGTTCATCAGTTCCAGACACATGGTCAAACCAGTATTCTCGACTTCTCGGTTATCGTGCTTCGATGCCCACATGCATGAGTCAATGACAAACTTGAATTGCGCAGCGTCAAGCTTGAGGAGCGCCTGGAAGCAGTAAAGGTTAACCGCTTGGAGTAACTTGAAGAACTCGACTCGATGTTCGGGGTATTCGTGGAAATCCTTGTTGATCATCTCCAGAGTGCAGTTGAAAACACTATCCATGATGGCGGGAATCTTGTCCTCCATCAGATTATGAAGCTTGTGGATGATCGTCGTCATGGCATTCAGAACCTCAGCCTCTCGAGCATCAGGAACATTGCGAGCATAGTCAATCAAGACGGCCTCCATGAGTGGTGGCACCATGCTGTCGTTAACCATGGTGACGTCGTCTGACTTATCCACGTATGTATCAATAAGCTTCAAAATTTCTTTTTTGATGGTCCGAAGTCCACGGACTTTGGGGGTTTTGGGAGCGATAGCTCCATCATTTGCAACTGCATCATTAATGAGCTGACTAGCTGCCCGGTACATATTCAACATATCATGGTAGATCCGGCCGATCTGGGAATAGAAGTAGGTGCCAATTGAGGAACAGGCTGCGACATTGGTCTTCATGATGTTTCCAACAATCTTGATGGTATTGCCATCCTGGAGGATTGCCGGGTTTTGGTTGGCTTCTGCGATGATCTGATCCCAGGCGGAGTTAGGAAGGGCCATTAGGTTTTCGGTCAACCGGTCCTGGAGTGTCTTTTGGCCTTGAGCAGAGATCATATAGCCACAGGCTTCGTAGAAAGTGTGGATCTGCTGGGGTGAAAGATCCATTGTAATCTTCCGCATGTTTCGAACAATCTCCTCGATAAAGGGTTCGCTCTCGCCCGGTTGAAGTGCCACGAAATGACGTCTGCACTTGTTGGCGATCTTGATGAAGGTATCGCAGGCCATGTCTTGGACACCTATATGTGGGTCAGTAAGGAGATTTTGAAAGTATAGGCAACGTCGAGCAACCGACCTTCGTGTGTCTCGTGCATAAACTCAAAAAGCTTGTTAACGACAGTCTTCAAGAACTTCCAGTGAGCCTTCAGGAAACGTGGGTACTGTCCCACAATGTACATGATGTTACTGGCCACCACTGCCTTGTTGTCCTTTCCACGCTTCTGTTCTGTGAGGCCAAGAAGATCCTTGATGACGGTGACCAGGAAACGCTTCTCGGTTTCTTCATTCATAGCACCGGAGATGGAACCAATTGCCCAGCAGAGGGTGTTGCAGTTTACCCATGACCATTCGGTTCCATCGACCTGCTTCGCCAATTTATCGATCATGATGGTCTCAGTGTCGACAACGTCAAGGTGAGTCAAGTAAACCAAGCATTCGCGTATCGTCTTGTAAAGCTGAATGGTATCGCTCTCTTTGACGAATTCACGGACAATTTCGCCCTCATCGTTCTCAACAACCAAGACCTCCTCCGGGCGGACCATCTTCTCGATCATCACAGTACGGAGGTTGGATAGCACAGTCTCGTACTTGTGCTTACGCAGAGGGTAGTTTGCCAGGGTATTGGGGTTGGGCGCACCGCCATTGGCCAGGCCACTGACGCTCATCGATACTAGCGGATTGATGTCGGTGATAGGAAGCTGCTGCATCTCTTCGTAGAGCTCTTGCACCAACCGAGTCCAGTAATCCAAACAGATCTTGAAAACTTCCCGGTCGTCGATCTGGCTGACGCGAATGAGGTAGAAGTGCGCATGTGTGAGGTAGTCCTGATTCGGCAACTTCTCAATGAGCTGGAATTGAGATAAGAAAGGTTAGCTGTGCTCTTTGAAAAGCAGGGGTCTCACGTACATCCAAATGAGCGCTGAAGAAGCTCGAGAGGAAAAGGGCAAGGTTTGATACAAACTCCTGGTCTCTTCCATTGCTCATAGCATATGTCTCCTTCAGATCCATGGACAGAGGAATGACGTTGGACACGGTAGTGAGTGTCTCGGTGAACATGTGCACCAACCGTTCGTCATAGTTGTAAGGAGTTCCAATTTGCAGTCCACCAATCTCCGTCAGACACTTGAGTGTCACATTTCGGAAGTCGGGCTCACCGAGGAATCGAGTGAGAAGAGTGTTGATGATGGGTGTCTCAAAAATGTAGCCCAGTGGGATCCAGTTAAGGAAGCGAAGGAGAGTTTCGAGGGTCGCCTTGACCAAGCTGGGCTGGTTCGCGGTGTTTAAGACCTCAGAGCACAGTTGGAAGATAGATGCAAACTCGGAGGTCATTGATGTCTTCAGATTCCGTGCCTTGACAGAAGTCATTTGATCTTGCGAAAAGTCGAAGACCTCCTCCGACAGCAGTCGCAGAATGGTCATATTGTTCTCGCAAATTGAAAGGCTAGCGTGGCAGGAGGAAATGATCTCGTTGATAAAGTTTGGCCAATTGTGTGGCCATTCCTGTTTCAGGATCGAGACAAGTACCAGATTAAGCTTGTTCAACAAGGGCCGTTCCGCGTGTAGCTTCTCTTCCGAATCGGAGTTTTCGATGATGAACCGGACGATGAAGTTACGGATGCCTAAAGACGATCTTAGTTAGAACCAACCAATCCAGACGGAAGAAAAGCGGCTGCAGCTCTCACCTTGGCATTGGTCTCTTGGGAGGACCTTCCACCGGGTCATAATCACATCGTCAAGGACTTGAAGCGCAATGTCTATTAGGGTCAGCAGGACTCTCTCGCCTTCTATAAGCACCGGGAGGGATCCAAGCTCAAGACACACATTTGGTTTGAAGATATGAGGCCTCTTGGAGGATATTGCCCACGGTAACCCAGGCATCGGGATTTTGCTTGAACTGCAGAGCAAGATTCCAGATCAGTCCTCGGTTCGAGTAGGGGAGGGAATGGTCACTCTTACCTCAGTCAAGGTCTGCTGGGCTTGTTTTTGCTAAGCGGAAGCATGGATGTCAGACTTGGAATGATATTGCAGAACATAGCACCAGACGAGGTGGGATGTGAGGGGTCTGACGTAAATCAACCTACCAGGTCACCTTTGCCCTCAAACAAGGCACGGACGGTGTTGTCCAGCTCTTGCACGGAAATCGACATCCCGCAGACTGGCGATCTCGCCACGATATGTTCAAGAGTCAAAAGAGATAAGGAACCGCCTGGACAATGGAGGTGCCAGGGCGGCTGCAGAGGCTAAGGGGGGTGGTTGATTGAGAGTGGGGTAAAAGTCCTGAGGGGTTGAACCTCTAAGAAAGCCAGGGAGATGATTGGGCAGAGTCTAGACTCGCTTACTGGAGAGCAACAAAAGCCCAAGAAATTGAGGGGAGAAAAACAAAGCTATCAGAGACTCTGGCGGTGAGTTGATGTTGGGAAGGTTAGTCAGCTGAGCTCTGGCGCGGTTCAGCGGTTCAGCGGTTCCGCCAGGCGGTTCCACGGTACGCCGGGACGCACATCCGCCAGACATCCGCGTCTGCTTTTACTCTTCTTTTTATATCTTACTTACTTTCACTTGTCTATATCTTCTCAGGTTCCCTCTACTCTCTTCTTTAACTTTTCTTTAACTCCCCTTTCTTCCTCTCCCTTCTCCAGGCTGAAAGATCCGTGCCCTAGTTGATTTTAGTTTCCCGGTCCTAGCGCAGCGGCACGCTGCAGTCATCATTTTTTCCGAGATGGGCGCCAGATCCGACCGTGGAAACGCGGGCGTCAGTAACAGAAGTGGTAAGTGGTAGAAGGGAGAAAGGGCATCATTTTGAGTAATTTATATATAACTTATTCCTTCTGAGAACCAACTCTCTCAAGTTCATTCCTAACATACCACTAAGCGAATATAACCGCCCTGCCGACACAGGCGCGGCGGAATTTGTCATGCACCCGGGACGGTGGGAACGCGCGCGCATCGCCAATGGAAAAGCGCCTGGAGTCGCTGGGACAAGGGAATTGGATGTCTCAGACCCGCGCCTCACCTGGATACAGTTGATCAGTCTTCCGATTGGTCTCGCTCGTTGACGCCGTCATTGCCGATCGCGCGCCAACTTCCCCTTTCTCTTTGGGGATTACTCTATAGTACTTTTCTTTCTATAGGTCCCCCTTATTAGTAGAGCCCCCCCTCCTTTCCTACGTGGTTTTCCCTTTTCTTTCTCTTCTCTTGGTTTAATCTTCCCGATCTCGCCCCACTCTTAACTTGCCGCGCTCTAGTATCTATCAGACTCTAACTCTTTTCTTTTTTTTTTTTCCTTTTTTTTCCTTTTTTTGCCCTTTTCTTATGGAGAATTGTCTAGCCTTTCTTTTTATAGTTTGAGCTTTGGTCTTTGTTGATTCTGATGACGGCCCTTGCTGCGGCACCCGTGATGAATGGCCACGATTCCGGTACTGAAACAGGCACGGAACATAGCCCATCTCGCTTTACTGCAGTCAATGGCAGAGAGCCTGTGATTGGGAACTCTGGGGAACGTGGTTTTCAAGAAAAGTCCAATCCAGATTGGCGAGAGGACCGAGCAAAGGATATGGATGAAAGATTGTCCCAGAGATCCTCGCCTCCGATATCCAGCAAAAATAAAAGAAAAAGATCAGAATCACGAGATCAGGAATCTTCAACTCACGAGGGAGATGCTTCCAGGAGTCCGGAGAATCACCCTGAGGTTCAATCCAACCCTACGATGCCAGGATCGGTATCAGAGGATCGAGGCAATCAATCAGCAACGCCTTCACATCGGTCCGAAGGCAATGATGCAGGCCAGACATCAGCCAACAGTCCTTGGTCAGAATATGATTCTCAGCTGGTCACCCAGGCACAACGAGCCCAGCAGATTGATGCCTCAGATGCCCATTTGGCAGATGCGCTCCAACGCGAGACAAGCCATGAGAGGCCCGGTGTAAATCGCTCCACGCCGGGGGCTCAGGCTTCGTCTCCCGGATATGCCCCAGATCGGCATGGGACGACGCAGGTAGCTCCAAAAAGGAAGCGGGTATTTAGTAACCGAACAAAGACAGGCTGCATGACTTGCCGCCGCAGAAAGAAGAAATGTGACGAGCAACATCCGGCATGTAAGTCAATCCCCAGTGGATCTGATGCCTTTATGGCAGTCCACATTAGGCAAGGAGCGGCATTAATGATGTATTGTAGGCAACAATTGTCTTCGCGGCGGTTTTCTGTGTGAAGGATACTCTTCACGAAGCACCTGGCAAAAGCCATCCAGCGCAAAAGCACCTATTCCCTTGCAATCCAAAGAAGGATACCCTGACATAACCGGCCCGTATGTGCAGGAACCCACTCGACATCATGATCGACAGCCTCTGGAGCATATGGAAGCGACCAAAATAAGACCCTTAATGGTCGAAGATAACGACCATCCTACGCCACAATACAACTCGGTCACCACAGGATCCAGTCATGGATGGTCAAAGCAAGGTTGGCCGGGTGCTGGCCATGCGCCCTACGTATCTGAACCGATGGCAAAACCCGACTATCGGGAAGTGCCATCCATCCATGAACTAACGCGAGAGGGTCGATCCAAACCTGACTATCCTGTAGTCCCATCCATTCGGGACATAAATCACGGATCTCATCCAAAATCCACATTGCCGATATTCCAGAGTGTGGAGCAACGGACATTGCCCGCTGCCTCGGTGGAGACGAATAGTCCACAGGTTCAAGCCCGCATGGCACTCAGCATAGAACAACAGTTGTCTGCTGATACGGAGAAAGATAAAATGATCCGAGGGGAGCTCTATCGGCCATTCGACGTTCACCTTGTAGAGGAACGGGACCGTTGTCGAGGCGCACTGCGGAGATTCAATAACGCCTGCAACCCACTCACCGGGGTCAGCACGAAAGAGCAAAATCGACTGCTGAGGGAACTGATTGTACCCCCAGCAAATACCTTTGTCAATTCACCAGGGTCCGGTGAACACCGATCTGTTGGGTCTCTTAGCCAAGGAGTGGTGGTTGAGGCACCTTTTACCTGTCATTATGGATACAATCTTCATATTGCTGAGAATGTCATGATCTCAGAGAACTGTCTGTTTGTGGATGACTGTGGCATCCAAATTGGTTGTCACACCTGGATCGGCCCTGATGTCAAAATACTCACCTCAACGGCTTCTCCTAACATGCAGGAGCGCAAGGGCTCGCAGATCCGGTATCAAGGCCGCCAGGTCGTCATTGAACAAGAGTGCTATCTTGGCGCAGGGTGCATCATCTATCCGGGTGTCCATCTTGGACGTGGTGCCTATGTGGCCCCGGGAGAGATTGTGAGGACAAACGTTGCCCCTTTCACACATCAAGGGATGAAACCCAGCTTGATGTGAATGAAGTTATGTGTAATTGTATGTGTGGGGGCCAGGACAGGCTATACCTGGTCATGAGCCGACGAACAGAGTTATGATTTTTTTGAGGCCCTTTTCCCCTTTTCTTTCGTGTTTCTTATTTCTACGATATCCACTGTCGCTAACGAATGGCTTCCTTGTATTGATTAGCGCTATTTCTTTGGCGAACCCGGTGTTATCTTGCAGTACATACACAACAAAGCTTCTGCATGGTCTTCCATATCTTGATTCTGATATTTTAAGCGAGTCGGTGGCCCTGTTTTCCTACGGATTTCGTACAGAAAATAAAATTGCCACGTCATTGAATGGAAGAAATAACATTCTTAAAGGTAATGATTAAATGATAAGAATGGAGAAATCATGTCACATAAGGGGAATCTATCTGGTTTGAGTTCAAGTGGTCGTCAACCAGACAAGGCCATCATGAATCTCTAATCAATGGTAGAAATGCAGTCAGCATAATCACAAGCAGACTCCGAGGCCTAACAACTGCACTTTTGAGACAAATTAAGGGAGCAAACCAACATCTAAAGCCAATCCAAGAACTCTGGAACAAAGTAACTGATCACGATCCCAGCTCCCGCTCTCAATATGCCTTCAGTGCTTTCAAAGGCCATATCCTTCAGGTTAAAAACACCAGCCTTGGCAGCAGCATGGATCATTGCGAATTCACCACTGACCTGATAAGCGGCTACTGGAAGATCCTTCGCCAAGTCTTTGGCATCCCTGATGATATCCAGGTAGCTGCTCGCTGGCTTGACCATAATAATATCGGCACCCTCGGCCATATCTCTTTGAATGGCACGGCGGGCGAGACCACGGCCACCTGGGGGCAGTTGGTAGCAACGACGATCTCCAAATGAGGGGCATGAGCCCGCAGCATCGCGGAACGGTCCATATAGACACCCACTGAATTTGGCGCTATAGGACATCAAGAGCACACGGTGCGCCACACCAGCTTCAATCAACTTCAGCTTGATGGCACGAATCCTTCCATCATTCATATCAGAGGGAGCCACACAGTGAGCACCTGCTGCAGCATATGCAATGGCCACATCAGATATCCGGTCAACAGACTGCGCATTGTCCAAGGTGCCATCTTCCCGGAGAATGCCGCAGTGGCCGTGTGATGTATACTCGCACAGACATACATCGGTAGTTATGTAGAGCTGGGGGAAACGGGATCTAAGCAGACGAATGGATTGAATCACAGGACCATCGGGATCATCCGCAGCGGTTCCCAGTGCATCTTTAGCCGACGGTTGGAGGGGAACACCAAATAACATCACCGATCGGAGACCCTTGCGCACTAGAGGAGTAAGGAAGGGGACCAGACGATTAATTCCACGACGGTGTTGATTGGGTAATGATGGAATTGGTGTCTCCTCGTCGGGATTGTCTGTGATGAACAACGGATAAATAAGCATGTCCTGGAATGTGGTTAACGATTGCCGGTGCGATCTAAGATCCAGTGTCGAGAACAAACCTTGGTCAATTGTCTCTCAGCTTGCCATGCCCTGGTCAATGGATGACTATATCCCGAATGCAGCTGGCTAGACACTTCGCCAGAGATGCTCACGCTTGTAGCGGCAGTACTTGTGTACGACCGTGCGGTTGCATGAGATCTGGCATGCGAGATCTGTGAACTGCCATCATCGACACGGGCATCCCGAAAAGCAATGTCAGATACCAAATTTGAGAACGACATTGTGAGTTGGGAGGGTGTGTAGAGGGAAAGTGGAATTGAGGAGGATAAGGTGAATATGAATCAATGTGATTGGTGGGGCTTGACTCAGCGACGCCACGAGAGCCGAACACCCGTTGCACGTGACGTGCCAAGGTCTGACATGTTGTTCACATTCACTTTTCAAAACATGGACTGCAATGGTTGGAATATCCAAGTGTATTCAATAAGGGTCATGAATGTACTCACAACTATCACTTCAGCGTTGACTATGTTATAATCGGGATACATGTACATGTATACAATCTGTAGAGGCCCATGTGGGTCTAGTTTAGCGCCAGCGCCTACTATCCGGCGCTTGAGGTGATTTCATGCGGCTAATCTGTCACGACATGCTTCGCTTTCAGCACTATCTTCGGTTCTCATATTACACATCTTTGTTCAATCTGAGGGGTGACCATGGGGTAGTAATTCGAGAGAAGATCTCTTTCCTGGTTGTCCACCGGCGATTTACCTAGAGCCCTGCGGTGATTATCTTTGACTGTGTGCTCCTTACTGTGTCTAATTCTCATGTTGTCGCTACGCCAGTGTCAGAGTCCTTGGTGTCTAATATTGGAACTGGCTGCGTGGCTGACTGGGTCAGCTGGCATATGTTTGAGCATGACTACCTGGTAGCAGCGAGTGGCTTGTTTAACCCGTGTTTGACTTTGAAGGGCTCGTATAGTTTTGGCAGCTATCATCCTTATAAATTGATATAAAGTACTCTATCAATTCATCAGTCCATGAATCGATTAGGGTTTAGTTACTCTATTGTAGTCTTGTTAGTATCGTGATAGCTACACAGATGCTTCTTTTTAGTTAACGCGATAGCTCGAATCCCGTACGTCTTTAGACAATCATGCTCCAGTTCAAGGACTGAGGCTAATTCTCAACATATAAGATAGTATCACTCCCTGTATGTAGGCCAACCCCCGTGAATACGCGCAAAATTATAGTATCAAGTACTAACAACGCACAGAATGCGACAAAAGCGTGGGTGGCGAGCTAGTATATATGGTCCATAATGTCCATTCGTACTAGAATATTGAAACAGAGGGAAGAAGCTTGGAGGAGCTAGTTCCTGTCATCTTGCTGTATCTCTTCTACCTCTTGCGTTTTCTGTCCACCTCTAGAGCGCCTTGCAGCAGGAATTGGCTAAAACGCTAATACATCGAAGACCGCTACTACTCTATCATAGATATCCGCTTTACGTACCGCTCCCATACCCTTGATACCACCTAAGGGTATAAAAGGTCATCGTTATAGTACGGTTATTACTAGTTATACTACCCTAACGTATCCTGATGTATATAAAATAACGCCATTCACGTTTTTGTGTTGGCTTTTGTGCACGCGCTAGTCCGTACTAAATTGCATGTATATAACCGGGCTCTAATTCTAATAAATCAGACTTAATATATAGTTATACAGATTAATTCAAGCTAAATATTAAGGGAAGCGCTGGGCTTATATAACGCTAGTACTTGGAACCCCGGGTCTATTTTCCTACTTCTAGTTATGATTCTGATCAGTTGATGATTATGAAGCTGGTTCTCCGAGGTACGCTTAAAGATTCAGTACAAATACATAAAGAGAGACCTAACTTGGTTATTTGAATTTCTCATGTAAAGTTTAAATGCTTAATCTATGATAGCAGAGAAGAGAATTGTAACGGATGGCCTTTGCTGAAACCCTGTTCTAGTACAAATCAGTCAACCAAACTTGAATAGGTATAGTCAGTATAGCTACACCTAGCCTGTAATAGCATTCACTCAGGTCAATACACGTCTACCGACTAGGCCAAAAAGACCCCTAACGGTTGACATGCCCGGGACCGATACATATACTGACTAAGTACGCACAATTTTACGCGTGCGTAAGCAACGCCACGCCGTGACATAGCCTGACTCTCGTCTGTTATACGTCAATAAGATATATGACCATAATATCGTAACATATTATATTATTCTTATGCGCCTCTATTTTATTTACTCAATCATTCAACCAAAGTTCTACCTGTTGGAGCCATTCAAATATCGAATAGCTATGCAGGTGCTTCTTTCCAATTGAAGCAAGAGCTCGCGTCCCGTACGCCTGATCACGCTTCAGTACAGAAAATTGGGCTGATTCTTGAAACGAAAGAGATTACCAGCCCTATGTGTAAGCCAAAACCGTAAACCCAAAAATCCCGATACAAATGAGAAATTCAGTGCCAGGAAGCAACAGATACAAATGAATGTATAGATGCACCGTCCCCCTACATCCTCACTTCCGCCTCGATACCTACGCGAATACACGCTGCTTGGCTAGGCACTAGACAACGATAATCAGCAATCGAGGCGGAAGTGAGGATGTAGGGGGACGGGGTTTGATCTTGCTGCAGCAGAAATTGGCTGGCATCTAGATTGAGACATGTTCACCTGAGATGTGGGATATGAGGGCTCTGGAGAGGTGGACGGTGCATCTATACATTCATTTGTATCTATTGCTTCCTGGCACTGAATTTCTCATTTATATTCGGATTTGCTTCTAGGTTACGGGTTTTGGATTGCATCTATTCTCTTGCTTCGAGAACCAGCTCCAGTTCTGCACTGGAGCATGATCAGGCGCACGGGACGCGAGCTCTTGCTTCAAGTGGGAAGAATGGCCTGCATAGCTATTCGATACTAGATCACTCCAACAGGTTGATAGAACTTTGATTGATTGATTGAGGTCGAAGAGTGACTAGCATTACTTTGAAAAGTACCTCGTGGAAGCTAAACACGCATTGGATTGGTCGAAGATAGATACGCTATTCCTAAGTATGGGTAGACGTTTAGAAGTAGTACTGAGGGCTAGGGGCTATTACACAAAGTATCCAAAAAATTTTAAATTGAAATATTATAGACCATATCATAGTGGTGCTATATAGAGAAGTAAGTAATATACATATTTTGATAGTGGACCTCGAAAAAGTGGAGGGGACAATAAGAAGGGATGCTTATAATAATACATGAATGAACTCTACTGAAGTAGTATTATATTAATAATATACAGTTAATTTACAAAAATAAAGAAACACAAAAAAGACATCAAACATGAATTCGACAAATTTCTACCAATCTATATTATTTGAAAATAAGATGCGTAAGCTTGTATATCTCTATAATCGTTCGAAGTAAGGAGTAAATGTCAAGCGCTGAGTTCTACACAAAACTAGATATAAAGATGAAGAATTAAAATTATTATTAGTAATAGAGCTACATAAGAAATTTCCAAG